CAGTTCGTTCCGAACGAAAGAATACTACTAATAGTACTATACTAATTACTAATATTCATATTCGTCCATAAGAGCACAGAATATCTAGCTATTCATTTGTAATTCGTTACACAGATATAATATAAAATACTTTACTAATTTTATCTCGATTATATCGAAAAAGGTAATTCGAATTAGTTAGTTTTAATTTACTATCGAATTAGTGGTATTATTTAATTCGAATTTTCCCAACACTAGTAGTAAGGCAGGTTCGAATCCTAGTCAAGGCGACTTTTTTTAATGTTTTTTTTTTAATTTTTACATTTTTACTTTTAACATATTTATTATTGATTAATAGAATTTTTAGTAATGTGTTTCTTCATTTTTTTTTAAATTACTTATACGCGCATTCAAAATTTCAGCTAAATCGGAAAAAAAGTTTATAATAATAGTGTCTAATGTATAAATAGTGAATGGTACGGAACCCTGCGTGCGCGAGTCCGACTCGCACTTGACCAATTTTTTATGAAACTAAAGATGCTACGCACAGCTTTGTCCTAGCCCTCTTAGTTCCTAAAATACAGGAAGTGTAAGAAATTTAGGCATATTATTATTTGCCTTGTTATGCTTTCTAAAAAGTAGCACGATAATGTGAAAACCTATTCGTAAACGAAAAACCCTGTAAAACAGACGAAAATAGGATGTACAGGGTGTCCCATTAAGAATAGCTCTCGGCTGTATTTCGGAAAGTATTAGCCGTAGCGGCTGCGGAAAAAAATATTTATAACTAAAGAGGCTATGGGAAATTGCTGGAAATTATTTTCAAGTTTGTAGAACACCCGCTAGGGGGCGCAACTGCAACAAAAAATAAGAAAAAGGAGTTTTTACAAAATTTTGCCTAGATAAGGTGTACAATAAGTAACAGCTTCATAATCTTCAGAAAATTTTGAATATTTTTTGTTAGAGCCATTTTCCCCTATCTACCAAAATAAAGTGGTGGGGGAAGGTTAGATCTGTTTTTATTTGAATATTAATAACTCTGGACAGGATGATCGGAATCCAACAAGCGAGGGCTCGTTTAAGAGCGTTTCTTACTCTATATTGTGCCATATAAGCAATAATAATAAGCTTTTGAACGTAGACGCTAGGGGGCGTATTACAATTTAACAAACATTGCGCGTTTTTTCAAAAAAATTAAATGCAATAGTATATGTAATTTTAGCTGATAGTAAAGAGTAGTAAAAGCTTAAAAAGTCAGCGAAAACCGCATCTTGATATCTTCTTTCAAACCGAAGATATTAGCAAAATTATATATAAAACTATAAATGCCAAAAAATAAGCTCTTAATTACCTTACTTTTACAACACCGTATCAGTAGCCCTCTTGATTATGCCCATTCTAACCTAAAAATAAGATAGAATCAGTTAGTTTATTTTAAAATCGACGATATACCAGAATATCACAATATCAGATGTATTAATAACTAATAATTAAGATATTAATAATAGTGAACAAGAAACGATGATTCAAGGAAGTTATGGTAGGTTTTGGAAAAAAGTTGCTTTTTACGTAATAGTATAAACGTCAAATTGTTATTAGATCAACATTTTGATAGTCTTAGTAGCGTTTTTTATCTTTTGATTGCTTTTTCAAAATGCTGCTTCTTCAACTACTTCAAATAATAAAGGCATTTTTGAAAAAGCATTTAAAGATAAAAAAACGCTGCTAAAAGACATCAAAATGTTGATCCTAAAACAATTTGACGTTTATACTAATACTGCGAAAAGCAACTTTTTCCCAAAGCCTACCAGCTTCACTGAATCATCGTTTTGCTTGTAACTATTATTAATATCTTAATTGATATATTATACATCTCTGGTATTCTACTAACTATTTCTATCTTATTTTTTAGAATGGGCTTAATCAAGGAGCTATTATTAAATAAAGATTAAGAGCTTATTACGAGCCAGTATAATTTTAAAGGTGCGTATTCATTATCCGAACGAACGAATGAATGAAAGTGCGGTACATATTTAGACGGGGACCAGGTATGCGGCCGTTCGTGCGTTCGTTCGCTCGACCATCGAAGTTTCGAGTCATCAAAGCGTTCGCCAACAAATGCGTCGGTCTATGGTCCGGTCTTCTCGTGCGGTTCTATCGTACGGTTTGTCCATACCACTAGCAGACATTCCGTTCGTTCGTTCGATGCGGATAATGAATACGCACCTTAATATCTTCGGTTTGAAAGAAGATATCAAAGATGCGGTTTAGCTGACTTTAAGCTTTTACTACTCTTTACTATCAGTTAAATAACACATATCGTATTTAATTTTTGAAAAAAACTCGCTATGTTTGAATTAAATAGTAAGCAAAAGCCCCTAGCGTCTACGTTCAAAATCTTATTATTATTATTTTTATGGTATAATATAGGTAAAAGCACGCTCTTTTAAACGAGCCCTCGTTTGTTGGATTCTGATCATCCAGTCCGGAGTTATTAACATTTAAATAAAGATAGATCTAACCTTCCCCCACCACTTTATATTAGCAGATAGGGGAAAATGGTTCTAACAAAAAAAACCCAAAAATTACTGAAGATTATGAAGCTATTATTTATAGTACCCATTATCTAGGCAAAATTCTGTAAAAAACCTATTTTTTTATTTTCCATAGCAGTTGCGCCACCTAGCGGCCGTTTTACAAACTTGAAAATAATATCCAGCAATTTCTCATAGCCTCTTTAGTTATAAATATTTTTTTCCGTAAGCCCTACGGCTAATACTTTCCGAGATACAGCCGAGAGCTATTCTTAGTGGGACACCCGGTACATATACGTACAGGGTGAGTCAGCTATAGAGTAAAATTCATTATTTCATTTGTTTTGAGAATTATTAAAAAATGTTAAATAGAAAAGTTATAGGGAAGGCTAAGATATGCATTTTAAAATTATTACAGAGTATACAGGATGCTTCAAAAAAGTGTGACGGATATAACATGTTTTTTTTTTAAATGCACACTCACCCTATTTATCATTTTATTTTTGGATTCTACGTTAAATTTTATAACTTTCTTGTATATAATGTTAAATACCTAAAATTAATAGTTTTTGTCATATTGCAATTTGTTTAAACAAATGTTAGATTTCAGTGTTATCAGTGAAGCTATTGTGTCTGAAGTTGGACTACCAAAATTTGGTAGGATAATTTTAGAGACACAAAGAAAAAGATGTATGTATATTATAACGATATTTGAGTTAGATGCTACAGGGTGTTATTATATAACAAAAGTTAAAGAATTTAGCAAAACCTATCAGAATAAATTATAACATATAGGGTGTTGCTATTTAAAAAAATTGAGATTTTTTAATTTTAAATAGTCGAAATTCATCAATATATTTGAACACCCTGTAGCATCTAATTCGAATATCTTTATATATACAGGGTGGTCCGAATTGTATTCCGGAAACTTCGGTAGCATATTCTGCAGGTAAAAAAGTTCTTATAAATGTATGTCCTCAAATGCTTAGTTTCAGAGATACAGGGCGTAGAAATTTCATTTTTATTTCGATTTTTTCCAAATAATTTCTGAAGTAACGTCAATATTAAGATGAAAATTGGTGTCTGGGAGTTTTTTGACATGAGAAATTTGATTTTGATGTCAATATGACTCCTACTGGTAGAGGGCGCCACCTACATGCGTTTTAACTGTTTTGAAGCGTAATAACTTTTTGTCCGTACCTGTATAAAACTACCGAGGCAAAAAATATACATCTCTGGGATTTTTTACCTAAAAAAAGATCTCTTTGTGAAAATCGCTACGAGCAACCGTTCTCAAGATATTTAGAATGGAAATAGTCAATACATGCCATTATTGACGAAAAATAAACACGTTGAGTAGGTAGTTATTTCGCTGAAATAATAAATTTGGGAAATTTTCATTTTTTTAAATTAATCATATTTTTTCTGCAAAAAAATGATGATAAAACAGTTGTTGAACTTTTGGTACAAAACATTTCAAATTTATGATCTCAGTCTAATAACTATTTAGTCAACATGTTTAATTTATGTCAGTGATGACAGATATTGATAATTTCGATTCCAAATATCTCGAAAACCATTACTCGTAGCGATTTTTACCAAAAGACCTTTTTTACGTAAAAAGAATCGTAAATGTATATTTTTTTATTCAGTAGTTTTATACAGGTACAGACGAAAAGTTATTACTCTTCAAACCAGTTAAAAAATATGTAGGTGGCGCCCTCTATAAGTAGGAGTCATATTGACATCAAAATCAAATTTCCCAAGTGAAAAAACTCCCAGATACCAATTTTCATCCAAATATTGACGTTACTTCATAAATCATTTGGAAAAAATCGATATAAAAATGAAACTTCAACACCCTGTATCTCCGAAACTAAGCATTTTAGGACATACATTTATACGAACTTTTTTACATATTTTTATCTGCAGAATATGCTGCCGAAGTTTCCGGAATACAATTCGGACCACCCGGTATACAAGATACAAATATATTTTTCTTCGTCTCTCCTACCAAATTTAAGTACTCTAACTTCAGAAACAATAACGTCACTGATAGTTTTTTACAATACCGAAATCTACATTGGTTTAAACAAAATATAACATCACAACCATCAAACCAAACATTATACATAGAAAAGTTATAGAATTTTAGGCAGAATATATGTTTCGCTTAAGAAAGCATATTATATCCGCTACGCTTTTTTGAAGCAGCCTGTATATTCGGCAATAATTTTAAAATGTCGTCCCTTGTTCACGTCGTTCCCCCTTGTAAAAACCTTCCCTTTAACTTTTCTCTTTAACATATTTTTGTAAATCCAATGAAATAATGGACTTTATCGTTGACTCACCCTGTACAGGGCGTTATAAGAGTTGTACAAAGAACAATGGAAGTTTGAGCTTATATCGACGTCATCAAGGGCATGGTACATTAGAACTACTGCGGCTACCGGCACTACACAAAGGTAAAAAATAAAACTCGACTCAAAGAAGATGTATCCATGTGTATTTTCTCAAATGTTTCATCATTAAGTTATTATTCAGCAAATACAAAACAAAACTACAGATATACAGTGTCTACAATAATCGTGGGGGGTATTTATACAAATTAGTAAATAGGTACACAAGATAATTTAGTTCATCGTCTATCTAAATGTAAAATAAAAGCTCGGGAAGCGCTCTCGCAGTCTCACCCTAATTTTGAAGAATATTTTTTGTTTTTATCGGGTTGGTTAACCTGCGACCCTTAACGTGTCGTCTTACAAGTCTACCAACCCTCTGAGACAAAACTAACTTTTCAGTTAAAAAATTTACCGAAAAGAACAGACTTTTGTCACGCTACTGGGTGTAAGCGAGAGCCACCTCGGGAGAGTCAGTCACACATATACATCGCGCGTATTACATAGGGGGTAAGTCAATTTTCTTAACCTCCAATATTTTTACTTATTTTACCATATATTCTGCTCACATTTTCGTTTTTTTTTCTTCCTAATATTAATCTATATAGTTTTTTCATTTTATGTATATACAGGGTGTCGCAAGGAAATTAACTTATTTCTTTGAGACGCCCGGTATACAGATAGGCAGGGTCTAGTTACATAGCGCAGGAGGATGATTATGTCAGTAACGTCAGTCCTCCATGTTTTTTTTTCAAATTTTCAAAAATTTCTAGATTTATTAAAGCTGTATATTTACACTTGTGGTACTTTAGAGAGAATTTATAAAAAAATGTGTATAAGGGCCTCAAAAAACTGAGGAACAAATTTAATTTATTTTTTTTTAAGTTGTAGTACCCTATTAAATTTTTCGATATACAATAACCAAAATGAATTCCTTTTTTTTTTCTACGTAAAATTGACTTTATATAACGCTGATTTGACTGCTACACGCGAATATTTTCTGTTTTTTTTTTCTTCCAATAAGCTAAAATACCGTATGGTTTAAAAAAAAACGATGTCATGTCAGGCATAGAAATGATATTTTCGTTCCTGGCTTTAATATATTTTGGTTTTAAGTGTTTAAAAGTGATTTATTCTATAAAGTTTTTAAACAAAATCAAGAATTTTTGAAGCTTTTTGTGTCTAGATATACTTATTTCTACGCATCCTATGACATCGTTTTTTTTAAATCGCACGATATTTGAAGGATATACAGAGCGATTCAACCTAACTGTGCCACAACTCATTTTCATAGTTTTTTATTTACTAAGTGGACGAGTCAAGGTTTCAAAATTGAACTGTATATGCAGGTAATATATACAGTGTAGCACAAAAAAGTTCCCGAGAGTAGTGAGATTTATTCAAGACGTCTACTACGACAAATTATATTTTTTTAAGATTTTTTTGATTAGATTTATTACTATATTTTTTTTTAAGAAAACAAATTAAAAAAAACTCATCAGATAGTTTTTATGTATCACAATGTATATATTATAGCTAGCTATCGACGTATCATATAGAGCGATTAAAAAAAAATAATAAACAAAATAAGATTAGGAATTCTGGTGCATTTTGATTTAAAGGGATTGCACAAAACGAATTGCACACAACCCTGTTGGAACTATCAAACCAAAATGTCAAATTCTAAACAAGCAAAAAAATAAACGAAAATACACGATTCTTTGTTAGGGATAGCTAATAAAAAAAACCCTGACGAAGTACAGTAATTATACAGGATGTCCCAATATCACAGTTCCAAAATTTATATAACCGAGTTATTTTATTGGAACAGAACATTGAGACACACGGTAGATACAAAAAAAAACAAAGAGAAAATAATAATAAAAAAAATAAAATAAATATAAAAACGCCACTACACGGGACAAACTCATGGTATTCTACGAATGATAATAATAGGTATAAAATACAATCAATAATCAATTAATCGCTTTAATCTAATTTATCAACTAGCTAAATAATAATAATTATTAATAATAAAAACTTAAAAACGATATATAGTAGTCAAGGCTAAATTACTTGTTGTTTGTTGACGTTTTTTTGACGTATCATTTGGGGGGAGGGTAGATGTGTGGACGATATTAAAAAAAGAAGAGAAAGTAAACGCGTACAGCTGCTGCGCCCTCTGCGTTCGATTCTTTGTAGGAATTCTGCGCGGTTTACTCAATGAATTTTGTTGGGTTAGTTCTGGTTCCAGTAGGATGTGCCGTAGGTCTGCTTGGAACCGGACTTGGCCTGGTTGGAACCCTGCGAGCGTTGACCAGCTGAGTTACCAGAATCCTAGAACAGATAAAAAAGATATTTTTTATTTTTCTTTTTTATAAAGAAATATATGTAGTAAAAATACATTTTTTGGCCCAACATGTAGAACTAAAATCTAAACAAACCGTGTGATTATTTACTGTTTGATTTGACCAGATAATATCGTAAAACTGAAGAAAAACGGCGTCAAAGATGGCTGGAGAAGGACAGTCGATAATAAATTTGGCGAGGTCAATCTCTAGACGTCATCTAAGGTAATCGCAAAACATTTTCCGATGCACGTCATCAATCATATCGCAATTGAGACTAAAGCCTATAAACTTAACCAAAAGAAATTTTGGCAAAAATGTTTAAATTGGTTGTATAATTTAAGATACCGAGCAGCCCTTCATTTTACTTTATAGAGCAAATGATTTTAACAGATATTTTGTTTAGATTAAAGCTGCAAAAATTAGTTTAAAGCGATTTTTATTATCGCCATGTTCGCGAGCAGCAATGTTGTCGTTTATTATTTGACAATTATCATAATGTCAGTGACTATTTTGTATAAAATCGTGTTGTTGAATCTTTGGGAGTAGTTCTCGTTTTTTGGTGATTTTCATAGTATTTTTAAGTCGTACTTTTAAGCACAAACAGTTCTTTTAAGAACTAAATTTTCGAGTTTTGTATTGCATTTTTTGAAATTGTGCTACTGTTAATAAATACATTAATTATTAAATTAAAAATAAAACGTAAAAATCTTTAAAAAATTATATAATAAATATATTGTTTCCCAATTTTACATTAAGATTTATTTCATAAAATTTATTTCATAAATCCATCACAATCTGGCAGCGCTGTCGCCATCACTTGTCACTCACAATTGATCACATGCATCGGAAATTCTTTTGAAGAAAATTGTTTTGTAACTTTACTAAAAATTCACATAAAGATTGTCAAAAATTAACCCTAATTATTGAAAGATTAAAAATGATGAATTTTCAGACACACCTTTTTTTACGCGAATTTTAAACTACACCGTTTAAAAATCATTTTTACTCAATATAAAAATAAATTACAACCTGACAGTAAGTAAATGACATCTAGGGCTTAACCTCGCAAAAATTATCATCGATTGTCATTCCCCCAGCCGTCCTTGACGCCGTTTTTTTTTCGATCTTACCCCCAGTATTTTTTGTTAAAAATAAGAAAATCTTTGTAATTAAATTATTTCAATGAAAAAAAATTGCTTAGTATACATATCACTCATATCACTTATTATTCAAGCTATTAGATGTTAACAAACCAAACACACATTTACAAATGGTAAAAACTAAAAACAACAAACTACTACCAAACCAAACCAAAAACAAACATCACAGAACGTACACAACAAGCCGAAGGCACAATCTACACTAAGTAAGACCCAGTTTATCAATTCCAGGTTAAAAGCCTGATTAACAACAATTCCAGAATTCATAATTTTTTGAGAAATAAGATATTTGAGGGAAACTATATCTCAAACGAGGGGCAAACCCCTGGTGGTATTTATTGTACAAGCGCTTGGTAATAAATACTGGTATTATTTGGTATTATATTAAACTGGTTTTATTTGGTATTAAACTGGTATTTTGTTGGACATCTGGCAACGCTGGATTAGACGCACGTGGTGACGAAGGCCGGGAAGCTGATTGCATCAAAGCCCATTTGCATCTAAAGCTAATTCTGAAAAATATCTATATTTCTAGCCCCAAGTACATCTAAAGCTAATACTGAAAAATATCTGGAATCTAAAGGTGCTTTGACGAAATCGTTTAGTTCTGGAAGTCTTTCAGAAGATACCACTCTACATGTTTTGGAAACTGATTATACCCAAAAAAATAATATAGTAACAATAGATATAACATTATTTTTAGCACATCAATTTTACTTCCAAATTCTACTGCAAACTTCGGGACAAACTCGATTTCGGGATCGATTTTAATATGCAAAATAACCTGCTTTTGTAAAAAGCCAAGTAACTTTACAAATAAAATATCATCCTTCTACAAAAACCACAAAAACAAGAGTTACAAAGGTACGCTGGGTAAGCTCAAATTTTCAAACACTTAACTTATAATTACTTAATTAACTACACTTAATTATTAATAATAACAAATAAATTATTTATACCAAAAATTAGTAATAATCGCAGTGTTAAATTCGAGGTAAGCAATAATTCTTCAAATACCTCTGAGGCACAACCAAAAATAACTTCATTTCTAAAAAAGCCTTCTACCGAGCCTTCAACGGAAAATACCGAGGAAATTACAGAGGCATGCAAACCCTCATGTAGCAAAATTGTACCCCCTAATCTAATATGTGAAGCTCCCTGTAATCAAAGAAATCCTAATGTAAAAATACTAGACTGCGTAATTATCCCCCCAACTAAACGAGCCTCGGAACTACCCTTATCAGCCGCCACTTTAGCCATACCATCCACAAGCAATAATAATTATCTCCCCGATGTTACCCCTTTACTACCATTATCAGCTGCCGCTTAAACCTTACCGTCAACAAGCAATAATTCAATTTGGATGTCTACAAAATACAGCCGCTCGCAAAGGAAAAAAAGAAAAATTGAAAAGTTTCAGTATAATCAACCTCTTATAACCAACTTAATTTCGATATTAGAGAAAATAAATTCTACTCTTAAGGAAAATGGAGAAATATAGAAAGCTCTTAAGGAAACGATGATGGTTTGTCTAAATGAACCCGAGAATGAACCTGATGAGAATAAGCCGGAATCGAGGCCAGAATCAATGCCAGCAAACAAATTTTTAAACATGTTGCTTAAGACAGACTTTGGTACTAATTTGGTATTTTTTGGAAATAATTTGGTATTTTTGGTACTTTTTTTCCCAAAATTGGTGTTTATTGTACACCATCTTTGGCAGCGGTTTGCCCCTCGATCTCAAATAATAGTAGACAGATTTTATAAGATGGTCTATTCCGCTGGGACCTTTACAGGTAATATGTAGTCATATTCTTTTCAAAAAATCTAATAACTTTACCAAAGACTTATTGTTGCCTAGTACAAAGAACCGGGACCTTACAGATCTATTGTGTCCTCCTTTAATGACTTATAACTCATCATTTTGTCGTTGTTTCTTAGCTTCAATCTACTGAGTAGTAGTAGTATCCATTGCGAAAACAGTATCCTGTTAAAAACCCTATGACAATCCAAAGATTGTTCTTACTTAAATCGAGGTACTAGATAAATTGAATATTCTATTGTTTTTTTGATGTCCTCTGCTAAAATCTACCCTGAATCGTTGGACAGTTCGACTTTAGGCATTTTTACAGACTCTTTCGGATGTTCAAGCTTTAACGTGGATTGATAAACTTGGCGAACAGTCTAAGGTTAGTATCAAAGGATGAGAATGGGAATGATAAGCTAGTGCAGCGCGTCATAATATGTCACTTACCACGCGTCTGCCTTGGTGCCTCACATCCATCTACAAGCAAAAGAAAATCTAAGTGTAACTAAAAAAAAAGAGAGATCCTAACATTGATATACACCAGTAAAGAATAAAATGTTAGTTAATTTTGAAATTACTGTTATTAAAACACCCAGTGCATGTAGAGTAAATTACCTGTATAAACTGAAAAATAAAACGGTGTCGTAGTGACCTTAGAAATAATAATATCTATCGTGTCGATCCCTATATGTTTTTTTTTTAATCAAAAACGAACCAGACTGGTGTATATCGTAGCAGGGAAGAAACCATGCATCTATTAAACGTATTTCTCGAAAAAATAAATAAATATATTCAAGAAAAACCGACTAAACCATATAAAGTTAAACAATGAGACTAAAAGCATGCCTTTTTAGTATTTTAAGATATAAAGAACATTGGAAAGACTAAAGTAGTTCATATGACCCGATTTTTTTAAACCTTCATTAACCTAACGAAAAATCCAAGAAATTTTAAACTTTCACGTATGACATACATGCACATGAACCATGCTGTAATAATATAAAAGAAAGATAAGAAATAAAAAATGACCAAGTTGTTTAATAACTACCATGCGATCGAAAAAATAGGCCGTCAAAGACAGCTGTGGAATAACAATCTATAATAATTTTGGCGAGTTTGAGCCCTAAACGTCATGACTTGGCCCTAAGAAGGTTGTTATTGAGTAAAAATATTAATTGTCATTCCCCAGCCGTTTTTTGACGCTGTTTCTTTTTTCAATCATACGGTATAATCTTAAATTAATAACATTTAACAACTATCTACGAAAAATGTATATTACATATCAATATCATTTTAATAGTAATAAAACTTGAATTATTTGTTTTTTTAGTCTAAAATGGACCACAGAGGACAAAACATGCTGTATCTATTTTTGGTTGTGTAAATGCTCTACATTACTCGTTTATTCTTGTTCGTTTTTTCGAGCATTTTACATGTGGCTGCACAACTTATCGTCCGAAACGCCGTATCGTCTGTGACCCACTTTAAGACTTTAAATTCCGATTTACACCCACATCGCCCCCTTACCTGATGCAAGGGCTGGTGCATGGCCATCGTGGAGTGATGCTGAGGCGCCATAGCCGGAATATACACTTGTGGGGCATAGCCCGTACCGCTGGGCGCTAGGCCCGCGTTCTGGCTGCCGTGCAGGGCCCCCGTGAAGGGAGGCGGCGTGCCAGAGTGGAAACTCTGTTTCTCGTACGACTAGAAAAGGGAAAAATTGCTTAAATAACAAAGGATTTCTTAAATAATTGTCTTAACTGGTAGTATAACTTACATTAACTTTGCCTATGGCCGCGTGGGGCTTTCCGTACATCGCGCTCAGATCATTGGCCCCCGAGCCCCCCGTCGTGGAGTTCCCTTGGCCTTTCTGAACTTGTTGAGCAGCTGCAGCCGCGGCAGCAGCACCAACGTTATATCCACCTAGAAAAAAAATATTAAACGTTTTTATATTCTCAAAAATAAGCGTCAACTAAAACGTCCAAAGCTAGGTTAATTTTGTCAGCTTGCCGGAAACATCTACGCTTAGAATTCTCTTTTAAATCCCCGTTAGAAACGCTACAAAAAACTTGAACGTATCCGCAAAGATTCATGAGATTTCTAAGCTCAGTCTCGTCATCTTTATCATCATTTTAAAATATATTTTACATAGAATATTTATTAAAAAAATTAATTACAGCGCTTTTAGTCCAGTTTAAAATGAATCTCTTACCTTTAGCATAGTCTTGCGCTGACTGCCCTAGAGCATCATAAGCACCGTAACTTGCTGAACCATAAGTCGCCGGTTTTGGACCGTACTGACTGCTGGTACTCGACCCGTGCGCGTTCGTAACTGCAGGCAATTGCTAAAAAACAACGAAAATTTTGCGTAAAGTGAGTAGTTCAAATGGACAGACTTTAAAGTCAAATATCAGTTAAAATATCTGTCATCTAACACATTTAGATAGATCAACTAAAATATCCCTCTAAACTGTTAAAATATAAACACTAGTAGTTCAATCGAATAAATAACAATTATTATAGTTCATATGTCCCAGTCTACTTGTAACAATTTTTGTGTCAGAACTAGCCTTATAGCATTTATAAGACCCTAAATTATATTATAAACACTAGTAGTTCGAATAACCTAATAAAGAAAATTAGTAGTTCATATTTACCAGTGTAAAATTAACGATTTCATACGAAAACAATCAATTTCTTAATAAAAACAACTCCTGAATACCAAACTACACCAGTAGTTCTAGCGTACTTACCGTGTACATCGTTCCGAACTGCGCGTAATTCGGCGCCGCCGCCAGAGGATTGAACGCCGTGGCGAAGAAGTACGGCGGCCCCGTTCCCGCCGCTAGTATAGGCTGACCTTGATGGCCCTGCTGCGCGGTGAGCGTGGAGGCTTGCTGGCTTTGCACGGCAGCGGCCAGCGTGCTGCTCGGCACCGGCGACGTGTTTCCCTCGCCTCGTCCTCCCGCGCCGGTGGCTTGCGCCTGCGCTGTGGCGTAGCGTCCGTCCGCCGAGATGGTGGAGTAGGCGCCAAGGGCTCCGGTGGGGTCGCCACGCACGGCGGCCAGCGTCGTCGGCGTCTGGTAACCCATGTCGAAGTAAGGAGTGGTCTAGAGAGTGAGACAGGAAATACACATGACACGCCGGCTTCACTCGGTTAGAGAGAGAGAAAAATGGAGGTAGAACTTTGAGGGAGTTCGGTGATTGGTATTATTTAAAATTATAGAAAGTTGTTAAATGTAGGCTGGGGGCTAGCCTACAGATGTGTAGAATTACTGAATTACTTTTGAAACTTTCTGTGTTACTTAATTATGACATTACCAAAAACCATCACAAAAATTTTGTATAAAATGAGTAGTTCAAATAGACAGACCTCAAAGTCAAATATCAGTTGAAATAACTGTCATCTCACACATTTTGGTAGTTGAACTTATAGCCCTCTGAACTATTAAATATAAACAATAGTAGTTCAAATGAATATAACAATTATTGTAGTTCACGTTCCCAGGTCTACTTGTAACAATTTTTGTGTCAGAACTAGTCGTTTTAGAATTCATAGAAGTCTAAATTACATGATAAACACTACTAGTAGTTCATATGACCCAAAAATTTACAATTACGTGCGTGACATTTCGATTGGAACATTTCTAAGATTTACTGACATTGAGCTGATTTTTGCAGAATATTAATATTTTGATAAAGTTTTTGAAAAATTTCACAGAGGAAACAAGTAGTGATAACACTCGTCATAATAAAGCAACAAAGAAAGTCACTAAGGTACTTCAAAAATTCTATTTATATGTAGGCTACCCCGCTAAAATCCCTCAAAGATTCAATCAAAATGACAATATTATTTTTGTTTAAAATTCCAATACTACACCCGATATAAGCATTTTTATTATTAGAACACATGCTTACTGCCGTTCATCTATAAGCAAAAACTATTTCGAGCTTGTTATACAGAGTGCACCAAAACAAGAACAGAAAGGATCATGTTATCTATTGCGAAAAGGGAACTTAGGTTTGGGTTAGTAGTCATTTTGATAATACTAAGCGAGTGAAATGGTGTTATATGCATTATGGGAGCCACTATATCCCCATTAGAGATGTACGACACTATCGATAATGATAAAAAACAAAAAACCACATAAATGTGATTTGTGCCTATTTAAAAAATATCGATACAAAAATGAAAGTATCGATGTTAAAGAATCGATAGTATCATACATCCCTAATCCCATCTAAGGACAGTTTTTTCCGATTTTTATGGAGCATATGAACTAATTCTTATTGCGAATTCATTTAAATATAATCGAAAAAAACTGCCAATTTTAACAATAAAAAGCACACAGTTAAAATTATGAATAAACAAAGAAGCGCTGTCAAATTCTGATTATACGTGAGTATTAATACAATGACGTAGTAATACAAGTTTTTGAATATAGTTAAATAAATTACTTAAATATATTAAAAATACATATTATTTACGTGTTTTTTGGGGGGGGAGTTATCAGAATTTAACTGCATACTATGACACTTTAACAATATTTAGGAAAAAAGCTTCTTGTACTTTGTAAGAAAAGTTTTTGTTAGGTAGATCCATCAAAAAACTAAATTCTAAAAATAATAAAAGTGTCAAAAAAGTTCTTTTTATGTCGGTCTATTTAAGAAACGGCAATGTTAAAGCAAAAATAACTTGATTCGCCCTGTATAATTAAATATAATAAAAATAAAAACTCAATATGGAAAACTTCTTTGAAACAGTATACTGTATACAGAAAAAGTGGTCCAATTACATCTATAACTTTTACCCATAGTCTTTCCATAGTAACTTTTTCCAAAACACATTTTTTTTAGTAAATTCCCCAGACAAAAAAAATAACAGAACAGATCAAGATTATTAGAAAGCCCAGATAATAATGAATGAACGCATGTTAGAGCAGAACCCTAAAGTACTCACCATATGAGGCAGCCTCTGTTGCAACAGTTGCATATCCTCGTAGGAATACACGGGTTGCTGAAAGTAGGGCACTTGTCCCATAATGTAGGGCGTGCTCATCACAGGCGTCACTCCGGGGGGGATATTCGATACCACGTTGTTCGAAGAATTCTTATCTGTAATAAAAAAAATAAACATCGCGTCATATTCCTGTTAATATACGAAAAATAAACGTGTTTCGTGTAATATATAAAAGTCAGAATGCCAAAAAACATCTCTGCAACATCACCCTGATATTGTCGTCTGTAAGAGAGAATCACAAAAGACTTGTTATTCTATCTAGACGTCAAATTAGGATGAAATCGCTCAGTCTCGTCATCGTCTCATCATTATTTGGAGTGGTCAGAATTAAAACGGATCAAGTCCAATTTCCTACTATTTTAAGATAATCGTTTTTATACGTTTATAAAATATTGTTTTTGTCAGTAGAAAAATGAATCAAGTCATACTTCACACATTAAGCAGCTATAGCCTGTTTCTGTTTTGTTTCTGAATATTCTGTTGATTCCTTTCAAAAGTGAACTGGATCAAATCCATAAAATTTAACACACGTGCTAAAGTTTAGAGCTAAAAAAATATTTCTCAATAATTATCTGCAAGGACTTGATCCAGTTCACTTCTGAACCACTCATTTATTAGTATATAATCCATCTATACATATAATATACAGGGTGGCCCATCGAAAACGTTCCGCAAGGCATAACGGCCAGGGTAATTTTTTTTTCAGAATATTCAAAAACACGTCAATTTTGTTTGTGAGGGGGACAACTTTTGCCCCAAAAATGATTGCAAAATCTTCAACCCTCTAAGCGGGGGTGTCATCCCCCATTTTTTTTCAAATGGGAAGGGGGGTCAAGTGGTACCGCAATGAAAAGGGCTGTCTATTCTCTATACTTTCCCGTTTCGTTTTTGAAAATCGGTCGAGTCATTGAGAAAATATGAAGGATTGAAATTTGAAAAGTTTATTTAAACATGTATCAGAGTAAATGATAAGGATAAATTCCTTCGACCAATTTGCCGTTTTTTCTTATTATTTCTAGATGTTTACGCATTTTTTCACTTGCCACAAGGCTGAACGATCAGGTTAGGTAGAGTGTACTTTCTTTTTGAACGGTGTAGTTAATCGGCACAACTGTCGGTACTGGGCTGAGGACAACCCCAGGGTTTTTCATGAGGTGCACACCCAAAACCCTCAGAAATTGAAAGTGTGGGCTGGTATTTTTAGAAATTCTATTGTGAGTCCTTTTTTTCTTCCTGGAAATCTAACAGGTGATATGTACTTGGATTTACTGGAAAATACCATCGACCCAGCCCTAACTGACATCATAGAGAACAATCCTGGATACGTTGAAGCAGAACTAATATTTGAACAAGACGGTGCACCTCCACATTACTCTCAAAATGTGCGTAATTATTTAAACAATAACTTTCCCGTTCGGTGGATAAGACGAAGGGGTGCAATTGAGTGGCCTCCCCGGTCACCCGACTTGACTCCTTTAGACTTTTTTCTATGGGGACACATAAAAAGTAAAGTGTATAGCACTCCACCCGCCTCATTAGAAGAGCTGCGAAGACGAATTATTGATGTTTGTCGCGAAGTGACCCCGCAAGTTCTTCAGAATGTTCTAGGACGGATTGAAAATAATTTGCTTTAATGTATGGAGGTTGACGGGCAACATTTTCAGCATTTGCTTCATTAATAAGATAAGTTTTTTAATTAATTCAATTTATGCGTTTTTTGCAAAAAGTACTTTTCAAATTTCAATCTTTCATATTTTCAAAATGACTCGACCGATTTTTAAAAACGAAGTGGGGAAATATAGAGAATCGAAAGCCCTTTTCATTGAGACGCCACTTGACCCCCCTTCCCATTTGAAAAAAGTTGGGGGATGACGCCCCCGCTTAGAAGGTTGAAGATTTTGCAATCATTTTTGGGGCAAAAGTTGTCCCCCTCACAAACAAAATTGACGTGTTTTTGGATTTTTCGAAAAAAATAAGACCCTGGCTGTTATGCCTTGCGGAACGTTTTCGATTGGCCACCCTGTATATTATAATCTAGGGGTACAGCCAAATAATATAACGTATCTCCAAAAAAATCCTTTATGGATATTTCGCCACTGCACTGCAAGGAGATCTACAAAATAAAATAGTTATTTTTTGTAAACACTTCTGCGTTAAACCTAAACGGACACTGCTTGTCAAGAAACCGTTGTTTTTTGTTTGTTTTCTTGTAGACGTATCTGTTTTAAAAGAGTAAAGTGTTCTCGAATAGTTGAATTTAAATATTTTAAATAGTTTTCTTTTCTTTATTCTTTCTATTTTTTTTTGCTTCCGACGACGAAAAGAGATAAACTTTCCGAAACGTTAAGCATTTTTTTCTTTGTTAGGCAAATTTGTATAACTGTAAACATAACTTCTGACAAGCTGTGTCCGTTTAGTGTGTACAAAATATAACTATTTTATTTTGTAGATTTTCTTGCAGTGCAGTGGCGAAATACCCATAAAGGATTTTTTTGGAGAGGATTTTTTTACATAACCACACTTACTTAACGCCGCGGCCGATTTGCTGGAACTAATCGTGGTCTGAGGCAGGGTACTTGCGGAAGTGGCGTTGTTAGACGTCGTGTTCGCCGTACTACTCGCGGAGGCACTGTTGCCAGTGTCGTACGAGTTCTCTTTGCCCAGCTTGTGATTGCTCGTCGTCGAGCCGTAGCTGTTGTACTGGCTGGTCGTCGTGCCGCCGTAGTTTGAATTGTTGCTCAGACCTGCGGTAGTTCAAATGTACCGTCTTAGAAATTGGTCTTATCTCAGGGAATACAAATAGACAGCCAAGCTGTACAAATAGTAGATACCCAAGATATACAAACCGGAATTTTACCTGCTGTAGTTCAAATGAACCGCGTTATACAAGGTGGTCCGAACTGTATTCCGGAAACTTCGTCAGAATATTCTGCAGATAAAAGTAAGTAAAAAAGTTCTTATAAATATATGTCCAAAAATGCTCAATTTCAAAGATACAGGGTGTAGAAGTTTCATTTTTATTTCGATTTTTTCCAAATAGTTCCTGAATTAACGTCAATATTTGGATGAAAATTGGTGTCTGGAAGTTTTTTGGCATGATAAATTTGATTTTGATGTCAATATGACGACTCCTATTTGTAGCGGGCGCCACCTACATGTGTTTTAACTGTTTAGAAGAGTAATAACTTTTTCGTCTGTACCTGTATAAAACTACTGAGTGAAAAAATATACATTTCCGTGACTTTTTACGTAAAAAATGTTTCTTGGTAAAAATCCCAACCGTTCACAAGATATTTAGAATGGAAATAGCCAATACATGTCATTATTGACAAAAAATAAACACGTTGAGTAGATTAGTATTTGACTGAAATAATAAATTTGGGAAATTTTTATTTTTTTTAAATGAATCATAAATTTTTCTGCGAAAAAATGACGATAAAAGAGTTTCTGTTGAACTTTTGGCACAAAAACATTTCAAATTTATGAGTTCAGTCTAATAACTATTTAGTCAACATGTTTCATTTATGTCAATGATGACAGGTATTGATAATTTCGATTCCAAATATCTCAAGAACCATTACTCTTAGCGATTTTTACCAAGACACTTTTGTACGTAAAAAACGGCGTAAATGTATATTTTTTATATAGATACGGACGAAAGTTTATTAGTCTTCAAACCAGTTAAAAAATATGTAGGTGGCGCCCTCTATAAGTAGGAGTCATATTGACATCAAAATCAAATTTCTCATGTCAAAAAAAAAACTACTAGATACCAATTTTCATCCAAATATTAAAGTTACTGCAGAAATTATTTGGAAAAAATTGATTTGAAAATGAAATTTTTACACCCTGTATCTCCGAAACTAAGCATTTTAGGACATACATTTATACAAACTTTTTTACTTATTTTTATCTGCAGAATATGCTGCCAAAGTTCCCGGAATACAGTTCGAACCACCCTGTATACTTTTTCGCTTAAAAATATAGTATAATATATATAAAATAATAGTATTTTAATTTAACCAGGGTGTTTCCGGATGCCACCCTGTATCTTACCGTTCCCTAGATCCCGATGGTGAAAACCGAATATGAAACACCCTGTATATATATATAAAAAATTAAATTTCTCGTGGTTCTTACCGCTATTGGCTCCGTAAACCGGATTCGGCGTCTGGTAATTCTGCGAACTCTGGTACGAATTCGCCTGCGTCACAGAAGGGTAGCCGGTACTGCCCTGGCTCGCGTTCTGATACGACGCAGACGACGAGTAACTGTTCTGGTACGAGTTGGCGTTCTGCGCAGCGTAAGAACTGGCCTGGTTATTTACATAGTTGGCGGCCGGGTTGACGTAGGAACTTGCCGTCGTCTGTCAAAGGGAAAATTAAGAAAAACAAATTAGTTCAAAGGTAAATACGATAGGAAAAAGGTAAATTTGTTGTAAAAATGTCAGAATGCCATAGAAACATCTCTGCAAAATCACCCTGATAATCTGTCGTCTGTAAAGAAACTCACAAAAAACTCGCGAGTAACTTAGACGTCAAATTTGGGGTGAGTATGCTCAGTCTCGTCATCGTATCATCACTATAAAACTGTCAAATATTGTTTATACCTTTGTGGCTTTAAAAAACTAGAAATAAAGTCTGTAGAACAAGTCGGGAAGATTTCGACAGAAAATACAATTTACTTGTGAATTAAAATTACACACGCCATTGACAAAGTCGTGAATCCTCTGTATCACCGTTTTAGACAATTTTTTTGGAGATTTAAAGCTCCTGCACAATTATATGCCAATAGAGTGCAGATAGCCACCTGACGAGTAAAAAGCTCAATAATTTTGAGGGTCAACAATAGGGGGAGTCAAAAAAATCGACAATTTTTTTTCGCTCTATACCTCAAAAAAATTCTCTTCAAGTATGAACTCTTAATTTTAATAGGAAGGTCCTCCGCCTCTCAGTTTTCTATATTTTCCTTATTGTTAGACAGAAAAATTCATATCTCGGTATCTACTATTTGGAAAAAATATTTCGTCTCATATATTTGTACGAAAATGAATTCTCTATAAAAATGGTTACTTATGATTAGTCAATTAAATTCACCGTTTAAAAGATATCGTCCTATTGCTGCCAAAATTTACTAACATTTTTCCGAACAACCAAATTCAATCACTAACTATGTTTTGAATCGGAGAATCGATTGCAAAAGTCATTAACTACGATTTCTGGCTATTTATGTTTTATTTTAATACCGAATAGTTACTAACTATAACATCTTTATGCAATGCAATTCTTCTTTGGACGCATTTTTCTCGGAAGTAATAAAAAGTAAGTTATTCTAGTGACTTTTGGCAGCAATGGGACGATATTCATCATCAAACTTCAATGCACAATTATTTTAACAGTTTTTGATTAATAATTAATTGTAACAATTCCAGTTCAATTATATCTCAATTGATAATTAAATAAAAAAAAAACATTTTGATAAAACTTTTTTTTTCTTCTTCTAGATCAATACTTTTTATATTAAATTTGTCGCAAAAACGTTATTTACTCGAAATTTAATGAATCATTCACTCGAAGTTAGAAAAAATGCAATTATTTTTTGTTTCGATGTACCTAAACATGCTTAGGACTAAAAAAAACTAGAAAACATTTCTTTGTTCATAGAAACTCAAATTTGTACAAATTTTCCCGAAACTCAATAAATTAGAACCGTTCAAAAATTATTGTGCACTGAAGTTTGACGATGAATATCTTTTAAAAGGTTAATTTAATTGACTAATCATAAGAAACCATTTTTGTAGAGCAGTGAATTTCCTACAAAACCATTAGTTGCGCGTATCATAATGATTTTTTGTTAACGAGTTATAAAATTCATAATAAAAAAGAAAACTGCCTTAAAATGGAGAGCATTTTTTTTGAGGTTTCTATCAACCTTTTTTTCACAGTATAAAGTAAAAAAAAATAGTCGATTTTTTTATCCACCCTAATCAACAATGAATCACCCTGTATTACATACATTTTTCTTTTTCTATGACTCTACGACTTACCTGAGTCGAGTTATAAGGCGACGTACTGTAGGTATTGGCCTTGGACTGGTAGGAATTGTAGTTTGAACCTTGCGAACTGTAGGAGTGACTATTATCGGTCGCCTGCTTGTTCAAATCTAAGCCAGAGGGCGCCGTTACCGTAGGAACAGCGCCTTGAGTCACTGACACTTGCGCAGGGCTCCTGTTGGTCGTCGCGTTGTTGTACGTCATGTGTTCGGACGTTTGAGGAATGCTCTCGCTATTTGAAAGCTATAAAAGACGAAATAAACCGTTATAACCTCACTCCATGTGTTTATTTAGGGTTTTTCATGGAGAAATTGAGTCAGATTGCCAAAATAATCTACGAAAAACGTCTACAGAGTGTTCGTTTATGTTGTAGTGGGCAAAAAACTTGCCCAATACAAAAACAAACTTCGAGGACGTAGTTCTCATTCTCGTCATCGTATCATCATGTATATGTAGCTTTGTTTAAGTTGTTTACACTAATTTCTCGAATAAAAATTTGTTTAAAATAACAAAATATAAAAAAATCCAACCAAAGTTTGTCCAACCAAGAATTCGACAGATGACATTCAAAAAATGACAGAAAATGTAATTTGCCCGTGAATTAAAATGACAGACAATTGAATTATCACAAAAGTAATCTGTTTTAAGGTAAAGGGTAGTTATAAAAACAATATTAAAAAAAACCTGCAAATAAAACATAAAAATAGTAATTGCATGTATTCAACCATTTTTGTCTCAACTGTATAAACATTTTTTCCATACAAATTTAATTTGTTTAATATAGATTTACCAATTTTAGTTATTATTTCAGTGAAGTAATTTATTTTCTAAAAACTGGTAAAATAGCCTAAAAATATAAAATAAGGTATTCAAATTTTTTGTCTCCAATATATAATTAACCAATCATTGGTTAAGATATGCATCTATAGTCTATCATTATAATTCATAGACAAATTGTATTTTCTGTAGTTTCCTGGATGTCGTCTGTCAAAATTTTCTATGTCTCGTTGGACAGGCTATAAAACATAAATAGTAATTTTATGTATTCAACCATTACTGTTTGAACTATATAAAAAAAATTATACCAATTTTAACTTTTTACTGTAAATCCACTCATTTTCATTCTTTTTTTTCAGTAAAGTAATATATATGTTCATTAGAATAACGAAATAATAATCAAAAAATATAAACTAAGTAATTTTTCATATTTTCTTTTGGTTTCCAAAGTTTAAAAAGCTTAATAGAAAAATTACTATAAATATCCATAACTCATTTAAAAAATGTAATACTTACGCTCTGCGTCAACGTAGAGCTAATACTGCTTTGATTCGCGCTCTTGTTCGAACTGTATCCATCCAAGCCTGCGCTAGCACTAGCCTGCGCCGTTGCCAGATCTAACGTACCCGGACCGGCTGGCGAACTATCCAAACCGCTACCACTGAAAAAAAATAGTACAAAATTTACCCCACGTTCGAAAAAAAAAGCAACGTTATAGTAGCCTTTGAAACGGAAAATGAACAATAAGCTGTCATAAATGGAAACAGAAGAATAAAAAGTTTCCAGGAACGAAATTATCAATAAATAGAATTTCAAAGGTTACCGTGAAGTCATTTTTTTTTTAATATATATATTACCTCCTGTTACTCTCCGACCCGTACTTGACATCTGAGGCAGTCGTCGAGTCAAACGAATTGTCAATCAAGTCCATAGCACCGAATTGAACGTCCAGGTAACCTATGCTACTGTTTAAGTCGCCTGGCATTTCTACTGCACTGGATGGTATCTAAAATATGCAAAATAAAATAAATATAAAAATATTTTCTATAAAAAAAACTCCTTTGAAAATTACCTTTGACGGTGGCGGTACCCTAGCCCGTTGAGTTTTCGTCCTGGTCGATTGCTGAGCAGGCTGAGCCTCAGGAGGAGACCCGTAACTGTTAGTTACCGGTTGGTAAGTGCTATTCGCGTAGGTATTCGAAGGGGCAGCGCCGTAGCTAGGCTGCGCAGCGCTATTGTAAGGCTGCGTCGAAGGTGTATAAGCCTATAAAAAAACCAAAAAAATGTAATAAAATATTATTAAATATTGAAACCTTAAAACTTATTAAAAAAATATATAGGCTTGGTGCATTCTCCGCCGGTGCTGCCACCGCCGGAGAACTCGTAAATAACGAACACATACAAATACACGGGTTTAAATGACGAGTAAACGGAAAAATTAGTATATAATTATTCTAAAAGTGTTAGAAAGTGTAATTTGTGGAAATTCTAAACAAAAAAATAAAAAGGTAAATATTTTGATATCTTCAGAAGGTCTAACTTGCATTATAATTTATTATTCCAGTTAAAAAAAATTAGATGAGTTCAACTACCGTAGCGAGCATAGTTTTATCACCGGTTTTTAAACAAACAAACCACAATGCAGCAAGCCTATAAACAGTACTGATAAACGTACCTGTTGAACGTTTGATTTCGTGTCATACCCTGTCTGCGACTGATAGGTGGCGTTGGAATACTGTTTGTTCAGACTGTCGCTGTTTTGCTGCGCCAACTGCGAGAAGTACTGCGACTGCGCGGGCGTCAGAGTGTTCACCAACGGCTGTACCGGACTCTGGCTGGGCAATTGGACAGTCTGGTTGTAGGTCTGTCCCAAAGCCTGACTATTTACAAATTTTAAGACAAATTTAATCGTTAGTTGTTCTTCTCTCAATTTAAACGGATAGATAATACACGAAAAAAAAACGGTACAAACGACCTACCTGTAGCCAGCTGTAACGTCTGGCGGGCTCGGAACTGGCAGACTAGGTTCCAGACTCTGTTCCTGAGATCCTTCGATAACGTTGAGACTCGGCTGGACGCTGGGAGTGAACACTTTGGTTTCCATCAGACTACCTGTGTACTCTTCGGTAGACCACTCGTCCGTTTGCAGATCATCCCAGTCGTCTACAGAGGGTAAAAGATCTTAGGATTCGTAAAAGGTATAGATGTTTTAAAGAGGTGTAATACTCCATAAGGGCGATTAGAGAGGATTAATAAGTAGCAAAGAGGGAGAGAGGATAAAACTATTTATTTATCTAATCCATATTCCATATATTATTACTCTAAACCCTCTACAGTTTCTTTAATCTTGTAATTAACAAAATTATAACTATTCTATAATACCGAATAAAGATATAGAAAAAATGTAATCCCTCTCATACATAGAGAGAGAAATGAATAGAAATGATTACAGGGAGAGGGATGATTAGAGAGAGAACGATGATTACGAAGCGAGAGATAGATTAGAGTTGACAAGCTATGATTAGAGAACGATATGTTTAGGGAGACAGCAATGATCAGAGAGAGAAATAGAGAGATTATCAAAAGGAGAAAAGGAGAGTTTATCAACGAGAGATGATTAGAGAGGGAGCGATGATTTGGAAGGCAAATTATAAGAGAGAGAAATAGTAACAAATTTTTAGAGAGAGAAAGAGATGACTAGAGAGTTGATAAGCGGGAGATGATTAGAGAGAAATGGAGAGAGATGATTACGAGGGAACGAGAAAGAGATGATTAGGGAGAGAGATTATTAAGAAGGGAAAGATGATTAGAGACAGAAATGATAGGAATGATGGAGAGGGAGATGATTAGAAACAGAACGAAGATTATGAAGGAAGGATTGGAGAGAATGATTAGATTATTAGAGAAAGAGAGATGATTAGAGGGAAAATGAGAGATGATTAGGAGATATATAGGGACAGTTTATGAACGAGGGATAAATTAATGAAGTTTATTAATATGAGAGATGATCAAATATATAATAGAGGGAGCGATGATTAGAAAGACAAATGATAAGAGAGAGAAATAGTAAAAATTTTTAGAGGGAGAAAGAGATGACTAGAGTCGTAGGGAGATGATTAGACAAAACGGATATATGATTAGAGAAAAAGAGAGATGATTAGAAACAGAACGATGATTATGAAAGGAGAATTAGAGAAAAATAGATAGAGATTAGAGATAGATATGATTAGAGATTATTAGAAAAAAAGTGAGAGGTGATTTATTAGAGTTGATGAGCGAGATATGATTGAAAAAGGGGGTGGAGGAAGAGAGATCATTAGAGAGATATAGATAAGATTTGAGAAAACCTTTCCATAACGACCAGTATGAATTATTTCTTTATATAACAACTGTAAGTACAATGTTATTTTCTTTAAATCACAAGCACTTACAGGTAATATTTAAATGATTTAAAAAAAACTACAAATATTGTTTTACGATAAAGTTTTCAAAAATAGCACAATTTAGACGTTTTTATTTACATTGTACTACAAATCTACGACTTACCCGTTCCCGTGTGATTCGTATTCGCCGCCGCCACCGTACTATTATCCCACGTGTTCGAACTGTCCCACGTATCAATTGGCTGTTTGTTGTAATCCCTCGTTCCATCCCTGGAGCCTCCTCTGCCGCCCCTGGGCTGGTACCTGCCGCCCGCACGTCCACCTCCTCGTCCTCGCCCGCCACCCCTAGGCCCTCCCGTGCCCCTCTGGCCCCTACGCTGGTCTCTGTCGCCGCCCCTGTCCCTATCGCGGCCGCCCTCGTCGTTGTGGTCGCGGTCTCGGTCACGGCCGCCCCTCCAGCCTCCCCGCCCGTCCTGGTTGCGTCGGGGCGGGGGGCCGCCCGAAGGTTTCGTGTCTTTGGATCGGCGGTCGCCGCCCCTTTCCTGCAAACCAGAGAAATGCTATGTTCAACCAAATAAATAAATGAATAGGGTGAATTAGCCAGTGGTCGGACAGTTTAGGAAAAGTTCGACTTTAAATTGTTGATTAAATTTCCTTTACTGATGGCATGGCAATGAAATTTTATGAAACAGATAGTGTGGTTATTGGGCTTCACGTTAAACCGTTTTTTTTTTTCATAAACCTATCAATGATTTTAATTATTTTTTAAAGTGGTAAGAGTGCTGTTTTGTCAGTAGTCGGACAGCGCTTGCCAGTGTCCGGCCGGGTAGTTACCAGAAGTTGTACACTTTGTGATTGGCTGATTCAGCACAGTCCCGTATTTATTATATGTATAATTTTAAAGCAAATTTGTTGTATGTTTTATCTATATGAAAAAATCATCTTTAAACGATACCAACGTTGTTCATAAAACCATGATTCCATTAGTAAACAGCGCTTTCAATTTTTCTTCTTCTAGATACAATTTTCTCAACTGTATTAAGTAACACTTTTTTTATTGGAAATGCGCAAACCGCTAACTTTTCAATCCAGGTAACAATTTTTTTTATTTCTCTGGTTAAAACAAGTTCTGGTTCTATTTTTTTGCAAACTTCGCTTATTTGTCTTTAATAGTCTTGTTGACTAGGAACGGTTTCAGGGTGACAATTTAGGCAAAGAAAATGTTATAGAACAAAACGGAAAAATTAGCAGAATTGGGTTTTTAATTATTTCCCAATAAATATGTTTTGTCTGACCACTGGTATATATCTGACTACGGGCATATTCACCCTATTGAGACTTTTTATATTGTTAGTAATTATCTGTACCTGCTTTGTAATTGGAATGTATTTCTGTTAAGCTTGTAATAAATAAATAATATACCTTTACATCTCCGGCCCCTGCATTATTTCCCCTTGGTGGTGTCTCATCGTCCCAAGAGTCCCCACCTAACCCTTCTTCAGCCTTTTTGTCCTGTTTGCTTGCCGAGGCCTGTCTTTTCTTTTTCTTCTTATCTTTAGTCTCCCACTCCCCCTAAAATTCACACAAAATTCACGTTTATATTATACTTAAAGAAACACTATATACTTACAATAGCCATTTCTTCATACAACATATTTATGGCTATGTTTATGTCATTATTACTTTCGTGTAGAGCCAGGCACACTTCCTCTTCGGACCGATTAGTTAGTTCGATCAACTGTTTAACTTTTTCCTTCATGCTCAGCTCTTCATTCTTTGAAGACTGTTCTTTGTGTACTTTATCTCCACCACCTTTACCTAAGAAACATAGATATTTAAGGAGTTATTTGGCACAAACTGATAAACAAAGGCGTCAACTTTCGAGACAAAAAAATCGTGTACAATGCAAAAGCTTACCTCCGTCTGATTTGTGAGTTTTATCAGCTTTCGCCCCCTTACCACCCTTAGAGGTGGTCCGACCGGTGGAGCTCATCTCTATTTTGTACAATATGTACAGTGGGTCTATTTACAACTATCTGAAATAAAGAAAAAACTGTAAAAAATACAACTTGTCAATGTCAATGTCAACCACTATCTTGACAATAGGAAAGAGTACGAAACGATGCGGCAAGAACGAAAACGTCTAAATTTCGAACAGAATCGACGGAAAAAAGGACCATAAAGGCACTTTTCTAATCGCCAAAAAACAATAATAAACGTTAGGAGAGGCGGCGAATCGACGGCAACACTGCAACGCGCCCGTCATCGCCATGTGGGACGACGCCATTTCAACGCTTGTTAAAGCCTTGTGTGCACTGCCGAATCTAAAGATAAAACCTCACTAGAACTGACCGGTGGCGCGCCAGAAGAAACAGGGCTCTCGGGGGGCACCGGCATTCGAAATTTAGGCCGTCTCGGTTCGCACCGCACCTACCAGTTAGGAAATTTTCGTAAATAAAGCGGACAACGACAACTGTACCTGATTACTTCTGTCCCGCAACGCACTATGTGGTCACGTGACTTTTGCGAAAATGGTGGCGCCGTTTGACGTTTACCTGCCCGCGAAATTCGAATTCAAACCGCTTTAGAACGCGTTATTAAGTATTAAACAAAGAATTTTGTTTAAAACTTGAAATAAAATTAATACTTCTATCTGTAATCGACTTTATTTATTAAAAATTTCGGTTATATAGAGCTATATTTCGAAATTTTTGAAACGTTTGCTACTTGCTACTTTACCGGCAAAAGAAGATTGACGATGGATTGACGTTTGACTGGGACTGGGGAAGGGGGGAAGAAGTGAGCGACCTTAACCTCAAAAATATTTTTAGTTTGGTTGCGAAAATAAAATACGAAATCAGAGACGAGATGTTGTTTCCTCCAGCCAGCGGAGTAGGAGTTACAGGCGGTTTTATTATAAAAGCACCGAAAGTAATTCGATTGCTACGAAAAGGATGTACCAACAGACCCTTCTATCATATCGTTGTTGCTGTGGTAAATTACCATACCCTGCCGTTGAATTCTTACATCTTTTTAACTCGAAACTGTTGTTTTATAGAGCGGAAATCATCAAAGCCGACCAGTTATCGAACAATTAGGCACCTACGATCCCATGCCTAACGAACAAAACGAAAGACTAGTGTCTCTGAACTTCGAAAGAATAAGTTATTGGATAGGCAATGGCGTTACCTTTTCCACACCTACAGCTCAACTTTTAGGCCTCGCAGGCTACTTACCCATACACCCAACGAGTTATATATCTGCGTGGAGGAATAGACAAAAATTAGAGGAAGAAAAAGCCAAAGAATTAGAGATTTCAGAACAAAAAGAGGCTAACGCTAGCCAATAAAGAGTTAAGTTTTATATAATTTAGAATAGGTAGTTAAATAAAAGATTGTTTATACTTTTAATACATTTATTTTGTGCTTTAGTAAGCAAATATTGGAGGTAGAACTTAATTTACATATTCATCACAAAACTTATTAAAATATAGGTGATTCTAAATCTATAAATATACACTAAATGCTCAGTACTAATAACACACTACAAAATACCTCAAAAAAGCTAAATTCTCCTCTATAATTGTATGGTTTTATTCAAAAATGGTGACGTATAAAAATATGACGTATGATTCTTCATATATAATATTACAATAGAGAAAAATTCAGGTGAAAGACATATAACACTCCTCGTTTGGTAAAGCTACAAGCTAAAAACAGATCTCCACAATGCAGAATACTTGAAAAAACAAAGCCTAATCGGTTTTGTCTGTTACTTTATGAACTAAAACACGAAATTAAATCATTAAAAACCTTAAATAATACATTATAGACATATCTTACCTTGATCCTTAACTTTGTTGATGGTATCATCGATGACACTGTGATGTTTCAAGAAGTATGGTCTTACAATTTTCTTGTAAACAACCAGAGATCCGTTAAACTCAGTCGGGATCATCAGCCAAACCAAAAAGACACACTAAAAAACATTAAACATTTCACAATATTTTACAAATAAAAATGATATTTCTACCTTAATAAGCCAGTACAATGGGAACCATCCCACAATGAAATCAGCAAAGTACTCAAGTACTGAGAATATAGAAAATACCACCCAGTATGTAAGCCATTTTGTGTCATCTGCTTTGTTGTGTGATTCGATAGCATGTATCGACATGTAGGCGGGGTACAAAAAGCCTACAGTGTTACAAACTAACTGTGCTGCATACCCGAACACTAGCCAAACTCCAATAACTCCAATACCACCTAGAATAATATTTTTTAATTTTCCAGGTTAATTTGATATGTTTTAGCACCTGTGAAATATACTTTTTTCTGGTTTTCGTCCATATTTATTAATACACTAGGAAAATATCGGTAATAATGAATGTTTTAAACAAAAAAGAGTAATCAAGATAATGTATGTGATTTAGATAAGATACTGTATTATTTGCATATAAATTATCAGTGGATTAATTATGCGGATAACCTTTGTATAGTTCACAGCCACGTTCTAATTTACAATATTAGTAACAAAAACCTGTTTTGGTTGATAATTACGATAATTCATACATAACTAGCTCACCTATGAAAAGGTACAGACGATCCAAGCCAGTTTTTTGTTCGGCTCTGTTTAAAATGCTCGTCCATGGTTTTGAGGAGTCCCTCAAAGACCTGCTAAGCTGATCCTTGATTTCGTTCAGTTTTTGGGCCATTTTAAGCGAAAAATTTGGATTTTTTACAAAAATTTTAAAATAGAAATGACAAGGAAATCACCGAAGCTGTCAAACAAGGTCGAATGGTCGAATCACGATCGAATCATACACAAAACTCCTTTGCAAAACTCATATAGGAATCACAGAAGGGTCGAATCATAGATAAAAAATATATATGATATATGGGTCATTCCTTCACAAAATCTGACTTCTTTGGGTTAGGAAAATTATACGTTTTATTAGTTGCATAATATTAAATTATATATAAATAAAAATGTTTAAATGGTTACCTACCTATTGTTTTGAACTTAAATGTCATTATGGTCATGAATCTTATAAAAAAATTTAAAAGCAAAAACAAAAACGTTTAAAAATTAAACAAACTTTCAAAATAGTTAAAGAATGGTTTAACTTAGCTTGTAAAAGTAGTAATTTACCTTGGTAATTTACAACTAACAGGCACTCTAAATGGCGGGCAAAGTTTTAGGTAAGTATTTTAAAAGTTATGATTATCATTTTAAAATCTTGAATATTGAAGGTGGAAAAAACTGGTTCATAGTAAGGACCATTGGATAACCTTGCCATTGGATAGGTGATAGATAGGTGTATTCTCAAATAAAGTTTGGATACTAAATCAAGACTGCGATAGGATTTTATATCAAGTATATGGAGCTGATCATGATAGTGATTTAAACAAACAATATTGTAATGAGCTGTTAAGCAACTATCTTCATCTAGATGTTGATTTATCAGAACATTATCCAAAATGGAACAATCGAGATCCACATTTCAAAGAAGCTGCTAAGCAATTATACGGTATCAGAATATTAAGACAAGATCCCACTGAAAATATATTTTCTTTTGTTTGTTCACAACTTTGGTTCACAAAATAACCACATTTCTAGGTATTTCTAGGTAAAAAGGAGACAATTAAAACAAAAATCTATTTAAGTTTTAAACATTGTAATATGAAATAGAAATTAAAAAAGTTGAAACATAAAAACTGTGATGCAAATAAGAAAAAACCAGGCGTTTCACTGGCTAGAGTCAACTAGAGTCAGGCAATAATGCGATAAGGCATAAGGTTGATATCACGTTGATATAAAAAAATTAAACATCTATTTTTGTAGAGGTAAAAACAAGGTTAAACAATAAATAAGAAAAATCATTGTAAAACTTATGTACTCATTGTTTACCTCATGTAAGTTTACTTCTCATTTTTCTGATAAAGTTTTTTCAGAATTTACACTTACACTATGAAATATAAAACATGAACTATTTATTCTTTGCAATGTCGAAGTTGCAAATGAATGTTCATTTTTGAATCCCATTTAAATACTTTTTCTAATCCCATTTAAATACTCTGTTAGTTGACCAAATGGTTTAAAGAATTTTTAGGAATCGCAGGATATTAAGAAGACATTAATTTCTTCAAATATTTATTAAACTCTCTAGAAAAAGGAGATTTAGCAGCTTTATCAACCATTTTTAAATTATTTCTTTAATTTTGGATTCATAGATGGCGTTCTAAATATTTACTGGTAAGCAGATTCCTATAATTTATATCTGGAGCGCCATCTATGTTATGATAGCGATACTAAATTGTGGCGGCATCTGTTTATTACTTGCTGAACTAACGCATTTTTTGCGCCATCTATGAAATCAAAAGCTAAACTAATTCTGAGTTGGCGCCATCTATGAGAATTTCTTAGAACTTATTCTCCGTCTCTATCTAAGTTTTCTCTCTCGCACTCACTGCATAAGTTTATCCTTTTTTAACGCTGTATCTGTTTCTTTCACACGCATTACAAAATTCTCACCTACCTTTTTGGGATTTTAAACAAGGTTGATATAAAAAAAATAAACATTTATTTTTGTACAAGTAATAAATGTTTTTTAAATTTGTTCTTGTGTACTAAGACAATCTTAATACATATTAATATTTTGTCATTTCACAGGATAGATACAAAATTGGAGTCATTTTCTATGGACACAAGGAAGGAGATAAAATATTACATAATATGTTTACAAAATTCACTGGAATCATCTCCGAATTATTTGTATTTGCAAATCGAATGATGGACCATCAAGCAGGTAAAGGTTTCCTACATTTATTACAATTTTATAAACACAGTCGCTTTGTGTAAATGTTTGATAGGAGTGCCTTAAATGCATAGTAAATCTATGATAATTTTTTAGTGATAAAAATAATTTATTCAGTATAGTCATTTCGAGGCTAGTTTTTACCTCTAATGGACGAGTTGTGTGAACACTCTGTATATCATATACCGTTATATAAGAGTCTCGATTTCTCCCCTGAATAAGGGTCTTTAAACTACATATTTTATATCAGCATTATCCTTGCAAGGGCATTATTAAACCCATAGTTTCTTCTTGACAAAATGGTGAATACGCCTATTAAAAAAATGTTCAGCTATGGTAACTTTATTTGTAGGACTCCATAATTATTGAAGGTTGTCTAATGAATTTATTCATGGAATAAGAAACAGACGAAGGACAATGATTGGCTAAGGATATTAATTCAAACAGCAGAAGATATTATAGCTGAAACAGCCATAGCTGAACAACAAAGGTAAATATTCTGTAAATATTACTGCAAAAAAAAAGCATCCAAAAATAAAAATAAATGTTTTTTTACTATAATTCGCCAATGATCCAATATTTTGTTTACTTAGCATACTTAGCAAACTTATTTTAGATATTATTGCCCAAAATATGAATTTGAATAGAAAAATATGCTGATTGAAGAAAAAATTTGGTCTTATCGACCGTCATTTCAAGGCTAATTTTTTCCTCTAATGGACAAGTTGTGTGAACACTCTGTATATCATATAGTGTCATATAAGAGTCTTGATTTCTCTGAATAAGAGTTCCAAACTATATATTTTATATCAGCATTATAAAGCCAAGATTTTCTTCTTGACGAAATGGTGAAGGCGCCTATTAAAAAATGTTTTATATTTCTTAAAATTAACAGACTTAGTAAATTTGAGATAACGTAAATTCTGATATTCAGATAGTAATTTCGCTACAAGTGCATATATTTTAACTTAAAATTCGGTTGATATAATACAATATGTTCCTTATACTGGGTGTTTTTCAAAAGTGGCTCACTTCTATAACTTGTTTATTTTTTTAAATAAAAAACAACTTTTGACTTTTTTGCTTAAAAAAATTTGTATTCTAAATATCAATCCGTGACAATAAATATAACTACCGTATGAAGAAAAAAACGACGTCCAGTTGGCATGGAAATGACGATCGATGACATTCCCCATATAATTTTACATGTAAAATAACAACTATCTTCATTTCATAGCCATCGCTGACGCCTTTTTTTCGATCATATTCAAGTGTTCTCTATATTAATGTTATTTTTATAGATTTATTGTTATTTATAATGATAATAAATATTATTTATGACATTTTACATTTATTTAATTTTAATCCAGTTATTTTTTTATAACAGATTTGAATCTATGAAACGCAAGTGAGTTGATCAATCGGACCTGTTCTTACCTTCGAACGCCACTGCAATACCCATAACTACCAGGGCTTCAACACCAGCTGGTTTTTGTTTACTTTAATATATTTTCTTATAAAATATTTAGTATTTTTATATGACATTATATTAAACACAATTACATTTAAATAAATAAAACTTATAGACCTTTTAAATTGATTTTTACTTACCCTGTATGTGACCCCTTTGCTCTTATATTTTCCTGGTAGAAATCCAAAATATTCATCAACTTCTAGAAAAATTTGCATAAAATTATTTAATTCTCTTCAAAATATTAAATTTCTATCAGGAGAACATAGAGAGCATATGAGATCTCAACAACCGAATATATACCTCTTCGCTCTTATGTACTCCTAATACAAATCCGAGAAAATTCAGCTTTTAACAAAAATTGAACGAAAATGTTTAATCCGTAAGTGCAAAATCACTGACTTGTATCAAGAGCACATAAGTGTGAAGAGGTAAGAACTAAATTAAGTATCAATATTTACATGGAGAAAATTCAATTTTTGTCAAAGACCGCACGAAAATTTTTAACCCGGATCAAAAATCGCCGATTTCTATCAGGAACGCATAAAAGTGAAGAGGTAAGGAGCAAATTTAGTACCACACGTAAATATAGCATTAATCAACGGTATTTCTGCAGACTCTAGCACTTCGACCTCGTTTCCAAACTTCAACCCTTAATATCTCGGAAACTATAAGGGTTAGAGAGGAACGGAACTCGGCATTCGATAGGCATTTCAACCCTTTATAAGGGCGCAAAACGAGGGCGCGATCGGAAACAAAAAAAATTTTTGGCGAAAAATGAGGTAAGGGGTTAACCTTCCTTCATTTTTGCCGAAAAATTTTTTTTGTCTCCGATCGCGCTCTAATTATGCACCCTTATAGAGGGTTGAAAGGCGAATCGAATGCCGAGTTCCGTTCCTCGATATCTCTTTTAGTTTAGAAGTTATGGCCGTTTTTCGAAAAAATCTAACTCGTTTGAGCTCGTTGGTCAAGTCCCCTGATTTTTACCAAGTAGAATTTATTTTAACTACCTTTTATTAAAAACTGACGCTTGAATTTTTGATCAGGGACGAGTTCGTACAGCCTTTGGCAAAAATTGAATTTTCTCGGATATGTATCAGGGGCACATAAGAGCGACTAGGTAAATATTGGTACTCAATTTACTCCTTATCTCTTCACTCTTATGTGCTCCTGATAGAAAATCGGTAATTTTGGACAAGGATTGAAAGTTTTCGTTCAATTTATGTTAAAAGGTTGAATTTTCTCGGATTTGTATCAGGAATGCATAAGAGCGAGGGGGTAATGGTAGATATTATTTTTACATAAAATACTGCCTATTTCTGAACAACTTTTTAAGTTGTTTATTATTAGAATATATTATTTTTGTGACAAATTTCTTTTTTTTTTGTTCAGGATTAGACAGTATTTAGGTTCAATTAAACTCATTTATTTTTAATTATTATTTATTAACATATTATATTTTATTAACAAGAGTAACCTAAAAAATACAATAAAATCCAAGGTGTTGATGGACATGCTGATGATGTCTATGTGGACGTAAATAAATCTTCTGGGTACCCTTCAGGAAAGTCTTGGTTCTGTAAGGAAAATATAAAGAAATAATTAATTATTTGTTCACTAAAGCGGGCCACACACGATCAATATTATTGATTGAAATGGATATTGTCAATATCCCAAAATACCCTTCAAGATTGCCAAAGTATATCAGCAGTATACTGCAATCCCATCAGTATTTTTTTCCTCACACGGTCAATATTACTGACAGTTTTTGGAAATACTGTTAATGATACTGGTCGTGTGAGGCCCGCTTAACATACTTTACATTAAAATCTATTCTGTAACTTTACATTTTCAGTAAATATAGTAGGTGTTATACATATTATAAGCAATTTTTCGTAACACAGGAAACTTTTTTAGCAAAACAAGAAAAAACATGACTAAGTTGACTGCATTAGTAATTAAAAAATATTTTAATCGTAATATTTAAAAAATATGGAAAACTACAAATTAGAAAATTTTAATACTAATACAGGCAACTCTACATACACAAAATTGTATGTTTAGTTGCCTATACACCAATATAAAATGCGCCAAAATACTTTATTCAAAATTAATCATTTAAATCTACATATTTTACAAATTACAATAAAATTTGGTGTTTATGTTTATTTAACATAATCGATTTAAAAAAAGACACCGTGTAGTTTAATTTACCTAAAATGACTTAGCTTCAACTTCAATGATGAATTACATTCTCAATCGGCTGGTAAATGTTGAATTTAACCAATCTAATGGCATCTCCAAAAGGGAATCTTCAATGGAAATGCAGCTTTCCCAAAACATTCTTGTTCCAAAGCAGTACTCCGTAAAAGACTCAAATGCGAGAAAAATTAGAAGATTTCACAGAATGTAGGCAAATAAAATGAGATAGAAATAAAGAAATAGAGTTGGTATGTAGAGTTGAAAAAAAAATTGTATAAAAATGTATAATGAATTTAGAAGTCTCAGAAAAGTTACAAAAAAATATAAAATTACATAAATATAAGAAGGCTTAGAAATACAATCAATGGGAGAGTTTATAGAATTGCTGAATGATGCCATTCCCACAAGGAAGAAAATATGGGAGACAGAACGTAACTTAGAGATATGATGCATTGAAAAAGAATAAAAAAATATAATACAGGAAATAGAAATGCTGAAATATTATGCCTTAGAAGGATGACATTAATGAATAAGGCAAACAAAGAGAAGAGTGAATATGAAATGAAAATATGAGTGAAAAATAATAAAACAAATAATAGGGATGAATATAAAGCCACGAAAATGAGGGATGATTTGAGAAAAAATAGAATGAAAATTGATAAAAAAGATAAAATAATTCTATACAGGCAACAGAAATGTGTTAATTGATTCTAAAGTACACTTTAGAATAGCATCAGAAAAATGACACAATAAAAATATACAAATATATAAGACAATAACTGGGAAGAGTTTATAGAATTGATAAATAAGGAAATTCCAAAAAAAAAAGAAAATATGACAGACCAAAAAAGTTAAATAGAAATAGGCCAAAAGCAAGAAAAAAAGGAGTATGTGGTCAATAAGAACTGGAAAATTGACCAAAGACAATGCTTAGCCTCCTCTAACGAATATCTAGTCAAAATATGACATCAAGCACATAAAGAAAAATCCCCCAGAGCACCAAGTTCGCCACCCTCATCCGATTTAACCCTTGTCCGACGATTAAGCCTCACCAGTCAGTTCCCATCCCAGCTAAGCAGCCTCGTCTCGGGTCGCCCTCGTCACCCATCGAGCGGACATCCACCGGGACCCCCTACAGGCGGACCCCCCTCATCATCTTCAATGTGTCCGATATCCCGCCCCCTGCCTCTTCGAGGGTCACGGAATACGTGCACGAAGAAGTCTCGGAGCTTGGGTGCCAAGTTGTATCCGGCCGAAGCCTCTAGCGTTAGAACACCTAGCTCGTAAACCAGAGGGTGGTGACTCCCTTGGGTACCTATGCATGCTACATAGGTCATCGAAGCCCGAACATCAGGGTTAGGGGACGACCCGGGTCTCCTCTTTTGCGGGGAGGCTAGCTATGATGCTCTGAAGTCGATGTTACTTGGGAAAATTCGTTGGAAAAAAGGCTAGGAAAAACAGAAGTGACATCGTCTGAGGACGAGTCAGGTTTTTTTTAATAAATGGCGAATGCGCCAGGACTTGATTGGAAATGGTTCTTATTGTAGGATTTTTAAGTGTCTTTCGTGTGTTTAAACACGGGCAAAGGGAACCAACATGATCTGTAAAATTATAGCAATTCATGGGATACGATCTGAACAAAATGACATAAAAATGTATCCATCAAAACTAAAATTCTGTACAAGGAATTACACAAACAAAAAAGCATTTGAAAAATAACACCATAAGAAAAATAATGCAAATAAAAGAGACTTAAATACAGGCAATAGAATATTTTAAAGAATTAATGAATGATGTTATTATTTCCACAATGGAGAAAATATAGGACTCAGGCTATTATAGAGAAATGAAAATTAACCAAAAACAACATGATGTAAAATTCTAATTAGATTTTACCAATAAGAAAATGAAGTGGCCAAAGGCCAAAAAATTATCCGAATTAAAACTAGATGGTCTGAATTTGTCTACGATATTAAGGAATCATAAAAATACAAAGTAGAGACTCATTGGATTTTTTTCCTACTTAATTAAATTTAAAAATGATGAAATCCACTGTGATGAACATTAAATACCAGTTGAAATATATTTACCCCCAAAAAAAAAAATTAGATATACTTGTAAGTCCTGATGCATTGTTGGTAATATTCATCAAAAGGATAAATGTACTGCCCTGGAACTGTATACATCCATCGATTTGTTGTACAAAATCTGTAACAAAGAAATAAACAATATTACATTTCATTATAATTTATATCTACAAGTTTTACAAAATTTAAAAAAAAATATTATTTTACAATAATATTAGATATTTATTAAATATATTTGATTTTAAAAAAATAGTACAATTTACCTAAAATGATTTAGGTTCTCTTCAATGTTGAATTTCGTGATTCCACTGTTGAATGTTGAATTTATTCAATGTAATGGGCATCTTCTTCAAACCGTTGCAGATGAAGAAGGACATAACCATCAACTGCCACGAAGATAAAGCCTACTAAATAGAATTATTAAGCTGTATCATATTTTTTATCAGTTACATATACTTTAGTTAATGTTAATAGATATTATTAAATCCTTTAACAAGGGAGATACATAGTATTTTATAATATCTACTAGCCCATAGTTTGTAAAGTAAGTGCATTAAAACAGTAGATGCATTTAAAATTTAAATTTAGAAATAAACAATGCTATAATTTGTTCTTGGGTTTAATTTCAATTTTTTTAATGATTGAGTAGGCAATCAGTAAAATTAAGAACTAAAGAAATAAATTAAGTTACATGCTGGTTTTGATTTAAGCATAAGTATATACGTATATAATAATGTGACTAAAATAAATATAAACTGTGAAAAGTACAATTTTTCCTGTAATATATTAACGAAAAATAAGACTTACTTTGTTTAGTTTCAAAGTCGTAGTTGTAGATATGGCTGAACTGTGTTAGATAAGCCTCAATTTGCCATAAATCTTTGTCTCCCGATGCTTTTTATCTTCCTGCATCGGACTTAACCCTTGGTCAAAGATTAGCTACCTTCTCTGAGATCACCCCTACCTCCTCTTCTGTGAAAGGATGCATGAAGAATGTGTGCTCATATGTGCTATTATTAATGTCTAAAACAAAACAAAAAATATATTTGGGACACTCAAAAATCACAATCTTCTACTAAAAATTACTGTTCTGTATGTGAAAAGTATATTTGTTAGAGTTTTTAAAGTAATTTTTAATCCTTAACGTAATAATATGCAGTCTTTTGAAGTAGTGTGACTAATACCCTTGTATTTCAGAAATCAAAACAACAAAAGTTTTTACCTAATACGTAAAAAAGGTGTGAGAATATCCAGATCAAAACAAGAAATTCCTTAGATAGGATCTTTACCTGGTTAATGTATCTAAAAATTTTGCGATTTACCTTTCCTAAAATTAAACAACAATACAACTAAAATACCATATTTCTAAATGTGCAGTTTGGGAAAAATGGGAATGATAAAAACATTATGTAATATACTACCTATGAAAAAGGCAATAAACAATGTAATATTTAGAATAAAACATATCCAAACCTTTAGAAAATATGTTGTATGATGTTAAAACATAGAAAATAATATAGTAGACATACAAAAGTTAATATCTGAAAAAACTCCACTCTCCATGACGGATTATAAGTGCAAAAACAAAGACAAAGCTAACAAATACAAAGAGAACTTGTAATTTGTATTGAAATCAACAATTACGTAGTAATGTTTGATCATTTTTCGTTAGGAAATTATAAAAGAAAGTATTTAAACAGTATTATTACGTAAAAACATTGTTAAGTTCCAAGAGACGCCATTGGCAATAACAAAACTTTGGAGAAGAAAAAATACGTAAAATATCACGAAATAAGCGGTACTTACTATTATAGATGATCGAGCAGAGCCTTAAGAAAAGTTTATGAACAAATAATACACAATAAAATCACCTTTTCCAGCAAAAATTTCAAAAAATCGTAATCCCTGACGGCAAACGGCAGTAAGACATGTTTAATTTTTTGGTTAAAAAAATCATAAATGGTCAGCGTTGTTACAAGGGCAAAAATTTTTGTACTATAAATGGTGTCGAAATTGTACTTTTTTAAGTGGGATTGTACATTTTTGGTGCAAAAATGTGGGGTCATGTGATCTCTCTATTTACCTTTTTACCAAGTTTTGGTACGTAGGGTGCATCCACACTATCCTAAAATAGCGGAACGGCGTATTGGCTTAACGACCTTGAATCGATTTCCTGCAATTCTATTGGCTGAAATTTTTGCCAGGTGAATTTGACAGATAAAATTTCTGACAGATGAATTTTTCAGCCAATAGAATTGCTGGAAATCGATTCAAGGTCGTTACGCCGATACACCGCCGCCGATCCGCTTTTTTAGGATAATGTGGATGCACCCTCACAGAATTATACACCATATGCTGTCCTCCTTTCACGCAGTTGAGCAGCTCTAGGAACTGTTCAAGAACGCGATACTCTCCCTCCATTCAACTGAGTCATAAAGTTCAGAACTGCCTCCATAAGCTCTGGAACTTGAAATTCGCAAATGGAGGACAGCAATACAGAAGCTACAAAGAGCTTTGAATAGCATTGGTTAAATGGGACCTAATTGCGTGACGTCACGTTTGACATCGGGACACAATAGATCTCTAAGGTCGCAGTGATTAGCCCCCCTCCTACTCACCGCATGGATATCAAACTTACGTTTGACATCCGTGCGGCTTGAACAGCATTTCAAGTAATGTATAATTCTGTGCCTCTGCTCCTAGCAACCTGCATTTCAAATCCACGCATCGCGTATCACCGTTCGTCTAAAAATATGTACGTGGGTTTAAGTTTGGGTTAGTTTGGGTTTGAGAAGTAAGAATTGTACATTTTTTCTTGCAATTGTACCTATGTACTCCTTGACTATCAAATGTACCCAAAATAGTACAATTGTACCTATTGTAACAACACTGTAAATGGTGCTAAATAAAAATAATAGATGACTCTGATCAAACACTTTTTGGAACCCTAAAAATATAGATTTCTGTTAAATGTCGTTAGAGTTGAACTATTGCACGTTCGATGGTGCCACATTCGAAATAGTAGATTTCTTTATTCTAAAAATTCACAGTACAGTCACCTGCAGCTAGATGTCAGGAGAGGCAATTTTACAGAATTCTACACCTATTAATAGCGTAGTTTCATTACATTGCTGCAGATGGCGCCACAACTGAATTTAGTTACAAGAAACACCACCGCGATAAATTGGCGCTGCGATCATTTAGGCGGGCTTTAAGGAAAATTTGAATGGACACATTTTTCTTTTAGACAGATCAATATTGCAATATAGGCGAGATTCTTATTTAAAATGTCCAAAATAATTTTATAGCATATTCAGTTTATTGCATATTATGTTAGTACACTTATTAATATAATTACAGTTAAAAAATATTTATTTTTTCGAATATTTAGAATGATATTATGAGAAAATCATCTAAATAATATGATCTGAACAGTAAACTATTAGACTTTATGCTGTAAATTATATGACTGAAATATTAATTGTGTAATAAACGGCTATAATTTTGCTAAGAGTCTAAAAATTCATTCAAAATTCCCATAATAGGAATTTTAATAAAATCTAATAAGTACCACCCACATTAATGTTTAAATTATTTCCGGTACTATAATACTGAAAACCGTGTGAAGTACTGTATGTATTCAGTAAAGAATTTATACCTAAATATTTTACAAAATATCTACAATAATATGAGGCGTTTGTCAAATATCCTTGATTTAAAAAAAAATATTTTAGTATAATTTACCTAAAATTATTTTATTCCTCTTCAATGATGAATTTCATCCTATTTCACCATTGAATGTTGAATATAATCAACCATATGGCATCTTGATGAGGGTGGTTGAATTGAAGTGCAGCTGTTCTTGTCCAAAAATCCTTGTTCCAAAGCAGTACAATATCCCATTCAAGAATCGAAAACTATACAATCCCATGTAGGCATCAACAGAAATGAAATCAAAGACTTGGAAGTCTGAGAAGAATTACAGTAAAATAAGAAATAATTCACATAAAGAAGAGATTAAGAAATACAATTAGCAGAAAAACAATAAAGAGAAAGACCGTTAGCCTCGTTTGATAGCATCATATCTCTTAAAAAAAAGTGAAACTTTGTGAAATGGATCTTATGGACAGGAGATCCTAGGATTGTCTGACTGAAAATCTTTGCTAGTTCATTTAGCGTTACCCAGGGTGCACCACGTGGAGGCGAACTAGCTTTGCACCCCCCAGAATGAAGACAATATGAGAGACAAACAGAAATAAGATAAATTGAAAAAAATTGCATGAAAATAGATGAACTTGGAAAAGTTTCAGAAAAAAATATAAAAAATGTTTATATACCTAAAAAAAGATTAGTCAGACAATCAATGGAAAAATTTATAGAACTGATGTATGATGACACTCCCATAAGGAAAAAAATATGGAAGACAAATAATAAAATACAGATATGATGCATTGAAAAAAATGGCTTGAAATAAATTCAAAAAAGAACTATAATTCTATACAGGTGATGATGACGAAATATGTCTTAGAAGAGTCTTAGAAGAATGACACAAAAAAGGTATACAAATATATACAAAAAACTTAAGAGAAATGCAATGAATAGAAGAATTTATAGAATTGATGAATGACGCATTCCCATAATAAAGAAAATACGGGAGAAAAATAGCAAAAAGGATATGATGAATTGAAAAATAATACAAATATACAGGAGAGTCATTGGAAGAGTATATACAGAATTGATGAATGATATTCTAGTAGTAAAGAAAATATATGGCAGACAAAAATAAAGAGGTAGGCCAAAAGCAAGACCAAGCAAAAAAATATTAGATGGTATTAAAAAATAAAAAAGAACCTGGTAAATAAGAACAGGAAAATTGACGAAAAGTTATGCTTAGCCTCCTCTAACGAATATCTCGCCAAAATATGACAGAAGTGCACGAAGAAAAATCCTCTAGAGCATCAAGTTCGCCACCCCTCATCTGATTTAACCCTTGTCCGACGATTAAGCCTCACCAGTCAGTTCCCATCCCAGCTAAGCAGCCTCGTCTCGGGTCGCCCTCGTCACCCATCGAGCGGACATCCACCGGGACCCCCTACAGGCGGACCCCCCTCATCATCTTCAATGTGTCCGATATCCCGCCCCCTGCCTCTTCGAGGGTCACGGAATACGTGCACGAAGAAGTCTCGGAGCTTGGGTGCCAGGTCGTATCCGGCCGAAGCCTCTAGCTTTAGAACACCTAGCTCGTAAACCAGAGGGTGGTGACTCCCTTGGGTACCTATGCATGCTACATAGGTCATCGATGCCCGAACATCAGGGTTAGGGGGCGACCCGGGTCTCCTCTTTTGGGGAGGCTAGCTGTGATGCTCTGGAGTCGATGTTACTTGGGAAAATTCATTGGAAAAAAGGCTAGGAAAAACAGAAGTGACATCGTCTGAGGACGAGTCAGGTTTTTTTGAATAAATGGCGAATGCGCCAGGAATTGATTGGAAATGGTTCTTTTTGTAGGATTTTTAAGTGTCTTTCGTGTGTTTAAACACGGGCAAAGGGAACCAACAAGATCTGTAAAATTATAGCAATTCATGGGATACGATCTGAACAAAATGACATAAAAATGTATCCATCAAAACTAAAATTCTGTACAAGGAATTACACAAACAAAAAGCATTTGAAAAATTACACCATAAGAAAAATAATGCAAATAAAAGAGACTTAAATACAGGCAATAGAATATTTTAAAGAATTAATGAATGATGTTATTATTTCCACAATGGAGAAAATATAGGACTCAGGCTATTATAGAGAAATGAAAATTAACCAAAAACAACATGATGCAAAATTCTAATTAGATTTTACCAATAAGAAAATGAAGTGGCCAAAGGCCAAAAAATTATCCGAATTAAAACTAGATGGTCTGAATTTGTCTACGATATTAAGGAATCATAAAAATGCAACGTAGAGACTCATTGGATTTTTTTCCTACTTAATTAAATTTAAAAATGATGAAATCCACTGTGATGAACATTAAATATCAGTTGAAATATATTTACCCCAAAAAAAAATTAGATATACTTGTAAGTCCTGATGCATTGTTGGTAATATTCATCAAAAGGATAAATGTACTGCCCTGGAACTGTATACATCCATCGATTTGTTGTACAAAATCTGTAACAAAGAAATAAACAATATTACATTTCATTATAATTTATATCTACAAGTTTTACAAAATTTAAAAAAAAATATTATTTTACAATAATATTAGATATTTATTAAATATATTTGATTTTAAAAAAATAGTACAATTTACCTAAAATGATTTAGGTTCTCTTCAATGTTGAATTTCGTGATTCCACTGTTGAATGTTGAATTTATTCAATGTAATGGGCATCTTCTTCAAACCGTTGCAGATGAAGAAGGACATAACCATCAACTGCCACGAAGATAAAGCCTACTAAATAGAATTATTAAGCTGTATCATATTTTTTTTACTCAGTTACATATACTTTAGTTAATGTTAATAGCTATTATTAAATCCTTTAACAAAGGAGATACATAGTATTTTATAATATCTACTAGCTCATAGTTTGTAAAGTAAGTGCATTAAAATAGTAGATGCATTTAAAATTTAAATTTAGAAATAAATAATGGCTATAATTTGTTCTTGGATTTAATTTCATTTTTTTTTAATGATAGAATAGGCAACCAGTAAAATTAAGAACTGAAGAAATAAATTAAATTATATGCTGGTTTTGATTTAAGATTTAAGCATAAGTATATTTAATAATGTGACTAAAATAAATATAAACTATGAAAAATATAATTTTTCCTGTAATATATTAACAAAAAATAAGACTTACTTTGTTTAGTTTCAAAGTTGTAGTTGTAGACATGGCTGAACTGTCTTAGATAAGTCTCAATTTGCCATAAATCTTTGTGTCCCCATGCTTTTTATCTTCCTGCATCGGATTTAACCCTTAGTCAAAGATTAGCTACCTTCTCTGAGATCACTCCTATGTCCTCTTCTGCGAAAGAACGCATGAAGAATATGTGCTCATATATGTGCTATTATTAATGTCTAAAACAAAACAAAAAATATATTTAGGACTCTCAAAAATCACAATCTTCTACTAAAAATTACTGTTCTGTATGTGAAAAGTATATTTGTTAGAGTTTTTAAAGTAATTTTTAATTCTTAACGTAACACATGCAGTCTTTTGAAGTAGTGTGACTAATACAGACATTCAGAAATCAAAACAACAAAAGTTTTTATGTACTATGTAAAAAAGGTGTGAGAATATCCAGATCAAAACAAGAAATTCCTTAGTGGATCTGGTATACCGTGGATCTTTTCCCGGTTAATGTATCTAAAAATTTTGTGATTTACCTTTCCTAAAATTAAACAACAATACAACTAAAATACGATATTTCTAAATGCGCAGTTTGGGAAAAAATGAGAATGGTAAAAACATTATGTAATATACTATGTAAAATGCGATAAACAATGAAATATTTAGAATAAAACATATCCAAACCTTTAGAAAATATATTTTATGATGCTAAAACATAGAAAATAATATAGTAGACATAGAAAACTTAAAATATCTGAAAAAACTCCAGCCTCCATCATAAGTACAAAAACAAACACAACGCTAATAAATAAAAAGAGAACTTGTAATTTGTATTGAAATCAACAATTACATAGTAATGTTTAATCATTTTTTCGTTAAGTTATTATAAAAGAAAGTATCTAAACAGTATTATTACGCAAAAACACTGTTAAATCCCAAGAGACGCCATCATGGTTGGCGATAACAAAAACTATTGAGAAGAAAAAATACGTAAAGTAGCACGAAATAAACAGTACTTACTATAACATATGATCGAGCAGAGCCTTAAGAAAAGTTTATGAACAAATATTACACAATAAAATCACCTTTTCCAGCGAAAATTTCAAAAAATCGTAATCACTGAAGGCAATAAAACATGTCGTTTAATTTTTCGGTTAAAAAATCATAAATGGTGCTAAATAAAAATAATAGATGGCCCTGATCAAACACTTTTTGGCACCCGAAAAATACAGATTTCTGTTAATTGTCATTAAAGTTGAACTATTGCACGTTCGATGGTGCCACACTCGAAATAGTAGATTTCTTTATGCTAAAAATTCACAGTACAGTCACCTTCTGCTAGATGCCAGGAGAGGCAATTTTACAGAATTCTACACCTATTAATAGCGTAGTTTCATTACGTTGCTGCAGATGACGCCACAGCTAAATTTAGTTATAAGAAACACCACCGCGATAAACTGGTGCTGCGATCATTTAGGCGGGCTTTAAGGAAAATTTGAACAGACACATTTTTCTTTTAGACAGATCATTATTGCAATATAGTCCAGATTCTTATTTAAAATGTCCAAAATAATTTTATAGCATATTCAGTTTATTGAATATTATGTTATATATAGTACACTTATTAATATAATTACAGTTAAAACATCTAAATAATATGATCTAAACAGTAAAGTATTAGACTTTATGCTGTAAATTATATAACTGAAATATTAATTGTTTAATAGATGGCTATAATTTTTTTAAGAGTCTAAAAATTCCCCATAATAGGAATTTTAATAAAATCTAATAAGTACCACCCACATTAATGTTTACATTATTTCCGGTACTATAATACTGAAAACCGTTTGAGGTACTGTATGTATTCAGTAAAGAATTATTTTCGTGAAAAATGCATAAGTTTTTATCACGATTTTCACACTTTACATGAGCATTTTGATTGGGTATAGCCACATGCTGTGGAGAGTTCACATCGGGGATGTATCGGTACTCAGAAGAAGCAGAAACTTCAGAGCACAGCTTCTTATAATCATCTAAACTTGAGGTAAACGTAGGAGAATCACCTACACCTTTACAAGTGATCTGATTATTGAAGCTTGTGACACTAACTCCTTTTAGGCCTATGCAAATTTGGTTGTTGATCAAACTATAACTACGTAGGTAGCACCAGTCGGTTTGTGGACTTGAGGAGGTTATCTCGAAGGGCACCAAGTCTCCTGAACATGTCCCTGTTTTGATATCTACGGTTCCCTTGCAGATAAAAGGTTTGTAATTATTATAAATAAATTGGCGACCTAGAAAAAAATGAAGAAAATTATTAAAACTTTGTGTTAGACCAACACCCTGTACACTTACCACTTGGCTGGTGTGTTACAATCGTGGTACCACCGACTCCATCCCTCATTTTGAAATTAAGTTCGATAGCTCTGACTGGCTCAAGATCTTTATGGACTTGAGCTGATATTCTATCACCCAAGCCATCCAATTCGCCAAGTCTCGACTAAAACACATTAATAAAATTTCTCAGATCTATATCTCATATCGATACACCGTTAGCTAAACCTTTTTATTGTTAATCTAAGGCAAAAACGCCATTGAAAGTATCGATATTTTTACACATCCCTAATTTCATTTATAGCATTTTAATCATTGAGTTATAATAAAAGAGGAGATGCTATCACGTGACCAAAGCGGTACCAGGTCGGCCATATTGATGCGACTCTCTTGTCAATTCGTGCTATTGCCGTCTAGCGTAATCCTGTTCTTGATTTTTGCGTTTATTTTGAGTTATTTTGTGTTTTATTTGGACTTATGTGTGTTGTGTGACTATAAAAATCATGGTGTCATGTGCTGTTCGAAGTTGTAGTAGCAGAAACGCCATCGATAGAAAGAAATCGTCAGGAATTACATTTCACAGGTAATGGTAAACAAGATGCAGGGCCGAACTCTGAGTATTTTATTATCTTTAATATACCATTTTATAAATTAAATCCCAATTTTTATTAATATATATGTCTTTCTAGGAGGATTTGCGGTACCGGATTTGTAATTAAAATTACGTTTCAATTTGACAATAAATTATAAAATACACATTACATAGAAAATGGTTAATAAAACAAATAAATCATAATCATATGAATTAAAAAGGCAATGTTTATGCAGTGTTGTGTGTGTTAATATACTATTGTGTGTGTTAATATACTATAGTGCTATTATACAGTGTGACCCATTTATTTTAGGTTCACTCTGAAAAAAAGTTTATTAATTGTGCAATATGTCTCGGGTTGTTTTTACATGAAAAACTTTATCTACTTAGCAAAAATAGCCTTGTTCTAAAAATATTCTAGGCATACTTTCCAGTTTTCGTGGGTAAGTAGTTAAAGTGCATTAGGGCTTTTTTTAATCTGTGTATATAATCCAAACCAAACCACTCGATTCAGCATAACTTTAAAGGGCTTACCTATACCAAATTTGACCAAAAAATCTCTGGTGTGATTTGTTAAAATCTTGCTCCTAAAACTGGTAAGTAGACGTTGAATGTTTTTAGAACAGGGTTATTTTTGTTAAAATAATAAATTGGTTTAAATTTTTATTATTTTTTTTATTTATATGTTATTATTATTTATATGTTTAAAGTTTTAAATTAGTATCACACAGTTTTGATCAATCATTTCTAGATAATCACAGAACATTATTAATAAAAAGTATAATAGAAAGATATTTAAATATTTGAATGATATACCTCAGTAAAAATATATTAAACAATCTTGTAAGTGAAAGACATCAAAGCAATAAACTTATTTTATTTAAAGGGCAATAACTTTCATATTTTTTCTAATGTGTATCATAATATTTTATAATAATCTATTTGTAATAAATAAAGTTGCATTTTTCGTAATTTTATTTTTAGTTTCATTTTTCCCATAGGTATATATCATCAACTTCAACAAAAGTCAATTAAGGTAAGTTATTTTTTATTTTATTTTTTTAAAACTATAATATGATACACACATTTTATCTTTAAAATACATACTAGAAAAAATAATAATATTAAATAAAATATTATATTTTATTTAGGTAGGTATTTTATTTAACAAATTTTGGGTATAAGAAATATTTTTTTTTCACTATTATAAATAAATAATTAATTTCAAAAATAAAAAAAACTAATAACTAAAAAATAAAAAACATTAATTTATTTAAATTTTAAAGGAATATTTTAAAAAAATGCAAATTTGCTGAGTCCAACACTGATATCGCCGCCATATTGATGCTACTTTAACCTCCGCCCAGTGAAACCGTTTTTCTTGGCTAGTCGTATATGGGAATAGCATCTCCTCCTTTATTATAACTCAATGATTTTAATCTTTGATTTTAATTTATTCGTAAAGGCTTAAGATAAAACATCATAGAACCTATCGATATCAATATTTTTCATATCGATATTTTGATATATTCACACCAACGAAAATATAGATATCGATATTTTAAAATATTGATATATTTATACATCTCAATTATTAAGTGATGTTATTTCAATTAAAAAATGCTCTTACTTGTAAAGGTTAAAGATAAAACAGAACTGAAAATATGGATATTTTTAATATCGATATTTTAAAATATCGATATATGTACACATCGCTAATATTAAAGGCGTTTCTATTAAAAATGATCTTACTTGTAAAGGTTGAAGGTTCCTTTGAACTTGAGCATTTATTCGTTCACCAAGACCTTGCAAAGGTGCAACTTGTGATTGTACTTGCGCAGAAATCCTGCTTCCCAGGTTATTCAGGTTATAAGGATCTTAAACGCAATGGAGAATATAAGGAACACACTGTGTATTGTGTTACAATTAGAAAAAAATAATTTTGCCATTTTTTTCGATCGCATGGTATAAATAGATTGTTCTATAATAATATTGCAAAAAATAAATGTTCGTGATTCAAATATCAATTGTGTGATATATTGCACGTTATTTTTACTATCCATGAACTTATTCTGACCTTTTAAAATAATTATCTTCCTTGCATAGTAACATTCCATTTTGAATAGATATCAGAGAGAAAAATTATGGGAAAATCCCCGTGATTTATTTTTACAGAAAGAAATCACAGCATCCTCATATTTTGTTTTTATATTAATTTATAAACAAAATATTATGTATTTACTAATAAATTAGGATATACACTTTGGATATACATAATCTGAGATAAATAAACAAGTATCTTTGTAGAATTAAAATGCATTAAAAAATTATCGAATGGTTGTGAAATAATGCAGAGTACAGAAGCAAAACCATTTTTAAAAAATACCATAGGCCCGGTATTATCCTTATATATTCTTAGGGTATTATCCTTGTATATGAATTTTTAATATATAAACAAGGGTATTATGTAAGGGCTGAAGAACCCCCCTCCCCTGAGTTTCAGCCAAGAAATACGATATTATTAATTTCTTTAGTCACAAACGACTCTGAAGTATGTACTTTGAGTAAAATTTTGTGTCTATTAGTTTAGCTGAAACAACTATAAATTTCACAGGAAATATATAAAATTTTATGTAGGTACTTCGGTAATATATGTATATCACTGATAAAAAAATATTCATAATTAAAAATTAAAATGCCATCCTATTATATTCAAATTAGTTTAGAAAATCACAAGTTCTCTATTTTTTTTTGTAAATATATTACAAAAAATAAAGGTGATTAATATTTTTAAGATAATTTTGAACATTTATATTAGTTTTTAATTTGATAATTAAGATTTTCCATTGATACTCACCATCGTTATAAGCATAAAACTGGCCACACACCATATGCACCTATAAAAAAATGACAGTTATTTACTCTAACTCTTTATATAATATCCTTATAATATTTATTACTGTATTTCTTACCAAAATTGTAAAAAATATAAATTTTTCTAATTCTATTCCCATATTATCTCCTTTTTAGATACTTTGATTTAAACCTTATTTAATAAAAGGATTGTTAACAACTGCAAATGCGATTGTTGGTGTTTACTTCAAATAGCTCATGTTTGTTGTTAGTCATAATTGTTAAGAGGATATACATATATTTATTACATTATAATTATTACCTAAAAATAAAATTTATTTTACCTATAAACATTATACTTGATTTAAAACTTATCAAAGACTATCAAAAACTTTTTATACCTCTAAATTTTTTATGATCATTCAAATATCACATACATTAATTAAATATTAAATGTCAATAAACATTATTTTTACATAAAGTCTTCCTCTTAACATCTACATACTCATTCATCATCATCAAGTATTTTTTATGCTCTTAACACAGCAAAGAACCTTAAAATCACGTAGAGTACTTAATAAAGCATAAAAAAAGTACCAATATCTTAACAATGCGATTTTTAAGTCATGATTTTATAAAAAAAACGCTCATTACATTATTCAAGTCTATAAATAGATTATAATTACCTTTAGAATTCATAGAAATCAGAAAGAATCCTGAAAAATCAAGATTAAATTTGTTATAAATTTTATCCTGCTTTAATTGACACAATTAGAATTATTTAGAATAACTAAAAAACTATTTAAATTTCCCAAAAATCAGTTTTGTATGTTAAGTTACATAATACAATAGAACAGGTGTATATCTGGTTGCGTTAATCCAATAAACATATACCAGGAACATCAGAAAAGTGCAAGAATTTGAAATGTTTATTTTGAAACTAGGGAAACCGTCAATAAAATTTGATTTACTTGACAAAAGGGCAATTTTTAAAAAAGAAATTGTAGAAAAGAACATGTCTAAGTTACCCAAGCCGGAATTGCATGGTCTTTCAGCTCGCAGAGGAAAACTTTGGGCAGCTTATGCACTAACAACTGCGATTCTGGGGGCTTCATGCTTCCAAATTTTCCACATCAACAAAAAGAAGAGAATATTCAAGGACTTTTACGAGTAAAATATTAGAAAAATTTAATTTGATTTGGTTTAAAAATGATTATTTTTAGCAACTATGATATCGACCAGGAATGTGAAAACATCCGAGCAAAAGGTTTATTTGATTCGTGTTAAGATTTTTAAATTAAATTTAGAATAGTTAACACAATGTGTTATTTAAAATATTTTCTATAAAATATAGAATATAAATTGTAAAATATTGTTTCATTGTGGTTTTTGTTAAAACATTCGCAAAAATTTGCAAATTTCAGAACAATTGATTATTTATATTTCCATCCTGGCTTTTTCTCTCCCTGCCGGAGAAGAGGTGAGAGGTTCTCGCTCCCTCTCTTGCCCTTTGATGGAGATGAGTCAGGTTATTTCTTGGTTTCTGGTTGTGAATCAGTGGGCTCTGACTCGGTTGGCTAGATTTTGCCACGCCCACTCGGTGCCACGCAATGGTTAGCGAAACGCGTGTCCAGTGTAAAAGTAAAAGTGTTTTGGTGTATTGTGGTGATTTAGTGTTTTTATTTTGCTAGATAAAGCATATAAATAAATATTATGATTAGCATAAAAACTAGATAAGACTTTGTAGTAAAAACAGTATAGTTTGTCTGAAGTCAGTTGGAATAGATTGGGACTCTTAATTTCAGCACTGTATTTCTCGGCATCGTCGGGGCCAAGGAGTTAAGAGTCTCTACTACTTCCAATTGACTTCGGAAATACTATACATAAGCTTTTTCTTGCGGAAGCTGCGCCTAGTCTCCTTCGGAACCGCTACTGGATAATATACAGGAAGAATAAATCAAACAAAATTCTTTTTTAAATATCAGGGTATTTCTATTTAACAATGTATATTTTTATATTCAACCTGTCCACAATCTACAAGTAAGAACATTAGCGCTTGAATAACAATGTATTTTACGTAAAACGTACAGTAATCGCACGCCATCTAGCAACAAAAAAACTTTTAAATTCCGAATTAATACAAATTCCATTACTGTTTTTCCTTAGTTCGCCCAACAACCGCTAGATGGAGACACTGTAACCGAAAACAGCGACACGTATACGACGTGACGTCACCACTGTTATTAGATAATGTGTGTGAAACAAATTACAACTAAGAATAATAATAATAGTATAAAAAGAAAAACAATAAATGTTATAACAACGAGTTTGTACATAACGCCTATAAAAAGAGTTTTTATCTATATATTCCCATAAAACAGGATTCGATAAAATCATTGTAAAGTCATTTTTATATACAGGGGTTTTCACGCAAAACTGCCGCATTAAAAGATTTGAATGATTAAGGTTATTTCCAGGTTTTCTTCCTTTCCATATTATTTCCCACTTACTGGCATTTCTCGTTTAACCGGAAGTTGCTGTAAATTTGCTTATTTTAAATAGAACACCATATATATTTTGTTAGTAACACAAAAAAGTAGTTCAAATGTATCAAGTCGCAAAATTAAGTGATTTTCGATTAGAATGTATACGAGAGTGTTTAAGTCTCGTTAAAGAATAAAATAAAGAAGTAGTTCAAACGTATCAGATTTTTGTATTGACATGTTGTATTTGACGCTGACACTACAAATTTGTTCTTTTAGAAAAGGTTTCGCTAAGATCTCTCAAGAAATTAGTTCAAATGTAGCATGACCCAAAATTAAGTTTTTTGTTCAGAATATATATGGAAGTGTTTTAAAATTTCATTTAAACCATAAAATGAAGTAGTTCAAATATACAAAGTAGCAAAAATATCTCGTTAAAGTGCCAGAAATTGGAAAATATTTTATAAAGTACATCTAGTACTAACCTTAACTCAAAACCTTCGAATTTGTATCTAAATTAAATGGTAAAAATCTCTTGATGAACCAGCTGCTTAAAAAACGATGTATAGTGTTCAGGTAGTGTTATAATAAATAAGTTTGTAAAAGAAATTCAGTTAATGATTATGATTTCAAAGAGCCTTTTTTTAGGGAACACACCTGGCAACGTCGCATCTTTTTTACATAAAATACACTTTTTTCAAACAAAATTATTAATAAAAAAAGAAAAAAATAAGACTTAAACTTACGTAATGTATAATATATTATATTATGCCAAGGGGATAGTTCTGTATGTAAAATACCACATGTACAATATTTTTCTTTCTTATTTAGATTTAATAATATACACTTTCTTAAAAATTTTATTTTCACCTAAAGCACTATAGCTCTTCGCTTATTTATAACTAATATTTATATTATATACAAAAAAAAAGAAGAGACAAAAAAATAATAAAGAAAAACAAATTATCTGAATTCCGCCTAAAAAAACTATATACAGGGTCGTTAAAAATATACCTCAATGTTCTTTTTTTTTCAAAATAATTGATTCAACGTACGGAAACTTTTTTTGAAATTGACGCTGTTTTAACGAAAAAATTCATCACTCATTATAGCCAAAAAAAACAATATATAACAAATATAACACTTGATTTTTGCACTTAAAGAATTATATACCATCTATGTATGTATATAAATATTTAATAAAAATATTGCTGGGTGTATATAATAGCCTAATAAAAAGTAAAATAAAAATAAAATAAAACAAAAATGAAAATTCTAAAATTTCTCTAAACATAGTAAAGTCAGTCCTTATGTAAGAAAAAAATTAATAAATAAAATAATAAACAGATTATTTTATACAGATATTTTTAATAAGGATTTCTGTAGTGTAGAAAAGTATAAATCACAGGTTCTATCAAGTTGATGACTAAATCACAGCATAAAATATGACATTAATATTTTGTATACATTTTTTTAAATTAGATTAGGTATCAAAAAAAAATAGTTCAAATGTATAGAGTCTCAAAATGTATAGAGTCTCAAATGTATAGAGTCTCACTTAATAGTAGTCTCTCAAATGTATAGAGTCTCACTTAATAGTGAGCTTCAATCAGAATATCTGTGAGACTGTTTAAAAGTTTCTTTAAAGCAACAAATAAAGACGTAGTTCAAATGTACCGTCTCACAAAATTAAGTTTTAGTATAGTATATATTTTATTTAATCTAAATCAAAAATTTTAGAAAATATTCATAAATATTTATAAAAAAATATTTTTGAGTTTTTAACATTCTAGTCTTTATACTGTGATTTAAATTAAAAAAAAAATTGATTGTTTTAAAGTTTCAAGCAAGAACTGTCGAAAATTTATTCGAAATAAATCACAAAAAATCGATATAAATTCAACAAACAATAGCAAACAAAAGAGAACTAAAATTACTGTAATTTTTTATATAGACCCTTCATATTCCCTGTTACCCGATCAACTTTTTTTAGAAAAAAATATAAAATAAAAAAATCGCAGCATCCATTTTCATACTTCGCTTTTCACACGCTTGATCACACATCACAGTGAGTTAAAACAGGCCAATTTCACATAACCTCGTCTCCGCCAATAGCGTAGTATCACAATCTATACAAAATATACCGAAGAGTGGGGATTTATTTTATTTTACCGTATTTCTAACCACAAAACCGCCCGAAATTAAAGCAAACCAACGATTTTCTGTACAAAACCTTTTTATCTAAATATATTTCACATCCTAACCTCAATCTTATCTCTATCCAACCATTCTTGAAGGCTTTTAAATTCTGAACACTAAGTTATTTAGTATACTTACACGATTATTATTATTTATTTATATTTTGTTTTTTTTTGTTTATTTAGTTAATATACACAATAGTGAAGGCACATTGGGAAGTTTTAGTGGTTTCTTGTACGCTTACTACACATGTCCGGGCTAGAGCAAAATATATAAACGCGTTTATAAAAGAAGCTGCTTGAATTACGGAGGTGACGTAGGCGGTCGAAGTAGGCCCGTCAAAAAAGTAGTCCAAATGTAGCATGTTTTAAAACTATTTTTTTTTCACTCAGAATATATATGGGCCAGTTCGTTTAAAGCAAAAGTAAAGAAGTAATTCAAATATACAAAGTCGCAAAATTGTTTTTTTTTTTCGCTTAGAATATATATATGGGAGTGTTTAAAAGTATGTTTAAAGCACAAAGTATAAAGTAGTTCAAATGTAACATGCCCCAAAATCAAGATTTTTTGATAAAAATCTATATGGGACTGTTTAAAATTCACAAATTTCACAAAACCGCAAATTTATTCTTTCTCTCTTAGAATATATGTGTTGAAAAGTTACTAACTAAAAAAGTAATTCAAATGGACCAAGTCTATAAAAGTTAATTTTAAGACGATATCAAAACTGACAGCATCACAATATTTTTCAGAAAAAGAAAGTAAAGAGTAGATCAAATGTACCGTCGTCGTAACCTACTTCGACTAGCCACCTCCACCCTAAAAACTGAAAAAGGCCTTTGTAAAGAAAACCGTCGATTAAGTTACTTCACAAACTCTCGCACCACTTTCAATCATCGTCATCATCCTCATCCTGACTACCGAACGACGACGAGCTGAAGCTAGCCATCGAACTGCTGTCCTCGGCCTCGATTTCCTCCTCTTCCGATTCAAGCTCAACTTCATCGTCGCTAGACATTGTGGTGGTGGTTGTTGTTATTGAATTATTGCTGCTCAACTCCTCCTCCTCGTCGTCGATATCGTCGCAGTCGCTCAAAGGGGCGGCGGCGGCAGGGCGGTGGAAGGGCGGGCCGTAGATGGGCGGCGCGGGCGGTAGGTAGAGGCGGTAGCGGCGGTGGCTGACCTCCGCGATCGGCCAGCCCGGTCCGTGACGTCACTTGATCTCTTTTTTGCGCTTGCTCTCCACGTCTGCAACGAACAGAGCAAGAGAAAGAGAGGTTTTGGTTAGTTTAGATCGTCTACAAAAATAGAAACTTGTAATAAAGCGTAATAGACTCAAAAAAAATTAAAAAAATATCAATAGTGAAAAGTTATTAAGGAAGTCAACAGTTGGGGCCAGAGTTGAGTAACGACACGTACAAAATTAATTTTCTACGGGTATGTAGAAAATGTAGAATATTAAGTAGAAAATGTATAAAATCCAAGTACGTGTACACAATTAATTTAGTATATTTAAAGCCGTTTTTTTCCCTTTAAAAGTTTCTTCCTGGAAATTTTCGTTAAATTCTATTAATGTTAAGTAAAAACTATAATACGTGTGTGCGTGCTAACTCTATTCTATAACGGCACCGGTAACGGCGCTAACTCCCTATTCATTGACAGGCGGCCGGCGCAATTCGACCCGTCAAGCAACTGCGGGACTTCACAGAAAGCAATTTTCAAAGTAACCGTCGTTATGTTCTGTGTGAGTTATTTATTTCGGGGAATACATAGAAACGAATTATATGAAGAAATAAACAGAGGGAAAAAAGCATTAACCTTACCGGCACTCCTCGTTTTCCTCCTCAACGCAGCCTCGGCCTCCGCGTTACTGTGAGTAGTGATATTATGCGCGACAGCTTGCTGCTGCGCAGCCTGATTTAGCTGAGCCCCTTTCTCTCTACTTCGCGTGTTCTGCGCGGGCTGTTGCAGCTGCTGCTTCTCCTCCTTCAGTAAATGTCCCGCCCTCGCCGACCTCCTCGTATTGGTCTTATTATTAACCGTAACAGGAGCTGACACCGTTTGATTCATGACGGGGGTCACTGGAACTACTTTCGGTGTTTTGGAGGCGGTTTTCGGGGCCGTTTTGCGCAGCTTTTCGATCAGAGGCTCGTCGCTGTCCGAGCTTTCGTCCTGCTGGCCCGATTGGCCGCCCGTTTTGGCGTTGTTCTTTTTGCCGACAGCCAGGGAGGTGTTGGAGGTGGGGGGTGGTCGTTTACCCATCTCTGAAGCTTCTAAAAATCGCACAAATAAAAAATATACGCAATGATTTTTAAAGAACTACAAGTTTTTTTTACAAAAAAATGACAATTTTCGGGAGCTATTTTAACACTTGTTTGTACTGCGTGTTCTATTAGTAGTGAAGTTATTAGAAAAATAAAATAAATAATATTTACCTGAACCTTTCCTAGGTCGTTTCCTAGTCTCTTCCAAGCTATGGTTAGAACTGTCACTCTCGTTTCTTTTTCTTTTCGCCGCGGAGATGGTATTGACCTGCGCAGTTTTATTGCTGCCGCTCTTATTCGGTACGGGAGAACTCAATTCGGGACTACCCAGCTTGCTCAATGCTCTCGTTCTCACAGACGATCTTAAAAAGGACAAAAAAGTATATAAAACACCATTTACTATCAAATCTAGTAGTTGTTTAAATTAATAAAGTAGTTGAAATACTTGATCTTAAAAATAAAAAAAGGGGAAGTAGTTCAAATTTCCTCCTTCTAAAAGACGAATAGTTACGGTAATGACAAAAAACATTTTCCGATGCACGTCATCAATTATATCAAAATTGGCACTAAAGCCTATAAATCTGACTAAATTAAATTTTGACAAAAATGCTTAAATTTATTGTTTAATTTAAGATACCGAGGAGCTCTTCATTTTACTTTGTAGAGCAAATGATTGTTTATTTACATTAAAGCGGCAAAAATTAGTTTATACCAAATTTTATTATCGCTGTGTTGGTCACACTGCGCCGCGTTCAGCAATTTTGTCGTTTATTATTTGACAATTATCATAATGTCAGTCATTATTTTGTATAATATCGTGTTGTTGAATCTTTGTGAGTAATTCCAGTTTTTTGCATATTTTCAGATTTTTTTTTAAATTGTACTTTTAAGCACAAACAGTTTTTTTAAGAATTAAATTTTCGAGTTTTTGTATTGCATTTCTTGAAATCGTGTGTTGAAATTATGTTGAAGCATTTAAACTAAAACAGTTGAAGCAAACAGCTTGTAGCTTCCCTGATGAACTATTATGAACGAGAACGTGACAATAAAGGTCCTTTATTATCCTTGATTGCAGCCAGAGAAGTAAGTTGATTGGTAAGCACATTATACCACTTTCAAATTTATTTCTATGATTATTAGTTTGTGCATTAAGTAAAATACGCGATAAAACAAATAAATAATAATTGTTTTATAAAATATTAATAATTATTAATTTAAAAATAAAACGTAAAAATCTTTAAAAAATGTTATAATAAATATATTGTTTCCCAATTTTACATTAAAATTCATCTCATAAATCCATCACAATCTGGCAGCGCTGTCGTCATCGCTTGTCACTCAAAGTTGATCACGTGCATCGGAAATTGTTTTGCGGTTACCTTAGTTATATAATAAATATAGTAGTGCAAAAAATAAAAAAGTAGTAGTTCAAACGTCGCCGTTTTTTAACAAGTAGTTCTATAATAAAATAGTTCAATTATACCCAATTTGACATTCTTAAAAATAAAAAAAGTAAAAGCAGTTCAAACGTCCCCCCCCCCAATCTACATATATAAAATGCTAATGTTTATCAGTGTCGTCTCTACTGAAGTAACGACTTGCTCTAGAAAGTTGCTTTTTTACCAAATATAGTTAATTGGCTCTTCTAAAAACTGTCGTCGCCGGATTTTTTGTTTTTGATTTAATTAAAAAAAATAAGCATTTTTTTCCTGATGTCGTGGCGGACGCGCCAGGCTTCAACTAGTAGCAAATAAACAAAGTAATTCAAATATACTCAATTTGACGATCTAAAATAAAAAAGTAGAAGTAATTCACACGTCGCCCTTTTTAAAAACAAGTAGTTGCATAATGAAGTAGTTCAAATAGACCAAATATGACAATCTTAAAAAATAAAAATAGCAGTAGTTCATACATCTCATTTTTAACACCAAATTGTTGGTAATAAATTATGTATTTCGATTAGACCCGATTTTATCAATACATATATCAAAAACGAAAAAAAAAAAGAGTAGTTCACACGTCCTCTCCCGGTATTTCTTACCTTGTTGCCGGACTGTGCGAACTGGGCGTACCCGCACCGTGGTGCTCGCTCGGTATCTCTATGAGTAGCTGTTCCAGCAAACTCTTTCCCTTGTTATTGACTTGCTGAGGGTGCTCCGGTACTACGGACGCGGGGCCCAAATTGCTGTCCTCGTCCTCGGTAGTGGTGAGAGCGGGGCTCTCGCTGCCGCCCCTCGAGTCGTGCCCCCCGCCCTTATCGCCAGGATTAGTGGGATAAGTGTAGAGGGCGGGAGCGACCCTGAGGGAGTGCGGGGAATTTGGTGAGGGTTGGTCGTCTTTGCTGGTGTTCTAAAAGAGGAAGAAAATTATATAATAGAAAAATAAAAATTCAAAAAGTGATACCAAGTAATGAGAAAAATTATGACTCTGTTGATGGTTAGCATAACCAAGACAATATACGGTAATCGCAAAACATTTTCCGATGCACGTCATCAATCATATCAAAAATGGACACTAAAGCGTATAAACCTGACAAAATGAAATGTTGGCAAAAATGCTTAAATTTGTTGTATAATTTAAGATACCGAGCAGCACTTCGTTTTAATGTATAGAGCAATTGATGATTGTAACAGATAATTTAGTTAGATTAAAGCTGCAAAAATTACTTTAAACCGAATTTTATTACGGCTATGTTGGTCACATTCCGCCGTGTTTAGCAACGTTGTAGTTTATTATTTAACATTTATCATGTCATTACTTTGTATAATTCCGTGTTATTGTTGAATCTTTGTGAGTAATTCTCGTTATTTGCCTATTTTCATATTATTTTTTAAAAAAATTGTACTTTTAAGCACAAACAGTTCTTTTAAGACCTAAACTTTGGAGTTTTGTATTGCATTTCTTGAAATTGTGTGTTGGAAATATGCTGAAGCAGTTGAACCAAAGAGCCTGTAGCTTCCCTGATAAACTATTTTGAACAAGGACATGACAATAAAAGTGCGTTATTACCCTTGATTGTAGTCAGAGAAGTTTGATTGGTAAGCACATGATACCACTTTCAAATCTATTTCTAAAATATTAATCAAAAAATTAAAAATAAGACATAAAAATCTTTAAAAAATGATATAATATTGTTTCCCAATTTTACATGAAGGTTCATCTCATAAATCCATCACAATCTGGCAGCGCTGTCCCCATCGCTTGTCACTCAAAGTTGACAACATGCATTGGAAATTGTTTTGCGATTACCCTAAACTTATATTAATTCAGTAAGAAAAAAAGGGGTAAGGCAAGAAAAAAAAATAACTCACCTTCAAACCTATCCCTTTACTATCCTTAAGCGCCTCCTCCTCCGTCATCTTGTCCTGCAACTGACAGGCCAGATCGCAGCACGCCTTGGAATCGCTCCTGTGCTCGCACTCGTTCTCGTTCACGTCCTCCACGGTCGTACCTCCTTGTCCCCCCTGTTGCGCGCTTCCGCCTCCTTTATTCTCGCAAGGTGTCGTGGGTTTAGAGGTGGCAGGTACGGAGGACGCGTCTAGACCTTCCATCTTAGCTAGCTGCGACTCGATGTCCAGCATGTCAGGCACTTGGTGGTGGGTCTTGGTCGTTCCCGAGGAAGGGGGTAGCACGTTGGGCAGGATGTCGCCGTGGGGGCTCTGGCTCGCCTAAAATATGAAGGAAGAAAAAGGTTGAAGGTATAGTAGAAATCAGACACAGAATTATTGGACGGGGGTTACTTAATTTTGTGAATTTTTTAGTTTATCATATTTATTAGTTTATATTGTGGTTTTGTAAGTTTTCATGGAGAATATAATTCAGGACATTTTTAGCAGATTCTGTAGAAGAAAATCATAACAGATTTGTCATATTGTGACATAATTTGTAATTGTTTGACCAGGACCGGAATATTTTAAGTTTTCGGTTAATTTAGTCATATAAAGCTTGATTTTCACGTGTCCGTTATACGTTGATACGATGGTCCGACGGCGCTGTGAGTGGTCACAGCGTTTTCGCCGCCACTTTTCATCCGTAAATTTTTTACTTCAGCCCGTCAACGGAGAAAGATCGTACGATAACGGACGTTTTGACACTTTTTTGACAAATTTAATCTAACCTTAATAAAAATATAATAGTACAAGAGCTAGCACCGTCGCGTCGGGACAACGATAATTTTAAATAAACTGGGGTGGAACTCTGTAACTAAATAGCGATCTGTAGCGATAAAGAATACTGTCGCTTGCCGTTGAGTTTCTACGGCCAAAGTCAGTATACTTCATCGCTACCGATCGCTATTTAGTTACAGAGTTCTATCCATGGTTCTTTAATATATCTTTTGCTACGTTCTCCTGACCAAAGCTGGTAGACTACTGCGCATCACATCTGTACAAGGTATCCAATTTTCGTGTTTTTTTGGGGGGATTTCCCGTTTATGCGTAGAGATACAATGATGCGATTTTAACATTACTTTACTTGCTTTTTTATGAAACTAAATATGCTACACATATGTTTGGCACAGCCTTCTTAGTTCCTGAAATACAGGACAAATTTGTAATGCGCAGTAGTAAACAGATGTTGAATACAGATAGGATGCGCAGTAGTGAACGCAACGTATACCGGCAACCAGGCGATCCGCACTCTGTTTAGAAGAGCATCGAAAAAATATATTAAAAAACAGCTTTCTTAAAATTCTCTCTCGAAAACGTTGCTAGCTCTTAGCCTACAAGTAAAACAGCGAAATTATTATAGAAATGAAAATATAAAATGACACAAATCACAAGCAAATCGTATATCCGATGAACGGAAGCATGAAAATGCAATAAAATTAATATTGTATCATCATATCGTCGGACAACGGATACATGAAAATCAAGCTTAAATCATATAAATTATTCAAAATGAACAACTTGCTTCATATTAAAGGGTGCTTGAAAATGTTTCAAATAAGTTTTTCTGTCAAATAAAACAGGGAAATGTTGTCGACGATACGACACACGGTATATGGCCGTATTTACCTGATTGGGGCTCTTCTCGCTGAGCGCGTCCATGCTCTCTATGCCGCTGTCTTCCCCCTGACCCCCATTACTGCCCGAATTGGGCGACCTGTTCCCCCCCGCAGTCGTAGTCACTATGGCGTTGAGCTGTTTCTCTTGCAGCGCCTCCGCCACTGAAGTTTTCCTATCGGGCACGTTGCACTTGTCAGGTTCGGGCGTTTTTTCTTTCGTCGTCTGTGACGTCACCGCGTTTAAAGGGTTCTTCGACATCTGAAAAAACGCCAAAAAACAGTTAAAAACATTAAAACATTTCCTAGACCAAACTAAAAAAAGAATAAAAATAATAATTGTATTTTCTGACCTTATCAGGTGTTATAACGGGCCTAGCACATCCCGAATCGGTCATAGCGTGCCCAACAATTTCCACAGTTCGGTGAGGAGGCCTAGGGACCCCTTTTTCGCCTATCACGCCCTCCATGAGACTCTGTTTGATCTTGGCCTCCATGTCTACGTCACTGGCTGTCGGCAACGTCACCGATGACGATTTTTGCAGCGATTTTTCCTGGTTTTTCGTGGTGACGGCCGCGTATAACTTCCGGTTCAGGTCTTTCACTTTAAAGCTTTCCTTAATTTTTATCTAAATATGACATAAATAAACCTAGTTAAACGCTGATCCATTATTTGTACTAAGACTGTTTACAGTCACCAGAAAATTTTATTTTAACATGTTAATTAGAGTTTTTATGACGAGTAGTTCAAATGAACTTTCATAAATATCCAGCTAAAATTCCATAAGTTTTTGTTATAAATAGCTGTAACTATTGTTTCTTGAATTATTCAAAAAATTCAGTAGTGTAAATGAACTTTAATAATTTTCCAACTAAATAAAAAAAACAATTTAAAATTAATAGATGTAACGATAATATCGAAGGTTAAAATTCTTCAAAATAAAATAGTTCAAATCAGTGTGCAAAAAAATCATGATTTTTTTTATTTTAATCAATATTTTCTATTTAAAGTCCTATCCTAAATGACTAAATTTTTGTAACTCTGCCCGATATTGTCAATATTAACATTTCTACGGCGTGGCGAGTGTCGTTTTTCCACATCCGACATCGATATATTTTATTCTGTAAAATTTGCCGATGCCCCTATTTCCACAAAAAAAATCGGCCGCTTAGATTAAAGGGATTTTTTTGGAAAGAGTCATGACTGTATTAAGTCGAGAACAAAATTAGTACCATCTAATGTTCAAAGTGCAAAGTATTTATTACAGGACAAAATGTCGGTAGAAATTTGGAATGAACTAGAAGATAAATTAGGGAAAGGCGGAAGTTAGCGTGGTCAACATTCAGCTGTTTCAAAAAAGGTATAAAACAGCTATATTTACTCCAGCTTAACTTTTGACATTGATCAGTCCTCGGGAATAAAAATATAACCTGACATCAGAAGAAACTAGTCCTGCACTAGAGTTTACGAATGAAATTGTATTCAAATAATAGAATAGACATTAGAGATATGTGTAATATGTTATATCTTTTACAATTATTTGTCGATCTAGTAAAGTATATAAACGTTACAACAGCAAGTGTAACTTTGTATTTATTTGATGAATATATATAGGGTATATTTGATATAGGAATACTTTTTTATAGCTTTAGAGGAAAAAATTTTAAATTTTTTACAGTTATCTTTCTATTTATCATAAGTTTTTAAACAAGTTGATTTTTTTTATTTAAATCCATGATTAAAATAAAAAAAATCCGTTGATTTGAATCAAGTTGACTTAAATCATTGCACCCTGGTTCAAATAAACTTTCATAAATTTAATATCCTTATAGTGTCACATAGGTATTTCGAAATTAATAAAACCTTAATAATAAGTCTTGATATTAATAGTTCAAATGTAACCTCAACATTTACTATCATTTTAAATTTTTTGATATTAGTAGTTCGAATATACCGTCCTCTAATATCATCTAAAACGCATTAATTCCGAATTAAGAATAGAGATATCGAAACTCACAATTACAGTTAATATTTGCAAATTTTTGAGATTAGTAGTTCAATTAAACTTTCTTTTAAAAATCATCTAAATGTCGCCAGTTTGAATTCAAAATAGCTATAACTAATAATACTTGTATAATTACTCGAAAACCTCCGAGTAGTTCAAACAAACCACGATCAACTTTCGTCAAAACAGAAAGATATAGACCGGCACATTACCTTATCTTTCCGGGGCTTCTGCGGCAACACGCCCACCGTCCCCACGTTTGTAGACCCCGGCACAGTCGGCGTTTCGTCGTCTTTCAATCTCTCGCCCTCAGACTGACTCAGCCGCCGCCTTTTCTCGTCACCAGTCAGCGCTCCGTTGGCGTCGTGTTTCCGGCCCCCCGCCTGGCCCCCCAACCGAGCCAGTTCCGAGTCGGAGCCCCTCCGTTCCTTCTGCTTGTCCTTGTAGTGGTTGTGGAGGGCAAACTTGACCGGATCGTCGGAAAGGGCGGACAGGAGTTCTCTGTGGTCGTGATTCGATTTCGTCTTCTTGGTTTTCTTGTGTGTGTTGTCCGAGCCTGCGGTAGTGTCCGTGGATTGGTGGTCGTCTTCGTTACCTATTTTAAATGAAAAATAGTTAGATAACTTTTCGTAGTTCAAATGTATCTTTGTCTAAAAACATCAAGAACGTTATAAGTTGTATTGGAAAATAGCTATAACTAAGTCACGTAAATTATTACTGAAAAATCCCTAATGTAGTTCAAATGAACCATCATCAATTTTAATGACAACATCACATATATGTGGTTTCAAATAAAAATTTAACAATTTGACACGATTCCTTACCTGTACCAGCAGCCTCTCTAGCCTTGGCCTGCATCTTCCTCACTTTTTTCGCCGAACTACCCTCACTGGACTTGCTCTTGTTCTTGATAACCGCCGAATTCCTTCCCCTGAGCGAAATATGCAAGGGCGGTACCCTCAATTCCTCCACTCCGCCCGGAGTACTGCTCGACGATAGGGTCGTTTGAACTATCGAGGCCGCGGCCTTTTTCGGCTGTTGTGTGTTCACGAAACTAATGTCCACCTTGTAGGCGGGGTTCACGGGTTCGGATTTTTCCAGTTTCAGACGAAGTTTGATCTTTTCATTGGGCTGTATAAAAAAAATAAATTATAATTATATGACCACTGTGACGTCATGCGGGAGAGATCAGGCCTTTGTTTTAGTACATATGCAAATAAATTTTACCTTTGGGCCGTGAATGAAAATAAATTATACTTATGCTGATAGAAGAAACATCTAAATCATAATTCTGAATTAAAAATAGCTGTAATAATAGTTACATGTATTACTTGAAAAACCCTGAATAATTCAAACGAAGTTTCATCAACATCTTTAGTGTCATAATTCAAAAGAATCATTAGAAAACTCTCGATCTTAATAGTTCAAATGTACCTTCCCCTGAAATCATCCACAATGCCTTAATTCTAAATTAAAGATAAATTAAGATACCTAAACTCATTATAACAATTAATATTAATAGCTGAAATAAACTTTCATCTAGAAAACATCTAAATCGTAATTTTGAATTAAAAATAGCTGTAATAATAGTTACATGTATTACTTGAAACGCCCTGAGTAATTCACGAACGAAGTTTCATCAACATCCGTATAGTGCCATAATTCAAAAGAATCATTAGAAAAATCTCGATCTTAATAGTTCAAACGAATCTCTCCCTGAAATCATCTGAAATGTCTTAATTCCAAAGAAACTAACTCACTATTACAATTGTAACTATTAGTAGTTCAAATAAACTTTAGTCAAAAATCATCTAAATGATATAATTTGAATTAAAATAGCTGTAAATATAGTTATATGCATAATTTAATCAAAAATCCATGAGTAGTTTAAATAAATGACAATTATGACCACTGATGTGACGTCACGGGAGAAGACAGCGGCTCAGGCCTTTGTTTTAAGGCGGTATTGACCTAAAGTGGGAAAATTACCTTTAAAGCTGGCGAATCCCGACCCTCTCTGCGCGATTTCGCGTTTTTCACTCTCGGATGTTTGTTGCCATCGTTACTAGATCGCGTTTCGCTGTCACTCTGATCTGTGGTAGTGTCAGGTCTGGTGGTGGAATTTGTATCTTCGTCGGAGAGCCCCAATGGAGAAGGTAGGTCGGTAAAAACGTCCTGAAAACAAGAAAATTTAACATCAAAATTCATAAAAACCTTAACAAAAATCAATAAGTTTACCTTAACATCCTCTGCATCACTCTCTTCACTGGAATGAGGCTCCAATTCGCCCGTCAAAGGATTTATAAGGAATTTTCTTCCATCAGCATCGGTGGTACCATTCTCCGTAGCACTAGAGCCCGATTGGGGCCCACCAAGAAGCTCCAACTCGCTGAGTTCGGGCAATGGACTGTGCCCCAACGCCGGAAGCAAATCATCCAGCTCGTCGGGTTTTAGATCGGTTAAGGAAGGTGTCAGGTCGAGCAGCGTTGCCGGATTCGACACGATGGACTCCCAATGCGGTCTGGATGAAACGGCAACGCTGTACGGAGGCGGCGAAGGTAAAGGTTTGGCGGTAGAAGTTTGAGGAACAATCTGAAATAAATAAATAAATTAATCAGTATTTTTTTCTCATGATATCAAATTTATTATATACCTGGTGGTTCAAAATATCGTGTATTTGATGTTGATGTTGCTGCTGTTGTTGTCCCAAGCCCAAACTCATGCCGGCACTGATTGTAGGGGGCGTTCCGATCAGCGCACTGTTGCCGTTCTGCGCCATTTTCATGGTGTGCTGTTGCGCGATCTGCCTGTTTGGCGCGAAAGCTACGGATTTCTGTAAAGTACCGCCGTACTGAGACTGAAGGAGGTTCGGTGTTGGTGTCGGTGGAGTTCTTTGCTGTAAAGATTGCGGATGGGAATGAAGAGGTACGGTTGATTGTAAAGGTTTATTCAACTGAAAATAATAAAAAATTAAATATGAAAAAAAAATAAATAAATAAAAATTCTTACCGCTATTATGCTGCCCTGAGGTGTCCTCTGATAATGCACCCTACCCCCTTGCTGTTGTTGCTCTTGCTGACCGCCTCTCCCCACGCCAAACCCTCCAACCACCTGCTGTGGAGGAGCGTTATTGCTCGTAGCTCCTCCCACCGCGTTCGTGCTCATAAAGGCGCTTGGTGAACTACCGCTGCTGCTGCTAAGGCTACTACTATTACTACTACCGTTACTACTATTATTGTTGTTGTTGCTCATATTCACTAGCACGTTAGCGGCTTGAGACGACGTCGACGTCACTGGTGCAGTCTTTAAACATCCCGAAGAACTCAAACTCAAAGAAGAACCCTGCTGTTGAGGCAGAGGTGGCGGTCTCATAGGTTTCCCGGGCGTCGCTGCCTGGTCGTTTTGAAGCAGATTGACCAAGAGGGGGCTGGATATGGTGACGGGAGGCGTGGCTTGCGCCGCGGGCGAAGCGGAGGGAGGGGGCGTGTTCCGCACGACGGAGGGGAGAGTGGGCGTGGACGAGGAAGGCCGCCGCACGCCGGGGTAGGGCGGGGGCAAGAGAGGCGGCGCTTCCAGGGGGCGGGGTTTGGGAGGTTGGGGGGTGGGGCTGCCAGTGGTAGTTGAATTGTTGCCGCTGCTTTGGCTGGAATAGGAAAAAAAAATAAAAATTTGTAGTAAACCTATTAACAGTTTGGTACATCACTATTTAGGAACAAGAAAGATATACATAGATGTGTATTAAGTTTCATAAAGATATCTATAATAAAATCAGTTATTGTGAAAAAATTTTTTTTTAGAAAATTTTACCACACTGTATTTCAGAAATTAAGATGTTTAGGACATACATTCATATGAAGTTTTTCTCTTAGAATAGGACCAAAAATCACTCCTTTAAATATTAGCATGTCATTGAGGAACACCCTGTATTAATAAAATATACAGGGTAGTTGTTCTATGTCCACGGAATATTAGGACACCCCATATACATAACAATAGAACCCCATATACATAACAATTAGAAATTGTTCTCTAATTCAAAAAGTATAGTAATATATTGTAAATTATAAATATTTTTTATATGTAATAAGCTTGTTAAAGTATGGTCTTTACCTGTGAATGGCCTGGTTCATGCTGGCAAACGGAAACGGCCCCGCGTAGGGCGGTTTATTCGTCAGACTACCCTCACCAATCGAACCAGCCCCTGTAGCCCCCACCACTGTTTGGGGCACTTGAACTCCGTTCCCCTGCGGCACCGGTACCACCGAATCCTGCGGACACACCACGTTCGGCGACTTGAACGCTGCGGTCGTCGCAGTGGCTGGACTCGTTCCCCCTCCATCTTGCGGCCTGGGCGGGGCTGCTGCCGCTGCGGGAGCGGCTAAGGCGTGGGTGTGGCCCTGAGGGGGCGCGAGCTTGAGCTGGAGCGCGCCCTCGCCGTCGAGTTGCACGCCCAGGATGCCGAGGGCGCTCAGCTCGTGGGCGCCGCGCTGGGCGAGCTGCCGGAGGCGCAGCGCGGCGTCGCGCGGCACCGACAGCGTCACGCGCACCGAGTTCCACGGCTCCAGTTTGCGGACTTTCACCGGCACGCCCAACAGATCATCCAACCTACCGGAAAAAAATAAGCAGATTTATTAAAAAGAAACCAGAAACGTACGATTTTTCTTTAGTGACGAGTAGTTCAAATGAACTTTCATAAATATGGAGCTAAAGTACCAGGATTTTTAATTATAAAAATCTGTAACTATTGTCTCTCAAATTATTCAAAACATTAATTAATTAGAATGAATATTAATAAATTTTCAGTCAAATAAAAAAGGAACAGAAGACGGCTTAAACCAGATGTAACTTTAGTAACGTAGACTAATATTCAATAAACATAGATTAGTTCAAATAAACTTTCATCATATGCGTATTAGGGTGTACCAAAAAAAAAATATTTTTTTTCTTTTTAGTTACCGTGAAAATATTGTTCAGGATGATGGAAAAAAAATTCTGGTAAAGTTTGAACTTTTATAATAAGAGATACTAATAGTTCAAATGTACCTTCCACTGAAATCATCCAAAATGCAAAAATTCCGAATCAAAAATAAATAGACACCCAAACGCACAACTACAATTATTTGCGAAGTCTCGATATCAGTAGTTCAAATAAACTTTCATCTAAAAATGATCTAATTGTAACAATTTTGAATTAAATGACGTGTAAATTAAAATGAATTTAATGTGTAATTATTTAAAAAAACACCAAGTAGTTCAAATTAACCATGATCAATTTTCGTCTAAATGGAATATACCGGGTGCGTCTCAAAAGCTCACCCCTATAACTTTTTTTATTTTTCAGTTAAAAAACGAGATTTGGTATGCTAGTACATGACATAAATTAGGATTGATTGATGTATTCAATTGTTTTTGGTCACTTCCGGTTTCACCGGAAATGACTACAACTTTTGATAAAATGGCACCCTCGGTATTTTTTTACTTTATTCAATAGAAAATAATATTCTCAATAGAATGACATATCATATGTCAATTTTGACATTTTTGCATATGGTTTATTTAAAATTATACCTTGCGGTTTGTAACGAAAATTTTACTCGAAATACCAAGTGTGTGGTATCAAAGTATTCGTAAAAAATGCTTTTTTCAAATATGCTAATGAGCCACCATTGTTCCATTTGAAAAAATTGAGATATGATTAAAAATACGATTTGAACATTTTCTAACTGGCCAGGATAAGACACTAAAAACATTAGAAGATCAAATCTATTTTTCCGAGGCTCTTTGATTAAGAATTAGTGTTTTAACATGGCACTCTAGATTGAATTGTAAAATACAATTTTTTATTAAGCGATAATGTCAAAAGTTGACATATGATATGTCATTCTATTCAGAATGTAATTTTCTATCGAATAAAGTAAGAAAATACCGAGGGTGTCATTTAAAAATCAAAAGTTGTAGTCATTTCCGGTGAAACCGGAAGTGACCAAAAACAATTGAATACATCAATCAATCCTAATTTATGTCATATACTAACATACCAAATCTCGTTTTTTATCTGAAAAAATAAGAGTTATAAAGGTGAACCACTTTCGAGACGTACCCGGTACAGAACCACCACCATGTTTCTTTATTATTATTCTTTATATTTTTTGTATAAGGTAGAGTTATACAATAGAAAAAAGCCGGTGTGTCTCTCACCTATCGACAACTGGCTGAAGCTTGCGGGGATACCCGGTATGGCCGAGTGTCCCCTCGCTGACAAAGACGAGGTCCTTCGCTGCTGCTGATGCGCAGTGGTCCTCGCCCATCTATTTCCTGGGCGACTTGGGCTGCGCAGACTCGAGGCGTCTGCAGCAAATGGGGCCCCTGGGAGGGGCGCTCCCGCTTGCGAAGGTAGAGGGGGCCATCCAGAAGTAGAAGTCTCGTTCAATCACCCTGAGAGTGAAGAAAAATGCCGTTATTGCTATGGAATGAATTCTTTTCCAATAAAAAAATACGAAAAAATCGTGTTATAGCCTTTTCAAAAAATAGGGGGCAGATTTTTTCGAGAAAAAAATTATGAAAACGATGGGCTACATGATGTACGTTAGTAGCGTCTATGTTATACAGTACCAGTAGGATTACAGTAATAAATATATACATATAAATACATATAAATATATACAGTACCCTAAGCTTTAATCATTCTTTCCTGACAGGTAAACCATTATGTCTACAGTATGTCCCCGGATTGTTTACAATAGGAAAACTTTTTTATTATTGACATTTTGAGAATACATTCTACATAAAAAATTTTGCTTGTTCTATATTGGTTAATCCCAAGAACAGTTAAGCTAAGTAATTAGTTTACCGTTCTTGGGTTAATCCCATTTATACTGTTTCAAATTTCCATACCGTTTTAGAAGAAATATAAAAAAAACAAGAAAATATGGTTGAATTTTTTTCCTAAAATTCCTAAAAATCAAAGAAAAGAATGAATTTTACCCAAAATGTCAATAATAAAAAAAAATTCCTCTTGCAAAGACAATCCGGGAACATACTGTAGATGAGGCAAAGATTGAAACTTACATATTATAGAGTTTTGACTCACCCTGTACAGGGTGGGTCAAATTCGACGCTTTTAAATGGAAACATACAATATCGGTGTCTGGAGCTCAATTTTTGTCAAAAACATGATGGTGAAAACAGCATATCGATATCTGTTACCGAGTTACGGGGTGTTTTTCAAAAATATGCATTTTTAACAAATCGCTGTAACTTTTTTGCTATGGAAAATTTTGTATTTTTATGAAAACATTTCCAAAGCACCTTTTTACGTAGAATTTAATGGTTTAAGTATAATTTTTTTAAAATTAATAATTAAAGAATTATCCAGAGAAAATTTGATTTTTTATATGAGACACCCTGTATATTTTTAATTTATTGAAAATAATTTAAAATTACCTTTCCAAAAATATAACACACTTGATATTTTGCTCGATTCCTCTTCGAGATATAAAGTATATTAACATTCGTCCGCTTTAAATAAGTGGGCTTTGAACAGCACGGGCTGTAATGTAAAAAAAATTCTAGCTGTGAGTATCAATTAAAACGAAAATAATATTTGCTATGAGAGATGCAGAATTTTATAACAATTTAAAATATATTTAACCAACATCAACACATTTAAACTATATCTAATAACAATAAAAATAAATAGCAAATTAAGACATGAGATTTTGCTACAGGTGTTCGACATATCGACCGTCTTCTGTTATGGAAAAAAGGGGCAGTTTTTGAACATTTCTCGCGGAATTCATTAACTCAGTAGGGGTGAAAGATAGCCTCTCATAACTGCTAAGTAATTTTAATACTTGTCTAGATTATACGGAAGAATAAGGAACCTTTATTCTTCCGCAAATATATCCATAGGATTAGATCCACGGGTACTAAGTCAGGCGGCCTCGACGGCCATCGGCTGGGATCTTTGGGAGCTATCCAATTATTCTTGAAATTGGCTACAAAAATTTGCTGATAACTTCAGCGTTCAGAAGCGGTGCGTCGTCTTGCTGGAAAAATATGTTTTCGAGTTCCATTAAGGGCATATTATCAATAAGAGGTCCAAAGCCTACTAGTTAAAAGTGGCGAACTTTTAAAAAATCTGTATTTCGAAGGGGATTATTACAAAATATCAAGTGTGCTACATTTTTGGAAAGGTAATTTTAAATTATTTTCAGTTAATAAAAATACAGAGGGTGTCCCAAATAAAAATCTATTTTTCTGTTGATAACTCTTAAATTATTAATTTTAAAAAAATTGTACTTATCCATTAAATTCTACGTAAAAAAGTGCTTTGGAAATGTTTTCATAAAAATACAAAATTTTTCATAGCAAAAAAGTTACAGCGATTTGTTAAAAATACACATTTTTGAAAAACACCCCGTAACTCCGAAACGGTAACGGATATTGACGTGCGGTTTTCACCATCATGATTTTAATGAAAATTGGGCTCCAGACACCGATATTGTATGTTTCCATTTAAAAGCGTCGAATTTGACCCACCCTGTACATACCGTACATTCCAATTAATTTAATTCATTTTCGTCTGATTAGTTATTAAAAAGACACTGTCATAAAAAAATCAAATTACCAAAAAAAGGCGGCAAGTTAGCTTGGCAATGACGATTATAAAAAAAACGGCGGCAAAGACGGCTGGGCAATGACAATCGATAATAATTCTGGCGAGGTCAAGCTCTAGACGTTATTTACATGGCCCGTACTCCTCTCTACTTTTTAATGGCGTTTACTACCAGTTAAGAAGGTTGTAATTTATTTTAAATTGGTGGTGTAGGTAGTTTCATAAATTCAAACATCTTTTTTTGGAAATAGGTTTGTGTGTCTGGAAACTTTTTTAATCTATAAAATAGTGTTAATTTTTGATAAGTTTTATGTCAATTTTTAGTAAATGACGTCTAGAGAATGACCACGCCAAAATTATCATCGACTGTTATTCTCCAGCCATCTGACGCCGTTTTTTTCGATTCATACAGAAAAATACAATTTTGGCGTGAAAAAATGCTTGATTCACCCTAATTTCCATAAAAACATTTTAAAATGTTTCTACAATACGATTGTGTGAATATTTCATATGAAAGATTAGAGTTAAAATTTCAAATTACTGGAAACTTAAAATAAACAACGAAACACCCTGTATATTAACGATAGATGTTACTAAAAAATAAACTCCCACCCACATTAAAATAATGATGGCATCAATACACAAGTTCAAAAGAAGTATCTATTAAAAATTATAATGATGTTATACCTATGACCCCTATAATCTAAGCTTTTTATAATTCGAAATCTATTAATAAATTCGGACGCTAGGAGTTATAAAAACGTCAGGTGACGTCACTTAAAGTTAAAGAAATACATTTCTTCAACATTTCCCAATACAGTTCCTATTTCTTCTAAAAATAAAATGCCTCAGATTCTAACAAAAAAGGTCAAAAATTGATGATAATAAATAAACACAAAAATATTGATCCCATCTCATAGACAAAATTCTTATCAATGTCCACTGCAAATTTAATCAAAAATAAACAAAACATCACGAGAAGTCCATTGATGATTTTCTTAAAATTTCCACAAAAAACTTTCTTTTGATAAGACCATATTGGTCTAAATATAAATACTACTGGTCAAATTCGTGAATTAAATGTAAACACTGATAAAAAAAATAATATAAATAATCTGATATATGTAGTACCTACCTATCAAGTAATTAAAAAAATACAAAATAATTAACATTTATACGAAAGATATTAAAACAAATATATTTTTACTATTTTTAGTTGGTTTTTATTCATATATTAACTCACAAACCTTTTTTTTTTTTGGACTGATGACATTCAAAAATTGACCCCAAAACTATTTATTTTTTAATTAAAATGACAGGAAACAAACGTCAGTGTCAAATACCCTTCAGTAAGATAAGGCTTATAGTCTTTCCAGTGAGAAAATACATTATTTCGACAGACTACATCCAATATATGATGAGAGAAAAAATAATGACGGACAACTTTCATAGTCATACAGGTATTCTTTCACTGGACAGACTATGGCTGTATGTCAAACGAAGATAAAATCTATGAAATCAACTAAAACATACATAATTTTTAAGTTTTCCTTAAATAATGGATTTCTTTTGTATATCTCTAGCTGTCAATCATTGTCAAAAACTCTGATAACTGTATTTACATTAATGACATAATTGATACAATATTATTTGATGTTGATACTGTATACTATATTGAATTAAAACAGCAATTTAATTCATATTATACTCTAAAAACTAACTAAATCATCGTTAAATAAACAGAATTTGAGTATAATCAGTCACACCCTGTATATACTCACGTACACAAATTGGCGGGTAGACTATAATATAATTACTAAAAAATTAATAAAAAAGAAGCACAAAACCCTTTTCCCGGGCACAAAAGCTAGAAAAAACGTTTAAAATCGAATAAAATCAACTTAATGGTGAAATTATTGTTGTAAAAAAGGTTGTCAAGGTCTTTCGTAGGGCTCTAGCTGTCAATTTTCGTCAAGAAGTTATATCCAAGCGAAAAAACTTTCTGTAAAACGAATTTATGTTAGAAATTGGGTATTTTAAAGGAAATTTCAGAGGTTCCGCATTGAATTAGTCGGCAAAAGAACAAAAATCTCGCACATCCGTTGCATTTAGCGACTGGTCAATCGAGAGACACTGGACTCGATGTTTCCTTTTCGCGAAAAACGAATTTTCTTAAAAGGACCACCGACCCAAAACGGAAAATCGGCCCCCGAATGACGAAAACGGGGCCCCTTCATAGGGTGCATCGTCGCGAAACGTGGAAAACCCGCAAGAAAAACTCGAAATCGAAAGGACCGATCTGATCGCAGCCATTTTGTAAACCAGATGGGGGAGTGTTATTCCATGTGTTCCCAGCCCGAAATTCACTATTTACACCGCACAAAATCGCGTAAAATGTCGTTTTACCTCGATTTTTCCACGCCGGGCTTCGCTACCACCGATCGGGGAGCCCCGCAAACCCTAAATCACTCACTCGCCGTAATTTGCTTACGGCAAAGAAACATTATATATCCCATTTTTAGTGACATACTTTTGACACTGAAATTCTTGTTTGCGTGGAGGAATCCTGCTGGGCACTGGTCCAGTAGAACTTAACACTCACTAATTGCTAGATTTTCGCTTAAAAAGTACGTAAAAATACACATAATATTGTTAAAAATAATTAAACGCGTTCAACAATAACAACTTTCCGCCATAGGACGTGCGCGGTTACGGATGCGCAAATTTGACAGCCATTACGAAAATTCATGACAGTTTTGACAGGGGAACTGACTCGTAGCTGGTGGTAAAAATCGAAAATTACTAGAAAAACAGCTGACCCAGGCGGAAATTATAAAATGTAAATTTTTAGAGTTACGTTTAAAATTAAGGAAAAATAAAGGTAAAAAACCGTTTAATTCATTCATATAATCCCTCTGTTAAATTTATAAGTAATAAAATACAAAACTGGTATCACGTTTTATTTAATAACAAAAAAAACTGACTTAATTCGACATTTATGGAGATTTCTAAGTTAAAAAAGATCTAATATCATCTACTTGGAACCGTCTCTATGATAAATACTGCTTAGCAGGAATCGAATAATCCCTTTGCCCTGATCCGTTCACATTCCTGGTCAATATCGTAGGTCCTAAAAATATCAATGCATTAGTTAGATTTCCCGATATATCTAAAGAATAAAATATTTATGTTATATGTACTTGTAAAAGTCAGCGTAGGCCTTCTTCCTAGCATCGTTATACAGGAATTTCATTGCCACCCCAGCTATGGCAGCTAGGCCAACGGCAACAGCCAAGTTGACTTTGATTTGGTTCTGAAGGAGTCTTCGAAGCTGGGGTTTAGCAAGAGTAGCTACTTTGTCTCCGGCCATTTTAATCAGTTTGATTTAGCCTGCAACAGAGTATAATAAATTCACTATTATGTAACAATCACAAGTAGTTAAAAAATGTATTAGTAAATAGAGTAAAAGTTATGTGGCGGTTTGAAAATATACTTGAGATATTAATAAATTAATTAATGAAAGTTAAAATGAATAAGTTTTTCGTTTTAATTACCCAAAAAATTAATTAAAATCTAGCAGCCACAAATCCACACCACCACACAATCTACACGAAAAATGACAATCGCTGTCTTGTTCCTTCTTCTTCCTCTTTAACGATGTTCCGGCGTTAATAAAATTTTATTACATAAAGAAACATAAAAATATTGCAATACTACTGCAAATTAATACTCGTGGTTAATTAGTAAATTAAATATAGATAGAAATAATAGATAACATCTGTTTTAAAGGCTTTTAATTAAAGTTTTCGATGATTTTTAGAAGTGCGCTTCGAGCCAGATTCAAGAAAAGAAGAGAGAGCGTGTTATGGCGCCAGTTTTAAATTTAAATTGCTTTCTTAAAATGTTGCTGTTTTTGTGCATATGAGTTAAAATAAACGTTTAATTATTGATTAGTGATATTTTGCATATTAAGGAATATGTGTTTATTACTGTTTTAAAGCTGTGAATCGTTTATATTTTTAGTTAAAACATGCTCACATTTTATTAAACGTCAAAAATTTCTAACCTTGAAAGATGATTTAAAAATTTCATGCATTATTACATCCAAATCAACATAATTATAAATGTTTCAAAACTTAAAAAGACTACAAATTATAAAGAAACATTATAATACCGTAATTATCTAATCATACATGTTTACATTAGTACTTATTATGACATTGCAAGATTCCTGAAAGTGAATTGTTGCTTTATCTTGATCCTTTTATCAAAGAAGCACCAAGTTAACTTGTACGTTATTTTATTTACTTAGTTATTTATATTATTACAAGAATAATGGCGACTGTGAAAAGACTGCCTAGTTGCATTCAAATTCCTTTAGATGAAGAGGAACTGAAAGATTTAGTTTCGAAAACCAAAGATTGGGCTATTATGCATGGGGTAGGTATACGATCAAAAACTGCTTTTAGTGAAGACTCTCTTAATTTTGCCCCTTTTGTACTGTTACCCACAACGTTTCCAAGAAAACAGTTTGAAAAAGCTGTAGAAATTCAAGTAAGTACAGTAAGATATCCTCTTAAAAATGTTAAAAACCTTTTTTGGTGTATTTTAGACAACTCTGAACGAACTTATGCATAGAGTGGCTCATAATAGAGAGTTTTTAAGGGAGACACTTAGAGAAACCATACAAGTCGATGAATTCACAGGGAATTTATATAAAATTTGGGAAACCGTACTAGACGAAGGCGTAGCTCAGGTAATAACATAAGTATTATTATTTTTATGAATGTCAAAGGTGATGGTAGCTTTAAATGATGCTTTATTTGTATATAGCCTCTTAGTTTAGGGTTAGTACGTAACGATATAATGTTGGATTCTTTGTCGAGTTGGAAACAGGTGGAATTTAACACTATAGCGGCTGGTTTTGGTTGGCTGGGGCCTTGTTCCTTAGCCATTAATAGGTAAATGTTTGTAATACCTTGTGAATTAATCAAAAAGATATTTTTTTGTAGTAGTTAGTAGTTTAATTTTTTTTTGTAAAAGTCTGTGATTAAGAGATCAAAATTTATAAGTTTTTTCCCAGCCAAAACCATATAAGTAACCAAAATGAAGGTTAGGTGTTATTTGTGTCTTTAATTTTAATTGTTAGACATATACAGGGTGGCATAGGTTTCCTCTTGGACTACTACTCCAATATTGTCTAAAAACTATGTGAGTTGTTTTCTGTGTTCCTAACAAATATTTAAATAATATTTTCATGGATGTTTACTCTAAAATTATATTTTCTTGAAGTAGAATGCTGTAGTATATCATTGAAAATGAATAATAGGAGACTTGGTATGGAACAATGGGCCACCCTGTATATATTAGATATTTGTAGCTGTAGTAGTAGAATTAAACTGTATGTAAATAAACATTTTGCTTGTATATGTTGTGTTAAAATAAATCAATGTGTATATGCCGAAATGAAGGAGAGTTACGCGAAAACTATACAGGGTGTTTAAAAAATGCACAGCCAAATTTCAGAGGGTGATTCTTGATAAAACAATATGGGAAAAGGATTCCTATAAAAGTAGACCCGAAATGCACAATTTTAAAGATACAGGATGCTAAAACTCTTAAAAAAAATGTTTTTTGTAGTTATCTTAAATACCATTTTATTCTTAATTTGCTGTGGTGAGCTCTGAACATCAATATTATAAATTGTAATTTGTTATCAAGTATTTTTTTCTGGAAAATAATTATAAATAGCAGTGGCGTAACTTGACAATTGGGGGCCTCGGTGCAAGATATTTTTGGGGGCCCCAGAGTCAAAAACTAAACAAATATAATATAATATATTTTTTATTATATATTTTTTAAAAGGGCTCTGCGAGGCAACAAGTTTCTGTGGCGTCCCGGTGCTTCGCATGCATCAAAAACCTCAGATCATATAACGCATAGATACGATTTTTCGAAACATATTTTGCAACCAACATAAACACATGACGTCACTTCAGGGCATAATATTAGCCTGTATGATTTTCCTCAAAATATATCGTTATAATTCGATAATGAAATTAAATAAAAGAGCCTAGTGAACGTACCAGGAACCTTCGACCATACAAAACATAGCCATGATTTTTCGAGCTCTATTTTGTAACCAACAAGATAAAAAAAGACGTGACGTCACTTCAGGGCATAGTATTAGCCTTATGTAGCTGTTTTTTTATCTTTTTTTACGTTAGCTTAGAGGTTTGATTTTGACTTTTGAAATTTTTGCCTACAATGCCTACCCTATATGTATATATACAACCCCTTGATTTGGTGTGGTTTCGTGAATTTTTCCTACACGATATTTAGTAAAATATGAACGCCATCAGTGCTGGGATGCATGATAATGTCTGTGTTTCTTTTAAACCTTTGTTTTAGAAAACTTGTCTTGGTCTGGTCAGATCTGACTACATGATACACAGCACCGAGATCAGCAGTATTAAACAGGTCGAATACAACACGATATCTGTAAGTCTAGCTGGCGTAGGCAACGGAATCTCCCTGTCTAATAGGTATATTCTATGTTTACTTTAACTGTTAAGTCAAATTCACCAAACCTTCATTAATTTTTGCACTGTACTTCACGAGTATTTATGTTTTTAGGTATGTTCTGGAAGAATTAGGACATTTTGATAAGCTACATAACGTAAGTAACTATAATCTCTCTATTTTTATTCTTTTTTATTCATACGACCGAAAAAAAAACGTCGTCAGCGATAACTATGAAATGAAGATCGCCATCATTTCATATGTAGAATTACATGGGTATGGTCATCGCTCGTCATTTCCAAGCCAACAGGACGCCGTTTTTTAACGATCATACTGTATTTCAAGTTAGGGGTACACTTTCTTATCTATTTGACAACATAGGGTGTCGAATAAGCCGAGAAACGGCGGTTCTCAAAATGTTAAAAACATTTTTTTAAATTTTTGTTAGATATCTCAATTATTTTTAATTTAATAGATAGAAATTATATGTTTCTTTTAACCAGATCTTATCCTTTATAAAGCTTTGCACTTACAATTCATACCAAATAAACTTTTAGTCACGTGATTAAGCTTGACCGGCACAGCGTTGCCCACAGTTATATATTTTCTTTTAATCAAAATATTTTAGGAACCAAAAATAAATTAATTATAAATATATAAACAGTTATTATTTACATCAACAAAACTCACCTTCTTAACAGCACTTAAGGGACATAAAGGGCCATTACTATCGCTTTCCCGTTCAAAATAATTTAATAAAGTTGCGTTCAATTTTTAACGGCTATTAAGCTATGTTGTACTCTTCGCACTAAAAGAGGTTCTAAAAAGGACAAGGTTCGACTGCAAAGTCTGCTAGTAAACATGTTTAAGCTTAAAGTATCACCAACTAGGGAATGCAATCCCGCACCAAAATCTCATTCCCGTAAACCCGCGGGATTAAAGCAATCAATCCCGCGGATCCGCAAAATTGAGGGACTATACATTTGGTCCTAAATGGTACAAAAGGCATTGTACATTTTGCATAGGCCCACAATATATTGATATAGCGTGTATCTTAAACTAATTGTACAGAAATTTGGACCAATGTGTACAGAGTGTTCAAAAAATATATTTAATATTAAATAAACTTAAATTTTATTATAATTTATCTACTTATTTTATAAATAAAAATATTATTGTGATGTTGAAGTTTTTTTTTAACTTGTGTTAGTTATCTGCTTTTAGATACACTCTATTACAATAATTTTTTGGCATGTGCAGAATGTACAAAGCTTTTTGTACCATTTAGAACAATACGTATGACTAAAAATGCATATTTTTCGAAAAAATATCGTATTTTCCTTAAAACAAAAAAAAATTAAAAAACCGATCAAATTGTTTTTTGTAATTTCAATACAGATTAGTCGTACTTGGTAAAAAATTCGATTTTTTAAAAATTGTAAATTTGCGGTAAAAAAGATTCTTGACCAAATTTTCACACTCTTAAAAAGCACCCTGTATGCGAGAATTCACTAAATATATTTCCGAAAACCACATAGCAACTTAATCACAATAGATGCATCTAAAACCTGGTCCAAACCGCATCCCAAAATCTTTTTTAGTTCAAGAGATATTCAACTTTAAATTTACCCTAAAATTTTGTTTGGCCCGATAATTATGTCCGGCAGTTTATTTGACGAAATTGTCCACAAGTGCTAGTTAACCGCTTTTCTTCACTTAGGCACGCCAGAAAGAGAAAGAAATCTAACAACTAAATGGTGGGTTCATACAGCCAAATAAAATAAAATAAGAATAAAATAAAATAAGAAATAAGGAATTCTTATTTGTGTGCGTTCATACAGTCAAATAAAATAAAATAAGAAATATATATTTGCTCATGCGCAGTACGATGAGGCTAGATAAAAGTTAACTTTTACGATTGTTTATAGTAATTTTACTATTTATAGTATATTTATTTATTCGTTGCCTACTATATTATACATTTTACTTATGTGAAATTATAAAATAAATTAAATCCAAACTGAAAATATTTGTAGGTTAGAATTAAGCGTGCGCAAAGCCGTTTTCACATAAAATAAAACAAGAAGTTAAAAGATAAAGACTTCTTATTTTATTTGTTATTTTATTTGGCTGTATGAACGCATGTACGGTATCCCATATAACCAACTTTCTTATTTTATTTTATTTTATTCTTATTTTATTTTATTTTATTCTTATTTTATTTTATTTTAATTAATGGGAAGGATGTATCTGATGGAGTGTCAGCAAACGATCAATGTTTGGCTTTATTTTTGTGAGCAATAACCGCAAATCCCCCCGCTCTGTGATGTTTAATTTGCTCCTTTTTTTTGTTAAGAGGTTTGTAACGGCACTAAAACTCCTTTCGACAAGGTATGACGAGGGAAAAGCTATTAAAAATTTCCTTGCGATTTCCCACAGTCCAGGATATTTTTCGGGTATTTCTGCTTGCAGCCAAAATGTTGGGTAGCCTTTTCTAAATTTCACCTTCAGCTCCTCATTAGTGCTTAGCTCGAGCAGCTCCTCTTGTAATACAACATTGGCCACTTCCGTTTCATCAAATGGATTTATGATCCATGGTGGTATATCCATCGTCAGTATATCTTCAAACCTGGTTTTGAAGTCATCATGCAGAGCACTTAAATGTTGACTGTAGGTATGGATATCCTCATCAATACATTCTACCTGCGACAAGTTTGGAAATTGAGAGAATTCGCGCCGACTAATGTTTTGCTTCATAAATTTCAATTTCCCAAGAAAAGCCGAAATTATCCCCTTTGTTTTTATTAAATTCAGGCTGTCCCCTTGTAACTGCAAGTTAATATCATTAAATTTTTTAAACAAATCTGTCAAATACGCAATGTCTGCTTTGAATTTGATCAAGTTTTCTTTTAAATCTGGATCTCTACTTTCTAAGAACTCTAATATGGAATCGAAAACAGAGTAAAATCTCGTTAAGCATGCACCTTTCGACAACCAGCGTACTTCAGTATGTAAGAGCAGTCGTTGGAAGTCTTCATCATTTTCGTCGCACAATTGAGCAAATAAACGCGTATTCAATGCATTGCTTCTGATTTTGTTGACAGCTTTTATTACAAAATGAAGAGATTGGTTCAACCTGTCACTTAAATGTTTTGCCACAAGATGTTGTCGGTGGATTACGCAATGAATAGCTGTAAGTCCTGGTATAATTCTTTTGAGATGACTTATAAACCCACGATATCGCCCGACCATTGCAGGAGCTCCGTCTGTTGCCACTGAAATAATGTTTGTAAATGGGATCGATTTTTCCGTAAAAAAATTACTCAGGACATTAAATATTGATTCGCCTTTAGTGTCAGTCTCCAAAGTTCTGGCAAATAGCAATTCTTCGTGAATTTCTTCCTCAACAATAAATCGGACATATGCCAATAGTAATGCTTCATTACTGGGTAACGTTGACTCGTCCAGTTGTATAGAAAAATGAGTTTTTTGCAGATGATTGCACAAAAAGCTTTCGATATCAGAGCTCATTTCATCAATGCGTCTTTGTACAGTATTGTTACTTAATGGAATTCTTTTTAGTACGTCAAATGGAGATTTGTGCAAAACAGTTTTTAAAACCTCTTCAACAGCGGGTAAAATTAATTGTTCTCCGATAGTGTGCGGTTTTCCAGATTTTGCTATAAGTAATGAGATATTGTAAGATGCCCGCAAGCCATCATCGTTACTTTGAGATGTTGAAGCGAACATACTGTGCATGGTGGGTCTCTTTCCATATTTTTCTTTCAATGTTTGAAAATATTTTAAATCTTTACCTATTTTATCAGTATGACACCTTTTTAGATGATCTTCGAGCTTTGATGGTTTCATAGAGTCATTGCTCAAAACTTTGTTGCATAATAGGCACATGGGCAATTGTTTGTCTGCCTCTGATGGAACAAAACCATATTTCAAATAATCGATACTATATTGTCGACATTTTTTCTTTGCTGTAGCCATGTTTCGTGTCAGTTACCTTACCTGTAAAAAATGTTTTAGTAACCAAGTTTTTTCTGAATATAGGTATCACACCGCAGCCTTTGTCAGCACGCGGAAATAGAATTACGGCTTGTAAAGGGACCAACTAATAAACCGCTGAGACAAATACAGACGTTTTCACAAAACGGTATCAATTTTAAAGTACATAATTTACCACTAATTTTTGATAGTATAAATAAAAATTGGTGTACTCAGTATCGAATACTGATCATATTTGTGTAGGAAAAAATAAAAGTCGAAATCCCAAAATTGTCCATAAAAACGATAACTAACATTTTATTAAATATTAAATCAATGAGTTCACGCGCTCCGTGTATTTGCGTATTTTTTGTCTGCGGCTTCATTGTTAAAACGTGACAAACTGGCATCGAAGTCCAAGCCCCGCCCTTTTCCCGTCGCCCGCGCACCGCTCGCTCTTTCCGAAAAGGAATAGTTTTGATAAAATAGTTACTTCAAAACCAATTTAAAATGATTATGAAATTACTGTTTTATAAAATTAGTAGTTATTTGCAAGAAAAATTACAAAATTAATTGCTCTGCAATATTGCTTATTCGGCCTTTTAGAGAGGCAGTGTTTCTCTCGTGAAAAACAATTGAATAAAACGTGCTGTGTTTGTCTTCAAATCGAAAGAGGACAATTAAAATATCTGTAAGTTACTAAGTTACCTATCTATACAGGCCGTTGTGATCAACCGACTAGTACACGTAAACAAAATACTTAAGTACTATAACAAAAAAAAGGTAGGTTACTTACTTTTCTCCGGCACTAGCAAACACAGATATAAATTTTCTCACAACTTTTTTTCCAAATTCCGTTGCCTTTGGCATCAAGTATTTATAGTGGTGATCAAGTTCATGTCTGAACAAGCATTAAACATTGTCGGGCGGATAGCGCTTTGCAAGTCTGTACACGAAATTGTACGTAATATCGAATACGCAAGTTTGGACAAGTAACAGTCGCTTGCCTTATTAAAATATTATCTGCTTAGATAGGTACTTAAAACAATGTAGGTAGGCCCTTATAAAACTATGCTTACATTTTTGCTCTTTACTATCAAAAGCAGATAAATTTTCGTGGACCCCCATTAACATCTTATGGACCCCCATTTTTTGTTCACGCCTACGTAGACCCCCAGCAAGTCTCCCGTGGACCCCTGGGGGTCCACCTGGACCACTTTGGGAATCACTGATTTAGATCATACCACGAACAAGCCGAAAGGACGACGGGGCACAGAATATACTAACGAAAAAGAAGCCCAAGTTCCTTGTAATAAATCGGTTCCATTTTCGTATCTCTCGACATAGCCGACATTTACAGGTTAGCCAAAAGGGTGTGGGGCCGGGGGGAATTGTAAAATCCACTTTTTTATATTAATTATTTTTATTCGCTATTTGCAATTTTATTTTTAAAACATATTATGTGAAACAATCACATAATATGTCTTAAAAATAAAATTACAAACGGATACAAAAGGAATTAAATAATCTGAAAATCTACAAAGTTTATTGATAAAAAAGTTAGGCTATGCAAATTGATATATTAAGTTAAAAAAACCTCTTTGGTATAACATTGTTAAACAAACATTAACAAATCATAACATATCAGATCATAGAACTAAAAAAAGTACTATTACATAAAAACAGGTGATACAATACTTTAAAATTGATTTTAACATAATATCAAAACCGAAAAATCAAACTGCAAACACAACCACACTTATCATAAAAGAAATTAACACACACTTCCGCGGCAAACGTCCAAGAAAGACTGATCATTCTGATTGGTCCTGGTCCGGTCGTAGCACACGTCGTATTGTCGGTAAGCAAAATCCCTGTACAAAAATTTTAACGATCAGCGCCATCACCCGTCATAATTGGGAAACTTTGTATGCTGGAACCATTTTTAATATTTCACTTACATGGCCCTGCGACGGGGATAGACTGAAGATTTTTAAAATTCAGCCGGTCGCCCCTCTTTTGATCAGGTACCAATCATAAAACAGAAAAATTCTTATTGGCTGTCGCTTTCTCCCGCCAGGCGACACTAGCGCACGGTGTCTTGAAGTCGTACTAATTTCGTGGTTTGACGTTTCGCGGAGAGTGCGCAGGGCCTGGATCAGAGTAAGTAAACCGACGAGTAGCGACAGTCCCGTTTTCAATTTTCTTTACGGCTGCGCGAAATAAATAGGTTATCTGTCATATGAAGAAGCGAAGTTGCCACTGTTGCCATTTATCAAATATCTCTATATACTTTAATAACTTTATTTCAAGTATACCTCAGGCAACGAATCGTTTTTTTAATTATTTATTAGCTGTAAGATATTTTATACATTCAAATTTAGAAATAAGGATAAAACAAAACAAAAAACATATGTATAAAACTTTATAATTAATTCCACTTCAAATTATGAGCAGTGTATACCATGTTTATAGGGCCACTTCATAAGTTGAGCAGTTAAATACGTAGTATATCTGTCAAACATGTCAAAAGAGAGAGAAAGAAAATTTGGTCCCACCACATCAAAAGAGCCGACGGTTTCTGTCGCTACTCGGCGATCTACTTACTCTGGTTTGATCTTGATTGAGATCGATTCGGTTACCCAGTAGTAATGTGTCGATCCCGCAGATCCCGCACGGTAAATCCCGCAACTTTGATCCCGCGGAATCTCAGATTGATCCCGCATTTGCGGGATCCAGCATTTGCGGGATTGCATTCCCTAATCACAACACTATTTATTTAAACCAAAAACTTGTAATTCAAAACTAAAGTGTCAAAACGAATGACAATGTCAGGAAATAAATAAATAAATAAATGCGGCAATTTTTTACAGCAGAGCTACCACGTAAATCACCAGCGCGAAATTTAAATTCCAGTTAGTCAGCCCAGCGCCGAATATGTCCATGGTTGGCAACAATGAATTTAAAAATCGCGCTCTCGATTACGTAACTAAAAGTTTAATTGATATCAAGTATATTTAAGAGACACAGTATCTTTTAAGTGTAAAATAATATTTTTTCAAGCTCCCTGAGAACAATGCTCTCACAGGCATCACATTGGGTCTCTTGGATGCCTGGAAAATTTACGGTGACCCAAAATCAGCAGTTCTTTTCGTCGTGGAAGACATAACCTATAATATCTGTGATCAAAGGTTTCACGAATTTGAGCTCAAACGATTGAATCCCAGAGTGAAAGTTATTAGGAAAACTCTAACAGAAATTCATTTTGAAGGTGCACTGTCTTCAGAAAATGAACTTCTTGTGTAAGATTTTTTTTAAATTTTTTATAGTGTTTTTGATGGAAAAACATGTTTTTTTAGGAATGGTATTGTAATCAGTGTGGTTTACTTTAGGTCAGCATATACTCCTGATCAGATTCCAACAAAAAAAGAGTGGGATGCTAGACTGCTTATTGAAAGGTAAATTTTTGATGCGGTTTTTTATAATTTATGAACTATTTGTTACAAAAAAGGGCACGCATTGCATAAAGTATTGAAATGTGATACTATGAAAATCAGTCGTTTAATATTAAAACTAAGGAAGGAATTAAAAAAGTAAAGTCACCTAAGTTTGTATTAGTTATATTTCTTTCTTAAGTCTTTTTATTCAATATCTATCATATTTTAGGAAAAAATGCGATGTTGCCAATCTTCGCAAAATCCTGAAATTTAAGGAAATAAATATTTTCTGATTTTTAGATCGCTCATTTTGTTGATATACTCCTTTTTAACATTTTTTATATTCCGGGAAAAATGCAATGTTGCCAAAGTTTGCAAAATTTCCTGAAATTGCAGATTTTTTTTTTCATAATTTTAGGTCACTAGCTATCAAGTGCCCGTCTATACAGTACCATTTGGCTGGTACGAAAAAAGTACAGCAGGCTCTTGCCAAACCGGGCGCAATAGAACTGTTTTTGTCCGAATCGAAGAAAATCGAAGCGGTTAGGGAGGTTTTTACCGGACTATATGGCTTGGATTTCGACGAAGCTGGTGACCAGGCAGTGCAAATGGCCTTGGACGACCCGGAAAGGTACGTTTTGAAGCCACAACGCGAAGGAGGCGGCAACAATGTCTATGGAAAGGAAATTAGGGATACCTTGTTGGCGATGAAGGATTCCCGAGAACGTACAGCCTGGATTTTGATGGAAAGGTACTATATATGTACTGTGTGTTTGTTTTCGTTTATCGAAAATAGAAGTTGCTTTATGTTCGTTACAAAAATACTTTTCGAAAAATCGTGTCTGTATGTTTATACGATCTAAAGTTTGTTGATATATTATTAAGGCTCATTTATTTAATTTTATTAATCAATTACTGGTTAATATTAACAAAAAATAAATTAGGATTAATATTATGCCCTAATGTGACGTTATTGTTACCCCTTGTTGGTTACAAAATATGTTTTGGAAAATTGTGTCCATGTTTCATATTGTCTAGGGTTCTTTTTTTTAAGTCTGTTTTATTAAATATCTTTAAAAAATTATTGATCTATATTGAGTAAAAATAAGATAAGGCTGTCGAAATATTGTTTCTACCTTTTATATGATTTAAAGTGTTTGTTATGTTCTTTATTCTTTTTTGTATTATTAGATCAACAAATGACTGGTTTATATTGAGTAAAAACTAAATAAAACTAATGTTTTGCCCTGAAGTGACGTCAATTTTTCTTTATTATGTTGGTTACAAAATAAGTCTCGACAATCCTGTCTATGTTTTATATGGTCTAAGGTTCTTGGTATGTTTTTTATACATATCCTCTTATCAATTTAAGAGTGGAAATACCGAAAGGGATAAGTGCCAAATTTTTCAATATTAAGTTATTAAATTAGAAACGTAATAAATACTATGCTGCATGTCCTAACAAAAGTGCCAAGCGAAAGCGTCTATTGTTTATGTATATTATACAGGTTATTAATTTATTATTAGCTTAGTACTCATTATTTGGAATTGGATACAGTGTTGCCATTCTGTTCCCCAATAAGTAACCGTCCAGTTAACAACCCATGCACATGTCTTTTAAAAGATATTTTAAAAATTTATTAGTGTCAGTTCTAATGTGTTTTTCTCATTTATCTCGAAAAAACAATATAGGCTAATATTGTGCCCTGAAGTGACGTCAATATTATTATGTTGGTTACAAAATATGTTTCGAAAAACTGTATCCATATGTTATATGATCTAAGGTTCGTGATATGTTTTTGTTGGTCTCTAGTATATTTTTTTGTAGAATAAGGCCGCCTATATCTACAGGGTACATCGTAAGAGCGGGTAATACAAACCCACCACCTCTAGTTGAAATGGTATCGGAATTGGGAATATTTGGAGTTGTTATTGGGTAAAAAAATTAAAAAAAAACATAAATATTACGACGTTTTTTTGATATTTTCACTTGTTTTTCTCCAGGGATTCCCAAAATATATCAGTGAATCGACAAGTAGGTCATATGCTTCGGACGAAAGTAGCCACAGCTGACGAAGGCGGTGTCGCAGCAGGGTTGGGGGCCTTGGACAGCCCTTATCTTATCGACATCGATTAGTAGAACTACTTATTATACAGGGCGGTTGAGAAGAACGTCGAGAAAATTTTATGAGCCACCCTGTATACACAGCCACGCATTCGAAAAATAGTATTTTTGTCACGTTGTTTTTTATTGTTAAATATACATCACAGTTTTAAATTTATAGAATATATATTTTATAAATAAACGTTTTTAGTAATATGAGTGTATTATTTTAATTCTCTCAGTAAAATGGACATTCTATATAATATTTAATCAGTTCCAATCAAAATTTAAGTAGAGTAAAATCAGTTCTAAAAAAGGCAATCTTCAGGTATTTCTCTAGCTACTGTGTCTTCTTCATCTAGGAGCTGTTGAGATATTTAAAAAACTAAAGAAATGTATAATTCGAATTTTAAAAGAATTAGTGTTTGAAAGAAATATAAATATAGGTACATTCAAAATATAAATTCTTTGATGTTTAAAAGTTTTTGTTTTATTTATTTTCCTTTTTTAATTATCTCAATCAAATAAAACCAGATTTTTTCTTAATAAATAGTAATTTTATTAAATTTCTACAAGAAATAAGAGAAATGGACTATGAAAAATACTGTACTGATACTGGCTTTCTATGGGACTTCTTTAGTCGGAAGGGCACGAATCAAATAAACCCTTTTTACGTATTTCTTCGCATTCCTTGTCAATGTCGTAGTTCCTGAAATGAAATAAAAATATCTATGAACTGAATTTTTAATAATTATTGCAATAACGCTTTAATATACAGGGTGTAAAAAATATAATGTACCAAACTTCAGTAGTTCCTGTTAACATATGCTCTAAGATGCTTTCTGAGGAAATTACAGCGTTTGAAAGCCTATACAGTCCTTACAACCCTTACTTGGAACATATTTGTAAATTTTTAGAGCATATCAGGTACGTATAACATTGTTATTTGTTTAAATACATTTCATTCAAAATTCCTACTAGTTACCTATCAAAAATTTCCTCTACCTATCAAACAACCCTCTACCTCAGTAGACTGAAGCTAAGAAACAACGGCAAATGCAGATTCTGTGGGGAAACACCAGAATACATTACGGGGTACGTCGAGACGACAACCATTCAATATCTGATATCGGAAAAACTGTAAAATATATATCGCAAAAAAAACTTCTGTAAAATAATCTGAAATACTGGCTTTTGTCAAAGCCATGGTACTCTCTGATGAGTTATAAATCAGGAAAGGGGGACACAATAGATACATGAAACAAGGAAAATGTATACTACATTCGGACATGGAAAATATGTACTGCATTTTGATATCAGAAGTGGGATTGACCTACTAACAGTTTCACAAAAGTTTTAAAAAGTGGCCATATGTTGTGTGTGAAACCATAAGTGCTGAGAAATGAAATGTTAGTGAATTTTGATTAACGTCATATTTTTTACTTTTGTTAAAGTATGATATCACCCTTTCCGTAGCACTGAACTAAATAAATTTTGTGCTTCTGTAACATTTTAAAACAGCAAAAAATATGACGTTAATTGAAATTCTATTAATAACAATCTATCAAAGAATGAAATCGAAATTATATTACCATAGAAGCGCCTTTTGATTTTTAGGACTTCGAAAAAATTCAACCATATTTTCATGTTTTTTTTAATTTTCCCTAAAACGGTATGGAAATTTGGAAAAATATAAACAAGATTAACCATTTTAGAACAAGCAAAAATGTTATGAAGAATGCATTTTTCTCCAAATGCCAATAATAAACAAGTTTTTCCTCTTGTAAAGACAATCCAGGGACATACTGTATACAAAAACACAGGATATTTGTATTTATCAATATATATTTATATACCGGAGATTTATGCACCTGCGATAAATTTAACGATCTGATGACTGATTTATATAAAAATTCCGGAAATATAAATCTTGCAACAATCAATAAAATCTATTTTTCTACTGAATTTTTTTAGCAGGATTTTTTAAATTCGACGAAATCTCTGACAGTGACAGTTGTGTCATCTTGTCATTTTACTATGATTTTACTTCACCAGTAAATTGTATTTTGCGTCACATTTTGGATGTCGTCCTGAAGATTAATTCGAATCTATAGAAATGGCTCTAAAGGTAGCCGTACACTTACAGTTTTTCTGGACAGTTTTGCCTCGATGAAGAACTCTACGTGTGTGATTTCCTTTAGCAAGGGATTGATTTTCTTATTTTATTTATTTATAGGAACTTACTTGTAAAACTCGGCGTATTTTTGTTTTCTCGCATCGTTGTGGAAGATTTGAAATGCCGTTCCTGCAGTGACTAGAGTTACGCCTATGATGATTAAGTTCCTTTTAATTGCGCTGTGTAGTAAACCTCTCAGCTGAGGTCTTTTTAGTGGGCTAGTAACTTGAGACATGTCTCTTTACTTCAATCTCTTAATGATTTTCCTTAAAAAAAATTTCATTATAATAGCAAATTAGGGGATTAATGTGGCTTAAAGTCTTAAAGTGCCGTTGATCAGTGCCATACTAATTATTTAACAACGCAACTGTCCAAACGCAAGCAAGGGACGGTCTTCTGGTCTTTTCATTGGTTGCGACCAGTCTTCCTAAGCAAATAAATGTCCCGTTGTTTTAACAACTATTAAAATTATCTTTTCTAATTATTTTTAATAAATTTTAATGGCTTTCCAACAGGTTTTTACAATGACAAATAACTATTTTCAAGGTAGGATGTGTCTTAAAAATATACTTTTCATTATGAAACAAGAAAGTTTCGTTCTTTTGCGAATTTTTCATTTGCATACGATGCTTTGGTCACGTAGGCTATGCATCATGCATCATCTGTGAAAATATGAGATTTATACATAGAAAATTAGCGATAACAGTTGCCCGTAAAACCAATATTTATTCAAGTTATTTTTATTTTCACAGCTTTGTCGTATTAGAACTGCATACCAAATTGCGAAATTACTCAGTATACAGAGTCCGCAAAAATAAAATGCATCAAAACGATATGTATTATTATAAGAGACCTCAAGAATATAAATAATATAAAAAATAAGGTATCCAAAATATACAAACCAGATGAGAACAGAAAAATGCTAGAAGTTGTCACCTCTATTTATTAAAAAAGTTTATGAACAAAGATCGTATATGATTAATATACAGGGTGGGTCTTAAATAAGTGCAAATATTTTCAGGGCTGGTAGATCTCGATAAAAGAAACATATTTTCTCTTTGCCGTTTTTCAAATAAGTCCAAAATAACCGAGTTATTCAAATTTGAAAATTAAAAAAAAAGATTTTTGTTTAAATTCTAGAACCACTGTATCTTAGATTACAGTTGGGGGTTGGAACCTTGGGGGTTACACAGCAAAATAAAACACTAAATCACCACAATACACCAAAAACACTTTTACTTTTACACTGGACGCGCGTTTCGCTAACCATAATATTAGCATCATCAGCAGATGATAAACTCAAGTATTCATCATGATGAGTGTTTTATTTTGCTGTTCCACTGTATGTTTTCTTCATTATGGTTTTTAATATTTTTTTTTGTTTTTTAATAATGTTTTTTTTTAATGTTGCTTAAACAATCGTTGAAATCTGTTGATTGATTAGAAAATAGTGTATTCCAAAAACTAAACTAGATACTTTTTTTCTTAAAAACATTTTAAAATACCTAGGTATATCCTATTTTTAATATATTGTATATCTTACTTGTATAGGACACACTTAACTAAAATACGTGTTTTATATCATTCTATAAGTTGAAAATACGAAGATATTCACATACAAACAATTAAAAATAGCGTTTAAACCACAAGATGATTAACAACACAAAAACAACTTACCGGATATTAGCACAGCTTTATAGGTTTTCACTGCCTAATTCAAACTAAATTCAAACAAACACGAAAGGCTATTGGTCTATTTTTTACCCGCCAGGGTTGGGTAAAACAAAATTTGATACTTTAGTTACATTTACTACCTAAGTAAAGCAATTACTTTATTTAGTATGATTTATATCTAATTAAAAAGACGGACCAACAAATGGATAAAAATAGATGAAGAATATCTTAACCATCTAAGATTCGCTAATTGTCAATAGTCCTGAAGGACTACAAACACAAATTTACGATCTAAATATAGCGCTTGTTCTTTATCCCTAAACGCATTTTCGTGTTTGATCTATTCAAACAGAAATCCTATTTTTGTGTTTAAATTTCGAGTTTTTGGAATGTGTGGTGTTAGAAATTATACCTGTATCCTGTGTGCTAACTTTGATGTAAACTGTTGCTGCTAGACATAAACTGCTAGACTCCATAAAGGGTCTAAAGGGTAGTATAATCTGGTATAATACCATACGATCGAAAAAAACCGCGTCAGAGGTGGCTTGGAAATGAAGATTGCTATTATTTTGTATGTAAAATTAGATGGGGAATGTCATCGATCGTAATTTTCAAGCCAATTGAACGCCGTTTTTTTTCGATGGTACAGTATAAATTGAAAGCCGTTAACTCATACAAATAAACTTCTAAATTTTGACGCAAAATTCATTGACATAATATGTAGGTATATTTTAGAGCTGTTAATAAACATATCCAATGAATAACGTCAAAATGTGGCTAAATAAAACTAAATCGCGAACGTTTTTACTATAAACAAAGGATGAAGTAACTATTGTCGAATAACAGTCCTCATATAATGTCCTAAAAATATTCTATAATGCTCCCAACATCATCCTTGTATTATCCTACAAATATCCCAAATAATCGTAAAAGGCTTGCCTAGGGATGTCTTGAAGATTACTTTTTTTGTCCCATTTGGATATCCCATAAATATCCTCCTCTGGTTTTTGGATATCCCTAAGATATTTACTATATCCTTGGTGGATATCCTCAAGATATCTATAGGATTGTGTTGTGTTATATGGGTATGTATTTAAATATTTTATAAAGAAAATTTCCTTGTGAATCCAATGTACTATGATGTTAGTATTTAAGGCATTATTGTGCAGAGGATGTTGTTTTGTTAATTGACTAATTCAAACTGTCCTGATGTTGAGAATAAAATTCTCGAAAGCTTGACAAATTGAATAAGTAGTTTTATTAGCCTACGTGCTGATTATTGACTGGGCATCCTCACTTAAATTTTGAGTTTTTTATTATTATTAATAATTTACAGAAGTAGTAAATTCAATACAAACGCATCCCTGATTTACACTCCCTATTGGGCTCGGCGATAAAGTTAAACAGAACTTTTCTGTATTCGTCCTTCAAAAGGACAAATTTTACGAAGGGTTTGACCTTAAGGGAGAAAAATAAGCAAGACAATGTTACGTGATTCTTTAAAATAAGGATTTCTATGATGTAATAAACGTAAAAATAATGTTTCAACTCACCTGAATGGCTGATAAGTAATGATTAGATAAATAAAGGCTGAAATAATTTTGAAAGTTTATTGATAAGATATCTATTTGTCGATATAATGTTTATCTTTTGGATAGAATTTAGCAGTGGCAGCTTAACCATGAGGTCAAATGGGCAATGCTCCCCCAAAAAAATCAGGAGAAAGTTAGAAAAACTTATTTAAATTATACTTTTTGTAAATCCCTTTTTTTCATCCTAAAGTATTCAAAATTATTTCCAATTTATCCAATTTTCGCTTGAAAACATTTTATTTTACCCATTTTCTCTACTGACAGACGATATAAAAAGTGGCGGTTTTTGTCTTTGTCTAGAAACCCCAGCGTATTATTATTGTAATTTGTAATATTGTTTATTAGTTGAGAACAGGGGCGGATACAGGAATTTATTTTAGGGGGGGGCCCAAAATAAAAAGTAATGTAGAATATGCTTTTTAGGGCGCCATTTTTAACCAAAAAGCCTAATATTTAACACAACCTACAGATTTTAGGGGGGGGGCCCATGGGCCCCCCTCTCTATCCGCCACTGGTTGAGAATCAATATAGTTGATTAAGAAATATCGAGTGCATTATCTATACTAATATATAAAATCCTTAAGTGACTGACATACTGATCAATCACGATCCAGCTCAAACCACTCAACGTAAGAAGCTCAATTTTGGCATACGGGTTGATTCTAGGGTGTAGAGGTTCGATAAGAAGGGATTTTTCGAAATTCCAGTTCCAAGAGGGTGAAACCACCCCTCAAATATTACAATATTTTTTATTAAAAAAACTGCCTATCGTCTCAGTCCTCACTGTGCCATAGTCATCCCGTGCTACAGTTGCAGCCAAACTGTGCGGCAGCGTAACCATCACAGTTTAACCCTTTTACGCAGCTAACGCTCATCAAAGATGGAACATTCGAGTGGGACAAAATCATCGTCCGGAGGTAAAATACCCACTCGATCGGATCTCCGGGAGGGGGTGCCTACTCGAGCGTATCATCGGAGAATTAAGCAGCGTCAATGTTTCACGTTTGCGGCGTGGAACGTCCGCACTCTCCTGGACAGGACAAATTCTAATCGACCAGAAAGAAGAACTGCTCTGGTCTCACAGGAACTCCACCGGCTAAGTATAGAAGTTGCCGTTCTTAACGAAACCCGCTTTGCAGATGAAGGTAGTCTGACTGAGGAGCATTACACCTTCTTTTGGAAGGGTCACCCTGTCACATACAGTAGAATTCATGGCGTAGGCATTGCTGTCAAAAACGAAATCGCCACCAAATTAACAGAAGTGCCCATTGGAGTCTCCGAACGTCTCATGACCCTAAGGTACCCCATATCAGATAAAACTTACGTCAATATCATTAGTGGCCAGACATATTGGGAAAACATGGAATGGGGAACGTAAATAGCAATGGTGAATGCTTGCTAACAACATGCACAGAGTACAACCTTTGCATCACCAATACATGGTTCGAGCTGAAAGGCAAGTTTAAAGGTACCTGGAAACATCCCAGATCAGGCCACTGGCATCAATATGGATCACGTCATTGTTCGAAGGAAGCAACTGAAAGATGTCAGACTTACAAAAGCCAGAATAGATGCCGAATGTGGTACTGACCACCGACTTGTAGTTTCGAAAATGAAACTTCAATTAAAATCCAAACATCCACACTTCTTGCTAAGTGTCCTGCCCATTGCCACTTGTGGAATTTGATTCTGTTGATGACATCTATTACCTGGGTCTTTTGTCGTATCAACTCTTTTCTTTTACGGTCTTTCTTGGTTATTCCCAGCATATTTCGTTCCATTGAGCATTGTGCGATCGGCAATTTTCTTCTAATGTCCCTTTTAAGTGTCCAGGGGCAGGGGGACAAAAAGAATAACATTTTTTTAACCTTTTTAGTATAGTGTGTAAATGAAATAAAAATATAATAAAAAAACATACGAAATAAGTATGTTGCAACGAATTATTTTGTTGAACTGATTTTCCGCAGCATAAAATTCATTTTATTATCCGAATTTTTAATTAAAAATGCAATATATTGCATTTACATACGATGTAAGTGCATATATAAAAATTATATTGCGGTATATATTTGCTGGATATATTTTTTTAAACGCAGTCAGGTGGTTCTAATAAAAATGTCTGGACTGGTAAGTACATAGCTGAACTAGTTATAGTACGTACTATATATCCACTAGAATATAATATCTAGTTTTAGAAATCTAATTTAAAAATTGTTTGTAAGATTAATTTTTACTTTATAGTAAGACACCGGATTATCTTTACAAGAGGAAAAACTTTTTTATTATTGATATTTTGAGGAAAATGTATTCTTCACAAAAAAATTTGCTTGTTCGGCTTGTTCCATATTTTTATGATTTTTTTTAATTTTCTCTAAAACGGTATGGAAATTTGAAAAAATATAAACGGCAATAACAATTTTAAAACAAGCTAATTTTTTTATGAAGAATGCATTTTTCTCAAATTATCAATAGTAAAAAAGTTTTTCCACTTGTAAAGACAATCCGGGGACATAGTGTATATGAAGGTTGAAAAAAAAATTAATGAATTTTTATACGAAAATCTGGAATCTACATTTTTCAACGTTTATGATATACTTTTTGATAATTAAAATGCAGGGTGTCAAAACATAGTGTCTCTAGCTTCGGTGGGTGGTTCTACAGATAAAAATAAAACAAAAAGCTAAATAATAAAATGCTTCCCGAAGAAACTACAGCCTTCGAAAGGGTAAATAAAAATAATATATTTTGTCTATTTTTAAGAACATTGGAAAACCTTTTTTCTTGAAATTTGGTAATCCTACACACATTTTAATGCCAAAGCGAATGGCGATAGTGTAAAATTCCGTAACAGCCCTGAAAGGGTACTTTCCATCAGGGGAGACAGTACTACTGGTGGTACTTCTTTAATCCTTATACAGGGTTGTTCACCACATACGACACGGAGTATTGTAGCTAAACGATTAGATTTTTACAAATTGTAAGTTTTGGGTTCGTTGAAAGACTATTAGAGCTACAATTTAAAAATATTTTTACAAGATGCAGAGTGTTCCAAATAAGTAAGAAATATTATAGTTGTATTTTTTTTAAATGGAACACCCTGTATATTATTCTATTTTTGGATTCTACGATTGAAATCGTTTTTGAAATATTTTCAATTTTATGAAATTACACTAAAAATTTTACAGCTTCATTTCTCCAAGGGTATCAAAGTTTTTAATACTAAATACTCGTATTTACTGAAGATTATTTATTGATTAGATATTGTGTTGCAATAATAAAAAATTTACAACGTTATACAGAGTGTCCAAAAATTTATATTAAATAATGACTAGCTTTAAACGGCAATAACTTGTTTAATTTAAATGGAATACCCTATATATTTTACGTGAATCATATGCACAATTTAATTTTCTATCAAATTTTATTATACTATTTTTTACCTATCTCTTCAAGTTTTCGTAGAAAATGTATTTTCTTATAATTTAGACATCATTTATCACTATACCCATGGAATATTGACATTTCAGATTTTTTTAAAGCAACATAATATATGTACAGAAAACAGGTGTAAATATTGCAAGCCCAATGGTATACAAAAAAAAAACTATTTAAATCTTTGTAAAAGAGCCAACCAATCAAATATACCACCATTATTTCCGACCAAAAATTAGTTAATTACATACTTTTAAATTGTTTTAATTAATAAAATATTCTAAATAACTGTGGATTTGGCTCAGAAATCAATATAATAATAAGTTATGAAAATGAACGTCTCTGTTTTTATAAATAAGCATTCGTCAAAAAATGAAATAAAATTTATAAGGTGTTACTTTTTACCACACTGTCTAATACACAAACAAAATTCAGTTTTTTAGTATTTGGAGCAATTATTATTAATCAACGTAAACAGTCAATTAATGTATATAGTTTGAATACTGGGATCATATTAATTGTTCCTCTTTAACAAAATATATTGAAACAGTTTTTTTTTAATTTTTTAATGATACAAGCGAACTATATCGACAATATTAGTATCTGTACTCTTTGAAAATTTGTTACATCTTTAAAAATAATCTAAAATTTCAATATTCCATGGGTATAGTGATAAATGAGGTCTAAATTATACGAAAATGCATTTTATACGAAAACTTGAAGAGATGGGTAATAAATGGCATAATACAATTTGATAGACAATTACATTCTGCATCTGATTCACGTAAAATATATAGGGTGTTCTATTTAAATTAAACAAGTTATTGCCGTTTAAAGCTAGTAATTATTTAATATAAATTTTTGGACACTCTGTATAAGGTAGTAAAATTTTTATTATATACATATAACGTTGACAAATATATATATTCCAGATTTTTGTAGTTAGATACACTATTTTTTGACATCCTGTATAAGTTCAACCCATTAATATTTGACATTTATCCCCATTTCTAATTTTAGTAACTATAGGCTTCATTATCAATATTTCAGAACTTATTAAGTAGAGGGTCTCTATTGGTAGTTCATCTATTATGAACAGAAAGCCAGTGGCGGACGCTTTACTTGTTAGAATAGGGTGTCAAGTAATTAGAAAAATTATTAAAAAAACTTATTTTTAATTGACTAAATACCGCATGGTCGATTACATTCTCCATATAATTTTACATATAAAATGACAACGATTGTCATTTCATAGCTATCGCTGACGCCATTTTTTTTCGATCATATTGTAGTTCTCAATGATTTATTACAGGGTGCTTCTCAAGTAGGCTAAAAAATTTCAGGGTGTGATGTCTCATATGTTTTTAAGAAAAAAAAGTTTTTAACAAGGTGTTAAAAATTAAATAAAATCGCATTTCTTGCAATATATCGGAAACTACATTAGATATTTTATTCAATTTTCAATGTAGTAGGGTGAGTCTTACAAAAGTGCAAATATTTTTAGGGGTGGTATATTTCGACCCCAGGAACACGTCTATAAAGTTTTATTCTATTCGGAGTAAAAATGACTTTTTGTGCCTCGCCTGTAATGTCAAACGTACAGCCTTGCGACAACAAGTATCATTTTTACTTTTACTCTTAATAAAACAATATACTATTTTATCGACTGATTGGTTTTATTTCGTTAAGCGGCCCATACATTATCAAACAAATTGCGCAACGAAGAGATGCGCAACGTTGCGTTGCACAACTGGTTCAGCGGTCCATACACTATCAAACAAGTTGCGCAACACAGCGATGCGCAACGTTCCGTTGCACAACTGCCTCACCCATGCACTTAGTAAAATTTTGATCAAACTTCTTGTGCATTGTTTGAGAAACAATCATATCCTCAATTGCCATTGCGTCAATTATTATCGTATATACCCTAGATGATGTCGATGATACCAAAAAACGAAAAAGAAAACAAAGAATTTGGATGAAAGAACTAAAATATTGCACAACGAAGCGCAACACACACATACACTACACCAACGCGTTGCGCAAACAGTCCTTTTGCACAAAAGAATTCAAATATTCTTGAAACTCATCAAACAATATTGCGCAACGCATCAAACACTATCATACATTGGCAACTCGTTGCGCAACAGCCTGCGTTGCGCAATTTGTTTGATAATGTATGTGCCGCTTTTTGCAGAACTTGTTAGTGGTTTTATCAGTGGTGCTGACCGCAGTGGTATGTCAGGATCTCAATCCACAACCTCTCGCGAGTAGAAACGATGGTGGCGAACAGCCACGCTTCCTCATAGGCCGGATCGTAGTAAGTTACAATAATAATATAAAGGGTTTCGGGAACTGGGAATTTCACTACACCATGCCTCTGTACGAGAGCTAGCAACGTCGGAAAAACAAGTATTTTAAGACGTCTGGCTCTTTGATATATCTTTTATTATGCTCTCTGGAACAGCATGCGGCCCGTCTGGCTGCCGATACCCGTTGCGTTCACTACTGCGCATCCAAAGAAGATCCTCTATTTTTTACTTAGCGCTTTAAATTCCAGTATTGAATAAAAGTCAAGCAAGTCTCCATTAGCTCGGCGCGTAGAGCCTTCGCCTATGAAGCGAAGGTCAGAGGTTCGATACCGGCGGGGGGTGTAACTTTTTTATTTTTTTTTTCGTTTATATTCTGATAGTAAAGTATTAAATATTTGCTTTTTTATCACCAAAACGGATGGCGCTTATGGGTTTATGATCCGTAGTGTATATAAGTAGAATTTGATACTTTCATTTGTTTTGAAGGATTATTGTGGTAATTAATTATTAGACAGGTTTAGGATGGTCCGGCTGCCGCGCCGGTAGGTTGCGTTCACTACTGCGCATCACATGTGTACAGGGTGTCGCTGGTACGCATTTTTGTGCGTTTTTTGGGATTTCTCGTTTATAATTTCATTTTAAAGATTTAAACATAGTATATAAAAATTAACGTTTTAATGCTTTATTAAGGTAATTTCTGCCTGTCTTTCTTCAAAATATTTTTATCAGCTGTTGTTTATTATTTTAATAATCATTTTAATAATACTTTTTTTAACAGATTGTTATCTAAAAGCTGCACAAGTTTATTTTCAGTTCAGTTTGTTAAGATAACGATGGAAAACAAAATTATCTGGTTGAATTAAATTAAATAAAATAATAATACTTTTTAAACAAGATTGATTAACGTTAATGTGTAGAAAATGAGCAAATCTAGGGGTAGAATATTTAGTTACATAAAAAACTAGCAAAGTAATATGAAAAAAAAACGCATAATTGTATCTCCACTCATAAACGAGAAATCCCAGATATCCCAAATCCCAAAAAACGCACGAAAATGAGACACCCTGTACCCATGTGATGCGCAGTAGTGAACGCAACCTACCGGCGCGGCAGCCAGACCATCCGAAACCTATCTAATAATTAATTACCACAATAATCCTTCAAAACAAATGAAAGTATCAAATTCTACTTATATACACTACGGATCATAAACCCATAAACGCTATCCGTTCTGGTGATAAAAAAGCAAATATTTAATACTTTACTATCAGAATATAAACGAAAAAAAAAATAAAAAAGTGGCACCACCAGCCGGTATCGAACCAATGACCTTCGCTTCATAGGCGAAAGCTCTACGCGCCGAGCTAATGGAGACTTGCTCAATTTTTATTCAGTACTAGAATTTAAAGCGCTAAGTAAAAAATAGAGGATCTTCTTTGGATGCGCAGTAGTGAACGCAACGGGTATCGGCAGCCAGACGGGCCGCATGCTGTTCCAGAGAGCATAATAAAAGATATATCAAAGAGCCAGACGTCTTAAAATACTTTCTCGAAAACGTTGCTAGCTCTTAGAGTATAGTATTCAGTGGACATTGAGCTTAATAAACTAATTACTAATTACACTGGTAAGGATTTGACTGAAAGGCTGCTATCTTGGATTTTTAATCCAGAAGTCCCCCCCCCCTAGCTCCTCTACTCCTGACATCGCGCCTTGATATTATGTTTTTTTTTTGTTTTTTTAGCGTAAAATTTTTCGTCCAAAATTTGTTCCGCTCCCAGTGCCTGAATATAGTCAAAATGATCAAAACATATTCGGCGTTAGAAGACCAATATACACTAATTCCTATCAGGTAAGGAATATACAGCGTGTTTCTTAGACCTTAAGGCAGGTTTACATTGGTATAAATACACTCACCGGCACGAAAAACGGGCACCTGAAAACTTTCATGTATTTTAAAGTTTTAGACAGGGTGGCGCACCTAATTCACCTCGGTTTTGATTATACGAAAACGGAAAGATGTAGAAACAAAATATTGTATGGGTATATGTGGGGAGACAATGTGCATAATTTAAAATTATTTTGAAATATACACGGTGTTTCAGAACTAATAAGATCCATACCAAAGTTATAATGTTTCTTATGGAACCCCCGGTATTTTATTTCATTTTTGGATTCTTGAGACCAAAAAGGCATTTATATTTGCATGCTACAATAGAATAGATTATTAACACCCTGTACATTACTTTTCTGAATTAGTTCTTATGCTGAGTTTCAAGGTAGAGAAATAAACTTTACTGAAAAATGGTATTGCTTTCTTAAATTTATACAAGGGTATGAAAAATTGCTTACCTATTTTAAGAAATTATTTTATATAAAAACTTCATTATTTCAAATGCAACACCCTGTGTTTTTTACAATAAATCGGAGCAGATTCAAATGCTCTTTCAAATTATATTAGGGTTTCCTATACCTATCTAGCTCAAATTTTGAATAAAACGCGATTTTTAAATGAAATTGCAATCAAGATGGCTGGTGTTGCCATGGCAATTTTCTAGTGACAGTTTTAGTAACTATTTTCAAAGTCGTCATTAGTTTATGGACATTATTATTTATAATTTATAGCAGTTTACTTAAATGGACCTACAATAGTTTAAAAGTAAGTATTCATTATTTTATAAAGAAAAATAAAGCAGTATCTGCTGGCGGAACGAATAGTAGTTGTTACCAGTGATTTTAATTTGTGAGGAAAATTGCTTCTTGGCCTTAAGGGCTTATGCTCAAAATATATATCCAAATAGGAATCTTCCTGATAAGCGTTCCTTTGAAAAACTACTTGTCCTATTTCGCAGAGCTGGTAGTGTGGTTTATAAAAAACCTATTAGGCAGAAACCTGTCGTTGGGAGTGAAGAAAATGAATTTGCCGTAATTGTTTTTTTATAGAAAATCTATATATCTACAAGTCATCGTAAGATAAATCAAAGAACTACTTCGTTTTTCTTGATAGAATAATAAATACATATTTAATAAATATTATTTATTAAACTATTGTAGGTAAATTAAATAAAAATAAAATGGTATAAATTTAAATAAGTCTATAAGCTAATTTTTATTTTGAAAGTTGCTACTAACTGTCACTAGAAACTTGCCATGACGACACTAGCCCTTTTGGTTGCCATTTTATTAAAAAATTGCTTTTTATTCAAAATCTGAGCTAGATAGGTATAGGAAACCCTAATATAGTTTGAAACAGCATTTGAACTGTTTCGATTTATTTAAAAAAATACAAGGTGTTGTATTTGAAACGATTTTTTTATATAAAATAAATTCTTAAAAAAATAGATCAGTAATTTTTCATACCCCTGTATAAATTTAAGGAAGCAATAACATTTTTCTGTAAAGTTTATTTCTCTACCTTTAAACTCAGCACAAGAATGAATTCTGAAAAATAATGTACAGGGTGTTAATAATCTATTGTATTGTAGCATGCAAATTTAAATATCTTTAAATATCTCAAAATCCAAAAAGATTTTAAACATATTTAATCCTTATAATAAATGCCTTTTTATGGACCCAAGAATCCAAACCAAGAATTTTTATAAAACTTTTTGCATTGTATTGTTAATAAGATATATTACAAAGTTTACCTATTTAAATTCGTTGCTTTCGCTTTACTATTTAAATAAACACACATATACAAATGCATACAAGATGGCTCCGTTTTCCGGAAAAGCCCTGTATCAGGATTCCTATTTGAGATTTTCACTCCAAACTTTTTACAAAATATATGTTTAATGGTAGTTCACATTTCAAAAATATTTTAATAGATATACAGGGTGAGTCAAATATATATCATTTATTTATTCGAGTTTAGTGAATTTGCTATAAAATTCTGATTCCAAAAATACCTTAATACCATAGAGTATATTAAATGGTCTTTGAATTATGACCAGGTCCATGAGAACGTCAATATAGACGTCCAGCAATCTTCGTATGAGAACTTCTAATCGAGAGGATCAACTTATTGTAAGTTTATCGCTAAGAAACCGCCGTTTGCCAGCTTTTCAAATTGATAATGAATTGCACTTAAGAACCGTACATATTAACTAACGGACTACAAGAAAAAGATTAAATGAAGTAAATCTTATGTCAAGAAGGCCTGCTTCAGGACCATATATCTTACTAGATGTGTTGACTAGGCCCAAAAGCAAAGGCATGGTCTTAATGTAAAAATTACGAAAAATGTTAGTGCTTTCTTTAAAACCGAATATTTCCAACAAAAATAAAGCTAATGAGATGAACCAAAAAACAAACCATCGAGAATGGATGTATCTAGATGATAAATAAGATGATAAAATAATTTTTAAATTTCTTGCTGTTTTAACATATTTCACAGGGTGTTTCAAACTTTCATCAAAAATATCAACATTTTGTTTTCCCTCGTATAATTAACAGATGGGGAGTTTCATTTTTAATTTAGAAAAGATACTAAGAAGTCAACTAATTTGGCAACACACTGCTTAAAAAATCATCAAAATCGGCCCATTGAAATAAAATATATTAACATTTAAAATACATCAAAGTTTTAAGGTGCCCATTTTTCGTGCCGGTGAATGTATTTCAAAAACTATAAATTTTAGTCATATACTTTTCTAATGAAACAAACCTTTATTTTTTTACTAGAATCCAAAAATCAATTAATATATAGGGTGTTCCATTACAAAAAACATAACTTTGATGTATAACTTTTTTTGGGGACACCCTGTAGAACTCTACATAATTTTAGAAAATACTTTAAACTGACTTACATCAGCTCAGAAAATTTCACTTCAATACAAACTTTTGTTCTCCTTGCAAAAACCGCGTCGTTTATGACGCGCCACCCTGTATTTCAATTCGATTTCAATCAAAATTTCAATGATTAGAATATAAGCAGAATAGGTATAGCTTATGCATTAGATTTATTTATTTCAATAAATTTACTTAGAAAAAGAAATAAAAAAATTAAAATATTAAGAAGGAAATAATTAAGAATTTACTAAAATTACTAAAATAAAAAATTAAAAGCAACGAAAAAAAATGGGTAAACATTTTAGTATTTTATCTTGAAAACACAATTCAGAAGGTTTCACATTAATATATTCACAGTAATTGAATTCCGAGGTAAAAGACTCTGGGCCCTCCACTAAAAACACAATAGAAAAACTTTAAATTACATGAAAATTTTAAGGTGCCTGCACTGTTCGGTTTTTATATGATTCAAAATAAAAAATATATAAATTGTAAAATTAGTATTTTTTTAATGGCCATAATGCGTTCTTTCAAAATCATCGAACAATTAAATCATTTCCATAGATCCAGTGACGTACCGTGACTTTGAATTTTGAGACCAAAAACTGAAACAATAATTTGTCAAAAAAATCATATTACAGCTATATGTTTTATTTTGATAAAAATTGGAATTGATAGTGGTGGTGGATCACTTAAAGTTTGTCTAAATGTGCTCCCTGAAAATGATCCCGAATATTTCAAGAAATATAAAAGTGCTGGAATTAATAAACTATTCATAATTGGCTTAGGACCAAAGTTGTCTGAATCTTATGCTAACATTAAAAGCCTCTTTGAGACGTTAGATCTGCAGTCCATATGTGGAATTTGTTCCTATACTTTTGCCGCTGACTTTAAGCTTATTATGATTCTCCTTGGTCTTCAGTCAAATTCATCCACTCACACTTGCCCATGGTATGATGTAAGGAAATTGAAATTAAAGGATCATTCAGAACTATAAATAGTATTACAGAAAATACAAATTTATGGCAACAATCTGGAGGAAATATAACAAAAGCCAAAGATTTTAGTAAGCGTTTTTGTTTGAAATTTTTTTTGGTATTTTTTAAACTGTTGTTCAATGAACCATATGAAAAAGGGCAATTATTTTTTAGAAAACTGTATAAACATACCTTTAATCATTGGCGACGAAGAAACACCTGTCTTAAAGTATATTCCCCCTCTTGAGCTTCACCTTTTGTTAGGTGTGGTTCAAAAACTATTTGATTGTCTTGAATTGGAGAATACCAATGTTGCAACAGAATGGATAAAAAAGCGGGATTGAAACTAGATCATTATGAAAAATGTAACGGAAATAACGCCAGACAACTTTTAAAGAAAGTGGATATTTTGAAGACGATATCGCCCGGTAAAGAATTCTATTCAAAGTTTTGACAAGCAAAAACCTAAACATCTTATTTTTAGGAAATAAATATATTGCAGTGTTTTCTGCATTCAATCAAGTAGTTTCGAGTTGTTTGGTCAAGCACTAAACAAACATTTTGAATATGACATCGAACAATTTAGATAGGAAATACTCAATTTAGGTATTAAGATAACTCCAAAGATTCATGCAGTTCTGCATCATGTGCCAGAGTTTATAAAAGCAAATCATAGAGCTCTAGGATTTTACTCGGAACAAGTATCTGAGCAGGTTCATTTTTCCTTTAAATTATTTTCTAAAAAGTTTAACTTGAATCCTCGTTCAGAATGCTACCAAAATAGTCTTTTACGATGTATTTGTTGTTATAATAGTCCACGTATTTAAGATTTGTGTTGTACTTAGCTTTAGTTAAATTTAGCGATAAAACCACTTAGTTAGGAAAAGAAATATAATTATTCTAACTTATTAGTTAACATTTTTATGCAAAATAAAACATATAGCAGTAATATGATTTGTTTGACAAATTATTTGTCAGTTTTTGGTCTCAAAATTCAAAGTCACGGTACGTCACTGGATCTATGCAGGGGGGTGACAGTGAAATAGGAAAATTGGAAACAGTCATTAGTGTCATTCCTGTCATCTCCTGACGACAAGTATAGCCGCCTAGACAAGGACAACAATGTTTCTGTCTAACTATTGTCCAACTTCACAGTTTAGAATTGACAGATTTGTTCTAGAACAAATCGAACAAATTTCGACGCCATTTTAATTCTCTCCGTTTAGTTTTGTTTTGTAAATTCAATTTGATATTTCGCCGGAAATTTATAAATATAAAGGTAATAAAGCATATAAAATATATATTACATGAAAAATCCTGGAGAAAAAGACGTTTCTGCAGTACTAGGTATGTCCCATGTATATTTAAAATAGGTAGTAAATAAACACTATTTCCATGTTTTTTAGATGCAAGAAAATTTTGTTATATGTTTATGATTGGCGATTTTATTGAAAATGGAAACAATTTACAGCAAGGTAAGATCATTTTTAACTATAGCCTATATTAGTTATCTCCAGTATGTGCGATTTATTGTCAATAATACAATCAATCTGTCTGATACAATCTGATTGTTATCCGATTAAAAGTCTCTTTTTACTTCTTTTGGATTCATAAACCAGGTCTCTTTGGGAATAATGGAGCTTTTTTAATTAGTATATTTATATTTTATACCTATATTGATATTTTTACATTGTTAATTTTAGTATAAAAAATGTGTTTTTCTGTTTTCAGGTTTGATTTGTTATGGTATAAGATATACATCATAAATAAAACAAAATAAAAATTTATTCAAACGTATTTATTTGAAATGTGAGACAACGTGACTAAATAAATATAAAAAAATAAAGAATTGAATGATTTCTATATCAATTACTTAATTATATGCAGTTTTAACGTAAATTAGTAAGGTATAAGCATGACTTACAGTAATTTGTAAATAAATACACGTATTCACAGCCTTCAGAAACAGAAAACGGGGGCAGGAACATGAAAACGGGAGCCTTATACCATAACAAATCAAACCTGAAAACAGAAAAACACATTTTTTATACTAAAATTAACAATGTAAAAATATCAATATAGGTATAAAAGCTTTTGACATTTCTAAATATCAGACCAATGCCGTCCCTAATAGAACAGCCTCGGAGCGAGATTTATGACGTCACGCTAGTTAGATACCACGAATTAATAAATATGTTGTAGAATACATAGAAAACATAACTATTCCTCGTATTTTTGGTTTGTATTTTAAAAATGATATAGTTTACATGAAATATACATAACATACAGTTAATAAATACAATATATATACCTATTTATAGTAATAAATACTTTGGCAAATAAACTATGAACCATACAAATGCAGCAAATATTTTACAATATACAAATCATGAATAGGTACATAAGATAATGGGTAAAATGTAAAATATATTTAAAATTTTTGGGTTTGAAAATCGATTTAATTTAACAAAAACATTCAATATCTACTAATAGTGATGTATTATTATTTGCATTCACAAAATTTATATGTATATTTTGAAAGCATCATTGATATCGAAAAATTATATTTGCAAATAATACAATATCAAAAAATGGCATCAGCGATGGCTATGAAATAAAGATCGCTGTCATTTTATATGTAAAATTATTCTAAAATTTTTGATTTTCCTGGGATTTAGGTTAGGGAAAAACGCTAATTAAGTTTTCATTATTTTTTTTGGTTTAAAAAAAAACGTTATAGCTAACATTTATAGCCTTCATCAGTGTTGTGTCATATAAAAAAAATAGTGTCGAATATAATCCAAAAAATTATATATACGAGGAATAATTATGTTTTCCATGTATTCTACAACATGTTTGTTAGTCCCTAGTATCTAACTAGCGTGACGTCATAAATCTCGCTCCGTGGCTGTTCTATTAGAGACGGCATTGCATCAGCATGGCCGCAAGTTGCTAACTTAATAAAATTAACACTAGGAGAGCCCGCGGTAACTGTCAAATTCAAAGTTATTCGTTTCACAGACTATAATATATATTTTACATGCTTTATTACCTTTATATTTATAAATTTCAGGGGAAATATCAAATTGAATTTACAAAACAAAACTAAACGGAGAGAATTAAAATGGCGTCGAAATTTGTTCGATTTGTTCTAGAACAAATCTGTCAATTATAAACTGTGAAGTTGGACAATAGTTAGACAGAAACATTGTTGTCCTTGTCTAGGCGGCCATACTTGTCGTCAGGAGATGACAGGAATGACACTAATGACTGTTTCCAATTTTCCTATTTCACTGTCACCCCCCTGCATAGATCCAGTGACGTACCGTGACTTTGAATTTTGAGACCAAAAACTGACAAATAATTTGTCAAAAAAATCATATTACTGCTATATGTTTTATTTTGCATAAAAATGTTAACTAATAAGTTAGAATAATTATATTTCTTTCCTAACTAAGTGGTTTTATCGCTAAATTTAACTAAAGCTAAGTACAACACAAATCTTAAATACGTGGACTATTATAACAACAAATACATCGTAAAAGACTATTTTGGTAGCATTCTGAACGAGGATTCAAGTTAAACTTTTTAGAAAATAATTTAAAGGAAAAATGAACCTGCTCAGCCCAACCGTAGCGTATCGGATGTTTGTGTTAATAAATAATTATTAAAAATTATCTATTTTTATTATAATAATATGTTTTTATAACAATTTTAATAACTACCAACATTTATTCACAACGTAAAATAAAAAAAAAACAAATTATTGAGTCTACCCCACGTCTACCCTACATCATAGTTTTAGATTTTTTAAATTAAATTAGAGCGGCACTGATAAACCGGAATTTAAGTCGGCCATATTTGCGTCCCATCGCGGTGGACCTAAGAGTTTTGATATGCTCCTTCCTTAGTCTTCTTATTCAAAGTCCTTGCGGTTAAAGTACTATTTTATCTACTATTTTTGATAGATATAAGGCAATTTTAACAGTTGCTGTGGAAAAAAATAATGATTTTGTGAATTTTAGCCCCAAACTGAAGATATAGTTTTTAAATGCGCTAAATCCGGTCCTGTATATTACAGAGGCTTTGTTTCTGCGTAAAAGAATATGCGCAGTAAGTGATGCGCAGACCTTTTGAAATATATACAGAGTTGTGCAACTAGATATTCAATAAGCTGTAACATAACTATAAATAACTTTATTTATTTATTTATTTGGTTGATTGAGTAAAATACTAAGGAAGAAGTACGGAATACTATTTTTCAATACCACTATGTATATTTTTTTACACATTAGTTTTATACAGGTACGGATGAAAAGTTATTACTTTTCAAAGCAGTGAAAAATATGTAGGTGGCACCCTTTACAAGTAGGAGTCATAATAACTTCAAAATCAAATTTCTCATGTCAAATAACTTCCAGACACCAATTTTCATCTAAATATTGTAACGTCAATATTGGGTTAGTTTTGTTTCATTAATTATTTGGAAAAATCGAAATAAAAATGAAATTTCCACACCCTGTATCTCCGAAACGAAGCATTTTAGGACATACATTTATACGAACTTTTTTACTTATCTTTATCTGCAGTATATAGTTCCGAAGTATCCCGAATACAATTCGAACCACCTGTATATCATAAGAGACTCGCAGTTGGTCAGTAGCGTCCAAAAAAATTCTGTTACTTTTGCGATGTACAGGTAAAGTTAAAAAAATCGTGTTAAATAGCATTTGACTTCTTCCTTTGTTGTTTTATTCGTTTTTTTTGCTACAGGGAGTGAAAAAAATGTGGTTTATTATTTTTTAGGGCGCACCGGATGCCGGAACCAGCAGATTTTTATTTGATATCGGACGACCCGTTCTCTCCACCTTAGAGAGAGTAAGTCAATTTTCGATACCTATAGGCTTGGTGCATTTCAGTTGATTTCAACAAATTCCGACAGCAACGCTTCAGCGGAAAAAATCTGAAATTATCAATATACAGGGTTGTTCACCACATACGACACGGAGTATTGTAGCTAAACGATGAGATTTTTACAAATTGTAAGTTTTGGGTTCGATGAAGGACTATTAGAGGTACAATTTAAAAATAATTTTACAAGATACAGAGTGTCCCAAATAAGTAAAAAATATCAAAGTTGTATTTTTTTAAACGGAACACCCTGTATATTATTACATTTTTAGTTTCTACGATTAAAATAAAGGTAAATTTGATTAAGATTTATTATACTTAAACCTTACCGTTTTTGAAATATTTTCAATTTTGTGAAATTGCAGTAAAAATTTTAAGACTTCATTTCTCCAAGGTTATCAAAGTTTTTAATACTAAATATTTACTGAAGTTTATTTACTGATCAGTTATTGTGTTGCAATAATAAAAATAATACTACCTTATACAGAGTGTCTAAAAATTTATTTTAAATAATTATTAGCTTCAAACGGCAATAACTTGTTTAATTTAAATGGAACACCCTGTATATTTTACGAGAATCAGATGCACAATTTAATTGTCTATCAAATTATATTATACCATTTTTTACCTATTTCTTTAAGTTTCCGTAGAAAATGCATTTTCTTGTAATTTAGAACTTATTTATCAATATACCCATGGACTATAGACATTTTAAATTATTTTTAAAGATGTACCAAATTTTTAAAGAGTACAGATACTAATATTGTCGATATAATTCGTTTATTTCATTAAAAAATAAAAAAAAACTGTTTAAATATTTGTTAAAGAGGACCAATTAATATGATTCCAGTATTCAAACTACATTAACTGACTGTTTGCGTTGATTAATAATAATTGCTCCAAATACTAAAAAACTGAATTTTGTATGGACATTAGACAGTGTGAAAAAAAGTAACACCTTAAAAATGATATTTCATTTTTTAATAAATGCTTATTTATAACAACAGAGACTTTAATTTGATAACTTATTATTATAGTGATTTCTGATTCAAATCCACATTTATTTATAATAATTTATTAACAAACACAATTAAGTATGTAATTAATTAGTATATGGGCGGAAATAATGGTGTTATATTTAATTAATGGTTATATTCTTTTATAAAGATTTAAATAGTTTTCTTTTTGCATACAAATGGGCTAGTAATATTATCGTTTTGCTAAAAACTATAATATTACTAGTCTGTACATTTTGTACATTTGTTGCTTTAAAAACAATCTAAAATGTCAATATTCCATGGATATATTGATAAATGAGGTCTAAATTATAAGAAAATGCATTTTCTACAAAAACTTGAAGGGATAGGTAAAAAATGGTATAATACAATTTGATAGACAATTTAATTGTGCATCTGATTCTCCTAAAACATACAGGGCATTCCATTTAAATTAAAGAAGTTATTGCCGTTTGAAGCTAATAATTATTTAAAATCAATTTTTAGACACTCTGTATAAGATAGTATTATTTTTATTATTGCAACACAATAACCGATCAATAAATAAACTTCATTAAATATTTAGTATTAAAAATATTGATACCCTTGGAGAAATGAAGCTTTTAATTTTTACTGCAATTTCACAAAATTGAAAATATTTCAAAAACGGTAAGGTTTAAGTATAATAAACCTTAATCAAATTTACCTTTATTTTAATCGTAGAAACTAAAAATGTAATAATATACAGGGTGTTCCATTTAAAAAAATACAACTTTGATATTTTTTATTTATTTGGGACACTCTGTATCTTGTAAAAATATTTTTAAATTGTAGCTCTAATAGTCCTTCAACGAACCCCAAACTTACAATTTCTAAAAATCTCATCGTTTAGCTACAATACTCCGTGTCGTATGTGGTGAACAACCCTGTATAGTTCACGCCACCGTCATGTTAATCGCATTAAAATAATATTGAAATCGTGGTTTTGTCATAATATTTAAGTATTTGGTTTTTTTTTGCTAGTGCAGTTAAACATTCGAGGTACGAGGTTTATGTGATTCGAAAATTCGAACTAGGCGTTTTGTTGTGTTGTGACAATTTCAAATGTTAATAAAATTGCCTAAAAAATGTTAAACGAGAGCGTAATTAATACAATAACTCAACTTTCCCAGATATTCAACTCTCCCGAAAGAACATTTTATAGCTTCATAATTTCTTACACCGATTTGATCAATAGCAAAAATGGATTCAAGCAGTTCGATGAAACAAGTGAGTACACGAAGTGCATAATCAAAAAATTAAATAGACATATAGATACTATGAGGGGATAAAATATAATTTGCAATATTAATGGTATACTTTTTTAATCAACTAGTGATTAAATGTTTTATGAACATCTTCTAAAATTATAATTATGTACCTTTAAAAAATTTCGTTATAGCCGAAATAGCTCCAATTATGCCCCACTAGCAAAACCGGTGATTAAAACTAGGCTCGCTACCGTAGTTGAACGCATCTAATTTTTTTTTTAACTGGAATAATAAATTTCAATGCAAGTTAGACCTTCTGAAGATATCAATATATTTACCTTTTTATTTTTTTGTTTAGAATTTCCACAAATTATATTTTCTAACATTTTTAGAATAATTATATACAAATTCTTTTGTTTACTCGCCATTTAAACCCGTGTATTTGTATGTATTCGTTATTTACGATATTCTCCGGCGGTGGCAGCACCGGCAGAGAATGCATCAAGCCTATAGAGGATCAGTGAACAGAGATATTTTCACATATTTTTAAAATAAGTTATATATATTTTTTAAATTGGATGATTAATTTTATATACAAAGTGGCCCATCGAAAATGTTCCGCAAGGCATAACGGCCAGGGTCATTTTTTTTTCAGAAAATTCAAAAACACGTCAATTTCGTTTGTGAGGGGGACAACTTTTGCCCCAAAAATGATTGCAAAAATTATTATGGTGTACTCACTTGCAGAAAAAGTGGAAATAATCGGACTTTATTTTAATAATAATGAATGTGGCAATCGGTTTGCGCAGATATTCAATGAACGCCATCCTGACAACCACCTTTATGGCAAAATTGTTCGCGAGTTAGTAGCAAAATTTCGTGAAACTGGTTCAGTTATGAATAAAAAGAGGCAGAGGAAAAATCCTGTAGTAAATGAAGCTATGGAGGTATTCGTATTGGGTCAAATTGCCATAGAGTACAAGAAAATTAGCCAATGAGACCGGCGTGAATCGTACAAGCGTCCAAAGGATATTAAAAAAACACCACCAAGTTCCACCCGTACAAAATTCAGTTGGTACAAGACCTCAATGAAGACGTTTTAAAATAAATAAAATAAAGTTTATTTTTAAAAAAGAGTTCGATTATTTCCACTTTTTCTGCAATTTGAAAAGAACTTCAACGCAAAAGTCACAGAACAGCTATCTAGCAACTACCGCACCTGATCGTTCAACCTTGTAGCCAGTGAAAAAATGCGTAAACATCTAGAAATAATAAGAAAAAACAGCAAATTGGTCGAAGGAATTTACCCTTATCATTTACTCTGATAAATGTTTAAACAAACTTTTCAAATTTCAATCCTTCATATTTTCTCAATGACTCGACCAATTTTTAAAAACAAAGCGGGAAAGTATAGAGAATAGAAAGCCCTTTTCATTGCGGTACCACTTGACCCCCCTTCCCATTTGAAAAAAATTGGGGGATGACACCCCCGCTTAGAGGGTTGAAGATTTTGCAATCATTTTTGGGGCAAAAGTTGTCCCCCTCACAAACAAAATTGACTTGTTTTTGGATTTTTTGAAAAAAAAATACCCTGGCCGTTATGCCTTGCGGAACGTTTTCGATGGGCCACCCTGTATTTTGTTCTATAGTGGGCCGATTTTGTTGATTTTTAAGCAATATTTAGTTAAGTTATTTGACTTTTTAGTATCTATTTCTAAATTAAATTAAAAATGTATATACGAGGGAAAACAAACTGTTGATATTTTGGTAAAAGTTTGAAACACCCTGTGGAATATATTAAGATAGCCAGAGGAATTCAAAAATAATTTTATCATCTAGGTACACACTTTTTCCAGAGTTTGTTTTTTGGTTCATCTTAATAACTTTATTTTTGTTGGAGATATGCGTTTTTGAAGAAGACACTAACATTTTTTCTTAATTTTTACATTAAAACTATGCCTTTGCTTTTGGTCCTAGTCAACACACCTAGTAAGTTGAGTAAGATAATATATGCTTCGTTTAATCTTCTTCTTACAGTCACTTACACACTCACTTACACACTTACATGTACGCTGCTTATGTGCACCTAACCTAACCTAACACTACTTCCCCTAGGAGATGCAAGACCTTGTTGGTGGGGAAGCTCCTGGTCAGGTGCTGGGGGGAATCCCCTCTAGCACTTGGCTTGGTCTAAGAAGCATCTCACTCATCGTCTTGTCCCTGACTGTAGTGTCGTGGCCAGGGAATTGCACAAGACATATAACGATACCGGGCGGGGCTACGGACAGCCTCAACCTTGGGGCACCGGGGGGCACCCCATTGTATTTTACCCCTTACTTCTACATGAGGGGCTCTGTAGAAGTGGACCGACTGTCCCTAGCGACTCATAGGAATACTATGAGATCTGGTAATAATAGTAATAAAAACATCACCGGTGAAGCTGTGGGGAAACCCCCTAGCGACACTGGGAACAGTAACAGTGAAAGTTCCAAGGGGCCAAACCCAAAGAGAACTACAGGAGAGGTGGCTGACACTTGCGTGAGACCATCCTCCGCAAGTGGCATACAAGCTACCACCTCCTCCAAGGGTCGGGAGCCTACCTCCTACCTCTAAACCCATCAGGCGACACAAGCTACCGTTTCGTCTACCCGGCCTGGGTCGTAGCTCCTCGACTGTGAAGGACACGGGTCTCCGTAGGAAGTCCTGGGACTGTATGATGAGTTATAACTCAAGAAAGGGGGACACAATAGATCTCTAAGGTCGCAGAGATTAACCCTCCTCCCACTTATTCTAAAAATTCTAAAAACCTAACACTATTTCATAGGTCTGATTTAAAAAAAAGTAAACATTACGAAAAAATGTTAGTGTCTTCTTCAAAAGGGAATATCTTTAAAAAAAATAAAGCTATTGAGATAAACCAAAAAATAAACTATCGAGAAAAGGCACACCTAGATGGTAAGATGATTTTCGAATTCCTTGCTTTTTTAATATATTATACAGTGTGTTCCAAACTTGTACCAAAATGACAAAATTTTGTGTGCCCTCGTATAATTGCCATACGGGAACTTTCATTTTTAATTTAGAAAGGGATACTAAAAAGTAAAATAATTTAGCTACAAGTGGCTTAAAAGATCATCAAAATCACTCCTCTAGAACACAATATATGAAGCTTTAAAATACATCAAAATTTTAAGGTGCAACCATTTTTTTGTAGATAATTTGAATATTTTTGTTTGTTTTTCTTTTACAATAGAGACCATCATATTTTTCACAAAACCGCCGAGTGTCTTATGGATGGTAGAAAGTAGAAACGAGGCCGAATAGGTCCCTCCAAAGGTAGGTGTAGAATAAATATACACGGTGCTCCAATAACAAAGAAAGGTTTTGGGATTTAAAGCTTCATTCAGAACCTCGGAATTAGTGGAATAAATTAGCGGTTTCAATTACACTTTATACTTTTTAGTTTGCGATCATTCAGATGTCTAAAAAATACAATTAAAAGTAATAGAATGTCCTAGCAACAGCTTGAGTGCCGAGCTGCAAGCTCTAAGAAAACTTAAGCCTTTTTTTGATTTAAATCATTTTAATGACATAATAAGTCATTTGATATTAAATAATTTTTTGAAACCTGACTTAGGGCTCGAACACACTGACGACCAGGTCGCACGGGCGGCCGGCGCGGCCAGGCCGCTGCTACCTCTAAAACCATTAAATCAAATGATACCGCGCTCACTAACGTCCTGGCCGTCCGTTGGTCGTTGTGACCAATAGGCTGCACTAAAATATTATAATTTTCTGCCGCTTGTTGCCGGTTTTCTTCCAAATTAATAATTTTTCAGGTGAAATCCCTCAAGTTCAACGCACAATATTTTATTTCGTATAAGATATAGTGTTTTAGTGTAGTTTTTGCATACGTGCAGAAAATCCAAAGAAATAGTATACAGACTAGATCAAAGGGAAACTTAAATCTAGTCCCTTTTTTTTATCAAGGGTCGATTCTAGTAAAAATTCAAAATATTTTCATCACTCTATTTATGGTTGGTATGATACCTGTTATTATACATTCGAGTTTCGATGTTAAAAAATAAAAAAATCATATTTAAAATCTTTCTACAACCACTTGTTTTTTTTATTAAATTATTTTTTTTTAGTTGTATTGCAGTCATGTACAAGGAGGACAACTGTATTTTAAATATTATATTTAATTTAATGTTTTTCAAACAGGGTCCATTAGACTATATTTCTACTAGGTACATTATTTTAAAAAAAAATTAAGAGTAAACATTTATAAAAATAGAAGTATTTACTGTTGTAGATTCTCAGTAACAATAAAAAAGAGGAATTTATATTGTAAACATTGAAATAACTGGAAGCTAAACTTTCTACCTGCTTATATCACAGTTTAAAGAATATATATTCTCTTACATATAGTCTTATATTTAGAGCCAGTGTCTGACGAGAGCCAGTGTCTGACGACCTTTTTTTACGATGGCCCTAATATGTGTACTTCTAAAGTCGATAAAAGCCATCAGTAGAAGTCCATATCAGTAGAAAAAAGAAACAGAATATCTCCCTTTTTGTCGGTCGCGCGTACACAATGCTTTTTGTTCGGTCTATTTGTTCTGCTTGTTCGTGCGCGCTCGGTTCGTCGGGCTAAAATGCTCAAGTCTGGACGCACCTTTAGGAACAATACTGTTTCTGTCCTTTATTGATGTAATGCTGAAAATCTGACGAGTTACATGTCTCACTCTACACATATTAAATTACATAGACGTAGGATGTAGAATATTCTGTTATGAAACGACTGATGGAATAGCAGGCATCGCGGATTTGAAAAACATGGAAATACCGACGTTATCGTGTAATCGGGGTTGGAGATTTTACTTACTCCATTTACCACACCAGTATCTATTAACGAAAAATCCAAGAATATTTTAAATGCATTATTTAATATTAGAACATTAAATAAGCTCATGAATAGCAACATCGCTTTTTAGGTAACTCGGATATTTTAACATTTCTGAAACTTAATTCTTTCTGAAACAATATTTTCTAATTGGTAAAACGTAAAAAAACGTTAGATCTGACAACTCTGTTGAAACTGGTCGTTCAACTGGCCAGCCGACGGCCAGGTCGTTGCGACCTGGTCGTCAGTGAGTTAGAGCCCTTAAGGCTTAAAATTTAAGTCGTTTTGAAAATGATTTGTGATTTAAATCTTTATTCCGAAATAGAAAAAGATTTAAGTCTTTTTTATGATAATTTTTATGATAAATTTTTAACAGCAGCATTTCTTTTTTAACTGTTGTTCTATCTGTACTCGATACATATAAAGTACTACAAAATCGGTTAGATTTTGTAAAAAAAAACATATTTTTGTGTTTGTAGATGTTCTGAAAATTAACCGTTTTATTTTATGTGGTTTTAGTATCATCTGTATCTATGTATAATAAATTAATAATATGATAATTATATAGTAAGAAAATCACTAATTGGGAATACAAGAAAATTAATATTAACAATTAAAAAAAGGTACTTAAATAGAATTCTGGTTGTCTTGACTTGAGGGTAATTATATTGATTTAAGTCATTTTACTGACTTAAATTGCAGATAATCATGATTTAAGTCAAAAATATAGACTTAAGTCATGAAAACGACTTAAATAACGTTATATTGATTTTAAGTCTTTACAAAAATGACTTGACTTGAAATAAAATGACTTTAGTCAAAGACTTGAAGGATTTCCTTCAACATGAAGGATTTTTATCCAAAAAGAAGACATTATGAAGGTTTCTGGCAGTTTTGCACAATAAAAATTGTTAAAATATGTTGTAGGAGTATTTATTCTTTTTTCCTACATCAATATTTTTTCACATATTCACATATTATCCCTAGATATTATTCTATGGACTCGAGAATCACTGGACAAAATCTAAGGATTGCTAAAATATATGTTGCATATGTTTTACTGAATCTTATAGTCTATAATAACTTATTTGTTTTGTTTACAGGTAACTGGGGGATATTGTGCATAAAAGCCAAGAGTTGTACGATCATGTAATATGGTACTAACTGAATATAACTCAATAAGATCTTAGTTGTAAATCATTCAGTCTAATAAAATTATTAAAAATTAGTATATTTGTGTCTTATTTTAAAAACAAATCGTTTATCAAGTAAAAGCTTCTGTGTAGATAAAAAACCGATCTGTTTTGCTTGAACTGAATTAGAGATTAGTAGATTATTATTTATTACATTCCCAACTAGCAAATATAGTTCCCAGTCCTTTTTAAAATGTCACTGCCCCTAAAGTACAGTTCCTAGACTTACTCTGCCACTTAAAATGTTACTCGATAAGGAATAGTCACTTTGAAGTATATTTCGAGAGTGACCGGTTAGTCCCTACCTACCATAAAAGTGGAAAATAAACACCCTGATTGCAAGTCGCAAACAAGTAATTTCAAGAAGTGGCTGGAACTACCCGAATCTTTGAATATGACACCATAAAAGACCAAAAACTTTATAGTAACTTTTCAAAGTAGGAGTTACCAACAAGTGCTACCATAATGCCTCCATTAAGTTTTTGTTACTTTATTGTAACAATTTAAGTTACGAGGTAGTCGCGGCCACGACACCTAGTTACTTCTAATTTATAGTAGCATTGAAAGTAGCAAAATAGTTACTGCTACCTTCCTAGGTTACTATAAAGTAGCCGTCGCTCATCCATTGCCACTAAAAAGTCACGGGGGTCAAAAACGGCTACTTTATAGTGACCGTAACTTAATATACCCTAATAAATGTAATTGCATCGTGTGGTGCTCTGTTTTAGTGTTTTCTTTTACTTGCTTTTAAGCTTTATTAAAATTTTGTAAAATCCCTAAGGTGAATAAAAAGAAATTTAGATATTCTAGTACTTTCTACCGAAGAATTCAACAAAAGGAATCACTGCGAGCCGATGCATCAACATCAGAAACGAAAACTACATCTTTCTATAATCCTACTGATGAACATCATAAATCATCACTACCTGATTTATGATGATGAGACATTTTTGAAGCTGTTTCTGTAGATGAGTGTAGTGTTAGTTCATCTGAATCTTTGAGGAGAACTAGTTTGAGAACCAACAATATAAAACAAGAGCTAAAAGAGTGGGCGTTAAAATACTCTATACCTCATGTAGCTCTGAATAATATAGAAACACTAATAATAGAAAATGCACAATAAGTAAAAAATAACTTCAAAGGGCAAGGCGGAACGTTATAGTAGCACCAATGGAATGTATAGTTGCCACCACCGCGATCGGTGTAGCAACGGTCCAATTAAGTGGCAATTTGGTGGCGCAGGGAACTTTCTTGGAAAAATGACTTTATGGTTCCAAAGAATCGTTGACCATGTAGTTCCAACAAAGTTATTGTTTCTATAAAGTCGCTTTGGATAGCTACAATTGTCACTTTATCAATTCGAAGATTTTAAAGGTCCAAACGGGTAGGGTTGGCCTAATATGTTATTGTTCCCGGTACTTTGTGGAAGCATATGGAACTATAAAGTATTTTTCGGATTAAACGGCCATATTTTTTTCATGAATTTTTAGACGTGAAAAAATGTAGTTGTAGTGAAAAAATAGCGTTGTAAAACTTGGCATTTGAAATTTTCTTCGTCTTTTAAAATTTTCAAAATAAATTAAAATAAAAAACGTCAAGAATTAAAAATAATAAACCTTTATTCAAAAAATATAAACACTTTTTATAAACTCTAATAAATAGTATCAACAATATTTTAAATTTATATTAAAAAAACTATCACATTTTTTTTTCATTTCATTTGATCAACAATATTCAACATTTTTTTTTTCTAAAATTTGACAGACAAAACACGTTACAAACTAAATTAAAAAAAAAACACATAAAATAACAATAAAATAAGTTAACTTTCAAAAATATTTTTTCTTTTACTATGACATACTGATCAATCTAGTGTCGTTCTGTTCAAAACTAACTTGAGATTCTCTTCTCTGAGTTTCTTGAATAGGGTTAGTGTACTCGTGCTGACCAGGTGTTAAAATCGGGCGAGACATACCGTCATCTTGCTTCCTATATGTCGGGTTATAGAATTTCATACTGAAATACAAAGAAAAAAAAATAGTGAGAAATAAAGAAATTTTCTACAATCTGACAACGTTGTGTTTTCTGGTATTATGTGCAATACCGAAGCCAAAAAAAACCCTACTGTACAAAAAACGAAAATGCTATGTTTCTTTATTTATTAAAATAGTTTATAACGAAGATCGTCAAGATCGTATGATTTTTATACCGTATTATTGAAAAAAAGGCGTCAAAGACGGTTGGGAAATGCCTATTGGTGATAATTTTGGCGAGGTCAATCTCTAGACATCAGTTACTAAAAATTGACACTAATTATAAACAGATTAAAAAAGATAGACACACAAATCTATTTCTAAAAAATTATTTTTACTCATTATATTATGATATGAAAATTATGATCGATTGTCGTTTCCCAGCCGTCTTTGACGCCGTTTTTTTTCTGATCGTATGATAAAAAATATATAGAACTAAAAGAAAATAATAATCTTCGAAAACGACGATGTATCGTCCTGAGTAGTTCAAATAAACCAAGGTTGCCGGATCGTGTCTAAAGTCCGTATTTACACTATTTTTACCTTATGTTCATTTGACCAGAGTGTCTTTTCCTAGCGTAAATGATCAGAACAACTGCTACGAGTATGATGACGATAGATACGACAACAACAGACACAGCAGTACCATTTCCAGCACCACCATCTTTTGTTAGAGGCTTCGAATCAACTGAGTGAAATTTAGGAGCTTCGCCTTCCTTGTGATTCATTCTCTGCAACAAACATAGTATATTGTTTTATTAGGAAAAAATTCTGCTTTTTATGGCTGTACGGTTAACGTTACAGGGGAGGCACAAAAATTACATTTTTACTCTAAATAGAGCATGTTATTTTTTTCAAACGTCACAAATAGTTTTTTAAACAATTTCAAACGTTTCAAATAATAAAAAAAGATTTAAAAGTAAGTAATTATATATCGTAACTAATTATATATCAAGAAACTATGGTTATACTCGTTGCATTTGACACTTAATGTCAGTTTAATATTTTTGTTTTTTATTTTTAATATAAAATATTTTTGTGCTCAGGGGTAAAAGTGCTTTACTTTAATGCTTAGGCGTTAAAATGATATTTTTATATTGTCAATCACGTCGCAAAAATTAATACTTTTGTGAGGTTTAAAAACAAAATATTTCACAAAAATATGTAACATTAATTTTTAGGAAAAAAATAGATTATAATATTTACCAAGTTACTTGAGCATCTTTGGCTAGGTTCAATAACCTCCCCGCTACCACAGAGACATCTATGCTCCTCTGCGCTAGGCACGCACAAATTTTGACAGGTGTGGTTGACGCAAGGCGACTGTACTTCCGGTTGAAGCCCCTCTTGAACCAATAGGAACCCGTCGTGGCTGTAGGCGTGGATTTTGAAGGTTGAACAAGTTTGGGAGTCGTATAGTTGACATTTGGTGACATCTCCGTTACTCACTGAGAAATAAAGATGGTTTTCGAAGAATTTTAAGCCTACTATGCGATGGAAATCATTGAAAATTGCATTATTTTGAGTTCCCTCGTATGTCATTTCGAATATTTTTCCTTGGTGTTGATCGGCATAGTACAGAAGCTTCTTGTTTGAATCGTATGTTATTCCAGTTACATAACCTAAAAAACAGCAATGCATAACAAAAAAAAAACAAACTAAAAGAAATATAAGTACCATTGGTACTCCTGACAATCTCCTTCTTGTTGCTCCCGTCCAAATTTGTTCGATAAATGACGTAACTAGGCGAATTGAACACGAACCAACTTGCCAGAGAGTAGAACATCACTCCGTTCACCGCGTCTATCGATAATTCCGATACGTGCCTGTGCAAGTCGATATCGATAAGTTTTGAGCAGGACATCTCGACGAAACTACAGATACTGATGGACTTGTCGTCTGATTGGGCATTATAGTAATAGATGTGACCTAAAATAAAAAAATCGATAAATAAAATATCGATAGTTATGCACATCCCTAAAGGAATATTTTTGGAGTTACCTGTAGACCAGTCGTAGGCAATCTTCTTTGGGTGTCCGATATTTTCGATGTACTGTCGTTTTTTAGTGGCTGTATCGATTTTTTGAATTGTCGGCGAGTTTTCGATAGTGAAATAGATGTTTCGGTCTTTCATCGATACGTCCATTGCTGTCACTTTAGGCATTTCATCCGAATAGACGATTTTTAAGGAGTTTTGAGTCAGTTCTCGTATTTGGTTGTCCGATATAAAAACTAAAGACATCGGTTTGCCAATAGCCTTACACGATTTTTTATCACCCCTAAAATAGAGACATATTTTTATTTTAAATATAAACTCTTTATTCAAAAAGTAATACCTTAACGTAAAGTTCTCGTAACAATCACACAAGTGATCACCAGGCGTGTTCACACAAATTTGACTGCATACTGGAGGACTCTGATCACATTCGTTAATATCTTCACACGATCTTCCATCACCCTTTAATCTAAAATAAAAAAACTCAATAATCATAATAAAAATATAAAAATAAAAAACGGTGTTGCCAAATGTGGCAAATATTCCTCAAATTTAGGGATTTTCGTGAAAATATATTATTTTATGGTATAGGCGGTATATATGACCTGTATCCTTTGTCGCAGACACACATAGGCCCAGCAGGTGTTCTGATGCATTTTTGGGAGCACGGGTTGAAGGTGCGATCGCAAGATTTCGAGCAGAGTCCCCCTTCATCAGACTCGTCGTAACAATCGTGCTTGTCGTTGCAGAGGAGGTCCAATGAAATACAAGCACCGGATTTGCATCTAAAGAAAAAATAAAGCTTAATAGACCAACTGTACTGGAACAAAAGGAAGGTACCTAAGATATACAAAGCAGACGTAAACAGAGAAATTGTAACTTATTTAATAAAAAAGTTTATATGTCTTTTTAAAAACAATACCTGAATCCATTTTCGCAAGGCTTATAGTGGTACTTTAACATCAGCACTGATTTCTTAGATCCGCTCCTACAAATAGTACTGTTCTCGTCGCTGTTATCCCCGCAATCATCGGCACCATCGCAAACCCACTCCTTAGGCACACATTTTTTGTTTCCACACTCGAACGACTCAGAATCGCACTTAGAACAGTCCTTTTCGTCTTGTCCTTGAGAACATTCGGTAGTTCCGTTGCACCGAGCAGACAGCGGTAGACAGAATGTATCGTTGAATCCGCAAGAGAACTCGTCAAAGGCACAGAACGCAGTATTCAGGTGAACGGAGCATGACATTTCGTCGGAATTGTCGCCGCAATCGTCGGATTGGTCGCAGGTCAGACTCTTGTCGACGCATTTGCCGTTGGAACACGTGAACATGTACGAGGCGCACGTAATAGACTCTGAAAACGAAAATTAGTAGATTTAGGGAAATTTTGCACAACCCGGCAACATTGTATTATTTTCTTTTTACCAGATCAGTCTATTAAAGCAATAAAAAAGTTTACCTATTTTAAGGAAATTTTGTACAATCTGGCAACAATAATAATTGAAAAGTACTACCACTAATTATGTAGTTCTGAATGCTTATATTAAAATTAGGTGAACAAACTTCTACGGCTAATTGAAACTACTAATTTATTCCACTGATTTGGAGGTTCTGAATGAAGCTTTATTTATAAAATGTAGAAATATAATAAAAAATAGATTTACGTAAATTTTGAACAACCTGACAACATCGTATTTTTTTCTTTGAGTTAATCGATCTATAAAGCAATCAAAAATTGTTTTTTTTATATACTGTAACGAAGTATTGTAAATCTGGCAACATTTTTTTGTTGGAATAAATTGATCTTTCCTTATTCTTTCAAAACAATAGATAGTGTATTATTTATGTGAAATTAAAATAACAGATTTAAAAGATAAAATTAGCGAAAGAACAAAACCTGGCAACACTGTTTCTTTCTTTAAAAGTACCGGTGTAAGTTAAAAAGTAGAAAGTATAAATATATAAGGTTTGATGTTTTTAAGGAATTTATAAAGTATTTTTGTGTTTAAACAGTTGGCAACCATGTTAATATCTGGAATCTGCACTTACCGCATCCAGAATGTTCATCGGAAAGATCCTTGCAATCGTATTCGTGGTCGCATTCCCAGCTTTTGGGGATGCAAGCTCCAGAATCGCATCTGCAACAAAATTATTATTTAGAATATAGTTATAAAATTATTATTAATTATTTAACATCAACATAATATTAGTTTTGACTCAACCTATATATAGACTAAACAAAATAGCGAATTTCAATTGCAGATCTGAAAAGATAGTATCATAAAATACTGCAAAAATATATTTGAATCGCTGTGTATATCGATGGAGAATATTAGGAAAAAAAGATTTAAGTTAAAAACTCAAATGGAAAACCTAATCGAGTATTTTTAGAACATTTGTTGACCCTGTATATACTTTTAGCATCTATAATAGTATAGTCTACAGCCAAACCTTTGAATAGGAAGACTAAGGAAGGAGCATAATGCTATCCATGTATTCATGCATGGTGGGCGGAAAAAGCTCTCTAGGGTGGGGATCCTTGACAGTTCTGTTTGACGATTCATTTGACACATTTGAATTTGATTTGAAATTATGTGGAATTTTCAGTTTTTACGGAGCTTATTTTATGTTATTTATTATTTATTCTACTACTGATAGTTGTATAAAGGTAGTAAATCTAGATGGAAATTGTGGCAGAACTTAAATTAACAGTGACACTATCGCGATTTATCGAAAAAGACTCTAAAATAGTTGGTTGTGTAGCGTGCGATAGATCTCGGCAAAAATTGAGTGAAATAATGGAACAACTTTTCGCTAGTAAGTGACTATATAATATACATACGCGTAGTAAACCGATCATTTATGAAATTCACTTAAATTAACTAAATTATATATTTTTCTTGCATTTTAGCTTTTATTTATTATTTGTCAAAGATTAGATGTCAAAGAAATACGTTAATTTGACTTACCTGCTTCAGTAGCGTATCGGATGTTTGTGTTAATAAATATTTATTATAACTTATTTATTTTTATTAGAAATATATATTTTTATAACAATTTTAATAACTACCAACATTTATTCACAACGTAAAATAAAACAACAAATTATTGAGTCTACCCCACGTCTACCCTACATTATAGTTTTACATTTTTTAAATAAAATTAGAACGACACTGATAAACCGGAATTTAAGTCGGCCATATTTGAGGCCCATCGCGGTGTACCTAAGATTTTTGATATGCTCCTTCCTTAGTCTTCTTATTCAAAGAGCCAAACGGAAGGATTACTGACAGTGACAGTTGTGTCTGTCAAATTTTCATGTAAAAAATACCACAATTATTCATAACTTGTCTAGTTATGATGAACAAGTTATACATTTTGGTCGATATTTTTGACTTCATAATAATTTATAAACAAAATTTCAAATCTTCAATAATATATTATTGTAAAATTTATAAAAAAAAATAGAGTGTATTTTGTGTTGAGTAAAATATACAAGTTTTCATAACTTATCAGGTTATGATAGTAATGTAATATTAATTTTATCTATATGTTCAAATGAGTAACAATATAAAGTGTTTCGATATTGCGTGGACACAGAAGTACTAGGTATCTTGGAAATTAAAATAAGTTAAATTAAGATATTTTAAGAACCGATTGTATATGTTTCCCTAGACACTTTAACAGTAGATTTTCAAAAATAAAGATACAGGAAGTGTAAAAACTACCCTAACCATAAATCCTAAATTAAGTAGTTATTAAAGTTACCTAAACTGAGTGTCCAAACAAGTAGAACTGAGGCATTTTGATTCATCGGAGTGGTCCAGGCAATCGGTTGCCCCATCGCATACAAATCTCTCGGCAATACATTGACCATCGCCGCATCTAAAGTGACCAGGAGCACACTTGGAGAGTCTGTCTTTTTCGTCGCATCTGTATTCATCTGATTTGTCCTTACAATCAAAATGGTGATCACAAACTTGCTTTTCCTATAAAAAATATCTCAGTTATGAAACTGTATGTACTCTATTAAATAGTCATAATAAAAAAAAAGTTTCAAATATAAAATACGTAATGTTTAAACAAGAAATACCCTTATGCATTGTCCATCGTTACAAGCAAAGTACCCTAAAGGACAGGTTGGTTCTTTCTTACAATCATCTTCGTCTTCGCCCATTGGACAGTCCTTTTTACCATCACACCTCAGTTTGCTTGAAATACACTGGTTGCTTAGTGGGCACATGATTTCGTGTTCCATACAATCTTTCCTGCAAATAATAAAAAAGAAGTATTATAGAAACAATATTTTTTCCTGATTGTTTACCTGTGGATGCAAGTCTTGTTGTCTTTTTCTAGCATCATTCTGCTCGGACATTCGCATATTATGGCCGAACTATGAGAAGGTAGACATAAATGACTGCAATTTCCGTTGTTATATAGGCACACGCTGTCTAGATTTAAGCCAGAGGTCACAGAGGCTAGATGCAATTTTGTATCTGAGTCGATCACCATGTCTGAAAAATAAAAAAAAATTAAGTAAAAACGAGTAAAACTGTTATTTGAAAATAACTGTTAAAACTGATACTCAGATATAACAGTTCACAAATACTGTAATTCATAAACTGCTATTTCTATAAATAATAGTTCAAACTGTTCTTTACTACATTACGTAAAATAAAATCAGTCTTGTTATTAACTGTCCTAACCAACTGTTATTTTATTGAAAGTAACAACTATCGAGAACTGTTGTTCATAAAGAATAGTCTTAAATTAACATTGAGCTAAGTGGCAATTCATTTTTCAGAATTCATCTTTTTAAGAGTGTAGTCTAAGGTACAGCTTCCTAAAACTGTTATTTCTAAATAACAATTTTCAAATTGTTATATATAAAAATAACAGTTCTGTTATTTGTAAAAATAACAATTCACGAACTGTCACTTGTAAAAAATAACAGTTCACAAACTGTTATTTTTAAAAATAACAGTTTATAAATTGTTTTAACAAAAAACAGTTGCGACAAAATGTTTCAGAGAGTAGTGTAAGGTTTTACCTAAGGAAAGCTTTTGTGTGTTATCTCCTGAAGACTTCTCAGTCCAGAACAGTACCGGAGTGTACTCGTTAACCCAAAACAAATCATTATTCAGCGTTGTTAGGTCTGTAGGAAAAGTGTGAAGTCGCTTGAACAAGTGAACTTCTTCACCGTCCACACTCACGTGCTTGATCACACCGTTGAAAGCGTCGACCAGGAAGAGCCGGTGGTACTTTTGATCGTAGTGCAATGAAATCTTACTACCCAAATCAGTTTCTATGATGTGAGTTCTGCCAGATCCGTCCATAAACATTCTGTCGACGTGTCCAGACATTCCTGACTTTTCTGCCAAAGCCACGAACATTATCCTGAAAAAAAACAGGGAATTTGAAAAAAAAACACATGAGTTTAGATCTAGTATATACAGGAGACGATTTCTTACCCTTCTGATGGTACCAAAGCTACAGAAACAGGCATTTCATCGTCAAGGTCGTGGATGAGCACTTTGCGAGACATTGTGTTCAAGCTGACCACTTCCAGAGTTGCTTTGGAAGTGTCACAGAAGAAAAGGTTGTTGCTGGATGCATCTAAAATATTTTTTTGAATTTTATTCAGCAGTTTTAGGAAATATCGCATCAAAATCTTTAAATAAAAAGATGAGTAAAAGAAAGGAGTATAATGCTGTAAGATTGCTAATTTAATATGTTCCTTCCTTAATTTTTTTACCCAAAGATTTAATTAAAAAAAATTAGACACTGTCTATTTTTTTCTATTGAACTTACCATAATCCATAGATGTTATTTTACCAAGAATCTGTAATGGTAGAGTTCTACTAATGCTGGTATGTAGATTTAGCTCTAAAATTCTTCTGGTTTCGATGTCACTGATAAAAAGACTGTTGTTCCTGCTGTTATAGGCCAGTGCGCCTGCTTTTTTTACCACAGAGGGTAAAAGGGTTGTGGACTGTCTGCCTAAGTTCTTGTGTTCAACTTGTAACAGAAGATTTTTTGCTGCTACGACTATGACTTGCTTTTTCTCCACTTCTATACCAAAAAAAGAAACATATACATTTCTATTATTCATTTTGATTTAGAAAATAAACACAAAAAATATTAATTTAATTATTAAAACATTTTACAAGCTCATTCTCCCTATCTATACCGGGTGCATCTCGAAAGTGGCTCACCCAACAACTTTTTTATTTTTTCAGATAAAAAAACGAGGTTTGGTATGTTAGTATATGACATAAATTAGGATTGATTGACGTATTCAATTGTTTTTGGTCACTTCCTGTTTTACGGGAAATGACTACAACTTTTGATTTTTAAATGGCACTCTCGGATTTTTTTTAAATTTATTCGATAGAATGACATGTCATATGTCAACATTTGACATTCTTGCTTAATAAAAAATTGTATTTTAAATTTCAATCTAGAGTGCCATGTTAAAAACACTTATTCTTGATCAAGGAGCCTTAGAAAAATAGATTGGATTGTCTAATGTTTTTAGTGTCTTGTCCTGGCCAGTTAGAAATTGCTCAAATAGTATTTTTAATCATATCTCAATTTTTTCAAATGAAAGGAAGGTGGCTCATTAGCATATTTGGAAAAAGCATTTTTTTACGAATAATTTGATATCACACACTTGGTATTTCGAGTCAAATTTTCATTACGAACAGCAAGTTATAATTTCAAATAAACCATATGCGAAAATGTCAAAAGTTGAAATATGATATGTCATTCTATTTAGAGTGTTATTTTTTATCGAATAAAGTAAAAAATACCGAGGGTGCCATTTAAAAATCAAAAGTTGTAGTCATTTCCGGTAAAACAAGAAGTGACAGAAAACAAATGAATATGTCAATCAATTCTAATTCATGTTATATACTAACATACCAAATCTCGATTTTTTATTCGCAAAAGTAAAATAGTTATAGAGGTGAGCCACTTTTGAGACGCACCCGGTATATCGGTGACTCACCCCTGCATGTATGCATATCCAATCCTAACTTCCTGCCCTCTGAGCAAGCGCAAGTATAGCCTCCCTCAACTGTCAACAGGCAAATGTCACTGCAGTATGCGCTGTTGCAAGGATTGTGAGTGCGCTGGTGTAAAGATGAATGGTAGATGTTGATACCGTAGATGAAGTTCTTGTGTTCTTTGATTAATGTTGTATGGTTTTTCCCGGTGAATTTGTTACAAGAGTCTATGGACATGGTCTCCCAATCTGACCAATAGAGTTTGTCCTCGAATACGGCTATGGCAAATGGATGTTTGACCACGTTTTCCAAGATGACCTATCAAAGTTTAATGATTAAACATCACATCATTTTTTATTAAGTTGTAGATAATTTGTTACCCTTCTGTCTGTACCGTCCAACCTGATACTCTCCAAGGCCATTTTCTTGGCGTCTGTCCAATATAGTCTTTTATTAGGCCCATCCAATGCCAAACCGTTGGGCCAGTGAACGTTATCCCTCAGGAAAGGTCTATCTTGGGTTCCATCCATGTGGGAGAACGCTATTTCAGCTGGTTCACCCCAATCTGTCCAATACATAGTTCTAAAAACATCCAAAATAGACTTTTTATACAGGATATTTCATAAATTAGTGCAAGCGATCGAAAAAAACGACGTCAAAGACGGCTGGGGAATAATCGATGACAATTTTTGCGAGGTCAAGCCCTAGACATCGTTTACTTAGCCTATATACTCTTCTTTCCGATTTAATGGCACTTTCTACCAGTTATTGGTCTTAAGAAGGTCATAATTTATTTTTGAATTGAGTAAAAATGATTAAATAATTAAATTGTGTAGATTTGTGTGTCTGGAAACGTTCTATCCTTCGTTAATTTATAATTATTAGTGGTTAATTTTTGACAATTTTTATGTCAATTTTTAGTGAATGACGTCTAGAGATTGGCCTCCCTAAAATTAGGATCGATTGTTATTCCTCAGCCGTCTTTGACGCCGTTTTTTTTTCGATCATACAGTATTGTTTATTAGTTATTGCGTTTATTTTTAATCTGTACTTGCTTACCCTTCTTCTATATCCAACACTATAGCTCGAGGTTTTCTAATATCGTTGTTATTTAAGACAGTGCAGTGCGTGCCATCATTGGTGCATACGCCAATGTGCTGAAGTTTCCCGTCAGTGAAGTAGACGTTTCCAGTTAACCAATCAACGGCCAGATCTTCAGGCAGTGCCAACCCAGCAGTTACCAACACCTAAAAAAAAATAAATTAATATATTTCAAACTTTGAATAGAAAAATTAAGAAAGCAGTATAATGCTATTTCCATGTATTCATGCATTGGAGACATAGCTGATTTGTTGGGCTTTTCGGAGATTATTTTATGTTATTTAGGTATTATTTATTCTACGTTTGGTTTTGTTTAGAGGTAGTAAATCAAGAAGAATATTGTGTCAGAACTTAAATTAACAGTGGCATTATTAACAATTACCGAAAAAATACTGTAAAATAGTTATAGTTCATACCAATTAAACTTTTAGTCACGTGATTAAGCTTGACCGGCACAGCGTTGCCAACTTTTATATATTTTCTTTTAATTAAAATATTTTATGAAACAAAAATAACTTAATTATAAATATATAAACAGTTATTATTTACATCAACAAAAATCACCTCCATGACAGCACTTAAAGAACATAAAGGGCCATTACTACCGCTTTCCGTTTTTGTACACTTCTAGTTAGTCAGTCGGGCGCCGAATCTGTCCATAGTTGGCAACAATGAATTTAAAAAATCGCGCCCTCGATTACATAACTAAAAGTTCAATTGGTATCGCTTATAGTTGTGCAGCGTGCGATAAATCACACCAACAATGTTGTCCAAATGATTAATTTTGTTTTTTTTGCTCTTTGTGGTTGATTTTGCCAATTTTCTTCTGAGTAAACTAACTTATTTAATCAAGAAATACTTACATCTCTTTCTGAACCATCTACAGAGGCTTTGACTATAGCTTCGTGTTGGGTAAAAACCTCAGTCCAGTAAATATTATTGCCATCTTGCCCCACGCCCACTACTTGCTTCAAATGATTAGCTACAGGAAATAGCAAGTTGCTAGTAAGCAAATATGACCTAAAAAAAGATAATAGTGTTATTTGGTTAATACAGTTGGGGTTGGAAACTTTTTTTAGTCTTATAACAGGTCATAATAATAACAAAAATATAGTACCCAAAGACATTATAAATATAGACAGAACATCTCATTCATAAATACTCGTTGGTAGTGTATCAAACATTCCAATGTGTCAAACAAGGACAGAAGAGACAGAGAAGTGTAAAATTTCCGACCCCGGCAACTAGGCGCATTTGGATTGTTCTAATGGTCAGTGGCGTATCGTTTTTTGGAACGAATTTAATTAGTAAAGTAAAAGTAAAGTAATTAGTAAAATGTTTACTCCATATTTATATACTACATTAACACTTTTTCGTTAGATGAGTTTTGTTATAAGGTCTAATATAATAATATAATTAATATCCCACATATACTTATGTTGAAACGTTAGTAGGTAAAATGTAAACCAAAAACGTAATAGGTAAAAAGCTTTTTTGGGGGCCTGGATCACTCTGTATATAGGTATGTATAAAACTAGTAGCCTAAGAATTATTTACAGTTCGTCCCATTCTAAAAAAAAGGTAAACACACCGTACAAATAATTCTAGGAAGAGGTATTTGTACGGTGGTAAAAAAATTGTTTAAACGAGGCCGAAGGGGCAGATATAATAATGCAATAAAATGTAAAAAAGGGGCGGGTAAACACCTTTGTTTATTTGTTGATCAAAATTCCTTTAGAATATCGTATATAATGACCAAAATGACGCAATTTTAAGAAAAAAATGTCACTTTCTGGCTTATAATAAAGTTTCAAATACAATGTTTATATTCAAATTTGTTATGATCTACAACAGTTAAGTAGTAATTGAGACGAATTATAATTCAATTATCGGCTACTACGTTCTTGTTTTAATAGCTCAAAATTCAACAAATATAATTAGAAATTATTTTAATTGTGAGAGGCTCCCTTGTGGGACGCCTATGTACGGCGATTACGGCGCGGCGGAAAAAATACCTACCTGTGAAAAGACAAATTCGGGTAATTTGAGCTTATTTTTCCACACATTTGACACTGTCGTACCATATTAAAAATTCGCAGATTCAAAAGTACGTTAAACAAAAGCAAAAACTACTGAAAAACACTGGAAAGTTCACTTCGGACTTGATTCCGACTTCAAACACACCGTAAGCTAAACGTAGTACGCTATAACGGACCAAGGGCCGTCGCGAGGGGTGGTGGGACGGACGGCTCATTTCATTCTGGAAGACTAGCAGCGACGTTGCCAATAGTTCTAGACGTTTCAGCACATTAAACAGTAAACATGTCCTTTAATAGTATCGCATATATCCTCTGGTTAATAACATATTATTACTCATGCTTCTTTAAAAATAAACTATTAATTTAATTAAGAAATTGAGATATATTGATATCCGGTGAAGGTTTTAAAGTCACCTTTTCTGCAAATCAAACTAAGTAGATAGGCGCAAATTTGAGATGTGGCAATGTCGCCTTCTCTATCTCAGTTGGTTTTTACAGTACGTAGTCAACCTCCGATTGTTTGATCGGGTTAAAATGCAAAATGTGATATCTGTTCTTCCTAAATCTATGATAGTACCTGATCTCGTTTTTCGAGCTGAAGATCATAGAAGCCTCCCCTCCTGTGGCTTTGCAAGATCTTCCATCTTCCTGAAGGTGGTACTCCTTCTGGCAAGAACACTGATAGGAACCTTGAGTGTTTCTGCATTCCTGGTCACAGATTCCTGTAAGAAATACATCAAACACTATTTGTTCAGTGTTTTGAAAGGAATGCATACCATATTCTTCGCATTCATTGATATCTGTGCAGGTTTTTTCATCGATATTATGATATCCAGAGGGGCATAGACATCGTGGACCTGTAGGTAGCTGGATGCATTCATGACTGCATCCGTGGTGGCTGCATGTCATTGAGGATTGATTGCATAGACCGCCTAAAAGAAATTTAGAAGAATATTGACACGATTTCAAAAAAAAAGTAAAAAAAATACGTATCCTACAGGATGAATTTTAAATAAGTGCAAATATTTTCAGGGCTGGTAGATCTTGATAAAAGGAACATATTTTCTCTTTACCGTTTTTCAAAAAAGTCCAAAATATCCGAGTTATTCAAGTTTGAAAATTTAACAAAAAAATTGATTTATTTTTTGAAAATTTTGAGAACAACCGGAATTTTTCTTGCATCCCTTTTAGTGTTGTAACCATAGATTAAGAAATTATACACACAATATAATAATAATGCAGTTTTCTAAAATATACAGGACAGTTTAAAAGAAAATGTACGATTTTCGACATCTTCTTTTGCGAAAAAAAATCTCATAGACGAGTTCCTAGGGTCAAAATATACCACACCTATAAATATTTGCACTTTTTTAAAACTCACCCTGTATAAGTATAGTATGATTATTATTAAGTAATGTAGATTTTTTCATTCTCACTCTTTTTGATTTTTTTTTGGATCAAAAAAGAAAAATAGTCATATTACCTTCATCTGATTTGTCCAAACAATCAAATTTTCCATTGCAAACATCCTTGAGATCTAAACAGGCTTTTCCATCATTACAAATGTACTTTTTCTGATCGAAAGTACACTGTTTGACATCGAAATGGTGTTCTGTAAGGTGTAAATGTAAGGAATTTATTATTTTACCAAATATTTATGGCATTTACCGCAATCTTGTTCATCACTGTTGTCTATACAATCGTTAACACCATCACATCGCCATTCGTTGGGCACACAACGGTGATTTTTGCATCTAAAAACATTTTTTTATGAAATGCTTGAAAGTGTAAAGTACGTCCCCGGATTGTCTTTACAAGGGGAAAACCTTTTTTATTATTGACATATTTTGAGAAAAATACATTCTTCATTAAAATTTTTGCTTGTTCTAAAATCATTAATCCCGTTTATACTTATCCAAATTTCGTAGAAAATCAATCATATTTTCATGTTTTTTCTAATTTTCTCTAAAACGGTATGGAAATTTGGAAAATTATGAACAATATTAATAATTTTATAGCAAGCAAAATTTTTTATGAAGAATGCATTTTTCTCAAAATGTCAATAATAAAAAAGTTTTTCCTCATGTAAAGACAATCCGGAGACATTCTGTATTTTTTCATTTTTTCTATTTCTCTCGTAAACGGTATGGAAATTTGGAAAAATATAAACAAGGTTAACCATTTTAGAACAAGCAAAAACATTTATGAAAAATGCATTTTTCTCAAAAAGTTAATGATAAAAGAGTGTTTGGAGATGGTGTTAAAAGTTGTTGTGAGAGAATATACAAGGTGTGTAAGAATAAGTGTGAAAAAATTCAGTAGCTGTACATTGAACTCAAATGTATAAATATCAATTTAATCATATATTATGTGTAATCAAACCTGAAACCATCACAGTCTTTTTCAAATGTGGTGCATCCAATTCCTTCATCTGAGCCATCCAAGCAATCCAGTTCATCATTGCAAACCCAATCTTCTGGTATACACAACTTATCGGTACATTGCCATTCGCCTTTTGCGCAGGTAGCGTTCAAAGATATGTGCTCAACCTAACAAAAATAAATTCACTAAAATTAGGCACCCTTTTTTCTATAAAGTATTTCTTTTTTTTGTGAACACAGATCGAAAAAAAACGGCGTCAAAGAAGGCTGATGAATGACGATCGATGATAATTTTGGCGAGGTCGATCTCTATAAGACGTCATTTAGTAAAAATTGACATAAAACTTTTCAAAAATTAACACGATTTAACACAATTACAACCTTCTTAAGCCACCTGGCAGTATTCTGGCAGTAACTACGCTTGACCTCGCCAAAATTATTATCGATTGTCATTCCACAGCCGTCTTTGACGCCGTTTTTTTTTCGGTCGTATGGTAGTAGTCAAGAGGTGATAAAAAATACGTTACTTTAAAGTTATCACAGTTGTTCTCGTCTGAGAAATCACCGCAGTCGTTTTCACCATCACATAAGAAGGATTTTGAAATGCATCGGTGGTTCTTACAGCGAAAAAACGAGGGTTCTTTACACAGAAACATCTCTAGAAAGAAATATCAATGTCTTAGAGAGTATAAAAATAACAAAAATCAAATACAAGGTGTTTTTTTTTAAATAAGTGCAAATCGAAATAAATTTTCTTTTACAAAAAAATTGTTGAAAATTTTTCTTGACACTTTCCGTGAATTTTTGACAAACTTTTTATTGCTACTGGTTCATTCTCCTGAAATTTCTTGACGGGCGATGTATCGAAACCTTGCAATGTTGCCACCTCCTACTTTAACCACCTTCTGTATATTTTAGGCATCACGTTACAAAACCCCTCTTATCCCACAAATGATGTTTCAAGATAATGTACAAAAACTGTTTTAGCATATGTTTGAAGCGTTATTTTACAAAAAAACGTGCCCATTGAATGGAATCATTATTTTGGATCTCGTTTTTCTAAAAATAAAAATTGATATTTAATATTTAAAGAGAAAAAAAACACAAAAATAATTCGGATAAGGCGGGTTTTGTTGCAGTATGATGCATGTTGCGTGTTTTGCTACAGATATTTGCATCCAAACTTTATTTATTAGATATTATGCTATTTTATTAAAATTAGGTAAATATTTGAAATGGATAAGACGTCAGTAGTAATATTATACTTGTGTAAAAAGCCTATGAAAAAAATGCGGGATTTGCAACAATAATGACAATAAAAAGCCAATATAAGTGGATAAGACAGATTTTGCTGCAGTAACGTAATTTGTAGTCAATTTGTGGATAAGACAGATTTTGCTGCAATAACGTAATTTGTAGTCAATTTTATATAGGAATAAGCGACTTTTGCTGCAATTTGGGACTATGTTTATGTAGATTTAAGGGTCCACTAGTAATATATGTTATTAGGCCATTTTAATCTAGGCATGTAATTAAAAAACATGTACAATACAGTATACAGTTATTTTCAACTAAAGTGAAAGAATAAATCTGAAATTTATTGCAAATTTTCTTATCACCATATTGCATACTTTCTAGTCTATTTGGCAACACAGAGCGTTGAATAAGCTGAGAGTTTTCTGGTAGGTATCGGAGGTTTTCTAAATGTAAGCATTATTTTTAAAAAAAATCAATTAACTCATTTATTTTTAATTCTTTATAAAAAATGTAAAAAGCGCAAATACTTGCGCTTATTTATGAGGCACCCTGTATATTTCATGGTAATTTTATTGCGTCACTCACCGCAGTCTTTTTCATCACTAAAATCACCACAATCGTTGTTGCTATCGCACCGTACACTTGTTGGAACGCACTTGGAGTTGGTACATTGGTACTCTTGGCTGGAACAGTTGCTTGAGACAAATTCTGGATAGAACAGTTCCAGAAACGCAGAGGCGTAAACTACGCTACTGAGCAGCACAAAAACCGTGTAGATCAGCTAAATAAAAATAATTAAAATAGTTTACAGGGTGATGTCATGAATTTTTCTTATAACGCACGTTTTAAGATTCGCAGTTTTTTTTAAAGTTTTGCTGAAACTAGCCTACAAAAAATATTTCTAATCTTGTGGAATGAAGATTTAACTTTTGATAATAACTTTAATAATTAAAAGTTAAATTAATTAATACATTTATTTTTGATTGATTCCCTCTAAAGCTTCAATCAGAACCTCAAAATTAGGAGAATACATTAGTGGTTTCAATTATACTTTATAATTAAGAATTTACGATCATTTCCCCCCAATGTCTAAAGAAATACAATTAAAATTAATAGAATATCCTAGCAAAAACTTGCGGTAGTCAGTTGTATTCATAGAGAACCTAATATTTAGCTTAAAAAACAATAAACTTTTGATTTCCAACCACATTTTCTCTTGGAGGATGATAGTCAAAGGCCAAAATGACATAAGTTACAAGTTTGTTTAACGGACAAACATATATTGTATCTAATTAACTTGAGTTCAAAAATAAGTAGTAGTTTTATGTCTACGGAATAACGCGACACCCTGTATGTCTTTTGTTTGAAATTATGCTTGAATCACAGGGGGCCTAGGGATTTTGTATTTTATAAAATGAATAATAATATCATTAAAAATAAATACATTTTTTGAATAAAACGTTTACATGAATTTCTATATCAATAAATTTGATAGATTTGGTTATATCGAGGTTATATCAATCCGTGTTTCTGTGGATTACTTAAATACCTATAAATTTTGTAAAAAAATAAAAGCTAACACATATTTTCTGAACACAGAAAAATAATATTAACTAAATAAAAATGAAAAATAATTTTTACTACATCACAAGCAAATAAAAATTAATATTTAGCCAAGGGTCATCGTTCAGTCAAAATTTAAGATTTCTCTGGGGGGTGCCCAGCAGTACCTAGGCCCGGCATCCCCCGGCGCCCCTGTACTTACGCCAATGTGTATATTTGCAAAAAAAATTTGTATAGACCTAGAAAATATGTTCTAATTTGTTTTCTGTAAAAATTAGATGAGTATAAATTTTCAGTACAAGGCATTTTTATTTCTAACAATTTTTTGCATTATTAAACTTTTATTTTCATTTTATGAAAATAAAAGAAATTAAAAATCATTAATAATATACAACATAACTTGTATATTCTCTAAAAGATGAAAAATTATGTACTTACCATCCTCACTAAAATTCTGAAAGCAACTAAAAACAGCACGAATAAATTATCAGCAATAAATTTTTGACATTTTTTCCCAACATGGACAACATAGGCACAAACCGCATAAAAACATACCTATCTACATACAGATTGATATTTTTTCAACCCAACCATATTCAATATCTTTAATGGTATTTACTGGTATTTTATTTTTATTTTTGTTATAATAATACAGTTTAAATTTACTTGCATCATTTGTGAGAAATTCGCTCAAAATTACTATGCAAGGATGTGGAAATTTGGAAAAGTTATATATTTAAAAAAAATAAAAATACTTTTTTTTTACTTAAAAATTTAATTAGTTCAAAAAGTTAAAAATATTATTGTCAAATTAAATAGAAAAATCAAAAAATACAATAAAATAATTTATTTATTAGTTCTTTCTTAAAGTAAAGCGTGCTCCACACCCCACGACTTAACCGTACGACTTGCTTGCCTCCACAAAACGTCGAACAAACGGACAATTGAATAAAACATCAATTCTTATTTATATACAGTTTGAACCACAATGCAACAAATGTGTTACAAGTTGTTTATTATATCCAATATCGGTAATACGTTCAAAAGAACTACTTCTATTTGTTTAAAACTTTCTAAACTGTTTAAAAACCTACTTAGTTTATAACAGTTTCTCATTTTGATTTTATTTTTTTGTTATTTATTTATAAAATGAAAAAAAAAATACAATAATTCCATATACACATAGTCTTTATTCAATTAATTTCTTACATCATCAAGGAACAAGCATAATATATAATACTATGTACAAAGCCTTAAAATATACAGAGTGAAACAAGTACATCAAAACAATTTCCCATATTTTTATTTTGGCAAACGACTGATGAGTCAAACGAACTACCGCGCGGTAGATCAGTGTGATTTTTTGGCAAATTGTTATACGGGGTGGTTTATTAGAACTACTTCTAAACGTTCAAAAGAACTACTTCTAATTGTTTAAAACTTTCTAAACTGTTTGAAAAACTACTCAATTTATAACAGTTTCTCTTATTGATTTGATTTTTTTTGTTATTAATACAAATAGATCAATAACATTTTTTTATTATTACTGTATGCTTTAGAACAAGCAGTTATATGATAAGCGAGGTGGGAAAAAACGGTGTCACGGTAGTCCTTGAAATAACAATACACGATAATTTTTCTAGAGTCGATTACTTTTAATACAGGGTGTGTTTTAAACAACTGCAAAAATTTTAAGGGATGATATATTTTTAAATTTACCAAAAAATGTTGAGAAAAACGCAAAATTTTCAATAATACTTTAGCAAAAAAATTCATAGGCGCGTTTCTGGGGTTTTACTATATAATTATTTTACTATATATTATTTATATAATTAATAAAAAAACTGTCATATTAAATGTAACATATTAAAGGACCGGTGCGACGGAAACCTGCCATCAATCGTCCGGTCAAAGACCACCATGACGCCTTTTTTCCCCGATGTAAACGAATAAAAACAACGTCACAGTAGGCGTGTAGAAATAACATTAATATTCGAGTTTCACCCCAAGTTAACGAAATCTAATAAAAACTTCAAATAACAGAGACACAGTAAAGCTTGAACTAAAATGACAGTTCTCAGCCGTCTATGACGCTGTTTTTATTGAAATACCGCGTAAACTGCTTATGGGATTGTAATACTGAGGGTATCCTCTAAATTTTTGTATCTATACACATATTTAATTATTCTAGTTTAAACAGCTTGAGCCGAAAAATATATCACAAAACTTATTATTTTAAACGAAAAACATGTTTCTTTTCGTTTTTCCTTATAAAGCACATGTAAAAATATGTACTGGCTCTCTAATACACCTAAATCGTTATTTTTTTAGCTTATTTCTGCCTTCGTATCACCTACCGATCCTTCTGTGATGCTCTAAGCATTTTATTGTATGTGTTTTCTGAGATTTCTAACCTTACTTAAAAGAATATTTACAACATTATGAATAACGTTTGCGAAAAACGTCAAAAAATAAAATTAATTTAACAAAACCTAAAAATAAATTAACAAATAAAAATTACGGTAATATCGAGAAAAATCCAAAGGAAAAACCAGTGGCGTGTATAGATTTTACAGACTGGCTTCTACGCTTTGTGGAGTCGATGGTTCACCAGTGACGTTAGCGCTGATCGTTGTCACGTGATCGCCGATGCGCAGGGCTGCCACTTTGGCGCGTTGGTAAGCGCTGAGTGTGTTCTGACCAAGAAATCTGTCAAACAAAAAGAAAAATAGTATTCTTAGATACAATAGTCGTTTTTATATGTAAAAAATTGTTATTTTTGCGTAAAAATAAATTTTTACAGTTTTTATGTATTTTTTTAAATTTTTAAACTGTCAACTTACCTAATGCAGACGTAGATTATGATCAGGGCCACGCTGGCAGCCGCCATGCGAATGTACGAATTTTGATAGAGCTGGATGACGATCCAGGCGCACGCCACTGTCACGCAGATACACGTGACAATGACGGCGGTGCTGCCCCAGTGGCGTGCGGTGAAAGCCTTGTCCCACTTGAGCTGGTTGTTCTGGCAGATCTGATACTGGTATTTGCACACTTTGCAGTGGGGCGGTTCGATGGACGAAGAACTACTTTCCATCAACCACCTGGAAAAAAATTAATAATATATCATAATATATCACACAAAACCAAAAAAAATGCAGTAAAAATGACAAAATTTGTATTTTTTTTTGTTTTGATGTGTTGTTAACCTTCAAAACCAGTAAAACAGATTCGCATATATTATTTCGTAATTTTTAATGCTAGTAGTTCAAATGTACATTCACCGAAAAATAACAAAATTAGAAGTAGTTCAAATGTATCTTGGTCTAAAAATTATTGATAAAGTTTATTAATTCCAAATTAATCCAAATAACCCCAAAATCGCATGTATTACTTTTTCGCGATTTTTAATGTTAGTAGTTCAAATATACCTTAATATTAAAATCATCGTTAAAGTGTATTAATTCCAAATTAAAACCTAATAAGAATCGCATATATTTCGCAGTTTTTAATGTTAGTAGTTCAAATGTATCTTCATCTACAAATCATCGTTAAAGTGTATTAATTCAAAATTAAAAAGAAAAAATAGCAGATTAGCAAAAAAATTATAACTTCTCATTTTTTAATATTAGTAGTTCAAATATACCATCATCCAAAAATCATCAAAATTTCAACAGTTAATAATTAACGAAGTTTTTAACATAAAAATATTGGTCTAAGTACTTACATTCTGAGACATTCATGATGAACACTGGACACATCGCCCGTACAGTCACAAGGTTGAATGAGAGGTTCGTTTTTGTCACCGTCATAACAAATCCAGCATTCTCTCTTGTCCAGAAAGGCTTCGTCGTCTTCTGTACCTAAAATTTTCATCGAAAACAGTTATAATATTTTGTTTTTTTCGTTTAGACATTGTTGAAAAATACTAGGAAAGGATTATTTTGGTATTACCTGTAGAAGGTTTGCCGTCTACTTGGCTCAATTCGGTTTCTATACCTTTGGACGGGTCGATTTTGGCAAGCAACTTTCTGGGATTCAGGATCCATAGTTCGGATGGTTGCATACAGTTCCAGAGTACAGCGGGGAACCTACAAAAAAATAATTACCGATATTAATTAGCAATGTATATTAAATTGATGGTGTGCAAAATCACTTACCATATAGCTACTCCGATTTCCACCACTCTGAAAACGACGTCGTGCAAGTTTCTGGAATTGATCGGTACTTTGGCCTTCCAGAATTCGCTCAAGGTTTCGGAAAATAAAAATCCAGCAATAACGATCAGCATCAAAGCTTGACTGAGTAATCCTAAAGAAATATATGAAAAAAAAATTAAATAATGACATATGGGGATCGCCCGAACAGAAATTATCATCAATTGTAATTTTCAAAGGTTACTATGACGCATTTTCTATCTCTGTGCCTACACACAGTCCTATATACAGATGTAGCTTAAGACTACTATTGCTTACCTATGCGGGATTGATGTAACTGAGACGAATTGATTTTTGGTTTTAGGTCACTGTCAGATTTGAGGAGCTCCGATTCCTGAGGGGTACTGCTGGCTAACTGTAGTGGTTTGGTAACAAAACCGCCTCTAACCTAAGAATAAAATAACCAAAAAATAATAAATCATACAGAAGAAAGACTCTTTTAAATAAGTGCAAGTATTTTAACCGTTTGGGACAACCTGTATAGTGTGTCCCATGTCGTGTATTACAGAGTTTCTCATTTATGGATAGAAATACAAAGACGCGGTTTTTACATTACTGCAAAATTTTTAAATTCGCTCTGTATTTCAGGAGGTAAGAGGGCTACGACAAATCTCTGTGTAGCATCTTTAATTTCAATACAAGGTTATTAAAAGATAAGGTTGTCTCGTAACGTTTGGACCAATAGGAGCGAAGCTGCAACTACGTCACATTCTACAGAACGTATAAAATCATAGATAAAGGAATAAAAAATAAAATACAACCGACAAAGAGAGATAAATGGGCAATACAATAAAGAAAACACACATCAAACAACTGAAAACTATTGACGCCATACACTATAAACAACAAAGTACACAATGAATATCGATTCGGAAATGCACTGTCGGACTGTGGGCAGTTTTTATCCCTTTATCTATGAGTGGTATCATTCCTATGACATTGTAGATCACGTTTTCGATAATGGCGGATCGAGTTACGAGATAACCTTATCTTTTAATAACCTTGGCACAGCGACCTCATAAAAGAGAAACACTGTAAAACATACGAAAATGGGACACCCTGTACCAACAAAACACTGTTTTATACACTTTGATCTTACCTTGAAATACACCTCTACACCATAGATCAAGAAGAACACTACCACTATGAACATAAGGACAGCATAACAGCCGTTGAACAGGTGGCTGTAGAATCCAGGGTCGTCGGCAGGGGGCGTTGCAATCTGGGTGGTGATAAATTCGGCAAAAAGTAGCCCGTAGGAGATGATGTTGAAGGTGACGAAACCAAGAAAGGACTTGGATATGAACTGCGGCTTTTCGTAGTGAACACCCGGTACATGAAACACCTAGAATAAAAAAAATATATTTTTAGTACTCTAAACTTCAGACAGGCAATGTAAATTGATAAGTCTTACTCAGTAAGGTCAGAATTTTTGTGTTGCTATTATTCTGTACGATGGAACGTATCGATTGCTTGGTTTGTGGAATTTACAGCAAAAGTAAAAACATAACCTTTCACAATTTAGTTTTTCAAATTAGGGTTTCCAAACGAAATCCCGGGATCCCGGTGTATGTTTATCGCCGAAATACCGATATAAAACCCCGGGATCCCGAAAATTTCAAAAAATTTAAATGCCCAATCTAAAATGATTCGACTTTATACACTTTAGTCTTTTGAAGCTCATATTTTATTGCTAAGCATAACATCAATATCTAAAAGTTATATTTCCGTGTTTGCTATATTTTTTTGCAACAATGTTTTTTTTTACTTAATATAAATGTTACTTTGTTTTGTCTATTTTAAAAAACATTGGCGTAACTACAGGTGGGCCCGGGGGTGCCGGGCCCCCCATGTACTGCTGGGCACCCCCCTGAGAAATCCCGAATTATGACTCTTGGCTACGTATTAATTTTTATTTGCTTGTGATGTAGTAAAAATGACGTTTTCTAGTTTTGTTTAGTTAATATTATTTTAATGTATTCAAAAAATGTGTTAATTTTTATTTTTTTTAGAAAAAATATATATTATTCTGTTTATTTGTTCTGTATATATTTTATATCTTATAATAATCATATTAAAGTTTGATGACATCTAGTTTCAACCAGAATAAACAGTGATGAAATTTGGAAATAAGTTATTAATATTGAGGGCCTGTATTAAATTATTATTAACTTTTACGCTAAGGCAAATCTTTGAAATTTTCTAGTAAAATGTCGTCATTTAAATTCTGCAAATATGTAACTTTTATATAGACTCAGTGAAATAAGTAAATACAGAGACATGCAATTTAAAATGAGATGAACAATAATTTTCAGCTTATTTCCAATTATGGTGTGCCTCCCTCACATATTTAGATACTCTCTATGTAGTTGGGCCCATTGTTGTCTATTGTTGGCTATGCGAGCCCAAGTTATCCATGCTAATTTCCCAATAGTATGATCCCATCTCAGGTTTGGTCTTCTTCTAGTTTTTTTGTGGTCTATATGTTGTCCGTCCTTCTTGCCAAGTGTCCTGCCCATTGCCATTTGAGGGATTTGATTCTGTTGATGACATCTATTACCTGGGTCTTTTGTCGTATCCACTCTATTCTTTTACGGTCTTTCTTGGTCATTCCCAGCATATTTCGTTCCATTGAGCGTTGTGCCACCTGCAGTTTCCTTATAATGTCCGTTTTAAGTGTCCAGATTTTGCACGCATAGGTCATGACTGGTAGTACACATTGGTCAAATGTTTTCTTCTTTAGATAAAGTGACATTCTAGATTTAAATATGACTGAGTTTCTTTCATAAGTATTTGTATTGTATTTTACTAAGAGTGGGTCCCAGGTGGGACCCCCAACTGCGGCCGCGAGGGCCTATTGTGGCTCAGTTTCTACAAGCTCTTTAATAGAAAAAGAGCATTAAAGTTCACCCTCAAGACCCAGCCTTTTAACATAGGCCGTTATGTCCGGGGGTAATATGTCTTCTCGGTCTGATAGGTCTAGCGTGGGCTTGCCAAACACCTTAAACCTGGTCCTGCCCCCAGCGGGGCAGGTACACATAACGTGCTTCATTGTTTCGTCATCTTCCATACAGAGTCGGCATTCGGCGTCTTCCACCAGTCCCATCCTCTGTAGGTGTGATCTCAGCCGGCAGTGGCCCGTGTATACTGCAGTAAGCGTACGCGCTCCGTTCCTTCATCTGTTCTACGTTTGGATGGCCCTGCTAGGATTGTCTTGGCATGTTCCATTCCGGGACTGTCATACCAGTCCGGAAACGTCGCTCCCCTAACCCATTCACTCTTGCGAGATTTTTTGGTACGCTAAGTGTCAGTTCTGGGCCCACGAATGGCGAGCCTGCACCAGTTTTGGCGAGGGAATCAGCACGTTCATTTCCCTCTACGCCGACATGTCCCGGTATCCATATTAGCTACACTTTGTTTCCATCTCCTAATATATTGAGTAGTTTCTTACAATGAAGAATCGTCTTGGACGTGCTTTTCGTTGCCTCAAGTGCTTTCAACGCGGCTTGACTATCCGAAAATATGCTTATTGTTTTTCCGGTGTATTGCTGTTCTACCAGCAGTTGCACACAGGTTTCAATCGCATATAGATCAGCTTGGAAAATTGTGGTGTGTTTTCCAAGACTGTGGTAGATCTCAGTCTTTGGACTGCTGCAGTAAATTCCTACGCCAGATCCTTTATCGTTTTTGGATCCGTCCGTGTACCAACACATTTCCGCAAGTAATAAGCCGTTTCTCGGCTTATCCCATTCGTCCCTATTCGGAAACAGGACGTTGTAGGTGCGCGTCAAGAGTTGGATTGGTGGTGTGAGATCCGAGACCATTCCCAGAATCTCATCCGATTGTAGTTCGTCTACTAGTCGGTTTTGTATGAATATAATTGTTCCTTGGCTCTCTCGTGCCATATTTAGAAACCTATATGTAGCCCATCTCGCCTCTCTCTCCAAAATAATTTGAAGAGGAGGTAAGTCGAGTAGGGTTTCCATAGCTTTTGACGGCGTAGAATGAAAGGCACCAGTCACCGCTAAGCATGCTTTCTTTCATAAGTACTCCATGCTAACAAAGTGCTAGTTAACTAGTTCGTTGTACATTACTTTAGTTTTTGCCAAATTCACTTTGAGACCTACTTTATTGCTGGCTGTATTTAGTTCGTTTTCGTTAATACCAGCACATATTACTACTGCATTTATAAATTCCTATCTGTTTACGTTTTTTTTAAAACATTCTTATTCAAACGTTTTTTTCTAGAAGGAAAATACAAGAAAAATGCAAGAAAAACATATTTATGTATATCTGATATTTTCCTAATAAATCAATAAAAAGCAGACCACAACATTTCACATTAAACATATTAATAAATATCACATTATAAATTATTTATAGGATATTGTTTATTAAAAATAGTTTTATTAACTTCAAGAAAAAAAGCGTAGTTTTATCTAATCAACAGAAGTAATTGAATAACTTTAATTTATTAATAGATTAAGATTATTATTTTTTATGATGAAATCTTATGAAGATATTTCAACTACCTACATACTTAAATCTATTTTTCTATAGTATGCCTATACAGGGTTGTCCGAACTGTATTCCGGAAATTTCGGCAGCATATTCTGAAGATAAAAATAAGTAAAAAAGTTCGTATAAAAATATATGTCCGGGAGAAATTTGATTTTGATGTCAATATGACTCATACTAGTAGAGGGCGCTACCTACATATTTTTTAACTGGTCTAAAGAGCAATAACTTTTCGTCTGTACCTGTATAAAACTACTGAGTAAAAAAATATACATTTACGACGTTTTTTAGGTAAAAAATGTTTCTTGGTGAAAATCGCTACTAGTATTGGTTTTCGAGATATTTGGAATCGAAATTATCAATACCTGTCATCATTGACATACATTAAAACATGTTGACTGAATAGTTATTAGACTGAGAGCATAAATTTGAAAGTTTTTGTGCCAAAAGTTCAACAGAAACTGTTTTATCATCGTTCTTTTGCAGAAAAATTTATGATTAATTTAAAAAAATAAAATTTTCTCAAATTTATTATTTCAGTGAAATAACTATCTACTCAACGTGTTTATTTTTCGTCAATAATGACATGTATTGACTATTGCCATTCTAAATATCTTGAGAACGGTTGCTAGTAACGATTTTTACAAAGAGATATTTTTTACGTACAATTGTGATATTGATATCAAGTGATATTGATATCAAAATCAAATTTCTCATGTCAAAAAACTCCACCAAAAAGACACCAATTTTCATCCAAATATTGACGTTACTTCAGAAATTATTTGGAAAAAATCGAAATAAAAAAGAAACTTCTACACCCTGTATCTCTGAAACATTTTCGGACATAGATTTATATGAACTTTTTTACTTATTTTTATCTGCAGAATATGCTGCCGAAGTTTCCGGAATACAGTTCGGACCACCCTGTATATACAACAAATTTACAAGATATACAAGTTTAGAGATAGTATAGTAAATTAAAAAATGACCTTTAAATGATCTTATCTAAACTATAGTGGGTCTAGTGATGTTGGTAGCGAATATTTCCATTCGAATTTTGCAGGAAATTTCAGAAATTTCCGAAATATTCGGTCCCAAAATCGCGAATATTCGCAAAAATACAAATTTTGCAAGAAATTTCTTTTCAAAATTCAAGACATTGAGCAAAAATTTAACGAAAGTGTATGCCGATTCTTAAGTCAGAAGAAAAAGAATGCTTCTTCCAAACCTATGGCTCTTCCGAACCAATGCATTTTGCCGCGAATCTCTTGGACCCCTGTTTCCTGGGAGAGCACCTTAACAATGAAGAACACATAGCCGCTATGGAATTTATCAACAATATCAACAACAATCATCCTCATTTTGTCAATAATAAGCCATTGTTACAGATGTAACAAATTATTGCGCCAAATCGGGTTTATGGGCTCTCGACTACGTTTGGATGTCAGTTAAAAATGTAGACTGTCTAAGTTGGTGGCAAGCAATGTGTAAAAATACTCAGTTGAAATATTTAGCTGTTGCTCTGCTGTCTTTACCAACGTCATCTGCAGCCACAGAGAGAAGTTTCAGTACTTACTGTTTTATCCATACTAAAAAAAGGAATCGCCTAACTGCACAAAGAGCCGGTAAAATAATGTTCGTAGCTCATAACAATAAATTATTACTACAAAAACAAAAAGTGGATATGGAGCATGATATTCAACAACATGAAATTCCTCCAGAACCACTAGAGCTCGTGGAGGTAGAGGTCCATCCTTCAGAATCAGAACCAGATGATACATCAAATATATCTGATTTGGAAATAGAAACTGACGAAGACAGTACTACTACTACTATAATACCCTATGAAGATGGGACCAGCTCGGGGCCTGATATTCCGAAATAGAATAATTCAGTTATTTGTGTTTTACGTTTTTTAAATTTATATTTCGAGCTTTTTTGTTTTTTTTTTAAATTCATAGTCATAGTTTGTGGTTTATGCACAAAATACAAATGTTACCAAATGGTTTTTGTTATGGGTTATGTTTATGACTTTTATGGGTTATGTATTGTTCATTAAAAATATAACAACTAATATTATGTTTATTGTTTTTTTTTTTCACTTACATGTTGGTATCAAATGTCTATTTAATTTATTCCTTTATTGTATCGATAAAAAATATGTAAAATTTCCTAATATTTCATAAATTTCCGAAAGTTTCAGAAATTTCCTGCAACAATCAAAAATTTCTGAAATATTAACATCACTAAGTAGGTCCAACGAGAATATCCATGACAGTAACAACAGTCTGTCATTTTAGTTTATAAGCAAATAATGGTATTTTCAGTGTCAGAGAAAAATTAAAAAAATTGGCGCCGGGAGGCACGTATAGCCGCCCATACTAAAATATATGTTAATATCTCGAAAACTGCGACTTTGACTGATTTTGATGTTATTACAGTTTTGTTGCAAAGATTATTCCTAATCTTAATTTGAAAACCCCGTTTCGCTAGCTACTGTAATTTTGGAGTTACGATTTTTTTAAATGTTTAACCCCCTCCCATACCCCCCCTGCTAAAAGTATGAAAAAAATGTTAAGAGCAAAACTACTAAATATATTAAAAAGCATCTAAAATTTAGATATTTAAAATACCAAGATAAATTTCATTATCATACCTTTTTCTCACTATATCTACAAAAAACGACATTGTACGAGTCTGTTACATTTAACATGCACTATATTAAACAAATAAATGTTAGTTTAGAACTTAATAACTCTTTGCTGCAATTATTTCAAACGTAAAAATACAAATAAGGGTTGTAGCTCAGAACGATCTTGTTTCATATCAATTACAAATAATAACCCACTATTATAAACAACAGGGAAGTTAATAAGAGGTTGCAGTAAACGAGTTTCTGTGATCAAGGCTTAAAAATCTGTTTACAGTAAAGAGAAATGACGAAAGAACTGCGATAGATAACGAGCTATATACAGGGTGAGTTTTAAATAAATGTAAATATTTTTTTAGGAGTAGTATATTCCGAACCCAGAAACACGATTATGAGATTATTTTCGCGAATTTTATTTTTGAAAATTTGGAATTTTTGGAAAAAAATAGGATTTTTTTTAGTTTTTAGTTACAAACATAATTTCTTGATAATATGGCAACATAGGTAGTAGATTAAATTTACAAGAAAGAAAATCCAGAAAAGACCCAGTGGTTCTCAAAATTTAAGCAAAAAGTCATTTTTTTGGAAATTTTCAAAGTAAAATAACTCGATTATTTTGGACTTATACGAGCCCTGAAAATATTTGCACTTGTTTAGTACTCACCCCGTATAAATATTACGATATTTTCGAATCCTGTTTCAAAAACGTTTGAAACATAATCCTGTTTTTTCAACCCTGTCAACTTAAACAGGTTTTTTTAACTCTGCCAAAAAATATTACAAAAAAATAATTCTGAAAAAGAAGAACAGGAAAATTAAAAAATAACAAAGAACAACAGAGATAATAGTAAAATCTATTTCACCACAATAGACCAAACGCGCGTCCAGTGTAAAAGTAAAAGTGTTTTAGTGTATTGTGATGATTTCGTGTTTTATTTTGCTGTGTAACACCAAAGGTTCCAACCCTCAACTGTAAAAATCTATTTATAAAATTAATAAACTGTTATCAGAAAAGACGAATTATTATAAAAACGAAAAAATAAAAAATATTCATTTAAGAAATTAAGTATAAAAATAAATTAATAAGAAATAATAGTTTGTGTAATAAATAAATAAGAAATAGAAAGTTTCCAAAATTTCCAAGATTTTTATTCTACGAGCTACAGATGCCCGACGCACTATTGCCGGACCCTGTATAGACTAATGAAAAAGGAACGCCATAGAAATTAAATTATAATAAACTTATAATAATAAAAAAATGTAAAAAAACTCACTTTCAGTAAGTAAACGGCTAAATACCTCTCTATCCTTTACAGAATACCATTACTAAATCACAGTCCATAGATTACTAAACCCTCTGCATCATCGACTTTTAGCAATAAATAAATAAAAACGCGCATAATACAAGTCTTATCGCAAAACTACCTATTATTGTTCAGTACACCTGTACCCGATAACGACACATAGGTACACTAACGTAAGTCAAATCAGAGCGATAAGCACAATCACAAAAATCAATTATAAGTTTTAACATGGTTTTAACGTCTGTCTTTGTTCTATCAAAAAAAAAATACGTCGAGATTGTTATAAACAATTTCAAACCCATGGAGAAGTGGAAATATATACAATTAAACTATATAAGGAATGGTAAACAATTTAAAGAACTCTAATATGGGTTAAATTGGTCTTGCCACCGGCATAGATATTGTATTTATTAATTTGTAATTAATTCACAAGAACCTCTATACACACGATTGTGTGAATTTTAATTTATTCAAATATTTATTTATATTTACTTCCACGCTTTGTTATTAAAATAATTCTAGTTCATTATAAGATTCTTTTTAAAAAAAAGATGCTCCAGAAATTATTCTTGCGTATTAAGTACTTATACCGGGTGCTTCGCAAAAGTGGCTCACCTCTATAACTTTTTATTTTTTCAGATAAAAAAAAACGAGATTTTGTATGTTAGTATATGACATAATTTAGGATTGATTGCCGTATTCAATGGTTTTTGGTCACTTCCTGTTTCATCGGAAATGACTACAACTTTTGATTTTTAAATGACACCTTTGGTATATTTTTAATTTATTCCAGGGTTGGCAAATATCATGATATTTATATAAATATCAAATATCGGTTATATCGGATCCGATATATATCAAGTTTTGATATTTTTTTTTGTTTTTATTTTTTATGTAAAACTGCGTTTAGTATCCAGTAAAATCAAGAGTACAAGCAAATATTTTTATTTCAACTAAATTATTGTTGCTTTGCACATAATAGGAACAACATTAAAACAAAAATATACAGGCTTATATTGATTTCTGAATCAAATCCACATTTATTTAGAATAATTTATTAACGAACATAATTAAGTATGTAATTAATTAGTATTTGGGCGGAAATAATAGTGGTATGTTTAATTAATGGTATACTCTTTTATAAAGATTTACATAGTTTTCTTTTTGCTTATAAATGGGGTAGCAATATTATCATTTTGCTAAAAACGATAATATTACTAGCCTGTACATTTTGTACATTTGTTACTTCAAAAACAATCTAAAATGAAAATCCAAAGTTGTAGTCATTTCCGGTGAAACAGGAAGTGACCGAAAAGAATTGAATATGTCAATCAATCCAAAATTATGTCATATACTAATACACCAAATCTCGTTTTTTATCTCAAAAAAATAAAAAAGATATAGGGGTGAGTCACTTTTCAGACGCACCCGGTATATGCCCTCAAATCAAAACTATGCTAGTTACTTACTTTTACGTAGTCGGTCTTGAATTATGTACTTTGCTATAAATATAGTAATCTTTAATCATTCTTAATCATAATCATAGAAAATAATTATTCTTTGTTTTTTAAACGAAACACCCTGTATATTATTTTTTTGTTTGACGCGAAATTTTTGTATTTAAATTATTTCAAAATTTTTAACGGTTTTATTGAAAAACAATTGAATACGTTTCAATCCTAATTTATGTCATATACTAACATACCAAATCTCGTTTTTTTTTAATCTGAAAAATAAAAAAGTTATAGGGGCGAGTCATTTTTGAGACGCGCCCGGTATAAATATATTTTTGCTACATAAGGTATAATTTTAATTGTATATTCTTAAAATTTCTGACAACTTTTTGGATACTAATTAAACAACACAGATATTAAAAATACTAGATGCTATATTTTAGACATATTATTTTCTCTGGTTATCTATATTAAAAAAATATCTCAAACAAATCCCGATACGCAATATCCAAGATAATGTTATTGAAAACATTAATAAGTACTTCATTTTCCATTAAAATACACCTAATAAAAATTCTACATGCTTTTAATAGTTTTTCAAATTAGAAGAATTTATTACTTTTCTCAGGGTGAACGAAAATAATACTATACAATGGCACAGATAAAGTACGCATTCAGTATACAGTATGTCCCCGGATTGTCTTTACAAGAGGAAAAACTTTTTTAATATTAAATTTTTGAGAAAAATGCATTCTTCATAAAAGTTTTTGCTTGTTCTAAAATGGTTAATCTCGTTTATACTTTTCCAAATTTCCAAAGTGTTTTAGAAAAAATACAAAAATATGAAAATACATAAATATTTCATATCAATAAAACTTTTAGTTACGTTATCGAGGGCCCGATTTTTAAATTCATTGTTGCCAACCATGGACATATTCGGCGCCGTGCTGACTAACTGGAATTTAAATTTCGCGCTGGGGATTCAATGTGAAGTTTCAAAAACAATCAATTATGAATTCCCGTGAGTCACAATAAAGAATAATTTATTTCAAGGCTACACTAAAGCATATATAGTTTTTAACAAAATCAATGCTCCCTATAAGTAAGTTAAAATGATCCAAAATAATAAAGCCAGATACTTCTTATGATCGAAAAAAAACAGTGTCAGCGATGACTATGAAATGAAGATTGCTGTCATTTTATAATTATATGGGGAACGTCAAAAGCCAACTGGACGCCGTTTTTTTTTCGTTCATACGGTGCTTCTTAAGATTCTCTACGTTGCTAGAGTTGTCCAACAGTCTCCAAGTTGCTACACTTTTTTTGAAAAGAATAGGACTGGAGATAATATTAAAATATAAAAAAAACTTACCTCTGCCCAAAAACAAACAATCAAAGAAGCACTGGACATCAACAATGGGTAGTATGAGGATAACAGACTGCTGGACCAACCTTGTTCAAAAGAGTCCTAAAATATTAATAATAATTTAGATATACTTCATTAAATAACAATTAAAAACACTTTATTATTACTTCCTAATCAATTTTCAGTACATACGAACTCGAAATATCAAGATTATCTCTGTACTGATAAATATTTATTTAAAAAAAAACATGTTATTTGCATTAAACCTTCTATAAATAAAGAACCTCCTGACTTTGTACAGAAAAACTCTTTGTTCTCTCTTTAACAATGCAAATTAATTGATAACAACTAGAAGAGGAACATTTTAACTTACTGGAAATATAAAATATGCTCCTCGGATCAAACTGGCAAAGCACATAACCAGGTAGATCATTTTCTGAGTCGTTATCTTGCAAGCCCTCAGGAAACTTGGGGCTTTCAGTCTCTGATATTCAGAGGCGCAGCACATTATCAACTGAATAGCACAAACCAGGCCTATGAACGAGAACACTCCACCTATGCCTGCGTGGTATGGTAAATTGGGGCCATCGCATAGCTCCCCTGTGAAACGGATGTTACACATGCACGTGCCGTTCCAGCATTCGCCCCGTCCCGAGCAGTCTCTAGTGCACGTAGAGCTTAGTCGTGACATGAAAAACAGATGTCGAAACATAATAAGTAACTTAAATCAGGTCCAAAAAATCGAATTCTTGGGACAAAGAATTAGATCCCTCCAGCGTGATTTCCGGGTTGGATGTACGTAAAACAACGTTCGTCACTGTGAGTTTACACTCTTCTCGGAAGGAAACTGTTAAAACACTTTAGGAAAGGTCGCGAAATTGGGTAATTATCGATAGATTATTGCGAAACAATAACATCATCAACATATGATAACTAACGCCATATTGACATAAACCGTGGCGAAGTTAGGCGACAGGTGTGACAACATGATGTAAGCAATGGAAGTATGGAGATATTTATTTTAAATTATTATTTATATGCTTTTTGGAGTTTAATTTCCTAATTAGATTCAATAATTAAGTGTAAAAACTGGCTTTATATCTGAAACACTTTAATTTTTATAGTTATTTTTATTACTTTTTTTAAGAAATCAAATTTCTAACTGTCGTTTGTCATATTGAATTCGTAACTAACTTCGTGCCATTGGTAACTGTCGACTTTTGGAGTGATGTTCGCGTCCCTGTTTTTTAGCGGAAAAATGTTAATTTTCTAGCAATATTGCCGCAACAAATAGAAAAACTTTTCGACAAATTTGATGGTGTTTTAGTGGCGAAAGACTCTGGTTTCGAACTGTACCGATTTGTGTCTTATCTGGACAGTCCTACCTCAACATTTCAAGCACTGTGTTACGTTTGATGCTCAGGTAAACGATGTAAAGTTTATCTATTGTATTCCTCGGATTTTTGGATGTTTTTACGCTACATTATCCACGAATCCGTTCTTAGAAGAGTAGTTACGATCTTTTAAATGGTTTGGCATTATTTCAACGGAATTTGAGGTGTACTATGATAGGATTGTTTTAGTTTGATTGTTTATTTAATTCTAGTAAGATTAAACTATGACGGAGATAGTGTATCCTCCCGGGTGCCGACCCATCAGCGATGATCAAGGGCCTGATGAACTAATAAGACGTTTAAAAACGTTAGCCCATACCCTGCAAGCGATGGGACAAGATGATGGGGCATACAAACAGTATGTACCTCTCAGTCTTCATCTAGCCGAAGAACAGTTCTTAGGACATCCATCTAAAGATGTACAGTTGCTTATAGGTATATATCCCTCTTTATACTTCTCCCTAATCGTATAATTCGGTTAATTTTGTTTTTAGCATGTTGTATAGCCGATGTATTACGAGTTTATGCTCCAGAGGCTCCCTATCAGGATCCCGAGCAAGTTAAAACTATTTTTCTCTTTCTAATCACGCAGTTGTCGGGTTTAAAAGATCCCAAAGATCCAGCATTCAAAAGGTACTGATTAAAAGTGAATTAATATAATTTATAACTGTTTTTGTTTGTAGATATTTTTATCTATTAGAGAATTTAGCTTATGTCAAGTCGTTTAACATGTGTTTCGACTTGCAAGACTGTCAGGAAATATTCTGTGCGCTGTTTGGTTTGATGTTTGACATAGTCAATGATGAACACTCGGGTAGAGTGAAGAGTTTCATGTTGGATGTTCTATGTCCACTGATTACGGAAAGTGACATGGTAAGTTATTATATTATTTTTGTTATCAGGGTTTGAAAGTATCATGATATTTATATACCTAAATATATCACATGATATACAGGGTGTCCCAGGCTGAGTGTCCGTTAGAAGTTTCTAGGGAACTACAATAGCCAGATCGGAGATTTTTTGAACATCATTGTCTCACAATGAGATCTGTGAATTAAAAATATTTTCAATATGGCGCCACTTCCGGAAATACTTCTTATTTTAAATGGATACCCCCTATACTTAAATTCTCTGTAAAATTTTATGCAACATAATAGTATAACATTAACTTTTTTTGGGAGAAAAGATATTTAAAATTTTTGGAGGAAAAAAACCGCCTGTCAAAAAAAATGTCTATAGCAAAACGTCAAATTTAGTGATTACCACAGCCACTGTGACATAAAGAGAAGACATGTGGCTATCTATTTCAAACTTTGAATAAGAAGACTAAGGAAGGAACATATCAAAAATCTTAGGTCCACCGCGATGGGCCTCAAATATGGCCGACTTAAATTCCAGTTTATCAGTGCCGTTCTAATTTTATTTAAAAAATATAAAACTATGATGTAGGGTAGACGTGGAGTAGACTCAATATGTTGTTTTATTTGACGTTGTGAATAAATGTTGGTAGTTATTAAAATTGTTACAAAAATATATAATTCTAATAAAAATAGATAAGTTATAATAATTATTTATTAACACAAACATCCGATAAGCTACTGAAGCAGGTAAATCTGGTAAATCAAATTGACGTCAATTATCTAAATTCTTTGACATCTAATCTTTGACAAGTAGTAAATAAAAGCAAAAATGCAAGAAAAAATATATAATTAGTTAATTTAAGTGAATTTCATTTATCGCCAAAAATAATCAAGCTACAAAAAAAAATTCATGAGGAAAAGTTGCTTGTCCATTTATTATGAACAACTTTCATACGGGTCAATTTGCTGTAAAACAAACTTTTTGAAAACCACCCCAAAGGGTTCATGAAACGGCCGCTAAGTCCGGAAATAATAGACTTATAAAAAAATTCATTAGGCGAACTTATAGAGAATGTTCTTATGTACAATTTGCGTCTAATTATTTTGTTGTAGTACAGTTTTAAAAAAACCACCCCTATTGTTCAAAAACCGCAAGGGAAAAATTTCCGGTTTTGTTAATTTTACACTCAGAAGACAGTCGCTGACAAACTCTGAAAAAATCAGCTTGCCCGTAATTTTTTTATTTTAACTCTCTATACGGCGATACAATTTTACTGGATTAAGTTAATGTTAGGTATAGAGAGTTTAATATCAAAATTCATAAAACTTTACAGAGAATATAAGTATGTAATAAAATAAAGGGGTACCCATTTAAAATAAAAAAAGTTGCTGTCAACAAGTGTCGTCAAATTGAAAATATTTTTAATCGATATATCTCATTGTGAAACAATAATGTGCAAAAAATCTCCGATCTAGATATTATAGTTGTCTAGAAACTTCTAACGCACGCTCAGTCTGGGACATCCTGTATATATATTATTTTAAATTTTATTATTTGGTAAAATTAGTATTGTTTTTACGTATAAATTATATTTTATCTTTAATTAAAATGAAAAAGAAATAACGTTTAAAGTACACTACACAGACTATTACATTATTTTATTAACTTTGATATGGGTATACATATCTTCATATTTATTACTATCAGTTACACTAACTTTAGAACCTTCTGATATGGCTGGTTCCCCAGGAAAACATATTTAATTTATCAAATAGAAATTATAGAATTTATCGGATATACAGGGTGTTTCAGAAGCATGTTCTTTGAAACCCCTTGTGTGAGAATATAACTTGGGATATTTTTGACAGATCTCTACAGAAGATCTCTGTTACGTTTGTTTGGCCCAGACCAGATTATTTTTAATTTTTGTCAAATTTAGTATTTTTGTCTCTCATAATTCAAAAACAAATTCATATAAAAACTATTAAAACAAACAGTTTGATTCATTTTAAGGCGTTCCTTAAAAAGTTTAAAATACATTTTTTTGTCAAATAAAATTGGGAAAACTTATTCATAATCTTTAAACTTTCGCACTCTTTTTTTTTCTAGGTTGGTAATGATCTCTTGGACTTAATCCTAATGAACATAGTAGAACCAAACAAATCTCAGCAAAAAAACGCTTATTTCCTTGCCAAAGAGTTGATAGTGAAAACATCAGAAACTTTAGAGCCTTACATACAAGCTTTCTTCAATCAAGTAGTGATTCTAGGCAAGGAAGACCAGAATCTGAAGATTGCAGGCAAAGTATATGACCTGATCTACGAACTGAACCATATTTGTCCCCAAATTTTGGTTGCCGTGTTGCCACAATTGGAGTGCAAGCTAAAAAGTTCCCAAGAGAACGAAAGATTGGCTGCTGTAGCTTTGCTGGCTAAGATGTTTAGTGAGAAGGACTCAGACTTGCCTCGGAAGCATGGACCTTTGTGGAGAGCGTTTTTAGGAAGATTTAATGATATTTCTGTGACTATAAGAACAAAATGCGTACAGTATTCTATGCATTTCCTCTTGAACCATCCCGATTTGCGTAAAGATATTACAGAAACTCTGAAAATGAGACAGCATGACTCTGACGAGAATGTTAGATATCAGGTAAGAATTGTTAGGGGTCCTGTGAATAGAAAAAAAATTATATATTAATTTTTTTTTAAATATTTTATTTGTATTATTACTAGGTGGTTATGTCGATTGTAACAACTGCCAGGAACGATTTTCAAGTAGTCTCAGACTCTGAAGATCTACTAGAATTTGTTAAAGAACGAACCTTGGATAAAAAATTCAAAATTCGCAAAGAAGCAATGTCAGGCTTGGCTTTGATTTATAAAAAACATCTCAGCGATCCCGACGTGCCCAATGCGACAAAAAAAGCTGTTACATGGATCAAAGATAAGATTTTACATGGATATTACATGGCAGGCATGGAAGATAGGCTCCTAGTTGAAAGGTTTTTATATTATTTTTTTAAGGGATTTTTTTTTAAAAGTTTTTTCTAGGTTGCTCAATACATGTTTGGTACCATATCAGCTATCGCCTGCAGAAAGAATGAAAAAACTGTACCATTTGTTGGGTACTGTTGATGAGCATGCCACAAAAGCGTTTATGGAGCTTCAGAAAAATCAGTTGTGCGTCAGAAAATTGGTAAGTAAAAGAAAAAATATTGTTTTTTTTTATGTTATTTTGATTCACAAAGATTCCATTGCTTACAGTCTTGTCTACACATAAAGTTTTATCTGTCAGGTAAGACGAATTTAAATTTGTGACTTTTTAAAAATATAATAAAATATCAATATTCCATGGGTATATTTATAAATAAGGTCTAAATTATAAGAAAATGCATTTTCTACGAAAACTTGAAGAGACAGGTTAAAAATGCAATAATACAATTCGATAGACAATTAAATTGTGCATCTGATTCACGTAAAATATACAGGGTGTTCTATTTAAATTTTAACAAGTTATTGTCGTTTAAAGGTAGTAATTATTTTAAATAAATTTTTAGACATTCTTTATAAGTTAGCTTTAGTTTTATTATTGCAACACAATATTTAGTAAATAAGAAAACTTCAGTACAATATTTGGTTTTAAAAACTTAAATACGCCTAGAAAAATGAATCATTAAAATTGTTAATGCATTTTCACAAAATCGTAAATATTTAATAAACGGTAAGATTAAAGTGCGGTAAACCTTAATCAAATTTACCTTTATTTTAATCGTAGAAACTAAACATGTAATAATATACAGGGTGTTTTATTTGATAAAACACCCTGTATTTTTTATTTATTTGGGACACTCTGTACCTTTTGCAGATAATTTTAAATTGTAACTTTAGTAGTCCTCCAACGATCCTATCACTCACAATATCTAAAAATCTGTTTGGTTTACGTTTTTTTGGTAAACGTTATGTGTAGGCGAAGCTTTAATAACACTTTTTTTCTGGCAATGAAGTAATATCTTTTTTTTCTGGAAAATCACAGGTTTTGGAATGGCTAGAACTGCATAGAAAAGCTATCGTTAACCCAAACCAGCCAGAAATACAAAGGGAAATATCTAACAAACTACAAGCGTTATCTAGGTGTTTGCCCGAACCAGTCAAGGCCCTTGAATTTTTGACCAAATTCAGCTTCCATTTGAAGTAAGTAACTATAGAGAAACCAATAAAAGTAGTCGTGCACGTCTAAGACATCCTAACGTAACTCTTACCAAATTGTGTTTAAAACTGAAGTGAAAAATCGGTTATAAAATTACAAAGTTTCACACTTGTCAAAAGTCAAAGTAAAAAAAAGTAGCCGTGGCAACATTGCGAGGTGCATTCGTCAAATATTTTCATCACGTGCACGACTCATACTTTTATCGATCTTCCTATATTTTTTGAAAACGTCTAATTCCAAAAAATAACGTTAATTTTTATTTTAAATAACCAAAGAAAGGATCCAGAGTTGTTGGAAAAATTCGAGACAGTTACCAGGCCGTCAGTTGGCTGCAAGGAATGTTCAGAAGCTACTGCAGCTGTTTTGAAGAAGCTAGGATCGCCTGTCATGACCAATCTGTATTACAATATGGTTAAAATGCTTTTGGAGAGGATCAGCTCAGTTATGATCGATCACGAAGCTTTAGGAATATTGATCAGGTAGGAAAATGACATATGTTTTACTACTATTACGGTATTTTTGAACTACTGTCGCTCTTATTTTGCCAACAGATACGTGGAAGATTGTTTAAGAGGAGGAAACTCGATAGAAGAAATTGGTTTGCATCCAGCCACTGCTGGAGACCGAGGTTTGAAACTCCTGGTCATGCTGAGTGTGGTGTTTCCCTCCCATTTCCATCATTCGGACATTTTGGAGGATCTTATGGATCTGTTGCGTCTGGACGATCAAAACGTAGCGCCGTTGGTTTTGAACGTGCTCACTTTCCTGGGCAAATACAAGTGTTTATGTAAGTACATTCGAACTACTTCGGAAATTAGACCGTTTAACCGCTAGACACGTTTTTTATAGTTGTTCGTTTGAACTACTCCCGGTACGTTTGAACTAATCTTTATATTTTTTTCCAGACGACCAATTTCCCCATCTGATGAATAACTTAGCTCCCATTTGCAAGGAACTGGCCTGTACAGGCACGCCCAAACAAGCCAAGGGTGCCATTCATTGTATCCACAAAAATATGCCTCCCTTACACGACGAACTATTTGCTCAGATCCTGGAATCAATAAAGGAGAATCTGATACCTGAATCACCTCATTACAGAACGGCTATAGTATCACTGGGCCACATAGCTTTCACATTTCCGGAAAAGTACAAAGTACCTATCAAAAATATCGTTTCTAGAAAGGTAAGAACCGTTTTAAAGTTTGAGTCGTTTGAACTACTTACATTTTTCGGCGTTTATTGACTTATTTTTTATTTCTGAAAATAATCCATCAAGTATATACAGGCTAAGGCCTCTTTAAAGTTGGGTCATTTGAACTACTCTCATTTTTGATGATTTTACCCACAGATCGTTAAAGAATTGTTAGTAAAAGACGCAAGGGAGAGCAAGGAACCCATTTACGGTATCAGCGACAGCGACTCCTGGTGTCCAGAGGAAAAACTGCCAGAAGACACTAGGTGTAAAGTGGAGGGACTCAAGGCCATGGCCAGATGGTTGCTGGGACTGAAACAGGACACTGCCTCAGCACAGAAAACTTTCAGAATGCTGAACGCGTTCATTTTACATAAAGGAGATTTATTGCAAAGCGGTAGACTGTCTAAGGCCGAGATGTCGTGGCTAAGGCTAGCCGCAGGTTGTGCTATGTTAAAGGTAGGTATTTTGTGCTAAAATATAAAGATATTTTGAGAGTTTTTTTCTTCTTTTTGGCAGGTTTGTGAACAGAAAGGTGTAGGTGACCAATACACAGCGGAACAATTTTATAATTTGTCTCAGTTGATGTGCGACGAGGTGAAACAAGTACGAGAAATCTTCGCTACAAAACTACACAAAGGATTGAATAAAGGTAACCCCGAGTGGTAGTTCAAATGAACCGTTTTGTTAAAATGTTTTTTTTTTAGGTTTGCCCAGTAAGTGCCTTCCCCTAGATTTTATGGGATATTACGCCCTAGCAGGTAGAGAACCAGAAAACAGATTGAGAACCATCATTAAGAATTATATGATCAATGATATAAACAGGTAAAAATTCGGTTATTAATTACTATATTTTAAGCAGGGGGCTATTTTTAATTAAAACATATTTTTTTTAGGAGAAGAGACTATGTAAAAACAATAACGATGGGAGGTAATAACTCAGATAGTAGGGCTATGTCACAGCTACCACATATTTTACCTGATTACATGTTGGTTTTTGCCATACCGGTATTAGCACACGAACCAAGACTCACAAGGTATGATAAAAAAAACTGTAAATTTTTTTGTTAAAATACTTATAACTATTTTTTTCTAGGTGGGACAATCTATCTGAATTGACAATAGCACAGCAGTGTCTCTGGTTTATTTTGGAGCCCCTGGTGACGAAAAACGATTACTTCAGTTACGGATTTTACAAAACGCTGATAGAGAAGATGAAAAACCACAAAGACGCCGTCAGACCCGACGACGATCATTTGAACTACGTAAGTCGATCTGATCGCTTGAACTACTTGCTAAAAGACTACATTTTTTTAAAGTTTTAAGTAACGATATTTTAACTTTTTACAGGAGTTGTAGGTCTGTTAAATTTAAATCTAAATTACACGATTTTTTAATTTGTTTATTTGAACTACTTATTAGCAGTACATTGTTTGGTACAGGTTTTTGATATGTATAAATAAATATGTTACTAAACAGACCCTTCAAGAAATTTAAGGAGAAACTGAGATGTTTATTCGAACTACTTTTTAAAAAGCGCCATTTTGACTCCTTACAGAAATTGTGGGCCTTGTGCGATCTGACCACAGGCCTCCTCCTCACCAAATCCACCAGCTACGAGCTGAAAGACTTCCCCAGCGAGACCAGGGTGCCCACCATGCTCTTCGTGCCCCAAAAGAACTTCCAAAACAACCGAGTGTTCCTACCCCCCGAGCTCCAGTACCAGCCCAACAAGAAACAGACTCTCACTTTGAGCATGCTCAATAACGAGAACAAGGAGAAACCGAAAAAGCCCAAGTTCATCCAGAAAGTGGTGGAAGGTTGCGGACCGTTGGGAACGGACGTACATGTATGTTTGAACTATTCGATATAGAAACGACGCGTTTTAATTTCATGTTGCCAAACACATTTTTCCAGAATTTTATGGCAAAAACGAGGATATTTATTCGAACTATTTTTTAAAGTAACATTAAAATTTATATCTAGCCAATACGCGATTTTTTTAATTTGTTTATTTGACCTACTTCCTAGTTAAAAATATATTTTTTGGTTTTTAAGTATATTATTTCTAACACTTTTCAAGAAGTTTAAGGCAAAAACAGGGATGTTCATTCGGACTACTTTTTAAAATGACCTTATTTTATCTTTACAGAATTTGTGGACCAGTAAAATTTAAATATAGCCAATAGAGGTTTTTTTTAATTTGTTCATTTGAACTACTTCCTTGTTACGAGTATATTTTTGATTTTTTGTTGTTTTTTAAGCCTTCCGAAGCGTCAGACACGAAAATCCACGTCCCCGGACTAGAGGTTAACGAAGAGGACGAGCCTCCCGCCAAAAGATTGAGGGAACGAATCAGAAACGACGACGACGAGAAGTGATACTGTGTGAGTTTGAGTTAGGGTTTAAACGAACTACTTTTAGATCTCCTCCGGTAGAAAGGAACTAATTCAACCTTTTATTTATGTAATTTTTTTGAAAAAAAAACACGACGGTTTTGTATTTATTTTCTTCTCTGTATTTTTATTACTAGACGTTTTAAGTTAATTTTTCTTTTCGTCTATATACTTTTTACTTGTATATGTTTTTTTGAGACGTTATTTTTTTAGATAAATGTGAGGTTAGTTCCGGCCTGTGTGGACAGACAGTTGTTCTAGGTTCCTGTAAAGAGTCTTTTTTTGTTTTTTATTTCTTTACAATAATTATTATTATTGTCTTAGTACGTTTAAGATATATATGATGAAAAGTTATTTTTCTATAATATAAAGACGCGTTAGGATGTGTGTTTTCAGGCTGGCCTGTTAAGTTTGGTTCTTCTTGGACAGTGTGTTTCAGAAATCTTGGGCTAGATTTTTTTTGTCTTTGAAGTATCAGAAATAAATATTAAAAAATAGTGCTGCGATGTAATTTTTTTTTGTTTGGGTCTATCACTTTTTTTCTAAGTAAAAATCACAAATAATATATTGAAATGAATTTACTGTAATCTGTAATAATAAAAAAAAGTGTTTAATAGATGGGGGGGGGGCACGCCTATGAGTTTATTTTGGCTATAAAAAATTGTTGAAATTTTATATTTATTTGTACATTTTCGGGGAAATTTTTAAAACTTTTTAGTGCCGCAGGTTTGTTCTCTTGAAATTTCTCGATGGTATATCGAAGCCTTGCGATGTTGCCACTTCCTGTATTACCCATATATGATGCATATTTGTGTGTTTACATCAGTTCTGTAGAACCAGTTAAAACATTTGCAATTACTTAAGAATTTTTTTTACAAAATCTGATAGACCTGTATTGAAATAAGTTGACGTTTACACTATCTAAGTTTTCCAATGACTGTCATACTATACAGAGGACGTTCTTATAAGTGACCGTGTACATAATATAAATAAAGCATGTCCTATAACGAGTCCATAAGCCGCCAAGAGTTTTATTTTGCGTTGGTTTTCCCTTTATATGGCCTGAGACACGGAACAGCAGTGAACAGTAACATTTTTGGGAAAGATTATAAGCTAGGTATACTTTTTCTACTATGAATAAATTAATAAAACTGTACAAAATAATGTATTTTTAATTTTTAAGAAGTAACGATTACAATAAAGACTTTTGTTTATTGCATTGTATTGTGTTTTTAATTTATGTATCTATCAAAATTTTAATTTTTTATTCTCCATCTAGCAAAGGAATGATATACACAGTGTTCCATTAAAAAAACAAAGAAAAGGTAAGTATTTGATATTTTAGAAAGTTTAGCATATAATTATGAACGCCCTGTATAGTTTAAGAATACGATATTTATAGCAAAATAAGTACAGACCAACTATAGTAAATACCTAGTACAGTTTTGATTTCAGGACATTTTGTGTATTTCTAATAATTTTTTTTAAAAAAGCTGATTTTTTTATTCATTAGTATTTCTGAAACTATCAAAACATATTTAATAATATCTTAGGATTATGTAAAGTGATCAGAAAGGGAGCCAAAAATGCAATAATATACAAGATGTTCTATTTAAAAAAAAACATCCCGATTCACTCACTTTTTTGACCCACCCTGTAGAAGTTAAAATATTGTCCTAAAAAACGCCCTGCTTTAGGTGTGAACTTACACAAAATTTTAAATTTTAAAAAGTTTTTTTATTGTAGGAGCTACAGATGCCCGACGCACTATTGCCGAACCCTGTATACGCACGATTACAATTTCGAGCGGTTTTGAGCGTTCTTTTAATTCGCGCGTATTATAATTACTGTGAGAGAAGCCTAAATAAAAATAGCGGTAACTATCGATATATCGGAGAAAAAGCCCATTCCTAGTCTTTCCTTCTCACAGCGCGCTTGAGAAATTTTCAAAAGTTGGCCATGGATAACTTTTCCTGTCAAAACAACAGAAAAAAAAACACGGTCTAAAGACAGAAAAATGTATCTTTCTTGTTTTGTTGATAAGTTTTACAAAATATTCGTATTATTTTGTGTATTTTTATGTTTAAATACGTGACATTTTATACCGTGCGTTTATTTAAAAAGTGCTCTCACTTGTGCTAATGGAACTTTTGTATTGGGATTTGGGATGTATTATTTCTCTGGAATTTAACGTAAGTACTATCGGTTTTTTTTTGTATGATTTTATGAGCGTTTTTTTAATTTTTATTCTCTATGAATTTTGTCCACCGCCGAAGAACTTTAATACATATATAATATGATCCTTATATTATTAATCTTGTTCTATATATTGATGTATACAGGGTGTTTATAAAAACATGTGCCATCTCTCGTGGGGAGGATTCCTCACGTAAATCTAAGATTTATTTTTAACCAACATAGGCACGACTCTGCTTTGTTTCGTAGCTAGCTATCAAATGGTACCACCATGTTTCAAACGTATCAGTCCTTAAAAAAGCAAGCTGCGAGAGCGCTAAAGTCATGATTACTAAATCTCGCTTAAGATGGGCTGGCCACGTATGCAGGATGCAGAAAAAAATATCTTTGCCCTGACCCGGATTCGAACTGTGAATCATCGGTTCGTGGTCGGAAACTCTACGTACTGCGCTATGGAGACATGTTCGATTTATATTCAGTACTAGAATTTATAGGACTAAATTAATAAAAAATATAGGATCTTCTTCCGATGTGCAGTAGTGAACGCAACGGGTATCGGCAGCTAGACAGGCCGCATGCTGTTCCAAAGAGCATAGTAAAAGATATATCAAAGAGCGTCTTAAAATACTTTCTCGAAAACGTTGCTAGCTTTTAGACTATTTAATGCCGATTAAAAGTTGTAACTTGATATTCTGTCTATTTCGATTTTATTAATGAGATAAATACGCAATTTTATTAATCACAATTAATAAATTATTTATTTAATCTAATTTATTATTGAATTTTATTAAAATTTATAACACTGATCGTCAGTGCTACCAACAGCAAATAAGAAAAAACAATGGTGTTTTAGTTAATTACAATAGACCTATTTTTAAAAGTTTTAACATCCTGACATAACTTTAAAACGATACATTTCCTCTACATCCATGTTTATAAGATTTTTTTTATATATTTTTTGATGAGGAATTAATAATTAGTACTTATTTAACACTTTGGCTAGTTAATGACAAAAACTTGTAAAGGATGCTATTAGACTTGGATTAAGGCAAATTATCTATATAGTTATTTTGCTAATGTTCAAAATTCTTTATTTCAACAAATATCAGGCTTTATACAGTTTGTTTTTAGTATGTACAACTATCATCAGTCACGCAACTTTCAGTTGAACTGTCATACGATTCACCGGAAGTACAGTTTGCCGCTACCACATAGTAGTTCCATAGAGCCAAGTAACACTCGTAGTACTCGTAGCATTCATTGCCTGGCCATTTTTCCCCATCTGTGTCACAAGTTGAAGGAGCTGTCACTGTAGAAAAACAAAAAATAAAATAAGTTATTTTTATAGCACTCAGGAAGTACGTTAGATCCCATATTTATAACTTTTTTTTCGTAAACTTAAGAAACACCCTGTATAATAAACATTCCCCGGCCCTCTTTATCGTCCATTTTTACTCATACAGTATTTTTATTATTATTTTTCATTCAAACCTGTTGTTGTAGACGAAGTACTTGTAGATGTTGAACTCGTAGTACTACTTGTAGTAGATGCTAAAAAAATATTACATTTACAAATTAAATTGGGTAAAATTTACCTCATTTTTTTAGTACTTACAGTCAGTTGTAGATTCGGTTGTGCTTGTAGTACTAGGTGTGGTACTCGATGTCGTACTCGATTCTGTAGTTGACGTGGTTGTACTGGGAGTCGTACTAGTTGTTGAGGATTCTGTAGTTGATGTAGTACTGGCAGTAGTCGAACTTGTCGTACTCTCCGTTGTACTACTAGTTGTCGACGATGTAGTTGAGCTTTCCGTAGTACTGGTTGAAGTTGACTCGGTAGTACTGGTTGAAGTTGTCGTTGAAACACAACTAAAAATAAAATAAATATATTTTTAAATGTACGGGGTGGTCTGGAAATAGGTTTTGTCAGGAAATAGGTTTTCTCTGTTAAAACAGACCAATTTCGACCACCCTGGACATACCTAGTTATTGTGGTTATAGTCTATTCAACTAGAGATGATACACAGGGTGTCCTAATATTTCGTGGGCGTATAATAACTACTAAGTATTTTTGGAATCAAAATAAGGTCATTGGACATAATTTACCTCTATACAAAAGTGCTTCGTTTGTCCGCTAGAAGGCATCAAACTTTACAAAAAAACAACATTTGAATGCGATTTTGGGTGTCTATGTTTTGCCAAGTGCTTTAACATTTGACTTTCACAAAAATCAAGAAAAAAGAGTACTACTATATTATTATGTATCTCGTACTACTATATTATTATGTATTTATCCATTTATAAAATATTTATGAATAAAGTTTTATTTCTTTAAGTATTTTATTGTCATTTTAATCATATTTGAATCAAACACATTCATAAACAATCCATCCTTTGTGTTACGGCGTTATTGATCAAATAGGACAAGCAAAACTAGTATTAGACATTTTGAAATGCACCAAACTAGTTTTGCGCAATTCAAAATGCACAATACTAGTTTTGACTATTTTGTAATGCGCAATACCTAGTTCTGTGCATTTTTTCGGGCATTACCCGAATTCGAGTATTGTGCGTAACATATCCATTGAACTTATTTTGATTCCAAAAATACGTGGTAGTTCTATGTCCACGGAATATTGGGACACCCTGTATAAGGGAAGCTATCCCATAATATGAAATGATTGATTGAGCTGGAAATGATGATGGCTATTTTAAAAATATTTTTTTAAGTACTTACTTGTCAGTTCCATATGTCTCATCACAAACAGTACCATCTTCACAAGTTACCTCGTCTCCATAGACTTCGATGAATAGTACCCACCAGCAAGTCTGGTAAGTGGTTTCATTCAGACAGACAATGCCTTTGGATGCACATTCAGCTTTGGCAACTTGAAAAAGATTTGTACCACAAATAATAAAACATATCTAAGTTAATATAAAAGAAATAAAAACATTAAATAAAAAAGCTGTAAATATTTTTAGTTGGGGTTTTTCATACCAAGACTATGGGGAAGAGTTGTTTTAAAGCCATTTTTGTGAATACTACTGAAAAAATCTTTGCTAGAAATCCGAATTTTATATACAACAGTGCCTACTAAATCTGGTACTAACATTGACACAAAATTAATAATTTAAGCTCTAATTCTAATATTTTTTTGTGTTTTGTACAAATAATAAATATATAACGTTATCTTTTTCATATAAGTTAATGCCTAGTTTGGTTTGGTTATGAATATAGATACCTCTTCTCCTTGTTTTTGGAAAATTTTGTTAATTTTTTTACAAATAATATTGTTTAAATCTTTGTGGTTTCATTGTTACTGTTCTCGGAATATCACGCCACAAAATATTTTAATCAAAACTATTTATTTATTATTGTTATCTACGAAGCTATAAATACACTGTCAATCTCTTAGACATGTATAAAAAAGATAGACCCACCAGATGCATTGAATTGTTTTAGTCCGACACAAACCCTTTGTTTATTTACAGTTTTGTTTGACCACAGACTTAAGTTAAGAGTCCATTTCACTAGTCCGAAAAAGTAACAAAATAAGCGTTCGGCATTTAACGTTTTATCTAAAATTAGCTAGGTATTTTTACACAAATGAAGAGGGAAATTAAAGATAAAGGATTATACTATATCCGTATTGTAACACATTTTTAGACAACTTCTTTATTTTTAAGATTTTGATGGTCAAACGTCAACAAAATATTCCTTATGTTTCGACTAAATTTTCTCGAAAATAAAGACATAATTTAAAATTCCGTTACAATACGGGAATAGATTGAAGTTTTGTGATTACAGTGATATATAATTTATATGGTTTTGTAACAAATTGCTTGTTATTTTATGGCTAATGCTGAAGCTCTGCAAACCTGAATCAAGCCTTAATCGAAGCACGTGTGTTTGGAATTTTGGGTGTGGTTTAACACGACAGGATCGGGCTAAGCCTTAGGCAGATTTCTGAAATATAATATATATTTCCTTCGGCCACATACCCGCTTTACCCGACCCCTGAGAGCAACCCGAAAGTACAGCGTAATACACTCTTAATATATAATCCTTTTTTCAAGATTTGACACTTTCATGGGCGTAGTTGCAGTTTTTTTTATGACATACATACATACTGCCATTACTCGCTGACGAGTATTCGACACGCATCAAAAGATGGTCACGCAAGGCGTTTTCTTTCATGAGCTTTTCTGTGACTGAAAAGCCCGGTACGTGATGTTATTTGCCTACCGCACTCTGCATCGTGAACTGCTGCCGCGAACTGCATCTTCCTAATGATTCTGCGTGTTAATCCCCTTTAAGTTTTCTTGGAAAATGTCCTTGTACCTTTTGAGTTGTCCACCCGGCCTCCTCTTACCGTCTACAAGCTCACCGTAGAGCAGAGATTTTGGTATGCGGTTTTCTTGCATTCTGCATACGTGACCAGCCCATCTTAAGCGGGATTTTGTAACCATGACTTCAATACTCTCGCAGTTAGCTTTTTCAAGGACCGATACGTTTGAGACATGATGGAACCACCCGATTCTTAAGAGTTGTCTAAGGTGTCTCTGTTGCAAGTTGTTTAATGCCTTCATGTGTCGGCGGTACGGCACCCAGGCTTCGCTCCCATATAACATGGTGGGGATTATAATTGCTCGGTACACTGCCAGTTTCATTTTTGTACTCAAGTCATGATTGTAGAAAACCCTGTCTTTTAATTTCCAGAATGCTCTTGAGGCGCTGCTAATCCTGTGCTGAATTTCAGAGTCGATATTGGCCTTTTCCGAAATCAAACTGCCGAGGTAATTAAATTCCGCTACATATTCCAATAGTTCTTCTCCGATTTTTATAGCATTGTTATGATCTTCCGGGGAGTGCACATGATTTTGGTTTTGTCGATGTTTAGCTTCAGGCCCAAAGCCTCGTATGCCCAGGTATATGTGTTCAACATTTCTTGTAATTGTTGTAACGTGTTTGCAACTAGAGCGCAGTCATCAGCGTATTGAAGTTCTGTGCTGAATTTTGTACGTGTTTTTGCCCTCAGTCTTTTTATGTTGAACAGACCGCCGTCATATCTGTATCTAATGCCCAATCCTCTCTTCTGCAGTTTGCTGTCCACTATAATGGAGAGCGCTGCCATGAATATGTTGAATAGGAGAGGCGCTAAGACACATTCCTGCCTAACTCCTGTATTTGTCAGGAAGGGATCGGTCAGTGATCCATGATGTGACACTCTTGACTGGTTGTTGTTATGGAGGCTTTTACACACTGTAAGAAATTTGTTGGGTACTCCGAACTTTTTCATAACTGCCCAAAGTGCATCTCTGTTCACAGAGTCGAAGGCTTTTGTTAGATCGATGAATGCAACGTAAAGTTTAGACTGCTGCTCTTTTACTTTTTCCTGTAGTTGGCGGATGGAAAATATGGAGTCGCCGGTACCATGGTTGGTGCGAAAACCCGTTTGCGATTCTGGAAGGATTTTTTCTATATGTGGGTGAAGGCGATTTGACATAATTTTTGCAAGAATTTTTGAATTTCCGCAGTTTGATGCACTTCCTTTGTTCTTAAATATATTCACTATATTCGCGTTGCAAAAGTCCTGAGGCACCTCGCCGCTTTCCCATATGACATCGAAGAGAGCCTTAATATGACCAATAAGTCCTTTACTTGCATACTTATAGATTTCCGCCGGGATCGCGTCACAGCCAGCTGATTTGTTGTTTTTAAGCTGTTTTACGGATGCCATTATTTCCTGTTCTGTTATTAGAGTATCTAATACATCGAGGCTGTTATACTGAGGTATTGTGTTTAGTGCTTCCATATTCGGGTTGTTGGTTAAGGATATGACTGTAATGCTCTTTCCAGCGGTTTCTAATTTGCTCTTCCTCTTTTAGAAGTTCGCCATTTTGTGCCATGATTGGACAGCTTACTTTCTTGGTTGGGCCGTATACTTCTTTTACAGCCTCAAAGAATTTACCATAATCGTGATGCGTGGCGTACTATTGAATCTGAGTAGCCTTTTGTGACCACCAATCATCCTTTAATTGGCGCAGATTTCTTCGAAGCGTGTTGTTGGCTGCTTTAAAGTTGTCGACCAGCCTTGGATTGTGTGGATTTGCAGTGACTGCTTGATGTGCTCTATGCTTTTGTTCCAAGAAGGTCTGTAATATGAGGTTGATTTTCGTTAAACCCTTGTTTCTTTTTGTTGGACTTTCCCAGTACTGCTTCGCTAGTTTTATGAATCGCATCCCTTAATTGTGTCCAGCCTTGTGATGACAACAATAAAAAAAAATAGTCTCTCACGACGTCCAAGCACAGATTTTTTTATAAAACACAACTCGAAAAGAAATAAATATGCATTGAAATTTGAATTATTTTAATAAAAAGCATCGGAAAGCTTGTGAAAACATTATTTTGAATTTTGTATTAAATCTACTTGAAGATAAATAGAAGATATTATGTTTCTTACTTGTAGTACTTGATACAGTAGTGCTTGTAGTTGAAGGAGTGGTAGTACTAGTAGAAGAAGTAGTAGAAGATTCTGTTGTACTCAAAGAAGTACTGATTGTAGTACTTGAAGTAGTGCTATCTGTAGAGGAATTTCCTAAGACGCAACTGAAATGACATCATCAACATTTTTATTTAACTCATACAGTAAATGGATCATCGTAGATACTTATCAGTCCCATAAGTCTCATCACAGACAGTACCATCAGCACAATACTCCTCATCTCCATAAATTGCAATGAATAGTACCCACCAACATGTTTTATAAGTGGTCGCATTCACACAAAAGATTCCTTTTGAGGTACAGTGAGGTTCAGCATCTTTAAAAATATATTAAGATCACAAATTGTAAGAAAAAAATTAAATAATTTTAATATAAAAATTACTCAAGCTTGTAAAAGATAATTATAAATTTTATACTGAATTTATTTGAATTATTTTAATAAAAAGCATCAATTAATTGAAATTTGAATTATTTTAATAAAAAGCATCGGAAAGCTTGTGAAAACATTATTTTGAATTTTGTATTAAATCTACTTGAAGATAAATAGAAGATATTCTTTTTCTTACTTGTAGTAGTTGATACAGTAGTGCTTGTAGTTGAAGGAGTAGTGGTACTACTAGAAGAAGTAGTAGAAGATTCTGTTGTACTCAGAGTAGTGCTGGTGGTAGTACTTAAAGTAGTGCTACTAGTAGAAGAATTTCCTGAGACACAGCTGAAAAGATTGCAAACATTTTATCTTAACTCAATACAGTAAATATTTCATCTTAAGTACTTATCAGTGCCATAAGTCTCATCACAAACAGTACCATCAGCACAATATTCTTCATTTCCATAAACTGCAATGAATAGTACCCACCAACAAGTTTTATAAGTGGTCTCATTCACACAGTAGATTCCTTTGGATGTACAGTGAGCTTCAGCAGCTTTAAGAATATATTAAGAACAAAAACATTAAGAAAAAATTGAAATTATTTCAATAAAAAAACATAGATAAGTTTGTAAAAACATAATTTTAAATTTTATATTAAATCTACTTGAAAATAAGTAGAAGATATTTTGTTTCTTACTTGTAGTAGTTGATACAGTAGTGCTTGTAGTTGAAGGAGTAGTGGTAGCACTAGAAGAAGTAGTAGAAGATTCTGTTGTACTCAGAGTAGTACTGATTGTACTTGAAGTAGTACTACTAGTAGAAGAATTTTCTGAGACACAACTGAAATTATATCAAAATATTTTATCTAACTCAATACAGTAAATAGATCATCCTAAATATACTTATCAGTCCCATATGTCTCATCACAAACAGTACCATCAGCACAATATTCTTCATCTCCATAAACTGCAATGAATAGTACCCACCAACAAGTTTTATAAGTGGTCTCATTCACACAGTAGATTCCTTTGGATGTACAGTGAGCTTCAGCAGCTTTAAGAATATATTAAGAACAAAAACATTAAGAAAAAATTGAAATTATTTCAATAAAAAAACATTGATAAGTTTGTAAAAACATAATTTTAAATTTTATATTAAATCTACTTGAAAATAAGTAGAAGATATTTTGTTTCTTACTTGTAGTAGTTGATACAGTAGTGCTTGTAGTTGAAGGAGTAGTGGTAGTACTAGAAGAAGTAGTAGAAGATTCTGTTGTACTCAGAGTAGTACTGATTGTACTTGAAGTAGTACTACTAGTAGAAGAATTTCCTGAGACACAGCTGAAAAGATTGCAAACATTTTATCTTAACTCAATACAGTAAATACTTCATCTTAAGTACTTATCAGTGCCATAAGTCTCATCACAAACAGTACCATCGGCACAATATTCTTCATCTCCATAAACTGCAATGAATAGTACCCACCAACAAGTTTTATAAGTGGTCTCATTCACACAGTAGATTCCTTTGGACGTACAGTGAGCTTCAGCACCTTTAAGAATATATTAAGAACAAAAACATTAAGAAAAAATTGAAATTATTTCAATAAAAAAACATTGATAAGTTTGTAAAAACATAATTTCAAATTTTATATTAAATCTACTTGAAAATAAGTAGAAGAAATTTTGTTTCTTACTTGTAGTAGTTGATACAGTAGTGCTTGTAGTTGAAGGAGTAGTGGTAGTACTAGAAGAAGTAGTAGAAGATTCTGTTGTACTCAGAGTAGTACTGATTGTACTTGAAGTAGTACTACTAGTAGAAGAATTTTCTGAGACACAACTGAAATTATATCAAAATATTTTATCTAACTCAATACAGTAAATAGATCATCCTAAATATACTTATCAGTCCCATAAGTCTCATCACAAACAGTACCATCAGCACAATATTCTTCATCTCCATAAAATGCAATGAATAGTACCCACCAACAAGTTTTATAAGTGGTCTCATTCACACAGTAGATTCCTTTGGATGTACAGTGAGCTTCAGCAGCTTTAAGAATATATTAAGAACAAAAACATTAAGAAAAAATTGAAATTATTTCAATAAAAAAACATTGATAAGTTTGTAAAAACATAATTTTAAATTTTATATTAAATCTGCTTGAAAATAAGTAGAAGAAATTTTGTTTCTTACTTGTAGTAGTTGATACAGTAGTGCTTGTAGTTGAAGGAGTAGTGGTAGTACTAGAAGAAGTAGTAGAAGATTCTGTTGTACTCAGAGTAGTACTGATTGTACTTGAAGTAGTACTACTAGTAGAAGAATTTTCTGAGACACAACTGAAATTATATCAAAATATTTTATCTAACTCAATACAGTAAATAGATCATCCTAAATATACTTATCAGTCCCATATGTCTCATCACAAACAGTACCATCAGCACAAGACTCTTCATCTCCATAAACTGCAATGAATAGTACCCACCAACAAGTTTTATAAGTAGTCTCATTCACACAGTAGATTCCTTTTGATGTACAGTGAGCTTCGGCAGCTTTAAAAATATATTAATTTAACAAATATTAATAAAATCTAAAAAAATAATAAAAAAACATATTTTATATTAAATTTATTTGAAAAAAATTGTATATATTATGTTTATTTTACTTGTAGTAGTTAATACAGTAGTGCTTGTAGTTGAAGGAGTGGTAGTACTAGTAGAAGAAGAAGTAGATTCTGTAGTACTTGTTGCAGACTCTGTTGTAGTCGTACTAGTGGTAGAAGAAGTTGAAATACAACTATAATTAAAATAAACTTCCTTAACTCTCAAGACCAGTAAATCATGAAATCTTTACTTCTCAGTGTCAACCGATTCATCACAAATAGTACCATAATCACAAGATACTACATCTCCATTAATTTGAATAAATAAAAACCACCAACAACTCTGGTAGGCTGTTTCGTTTACACAATATATTCCTTTAGATGCACATTCAGCCTGAGCTTCTTTAAAAATCAGACCACCACAAAAGATAAACACGATCTGAATGAGTTTAATAATAAACTTAGTGAGTTATGATGAAAGTTAGTGTTTAAAAACTCACCAAGAGTACCGGAGTGAAGATTTTCGAAGCCATTTCGGTGACAAAATTTAAAATGAATTGCACAGAAGATAATGTAATGTTAAGGAAACATATAGAGCAGGGTCTTATTTTTTAACTTTATTCAAATACTGTTATCGTTTTTAAAGAAAGATATAGATACAGGGTGTTCTTTGATCTTCGTATTCTGCTGGTGTCTTAAAATATACGCAGTGAGTTCAAGATATGTGTATACAATACAGGGTTGTTCACCACATACGTCACGGAGTACTGTAGCTAAACGATTAGATTTTTACAAATTGTAAGTTTTGGGTTCGTTGAAGGACTATTAGAGCTACAATTTAAAAATATTTTTACAAGATACAGAGTGTCCCAAATAAATAAAAAATATCAAAGTTGTATTTTTTTAAATGGAACACCCTGTATATTATTGCATTTTTAGTTTCTACGATTAAAATAAAGGTAAATTTGATTAAGGTTTATTACACTTAAACCTTACGGTTTTTGAAATATTTTCAATTTTACGAAATTGCAGTATAAATTTTAAGGCTTCATTTCTCCGAGGATATCAAAGTTTTTAATACTAAATATTTCCTGAAGTTTATTTATTGATCAGTTATTGTGTTGCAATAATAAAAATTATACTACCTTATACAGAGTGTCTAAAAATTTATTTTAAATAATTACTAGCTTTAAACGGCAATAACTTATTTACTTTAAATAGAACACCCTGTATATTTTATGAGAATCAAATGCACAATTTAATTGTCTATCAAATTGTATTATACCATTTCTTACCTATACCTTCAAGTTTTCGTAGAAAATGCATTTTCTTATAATTTAGACCTCATTTATCAATATACCCATGGAATATTGACATTTTAGATTGTTTTTATAACAACAAATGTACAAAATGCACAGACTAGTAATATTATCGTTTTTACTAAAACGATAATATTACTAGCCCATTTGTATGCTAAAAGAAAACTATTTAAATCTTTATAAAAGAGTATGCCATTAATTAAATATACCACCAGTATTTCCGCCCAAATACTAATTAACTACATACTTAATTGTGTTCGTTAATAAATTATTCTAAATAAATGTGGATTTGAATCAAAAATCAATATAATAATAAGTTATGAAAATGAACGTCTCTGTTGTTATAAATAAGCATTTGTCAACAAATTAAATATAATTTTTAAGGTGTTACTTTTTACCACACTGTCTAATACACATACATAATTCAGTTTTTTAGTATTTGGAGCAATTATTATTAATCAACGCAAACAGTCAATTAATGTAGTTTGAATACTGAAATCATATTAATTGGTCCTCTTTAACAAATATTTAAACAGTTTTTTTTTATTTTTTTAATGAAATAAACGAACTATATCGACAATATTAGTATCTGTACTCTTTAAAAATTTGGTACATCTTTAAAAATAATCTAAAATGTCAGTATTCCATGGGTATATTGATAAATGAGTTCTAAATTACAAGAAAATGCATTTTCTACGGAAACTTGAAGAGATAGGTAAAAAATGGTATAATACAATTTGATAGACAATTAAATTGTGCATCTGATTCGCATAAAATATACAGGGTGTTCCATTTAAATTAAACAAGTTATTGCCGTTTAAAGCTAGTAATTATTTAAAATAAATTTTTAGACACTCTGTATAAGGTAGTAAAGTTTTATTATTGCAATACAATAACTGATCAATAAATACATTTCAGTAAATATTTAGTATTAAAAACTTTGATAGCCTCGGAGAAATGAAGGCTTAAAATTTATACTGCAATTTCACAAAATTGAAGATATTTCAAAAACGGTAAGATTTAAGTGTAATAAACCTTAATCAAATTTACCTTTATTTTAATCGTAGAAACTAAAAATGTAATAATATATAGCTCTAATAGTCCTTCAACGAACCCAAAACTTACAATTTGTAAAAATCTAGCCGTTTAGCTACAATACTCCGTGTCGAATGTGGTGAACAACCCTGTATAACTAAATACAAAGTTGTAAGAAAAAAAAATGGATTTGTACTGAGAAAGTATCCATTCAAAAGTCACATAGTCTGTCCAACGAGAGAATCCCTGACAGTGACAGTTGTGTCATTTTAATTCACAGGAAAATTGTATTTTCTGTCATGTTTTTGATGTCTGTCGAAATATTCCCTGAACCGTTGGCTATACATATATAAAAACTGTTTTTATATGGAACAATTTACATTAAACATGAAAAATAAATGCCAAGGAATGATGCGTCAGCACGTTATGTGATATTTTAATTCAACAATTATAACTGATTTTTTAAATATTACTTTAAATAAATAATAAAAATAATCCTATAATAAAACCGTATATCAATCAAAAAAATTGTTTATTTTTGATATTGTCATCAGTAAGTCTTTTGTAAATTTACAAGAATTCTTTGACTAGGTCTACGACTAAAGTTGTTGACTATGAATTTAAATCCATGACAGGTATTTTAGAACTTAGAACTTTAGAACGACATTAGTGTTAAATGTATACAGTGTAGAACAAAAAGCAAAAATATGCTATTGCGTAGATAAGTACTCAAAAGAGGTGAACAAAAAATAAAAATTCGTATTTTACATTTAAAACCTAATTTATATAAATAAAATTTATAAATACGTATATTATTTTATTGATTTACATTTTCTAACATATAAAGAATAAAATATAGCACCACCATGCTCTTTCTTCTGATGCTGCAGTTGTAGTCTCTACTGTAGTACTAGTCGTTGCTTCTGTGGTAGTACTCTCAGTGGTTGTAGCTAAAAAAATAAGAGAAATAAACATTCTTCATTTCAAACCAAACCAAACATATTCTAGAGAACACAAACAGAAATCAAATAAAATATACAGCATTTCATTTAAAAAATTGCATCTTTAGTGTTTGACTATGCCGGAATCGCCCTGTATATACATAAAAATATATTTAAAATGTACACTATATAGGGTGATTCAAAAAGCATGTACCGTCTCTCGTGGGGAGATTCCTCACGTAAAAATATGATTTATTTTTCATATCAACATAGGTCCGATTCTACTTTGTTTTGTAGCTACAGGGTGTTAAAGACTTAATATTTTTTCGATTTTTCAATGAAACAAATCAGTGAGTGATTCGATTAAATAATTTAAAAAAAGTATAAATATCAAATACGAGACCTGGTATAAAGTTCTTTTTCAGAACACTGTGTATATAAAAAAAACATATACTTACAGGTAGTTGTAGAAGCAGTTGTAGTTGATGTAGTTGTAGTTGTTGTACTCGTAGTTGTAGTTTCAGTTACACAGCTAAAAAATGAACAAGCTCTTTTAATAAAATTCTAAAAAATACAATCTTGGGAATATGTAATTTTCTATTCTGAACATTATTTAAATTTATTATATAATATGTGACGTTTACTTGTCAGATCCTTCATCTTCATCGCACACTGTGCCATCGCTGCAAGTCCTGTTGTTTCCGATAAACTGGATACTTCCAAACCAGTTTATACAAGTTACGTAAGTTGTATCATCATAACAATGTATAGCTTTTGAACCACAGCTATCTGTAAATCAAAAATAGAATTTTATAACAATTAGAATTATTGAATTACAACTCTTATAGGGGACATCCATAAATTACGTGATGGGTTTTGGGGTATTTTTTGACTATCTTCTCCCCTACTGGTGAGATGTCATTCAGATTTAACACCCCCTCCTTGATTTAACAACAGGGAACGTAATTAATACACCCCCCCCCCCCTTAGGCTGTTTATATGTTTTTGAGTTTTGGAATAAACTATTTACTGAATAAACAACAACAAACAAAACTTTATTGTGCAAAAAGCCAAAACAGCTTCGTCGACAAAGCACTCACAAAACAAACAAAGGCACAAAAAAAATATACAAACAACAAAAAATACACAATACAAATCATTTCATACAAATGATACTCACATGGGTCTTGTGTAGTTGTAGTTACAGTTGTGGTGGTTGGAGTTGTGGTAGTTGTGGCTAAAAATTAAAAAATTGTTCATTATTTTCACGTAACTCGAACTTGTAATTGGGTTAAGTACCCTATGATCGAAAAAAAACGGCGTCAAAGACGGCTAGGAATGACAATCGATGATAATTTTGGCGAGGATAAACCATATATATATAATTTATTGGTCCGTACTCTTCTTTATTTTTTAATAGAGCTGACTGTCAATTATCCCTTTTTAATCTCTCTATAATTAGTGTTAATTTGTGACAAGTTCTAGAGATTGCCCTCGCTAAAATTATCATCGAAAATTACCAGTGAAAGTTTACCAGTGTTCCTAAAAATAAACAAAATATATTACGTTTATTTAATCTTTCGAGGGCTGTAACTTCTTTGGCAAGAATTTTAAGGCATATTATGTTCATAGGAACTTTTTGTTTTATTTTTATCTGTACAGGGTGGTCGAAATTGGTCTGTTTTAACAGAGAAACCCTATTTCCTGACTAGATAGAGCAAAACCGACCTAGATGTCATGGGCTCGATTTCTGAGACACGTTTAATGGCGTAAATCGCCTGTTGATATTTTCACTGCTGACTGAGATACGGGGTCTTTTTTAATTTTTTACCATTTGGAAAATTGCCCATAACTTTTGTATTTCGCGGAATAATAAAATTCTGTAAAAACGTTGAAACGTTGTCAAGGCACTCTTTTAAGCACAATCCAGTGTCAGTTTTTTTCTATACTTGCTTTTTTTCTCAGAAATAATAAAAAATATAATTTTTTAAATGGAAATCATAGTTGGCTATGAACTTAAAAAATGCTGGCGTTTAACCCTTTTTAACGATATAAAGTTATGTGTATTTAATTCTAAAAATGAGACAAATATTACGTTTTTTATCTTTGTGTCGAAGCGGGTCTTGATTTTGTGTTGATCTAATGAATCTAATTATTTTTTATCACAATTTAATATTGTATATTATTATTTATCTGCATAATTAAAGCATAATCAAAGTTTTGAAAAGGTAAATCAACATTCTTTATTAGTATATTATAATTTACAATTAAAAAGCCAGGGTTACAACTGCACTATTAAATGGAGAGAATTGGATTGGAACAAAGAGCCTCATATCTTGGCCCCCATATCTAGGCCTGCCAAACCAAACCAAACCAAAAAGAGCATGCATAGAAAAAAACTGACTACGCCACTGGATTGTGCTTAAAAGAGTGCCTTAAGTATGTTTTTACAGAATTTTATTATTCCGCAAAATAAAAAAGTTATGAGCAATTTTCAAAATGGTAAAAAATTCAAAAATACCCCGTGTCTCAGTTGGCAGTGAAAATATCAACAGGCGGTTTACGCCATTAAGCGTGTCTCAGAAATCGAGCCCATGACATCTATATCGGTTTTGCTCTATCTAGTCAGGAAATAGGTTTTCTCTGTTAAAACCGTTAAAACAGACCAATTTCGACCACCCTGTACAATCACCGACCAAAGTGTCAGATACACTATTATTTTGACACCCTGTATACTTTCAATACTTCAATTATATCATATTTTCTTTCTATTTTTATCACACTTTTTTTACCTGTAGTGGTTGTTGAGGCAGTAGTAGTTGTACTAGCAGTAGTACTCGTACTAGAAGTACTCTCAGTCGTAGTAGTAGACGAGACACAACTAGGAAAAAAATCACAAAAAAATTGATCAATCCAACTTAAAAACAAACAAAAAAACGTCTTACTCACTTGTCTGTTCCTTCGGTTTCGTCACACACTGTATAATCTGAACAAGTCACCTCGTCACCATAGAATGGTATGAACAGTACCCACCAGCATGTTTTGTAGGTAGTATCGCTGGTACAAACTATACCTTTCGAAGGGCAGTTGGCTTCAACGCCTCCAAAAATTATAGGGAGACATATCATAAAGGTGATCTATATTGGTAAAGAATAAATAATGTGAATTTAAGCAGTGTGATTAATAATGTGATTTATTCAGTTGAGACGTTGTTGATATCCTCTTCTTGGTTCAACAAGACTAGTTATTGTCAAATTGTTTCTATTACTTTTCTTCGAGGCATTTTTATTCTAATTTGTTTATCTGATGGTAATTATCAAGAAACATATGTCGTTTTTTGCTAAAAGTGGTTTTTATTGAGTTTTATCTGTAATTTTCTTTATAGTAGATATACGAAGGTGATGCACCAGGTCCTGTAAAATTGTTTCTATTACTTTTCTTCGGGGCATTTTTATTCTAATATGTTTATCTGATGGTAATTATCAAGAAACATATGTCGTTTTTTGCTAAAAGTGGTTTTATTGAGTTTTATCTCTAATTTTCTTTATAGTATATGAAGCTGATGCACCAGGTCTTGTAAAATTGTTTCTATTACTTTTCTTCGAGGCATTTTTATTCTAATATGTTTATCTGATGGTAATTATCAAGAAACATATGTCGTTTTTTGCTAAAAGTGGTTTTATTGAATTTTATCTGTAATTTTCTTTATAGTAGATATACGAAGGTGATGCACCAGGTCCTGTAAAATTGTTTCTATTACTTTTCTTCGAGGCATTTTTTATTCTAATATGTTTATCTGTGGTAATTATCAAGAAACATATGTCGTTTTTTGCTAAAAGTGGTTTTTATTGAGTTTTATCTCTAATTTTCTTTTATAGTATATGAAGCTGATGCACCAGGTCTTGTAAAATTGTTTCTATTACTTTTCTTCGAGGCATTTTTATTCTAATATGTTTATCTGATGGTAATTATCAAGAAACATATGTCGTTTTTTGCTAAAAGTGGTTTTTATTGAGTTTTATCTGTAATTTTCTTTATAGTAGATATACGAAGGTGATGCACCAGGTCCTGTAAAATTGTTTCTATTACTTTTCTACGGGGCATTTTTATTCTAATATGTTTATCTGATGATAATTATCAAGAAACACGTGTCGTTTTTTGCTAAAAGTAGTTTTTATTGAGTTTTATCTCTAATTTTCTTTATAGAATACGAAGCTGATGCATCAGGTCTTGTAAAATAGTTTCTATTACTTTTCTTCGGGGCATTTCTATTCTGATTTGTTTATCTTATAGTAATTATCAAGAAACACATGTTGTTTTTTGCTAAAACTGATTTTTATTGAGTTTTATCTTTAATTTTCTTTATAGTATACGAAGCTGATGTACCAGGTCTTGTAAAATTGTTTCTATTAGTTTTCTTCGGGGCATTTTTATTCTAATTTGTTTATCTGTTGGTAATTATCAAGAAATACATGTCGTTTTTTGCTAAAAGTGGTTTTTATTGAGTTTTATCTGTAACTTTCTTTATAGTAAATATACGAAGGTGATGCACCAGGTCCTGTAAAATTGTTTCTATTACTTTTCTTCGGGGCATTTTTTTCTAATTTGTTTATCTGTTGGTAATTATCAAGAAATACATGTCGTTTTTTGCTAAAAGTGGTTTTTATTGAGTTTTATCTGTAATTTTCTTTATAGTAGATATACGAAGGTGATGCACCAGGTCCTGTAAAATTGTTTCTATTACTTTTCTTCGGGGCATTTTTATTCTAATTTGTTTATCTGATGATAATTATCAAGAAACACTTGTCGTTTTTTGCTAAAAGTGGTTTTTATTGAGTTTTATCTCTAATTTTCTTTATAGTATATGAAGCTGATGCACCAGGTCTTGTAAAATTATTTCTATTACTTTTCTTCGAGGCATTTTTATTCTAATATGTTTATCTGATGGTAATTATCAAGAAACATATGTCGTTTTTTTGCTAAAAGTGGTTTTTATTGAGTTTTATCTGTAATTTTCTTTATAGTAGATATACGAAGGTGATGCACCAGGTCCTGTAAAATTGTTTCTATTACTTTTCTTCGGGGCATTTTTATTCTAATATGTTTATCTGATGGTAATTATCAAGAAACATATGTCGTTTTTTGCTAAAAGTGGTTTTTATTGAGTTTTATCTCTAATTTTCTTTATAGAATACGAAGCTGATGCATCAGGTCTTGTAAAATAGTTTCTATTACTTTTCTTCGGGGCATTTCTATTCTGATTTGTTTATCTGATAGTAATTATCAAGAAACACATGTTGTTTTTTGCTAAAACTGATTTTTATTGAGTTTTATCTTTAATTTTCTTTATAGTATACGAAGCTGATGTACCAGGTCTTGTAAAATTGTTTCTATTAGTTTTCTTCGGGGCATTTTTATTCTAATTTGTTTATCTGTTGGTAATTATCAAGAAATACATGTCGTTTTTTGCTAAAAGTGGTTTTTATTGAGTTTTATCTGTAACTTTCTTTATAGTAAATATACGAAGGTGATGCACCAGGTCCTGTAAAATTGTTTCTATTACTTTTCTTCGAGGCATTTTTATTCTAATATGTTTATCTGATGGTAATTATCAAGAAACATATGTCGTTTTTTGCCAAAAGTGGTTTTTATTGAGTTTTATCTGTAATTTTCTTTATAGTAGATATACGAAGGTGATGCACCAGGTCCTGTAAAATTGTTTCTATTACTTTTCTTCGGGGCATTTTTATTCTAATATGTTTATCTGATGGTAATTATCAAGAAACATATGTCGTTTTTTGCTAAAAGTGGTTTTTATTGAGTTTTATCTCTAATTTTCTTTATAGTAGTATATGAAGCTGATGCACCAGGTCTTGTAAAATTGTTTCTATTACTTTTCTTCGAGGCATTTTTATTCTAATATGTTTATCTGATGGTAATTATCAAGAAACATATGTCGTTTTTTGCTAAAAGTGGTTTTATTGAGTTTTATCTGTAATTTTCTTTATAGTAGATATACGAAGGTGATGCACCAGGTCCTGTAAAATTGTTTCTATTACTTTTCTTCGGGGCATTTTTATTCTAATATGTTTATCTGATGATAATTATCAAGAAACACGTGTCGTTTTTTGCTAAAAGTAGTTTTTATTGAGTTTTATCTCTAATTTTCTTTATAGAATACGAAGCTGATGCACCAGGTCTTGTAAAATAGTTTCTATTACTTTTCTTCGGGGCATTTCTAATCTGATTTGTTTATCTGATAGTAATTATCAAGAAACACATGTTGTTTTTTGCTAAAACTGATTTTTATTGAGTTTTATCTTTAGTTTTCTTTATAGTATACGAAGCTGATGTACCAGGTCTTGTAAAATTGTTTCTATTACTTTTCTTCGGGGCATTTTTATTCTAATTTGTTTATCTGTTGGTAATTATCAAGAAACATATGTCGTTTTTTGCTAAAAGTGGTTTTTATTGAGTTTTATCTGTAACTTTCTTTATAGTAGATATACGAAGGTGATGCACCAGGTCCTGTAAAATTGTTTCTATTACTTTTCTTCGGGGCATTTTTATTCTAATATGTTTATCTGATGGTAATTATCAAGAAACATATGTCGTTTTTTGCTAAAAGTGGTTTTTATTGAGTTTTATCTCTAATTTTCTTTATAGTATATGAAGCTGATGCACCAGGTCTTGTAAAATTATTTCTATTACTTTTCTTCGAGGCATTTTTATTCTAATATGTTTATCTGATGGTAATTATCAAGAAACATATGTCGTTTTTTGCTAAAAGTGGTTTTTATTGAGTTTTATCTTTAATTTTCTTTATAGTAGATATACGAAGGTGATGCACCAGGTCCTGTAAAATTGTTTCTATTACTTTTCTTCGGGCATTTTTATTCTAATATGTTTATCTGATGATAATTATCAAGAAACACGTGTCGTTTTTTGCTAAAAGTAGTTTTTATTGAGTTTTATCTCTAATTTTCTTTATAGAATACGAAGCTGATGCACCAGGTCTTGTAAAATAGTTTCTATTACTTTTCTTCGGGGCATTTCTATTCTGATTTGTTTATCTGATAGTAATTATCAAGAAACACATGTTGTTTTTTGCTAAAACTGATTTTTATTGAGTTTTATCTTTAATTTTCTTTATAGTATACGAAGCTGATGTACCAGGTCTTGTAAAATTGTTTCTATTACTTTTCTTCGGGGCATTTTTATTCTAATATGTTTATCTGATGATAATTATCAAGAAACACGTGTCGTTTTTTGCTAAAAGTGGTTTTTATTGAGTTTTATCTCTAATTTTCTTTATAGAATACGAAGCTGATGCATCAGGTCTTGTAAAATAGTTTCTATTACTTTTCTTCGGGGCATTTCTATTCTGATTTGTTTATCTGATAGTAATTATCAAGAAACACATGTTGTTTTTTGCTAAAACTGATTTTTATTGAGTTTTATCTTTAATTTTCTTTATAGTATACGAAGCTGATGTACCAGGTCTTGTAAAATTGTTTCTATTAGTTTTCTTCGGGGCATTTTTATTCTAATTTGTTTATCTGTTGGTAATTATCAAGAAATACATGTCGTTTTTTGCTAAAAGTGGTTTTTATTGAGTTTTATCTGTAACTTTCTTTATAGTAAATATACGAAGGTGATGCACCAGGTCCTGTAAAATTGTTTCTATTACTTTTCTTCGAGGCATTTTATTCTAATATGTTTATCTGATGGTAATTATCAAGAAACATATGTCGTTTTTTGCTAAAAGTGGTTTTATTGAGTTTTATCTGTAATTTTCTTTATAGTAGATATACGAAGGTGATGCACCAGGTCCTGTAAAATTGTTTCTATTACTTTTCTTCGGGGCATTTTTATTCTAATATGTTTATCTGATGGTAATTATCAAGAAACATATGTCGTTTTTTGCTAAAAGTGGTTTTTATTGAGTTTTATCTCTAATTTTCTTTATAGTATATGAAGCTGATGCACCAGGTCTTGTAAAATTGTTTCTATTACTTTTCTTCGAGGCATTTTTATTCTAATATGTTTATCTGATGGTAATTATCAAGAAACATATGTCGTTTTTTGCTAAAAGTGGTTTTTATTGAGTTTTATCTGTAATTTTCTTTATAGTAGATATACGAAGGTGATGCACCAGGTCCTGTAAAATTGTTTCTATTACTTTTCTTCGGGGCATTTTTATTCTAATATGTTTATCTGATGATAATTATCAAGAAACACGTGTCGTTTTTTTGCTAAAAGTAGTTTTTATTGAGTTTTATCTCTAATTTTCTTTATAGAATACGAAGCTGATGCACCAGGTCTTGTAAAATAGTTTCTATTACTTTTCTTCGGGGCATTTCTAATCTGATTTGTTTATCTGATAGTAATTATCAAGAAACACATGTTGTTTTTTGCTAAAACTGATTTTTATTGAGTTTTATCTTTAATTTTCTTTATAGTATACGAAGCTGATGTACCAGGTCTTGTAAAATTGTTTCTATTACTTTTCTTCGGGGCATTTTTATTCTAATTTGTTTATCTGTTGGTAATTATCAAGAAACATATGTCGTTTTTTGCTAAAAGTGGTTTTTATTGAGTTTTATCTGTAACTTTCTTTATAGTAGATATACGAAGGTGATGCACCAGGTCCTGTAAAATTGTTTCTATTACTTTTCTTCGGGGCATTTTTATTCTAATATGTTTATCTGATGGTAATTATCAAGAAACATATGTCGTTTTTTGCTAAAAGTGGTTTTTATTGAGTTTTATCTCTAATTTTCTTTATAGTATATGAAGCTGATGCACCAGGTCTTGTAAAATTATTTCTATTACTTTTCTTCGAGGCATTTTTATTCTAATATGTTTATCTGATGGTAATTATCAAGAAACATATGTCGTTTTTTGCTAAAAGTGGTTTTTATTGAGTTTTATCTGTAATTTTCTTTATAGTAGATATACGAAGGTGATGCACCAGGTCCTGTAAAATTGTTTCTATTACTTTTCTTCGGGGCATTTTTATTCTAATATGTTTATCTGATGATAATTATCAAGAAACACGTGTCGTTTTTTGCTAAAAGTAGTTTTTATTGAGTTTTATCTCTAATTTTCTTTATAGAATACGAAGCTGATGCACCAGGTCTTGTAAAATAGTTTCTATTACTTTTCTTCGGGGCATTTCTATTCTGATTTGTTTATCTGATAGTAATTATCAAGAAACACATGTCTTTTTTTTTGCTAAAAGTGATTTTTATTGAGTTTTATCTTTAATTTTCTTTATAGTATACGAAGCTGATGTACCAGGTCTTGTAAAATTGTTTCTATTACTTTTCTTCGGGGCATTTTTATTCTAATATGTTTATCTGATGATAATTATCAAGAAACACGTGTCGTTTTTTGCTAAAAGTAGTTTTTATTGAGTTTTATCTCTAATTTTCTTTATTGTATACGAAGCTGATGTACCAGGTCTTGTAAAATTGTTTCTATTACTTTTCTTAGGGGCATTTTTATTCTAATTTGTTTATCTGTTGGTAATTATCAAGAAACACAAGTCGTTTTTTGCTAAAAGTGGTTTTTATTGAGTTTTATCTCTAATTTTCTTTATAGTATACGAAGCTGATGTACCAGGTCTTGTAAAATTGTTTCTATTACTTTTCTTAGGGGCATTTTTATTCTAATTTGTTTATCTGTTGGTAATTATCAAGAAACACAAGTCGTTTTTTGCTAAAAGTGGTTTTTATTGAGTTTTATCTCTAATTTTCTTTATAGTATACGAAGCTGATGTACCAGGTCTTGTAAAATTGTTTCTATTACTTTTCTTAGGGGCATTTTTATTCTAATTTGTTTATCTGTTGGTAATTATCAAGAAACACAAGTCGTTTTTTGCTAAAAGTGGTTTTTATTGAGTTTTATCTGTAATTTTCTTTATAGTAGATATACGAAGGTGATGCACCAGGTCCTGTAAAATTGTTTCTATTACTTTTCTTCGGGGCATTATTATTCTAATTTGTTTATCTGATGATAATTATCAAGAAACACTTGTCGTTTTTTGCTAAAAGTGGTTTTTATTGAGTTTTATCTCTAATTTTCTTTATAGTATATGAAGCTGATGCACCAGGTCTTGTAAAATAGTTTCTATTACTTTTCTTCGTTTTTATAAATACCGGTCACAAGTTTTCTACCAACAGCGTTAATACAAATATACCGGAAGCTTTTTAAATGCAACATTTATGTCGTTTTAAAATGGGATAAAATATGCGCTAAATTCAGTAAGAAAAAAGATTTTTTCAATGAAAATGAGTGCTTACCAGAAAATGCTTCAAGCAGTGTTTTTCGGCCATTTTGCTCACACACTGAACTAACTCGAGTCAAGTCGCGTGATTTTGTAATCTTTAAACAAAAAGGTTTTATTAGTCAGTTTTTGAGAAGTCGTAAATTTTCAGGATTAAATTTTGACTTTGTTCTCAAATCCAAAAACGGTTTTTTCGCCGATTTGAGTAAACACTCTTATCAATTTTACGTGTAAAATTCATTAATCATCATTTTTTTTCTTCTTTTCTTAAGGCCCCCATACACTTCAGTTATTTTGTTCCGTTTTAATCGTGCTGTTAGAAACAGAAGATGCAAGGCAAGGAAGAATTAAAACTCGTTATCCAGTCTCAGGGCTTTGATAAAAGTCAGTGTCTGAGACGAGAGAGGGTCGTACTAAAGTTTTTGTTCCAAAAGTAGTCGTCTCGGCGCACTCAGTGATATGGTGTTTCCCCATTATCCCTACAGAATCTGCAGTTACCGTTGTTTTTTAGCTTCAGTCTACTGAGGTGTTCATTGAGGGATGGGGGAGACAGTGTCCAGGTTAAAAACGCCGTGACAATCCAAAGATTGTTGTTACTTAAATCAAGGCAAATCTTTAAGTTTTCTCGGTTGTATGTCCTGAGAAATATCTTCGAGGCGTCTTAGACCCCATTGGACGATTCCAAATATATTTAAACTCGGGAGGATTCCCATTCCAGATGTTACGGATGCAGTCTTCCAGAGTACTAGCTCTGGACGCGAGGGGTGTCTCCTGTCTCACTTAGGTAAAAAAATGTACAGGGTGTCCCACTAAGAATAGCTCTCGGCTGTATCTCGGAAAGAATTAGCCGTAGGGTTTACGGAAAAAAATATTTATAACTAAAGGGGCTATGAGAAATTGCTGGAAATTATTTTCAAGTTTGTAAAAGCGCTAGAAGGCGCAACTGCTATGGAAAATAATAAAATAGGATTTTTACAGAATTTTGCCTAGATAATGGGTACTATAAATATTAGCTTCATAATCTTCTGTAAATTCTGGATTTTTTTTGTTAGAACCATTCACTATCTGCTAAAATAAAGTGGTGGGGGAAGGTTAGATCTGCCTTTATTTAAATGTTAATAACTCCGGACTGGATGATCATAATCCAATAAACGGAGGTCGTGTAAAGGAGCGTTTTTTACTCAATGTTTTACCATAAAATTAATAATAATAAAGATTTTGAACGTAAACGCTATATAGGGAGCGCTTTCTTACAAATTAACAAACATAGCGCGTTTTTTCAGAAAAATTAAATACGATAGTATATGTAATTTTAGCTGATAGTAAAGAGTAGTAAAAACTTGAAAAGTCAGCAAAAACCGCATCTTGATATCTTCTTTCAAACCGAAGATATTAGCAAAATTATAATAAATTCCAAAAAATAAGCCTTTAATTACCTTATTTTTACAACCCGGTATCAGTAGCCCTCTTGATTATGCCCATTCTAATCAAAAAATAATATAGCAACAGTTAGTTTATTTTAAAATCGACGATATACCAGAATACCATTATACCAGATGTATTAATATCTAATAATTAAGATATTAATAACAGTGAACAGGAAACGACGAGTCAGTGAAGTCATGGTAGGCTTTGGAAAAAAGTTGCTTTTGACGTAATAGTATAAATGTCAAATTGTTATTCGATCAACATTTTGATAGTCTTAGCAGCGTTTTTTATCTTTTAATTGCTTTTTCAAAATGCCTTTATTATTTGAAGTAGTTGAAGTTGTTGGGCATTTTGAAAAAGCAATCATTCTGGTATATCGTTGATTGTAAAATAAACTAACTATTTCTATCTTATTTTTTTATTAGAATGGGTATAATCAAGAGGGCTACTCTGATACCGTGTTGTAAAAAATAAGGTAATTAAAGGCTTATTTTTTGGTATTTATTATAATTTTGCTAATATCTTCGGTTTGAAAGAAGATATCAAGATGCGGTTTTCGCTAACTTTTTAAGCTTTTACTACTCTTTACGACTACGAAGAAGAGACTGCCTATGACTGCCATGTAATTATTATAGGCGACTGCCAGGGACTGCAAAGAAAATGGACATGTAATTCCAATAGTGGGATACCCCTCGCTCTGGACCAAATAAGATTCAGATCAAAGATATTTAAACTTTTTCTTAAAAAATATCTTTGATTCAGATGATCTTTGCCTTGCTAGTTCATGAACTTGCCCGTTCTGTTAAAACCTGATGAAATAACCGAAGTGTATGGGGCGCTTTAGAGAAAACAGAGTAATTTCCGCAAATCAATGTCTTTGTCGGCAAAATCTTTAAGCTTGACTTAGAAACAATAACATTATAAAATTTAATTACTGAATTATTGTCTTGTTTACTCGTTTCTCGTAATTTTTTATGGTTTTAATATTGCCCCGTGCTAAAATTAGATAAAAACAATTAAATTGATGTTCATTCATAAATAAAATGACATAAAAAATTTGTTATATTTATGCTTATTAGCATTACAAGACATCTTTTCAATAATAACTAGTCAAATTTAAATTGTTTTTGTACATTGAGACACTCTGTATATTAGTTTTTTTTTCTTTTTCGGTTTTTTACCACAGCAACATAGATTTTATCAAAATAATTAAGATCTACCTGACACCAAAAAATAAAAATGAAAATATCTAGGAAAATACTTGTCTGAGTGGTAGGCAACTTTAATAGTATTTTGAAAAGACACGAATTCTCCGTTGAATATCGTAATAATATACTGGGTGTTCCATTTGAAATAAAACAGTAACTTGCTTTTAAAAGTGTCCAGTGTTCAATATTAATTTTGTCTCACCCTGTATAACTTTTCGGGTCAAGTTTTAATTTGATTTAAAGTACAATGGATATTTTACCCACTATATATTAAGGCTATACCGGGTAAGTTCCAATTTATATAGCTTCTGTTAAAATTTAAAATGTTTTCTTCATTTTTAGAAAATTTTAAATATTATGCCAAATAGTTTACATTTTAGTCATATATGCTTCTCTAATAAAACTTTTTTGAACCTTTATATTTTTCTGAGAATTCGAAAATCAATTAATCTATAGGTGTTTCGTTGCAAAAAATGCAACTGTGATGTGTATCATTTTTTGGGGACACCCTGTATAGCGATATATATTTTTAAACATGCTTTAAATTAACATAAGCTGAGCTTACTTAGAGCCTTCGCGTCGTATGAGAGGCGCCACCCTGTATATAGCCTCTTTTTGAACGTTGGGGCACTCTATATGCCATACAATTTTTTAAGTGAATACATAATGTAATAAATCTGAGTAATTCTTTTATATAATTTCTAAATAAATAAATAAAACACAGAGCTTTTTTACTGTCTAACAAACAACTTTATTTTAACAAAATTACTTTTCATATTATTACATATTTATTTGTGCCAAAATCTTGAAACTAAAATACCTGTAAAATTAATAAAACACAATAGAGGAAATGATTTATCATATTTTTACTTGAATCATCTTTCAAAAATCACCAAAAATTTAATTTTCATTGTGCAATAATTACAATTGAGAGGCACCATATGAAATAATTGTAAGAATTTTGTAGTATCATGTTTTCAAACAGTATTGTTCCTTAATAATGACTATTGTTTTTCGAATCGCAATGCGGCAGTGTTGCCAAGATCTACTATTTTTACCTATATTTAAAGAAAAAGACAGATTGTTTAACACACATGACATCACTAAACAAGAATACAAAAATATATTTATTATATTAAATTATACCTATTTCTGTGTGTTTATATTATTATACTATCTTAAAATAACATTAAATCTGGCTATATAACCTTAAAAAATATAGATCCTCTTCCTAATTCTTGTTTAAGTATAAATATTTACTTAAAAGAAAAGAACTAAAACAGAAATTTTCCTTTGGTACATTAAAGTATAAAAACCTTTAATTGTGCGACTATTTAACGACCTGGCAACATAGCTGCGTTTGATTGTAAACTTTTTAAATATCTTCAGTGATTTTTTCAGCTATTTCTATTAAGCATATTACCAAATTATTATTTAAAAGTTTGTTGAACTGTTTTAATAAAATAATCATACCTGAGGGAGCTACTAATATAATAATGCACTTATAAAAAATAAAACTCTAAAAAGTACATAAAAATACACAATTTAATACATTAACTATAATACAAATATAATAAAGCAAAGAAAAAAATTCTTAGAATGTACGACTGTTTCCAAAGCTTGGCAACATTACGAAAGTCAGCAATAGGAAGATAAAAAATGTTTTTCAAAAGTTTCAGAACATTTTAAGGTTTTTTCTACATTTAAAAGGCATTTTTAAACACTCTAATGTTGTATTATATTGATATTTTTGTCTTTTTATTAGTAAGTGGAGAATATTTTGTGCATCACTGTATATAATTTATAAAACTAAATCAATAATTCAAAAAGTTTTTTTTAATATAAAATAATTATATAGTACAGAAAAAAGGTTCTCCTTGTTTGTAATAATTTGTTTGTCTTTTTTAATTTTTAATACTTTTATACAATATTTTTATAAACAAAATGAGATTGTGCTATAATTTTCCTTTTTTTGTACAATCACAAAAAAAGAGTACATTTTCAAACAACAAAAATTGAAACTCAACATTTCTTTTATTTACCACTGTATACTTAAGGAATATCAACCAAAAATAAAGAGTATACAGGGTGTAATGAATATAAGTGCGCATAAATTCAGAAGTCTGTAGAATGTCGTAGGTGGCAAGTGTAGAGGTGGCAACATTGCAAGGCTTCAATACACTGTAAGGAAATTTCAGGAGAATGAACCTGTGTCACTAAAAAGTTTTATTAAAATTGCCAAGAAAAATATATTTTTTTTGGTAAAAGTAACTCTTAGGTAGTTAAGAGTTAAGTAAAAAATAAAAAGCGCACATTCTAATTCATTTACACCCTGCAATATAGTATACTTAAAATTATAAATAATTTAAAAGGATTTTTCAAATTTTAAAGATCGAGCTCTGAAACACCCTGTAGGACAAAGGGTAAAAATAAATCCACTATATCAATCATCGCTTTTTTCATTTTGCTGGAGAAAATAAAATGAAAAACCCAACATTTTTAAAGCGCTTTTAAATTCTCTAGCTGTATATAGTGTTGACTTGCTGGGTACACCTGATGAAAGTGGCCCTCCTGGGTAGTTCCTTCAGTTTCGCCGCCCCCGTATAAGTGCAGGCGCTCCTTAGGCCGCCCAAAATGTCCAGAACTGTAACCTCTACGTCACCCCTGTAAGGCACTTCTACAGTTTTACCCTCAGAAGATCTGTATTCAGCTACACCACCTATACAGAAATGTGTCAAATCAAAAATTGTAGTAATTTTTTAGGTACTGCCAGAAATATAGAGATAAGGAGAATGAGCATCTAAGGTCACAAATTCTGCTGCAGCCCGTATATGGGCGTTACATGTCCTTATATTCTTTAGTCATTGGTTTAGACTATATCTTAGACTTATCTAGCTATATCTCTGGGTACTGCACAACGTTATACCCAAGAACAGTTAACCTAATAGGACTGCTCATTCAGCCAAAAGTGTCCGCCAGGTGCATGCGAAAACTACTCGCTTTGTGACGTCATTGTAGCCCTTGTCATAGTTATTAGTCCTTATCCGGCAACCAATAATACACACACGTGCATTATTGGTTACCGAATGCAAAACGTTCATTATTTAGTTTATTTATTTAAACACCTTATATGTATGCAGTAAAGAAAATTAACTGTATAAATCGTATTAAATACTCGGATAATGCATTTTTAAGAACAGCAGGTCCCAGCATCACCTTTTGCAAGCATTCTTTTTAGAGTACTTCCATATTTTGCTTTAAAATAATTAATAAACAAAATCGTGGGCACTTAGTATGCACTTTGTCACAATCCACAACACAAAATGAACGTATCTATACACTCTGTAGCTCTAAAAACTTTAAAGACACCTTTTTCACATTTAAAATTGACAAAATAATTAACTCAACATTTCTCAGCTGTTATTTTTATAAGTTTACCATAGGCAACTAATAATACACACTATCATGACAAGGCCACGAAGGCTTTGACAAGGGCTACAATGACGTCACAACTGTCAGCTGAAGCGCGGGAAGAGGCGAACGTACGTCTTATGAGGATGAGCAATCCTATTAGTTTACCGAGGTTTACCGTTCTTGCGTTATACCTGCGTGTTTCTCCATGGCCGTATCGGAACTCATACCGTAGAATAGTTTGAATTTCTTTCCATTTTTCTCGATCACTTCGCCGTCGCACTGATCATGGCCTAGGACAAAAATAACATACAGGGTGTAAAATTGAACAGTAGCAATCAGAAATATCCCTTGGAAATATATGAGTATTATTTCATATAAATATTGAGATTGGAGATTATACAATCATTTGCCTTTGAATATAAAGTCACTTTCATTCTCTCCCGCATATGCGGTAAACGACTTTTTTGTTGATGTTTAATCATGAACAATTTTGAATTTTAAAATTTTGATCATCTCACACACTGGTTAAAGGTCTACTATTTAATATTTAATAATTTATAACTCTTGATTTTATGATATATAACATAATTTTATGCATTTACAATTTTCCTTTTATAAAATTTTCTTGATACGCCTGTGTCCATGTTTGTGTTTTATTTGTAATTTTAATGACGTAAATTTTTTTGAATTGATTTTTATTGTATGACATTTTCCTATTATTTGTATATTTGTTTTTGTGCTTTTTTGTTTTGCAAATGCTTTGTCGATGAAGCTATTTTGGCTTTTTGTACAATAAAGCGTTGTTTATTTTTAATGGCGTTTACTGTCAGTTGGCCTTAAGAAGGTTTATATTTATTTTTATATTGAGTAAAAATGATTTTTAAATAGTATAGTTAGTAATTAGAGAAAAAATATTTGTTTTTGGAAAAATATATGTATGGATCTGAAAACGTTCTATCCTTTTTAGGGTTCCGTACCCAAAGGGTAAAAACGGGAACCCTATTATTAAGACTTCGCTGTCCGTCCGTCCGTCTGTCACAAAGCTCTATCTTATGAACCGTTATATGTTGCCTCTATAAGAACAAATACTAAAAACAGAATTTAATAAATGTTTATAAATAAAACAGTCCTTTCACTAAACATTATCTTTTAAGTAAGAATTTTACATAGAATCTTTCAAGTCAATGGTGGCCGCGTGGTTAAAGCTTTAGGACTTTACGCTGCTATGACGTTGGAACCGTAGTAAGGCAGGTTCGAATCCTAGTCAATGCGATTTTTTTTAATCGTTTTTTTTTATTTTTTACATATTTATTTTTACTTTTTACATATTTATTATTGATCAATACAATTTTTAGTAATGTGTTTCTTCATTTTTTTTAAATTACTTATACGCGCATTCAAAATTTCGGCTAAATCGGAAAAAAAAAGTTTATAATAATATAGTTGTCTAATGTTGTATAGATAATGAATGGTACGGAACCCTTCGTGCGCGAGTCCGACTCGCACTTGACCAATTTTTTAATTTTTGACAAGTTTTATATCAATTTTTAGTAAATGACGTGTAGAGATTGACCTCGCCAAAATTATCATCTGTTGTCATTCGCCAGCCGTCTTTGACGCCGTTTTTTTTACGATCATACGGTATTCAACATCATTGTTCATTATGTTTACGTACATATATTTCAGCCAATAAAATTTGTATAACGAGTGAGAAGATTTCGACAGATGAAAACCAAAAAATAACAGAAAATACTGTATTTACTCGTAAATTAAAAAGACAGACAACTGTCAGTGACAGACCTTGGCTATTATCTCTTTAAATATTGTCGATCAAATCAATAAGTTGTATTTTAGTAGAATTTAAAATCAAAATTGTACCTGCGAACATGCCTCCCGCCATAACAAAGTCCGCCCCTGCGCCGAAAGCTTTGGCAACATCGCCCGGACACGTACAGCCTCCATCCTATTTGGAAATAAAAAAAAAATATAGTTGAATCAAGAATTATTCTATGTCACTTTGGATATTTTTAGTTGAATACAAAATTGGTCATTATCTATCCACTCTCCCCTACTTTTTTCAATCGTGCATATTAACAAATAATACCGAGTATATTTCAAAAGTGGCTCACCCCTGTAACTATTTTATTTTTTCAGATAACAAAACGAAATTTGGTATGTTAGTATAGGGGTCCGTCTCAAAAGTGGCTAACTCCTATAACTTTTTTATTTCTTCAGATAAAAAAACGAGATTTGGTATGTTAGTATATGACATAAATTAGGATTGATTGACGTATTCAATTGTTTTTGGCCACTTCCTGTTTCACCGGAAATGACTACAACTTTTGATTTTTAAACGGCACCCTCGGAATTTTTTTACTTTATTCGATAGAAAATGACACCCTGAATAGAATGTATTAGTTGGTTAGTTCAAACATATCATATATTTAAGCATAAATGTCAACTTTTTACATTTATTTTTGCTTATAAAAATAGTATTTTAAATTTCAATCTAGATTATTTCTTTACTCAAAATAGCGCAAAATTTTTATAAAATTTTAAAATAATTTAAAATACTAATCAACGTATCCGTGCATATATCTCAAAATAAATCAGATCTGTTTGATTTACTGGATTTATTCCGAGTTAATAGAGAACCACCCTGTATACTTACGGCGATTATGTGTCCTTGAAGTCCGTGAGCTGCATCGGCACACTCTATCACAGCGGAAAGTTGTGGATAACCCACTCCAGTTTTAATCCTAGTGGTACACACGGACCCTGGACCTATACCTACTTTGATAATGTCAGCACCTGACAGTATCAGTTCTTCTACCATTTCTCCTGTCACTACATTGCCTGCCTGACGAACACAAACAAAAATTAAAAAAATTATAGAAAAAACTGTAAGAGCAGGGCATCCATAAATTACGTGATGATTTTTTGAATGGAGGCCCCCTAATTTTTGCTTTATTTTATACTTACTATAATGGTGTGAGTTGGGAAGGAAGATCTAACTTTTCTTACATAGTCTACGAAATGTTGTGAGTACCCGTTTGCTACATCCAGACATATGAAAGTTAACTCCGGAACAGCGTTTAGTATTTCGGAAAGTCTGTAAAAAATAACTATGTTATTTGCTAAAATATAAGATAAAACAGATGCAGAAAAAAGTTATAAACCATCAAGAAATTTCAGGAGAATGAACCTGTGGCACTAAAAAGTTTTTTAACGGTGCATTGAAGCCTTGCAATGTTGCCATCGCTTTTACCCACATTCTGCATATACAGGGTTGTTCACCACATACGACACGGAGTATTGTAGCTAAACGATTAGATTTTTACAAATTGTAAGTTTTGGGTTCGTTGAAGGACTATTAGAGCTACAATTTAAAAATATTTTTACAAGATACAGAGTGTCCCAAATAAATTAGAGCGTTACTGGGTGCAATAACATTTAATACCTCAACTTTTCCAGATATTCAACTCTCCCGAAACAACATATTATAGCTTCAAAACTTCTCACACCGATTTGATCAAAAACAAAAATGGATTCAGACAGATTGACGAAACAAGCGCCCATTAGAGTGCCCTCCAAGCGCCCATTAGAGCGCCCACAAGTGCCCATTAGATAATCAAAAAATTAAATAGACTTATACTATGAGAGGATAAAATATAATTTGCAATATTAATGGTATACTTTTTTTAATCAACTAGTGATTAAATGTTTTACGAACAACTAAAATTATAATTATGTACCTTTAAAAAATTTCGTTATAGCCGAATTAGTCCCAAATATGACACCACTAGCAAAACCGGTGATTAAAACTATACTCGCTACTGTAGTTGAACTCATCTAAAAAGTTTTTTTAGCTGGGATAATAAATTACAATACAAGTTAGACCTTCTGAAGATATCAAAATATTTACTTTTTTATTTTATTTTTAGAATTTCCACGAATTATACTTCCTAACACATTTATATAATAGTTAAATACTAATTTTTTCGTATGCTCGCTATTTGAACCCGTGTATTTGTATATACTAGCTGTTTACGATATTCTCCGATGGTGGCAGCACCAGCGGAAAATGCGCCAAACCTATAAATACATCGCATATTCTACAGCCGTCGCTGTAAGAGGTGAAAAATGTAAAAGAAATATTTTGGCAACAATTTACAGACCTGAGGAAGTCATTTTCGGCCATTCCAGAACTGGCAGCTATGTTTTTCAACACGTCTGGATTTTGCTCAGCAAATTTTCGCCATTGGTCCACCGTGTAGTATTTGTGAATACACGTGAACAGTCCATGCTGAAAAGACAACAAAAAAATCGTTTATTCTACGATAAAACGTTGAATAAATATTAGAAAAAGTGTGCAATTTTATATAATGTTACATAAAATATTCAGGTTCTCTAAAGATATGTCTACACAAAACGGTTTACCTGTTCAGTCAAATCATATCGAGTAAAACATTCTGTGTAGACGAAAAAACTAATAAATATATAAACACAAACAATAAAAACGGATAGTTAATGATTATTACCAAACGATACTATTTCCACAATTAGCTTTGTGTATATTCAAAAAAAAATTAAACAATTTCATTGTTGTAAATTACACTTTGTGACCTAGTTTTTAAGCAAACTTGTTGCTATAAGTACAACACAAAAAATCATTACAACTAATAAAAACTGTTTATGCTTTGCTTTCTAAAGACAAGTTTTGCAATAGTTGATATTACATAAATAAAAGAATTTGGTTTTTCCTTCTTGGTACAATTTATTAGGAATGAGTTTAGTAAAGAGATGTTATTAAAGCTTTTTAAGCATATTTTTATGATATGACTCCATAAAAAGTATTGTAAATATAATATTAACACTTAAAAATGACTTAAAAAAAACGTATGTATATTTTACCTTTGACAGAGCTTTGGCCATCTCAAACGTGCCCACAGTGTCCATATTTGATGCCATCACAGGTATTCCATTATAATCTTGTTTAGAATTCCTAAAAGTAATGTGTCTGTGCAAATTTACCTGCAAAAAAACGAAAATATTATTACTTTAAATATTTTAATTTATATTTTATAGTTATTATCAATTATGCTTTTGAGAATTTGAGCAGTAGAATTCAATATAGATCTCTTACATGCTATATATATATATACCTATGATCGATAAAAAAACAGCGTCCAGTTGGCTGGGAAATGACGATCGATGACATTCCCCATATAAATTTACATATAAAATGAAAGCAATCTTCATTTCATAACAATCACTGACACCGTTTTTTTTATCATACGGTACTATATTAACATTAAATATAATTTTAAAAATTTTATTCAAATTTTTCGATTTTTATATTTTTAGAATCTAATTTTTATCATATTTTTATGAACACCCTGTAATATATTCATCATTTAATTATAAAAATTTAAATAAAATTGGTTCTCTTCTTAAAAAACAACACAAAGTCTCTACAAATGTAATTTATTACGTAAAATTGACAATACTCAAAGATGTGTAGTTAAACGTATATACAGAATATTATAAAATACCCTGTATATACATTATATATCATAATTTTCCTTAATTTGCAACGTGTAACAGTTACCCCAGCGTGTCCTGCAAATTTTAACGTCTATGACCCGCTTTAACGCGGAAGTTTATTTGAACTACTACAATAATGCGCGGTACATTTAACCTACTTTCTATTGTGAATTTTTTTTATCTTATCTATGATGACCCTCATCATCCGCTTAGGCTGATCCCAAATATATAAAAAATATATTCTTTTGTGCCTCTAAATACTTTTTTTCTGCTAAAAATAAACTAATTATATTTTAAATTAAATAAAAATACGAATATTCTTTTGTAAAAACATTACTTAATTAGAATTCACGTTATGTATGCGTCCTGTGTCAATAAAATAAAACAAATTGATTAATTCTGCTTAGAATTTATTAATAAACTATTTTGTTATCTTAAAAAATAGACACATGTAAATTACACAGATCAGCTGACTACAGTCTCGCGCTTATCAACGCAAACGATGATTAATTTACATTATAGTGCCGATAAAAAATACATTTTAAGATAGATTTATACAACAGAAAACTGGATAAATGCGGTAATCTCAATAAATTCCAGTAAAAATTGGTCTAGCTGATTAAAATAAATTGTTCGCGTCTCATCGGAAATATATTACTTAACGCAAGAAATCAATTTTAATAGGTTTCAATAAGAACCACAAACCTTGAACGCAAAATTATAGTTCAAGGATAAATAAATTTATTTTTATAATTATTGGTAAAGTCGCGTTGCTATTTTTGGGCTTTAAAACTATGCCCCGTTATCAGAGATCATCTTTTCCCCAAATAACCCCGTTAATAAATCAATAAACCCTACTTACATCGTTCCTACTGCGTAAAGTGGATCGTTTCGGCCTTAAAAGCACATCTTTGAAGTCCAGTTTGATTTCGTTGACGATGTTCGGCATTTCGGACGGTCTTTTTCAGTCACAATTCCCAAGAAAACCTAAATTGGCGTTAAAAATAGCACTCAGCTGACCGACGAGACAACTGCGGGCAAATCTGGGCGACTACGGCGCGTTAAAATGAGGAAATCCATTTTGAATCGGGCAAATTTCGCGCGCAGACGCTTTAAAAAGCCAATATTTTAATTCTCACCATTTCGAAAAGAAGAATCTAGCAGCTGCGGATGGTTAATAAAAAAAGAAGAGTTATTAGTTTCGCACCTTTATTAAAAAAAAGAAGAGTTTTACTTATTAACCTCAAAACTTTTAATCGAAGTTATTTTTTCGACAAAATGAGGATTTTTTCTGCGTTAATGTTAAAAAGGAACGTCCGTCAGGACAATGTACCTTTTCAAGACATACTCCCGTTAAAACTGAAGAAGAGGGTATCAGGAAAAGCCACCAAAGGATCCGAAGTATGCTGTTTGCACGAAATGTCCATCCTCTTTGCTTGTTTTAAGGCGAACGATTTTAACCAGAGTATGTGCTCCAAAGAAATCGAATCTTTCCAGAAATGCTACACGAAATTCTCCAGCGACAGGGATAAGCAACGTGCCAGAGACGCCCAAAAGTTTTTAACACCTGGCGAGAAGAATTTGACCTCCAAACAATTAAATATACTGTTAAAAAGGTATCCTGACGCATAGAATTAGTATTTATCCTGTAAATAAACTGTAGAATTACTTAATATATACTTTTATTTAGTCACAAATATCGTGGTTTATAATACAATCAATCAACCATTTTGAGGTACGATGCTGTAACTCTGGCATATTGTACTTCAAGTCTGGAACATTATTTTCAGCATAAATAATAAAATTACAACACCAATAAGCCTTGGAGGATTTAGAAGCAAAGAAAGGATGTACTTGATCACTCTCGCAAGTTCTCAAGGCAGGGGCTCGATGTAGCACATGTCCGTCACCCGCCTTGATTAATTTGGTCAAATATTCTTTGTCAACTTTCAAATGGTACACTTGAACAGGCGTTAGATGATCTTCAATGAAGAAATTGACACCTTCAAATAATTTGGGATGCCTTAAACATGTACTAATCATAGATTTTCGGATTCCTCTATTAAGATCATCGTTTCCAGTTAAAAAAACATAATTCGGAATATCCAGAAAGTAGTTTCCATCAATAAAATCATCAATTGATTCTTGTGTAATGAATTGCAGGCCTTCTAGCATTGCTTGGAGAATTTTAAATGATACTTTATGAGTTTTTTTAATTGCAATATGCGTAATTTTTTTGATCGGGTCCATTTTATTTACTAAAGTTATTTTTTTAGACCCTACCAGCTTGTTTTTATATTCTTCATCGATACTGTGGGCATATACATGTATATTACTAGGCAAATATACTTCGTACAGTACATTTATAGGGCTGTCGTTGTAGGATTCTAAGACTTCTTTAACTTCATCTTTTGTAGTACAGTTTGCTGGTTTCAGTCCACTGTATTCGACCATATCTCTATCAGCTCCATATTTAAGAAGCAGTTTAACCAAATCAATTTTATCCAATGACGCTGCTTTGTGTAAAGGTGTTGCATAATCTGAGCCAGGAATGTTTATAAGACAACCATTTTTAAGTAAAAATTCAACAACCTCAACATTTCCACTTTGTATAGCTTCATGCTGCAAGATATTACAGTATTATTTAATTATAACTAGTAGTCATACCTACCAATGGTGTCCAGCCAGCATAATCTTTTGCATTTATGTCTATTTTCTGTTTCAAAAGATTCTGTATTTCATTCAACTTAAATTTCTTACAAGCCAAATGCAACTTGGTTTCACCTTTTGAATTTTTCTTAATGGAGAATATATCTGTATAATTCACGTGATACTGCTTCCCGTTATGTTCAAATATATTATTGTCATGTTTAGATACATGTGTAGTTTTTTCGGGCAAGTTTTTTGCATTTGCTATATTTTGGTCTGATTTTTTTGGTTTAACGTTACTTTTCTGAATGTTTTGAAGAAGTTCACGTAAGTCTTTAAGTGGTTCTTCAGTCTGTCTTGCCACATTTTCAGTTTTAACATCTTGGGGCCCAAAAAATCCTTTACATTGAGGACATCTACTCCTTCCAGTGTAATTCTTGATGCATTTCTCGCAAAAATAGTGTCCGCACATGATAATACGAATAGGATTTTTGCATTTCTCGTTACACAACGTACAAGCAAGAGATTCGTCAAGATTTTTTAATAATTGCAATATTTTTTCGGAAATATCCATTATTATTTACTATTTAAACATTTAACCTCAATTTTTTCGGATTTGGCGCTCGCATGAAGTTAGCCACCAATTACTCCTGTGAAATGTAGTTAAAATGTTTAAGAAAATCATGTAATCTATGGTTCCAGGTTCAAGGATACAAAATTTAATTTTTGGAAAATATTTGTTTATTTTTAAAAATTACGAAAGCATAATACATTATTTTAACTCCTAACAAAAGAAATAATATATAAATGAATTTTTACAACATTGAATCTAAATAAAAGTAAGTTTTTAATTGTTTATGTGGCCTTGTCCTTTGGATACATCGCTAATACACTGCCAAACACCTTCAGTGTTCTGGGACCAAAGCGTTATCTTATTATCACCCCCTGAGACAGCCAGAATATTTCCATTCAAAGACCAACTGACGTTCCAAACTACATCATCAAACAAATGCAATATCGTAGAGTTCCATGTAATACAATCGTTTGATGTCCATATTACAACTCTTCTGTCTTGTGAACAGGAGGCTATAGTATGACGGCTCAGGCCTACAGAGGGAGACCAGGCAACATCACGCACCCAGTCTGAATGAACCTAGAAAATAATCATTAAAAATATCAAGAATATTTCAAGAAAACGATAATCAAACCTCCAATTTGTTTTCTTCGACCCATCGATCACCATCTTCCCTCCAAATTTTAACTAAGTTATCACAACCACCTGAAACAAGCCTTCTAACAAGGGGCTGTTGTTCATTTTCGTTGCCGTTAAACAGAGGGGTTGTTGCAGGAGCCCAACTAACTGAATTACATCCAATAGCGTGGGCGTTTTGGATTTTTTTAGCATCCCATGTATTTGTCTCGGGAGTGTAGGTTAAAATTGAAATAGAGCCATCACTACTGCCTAAAATTGATTTGTTTAAAAGAGATTTGTGAGAATATGTTAGATACTTACCGCAAGCTAAAATTAGGCCTAGTTCTGAGGGCGCAAACTGTACAGAATTGACGCTGGAATCGTGATTGGAGTACTCATAGTATTTGCCCCATTTTCTGTTGGTCTCCTTCCATATTATGACTTTGCGGTCGTAAGAACAGGAAGCTAACAAGTTACCGAACTTGGGGTGACTCCAGGCGATCTGCCAAACGGGTCCAAAGTGCCCTTTAAGCTCATCTAATAAGGTGGAGGCCCCGTTTTTGATATCGTAAACTTTGACGCTGTTATCCGACGAACAGGTGGCTAATTTGAGGCCGTAGTAATCCACCTCGGCGTCGTGGATCATGTCCTCGTGACCCGTATCCACGGAATTTATTATTGACACCATTTTCAGAGGTTTTTCTTAAAAATTATAAACAATATACAAGACAGACGTTAGGAATAAGGTTAGGATTTCAAGGTGACGTGTACAGATTTGACATTACAAAGACTGCGTTCTTGACTTATTCAAAATAAAGGCTTATTTTTAGTTTTTCTTTGAATATTAGCTACTTAGTAATAATCCTAAATTATTCTGAATAAAACTGAGGCCTTTTAGCGAAGAAACAACTTAAAAAATTAGCTAATAATCCTTAAAAAACATTTATTTGTTTGTATTGCATAATCCTAGAACACAGTAGTGCAGTAGATAATTTAAAATAGAAAAAGTAATTTAAAATAATATAGACATAAATTTTGTAAGATACTTTTAAATATGTTTTTTTAGATGCATTTCTTGTATTGTTTAGGGTATTGCAACAATTATAAATTAATTATATTCTTCAATTTTTTAATTTAAAATTACGTCGGGCTTTGACAGATCGCCAAAATAATCTGTGGTCAAATATCAATTTTCAATATGGCTGTTTTGTTTGTCATTATTCTTCGCGATCCAAAAACTTGAGCGATATTTAAAGGGCCAGTAACATAGAATCCGCAAAAAATCAGTTAAACTGCAATGAAAGAGTCCTGATCGAGGCTCGGACTGATCAAACATGTGCGAAGTATGCGCGGATTTTGTGCAATTGCTTGTTTCTTGTAAGTCTACCGAAATTTAAAGATCCAACAACATATACATACGTTTTATCTATCGTATTTTTATACATACAAAACTTCTTACTGCTTTTAGACGAGGCACAAGTCTGTAGAGAGACGACGGAACAACCCACTTTAACCAAGGATGATGTGGATACAACTTTTGTGTACGTCCAGACATGGCCAGCAAGGTAACATCTTTATTTTCTACACTTCTTTGATAATCATGACAAAAATACGTGTTTATTTTAGACAGTGCATGTGTTGCTACAGAGATCCCAAGAATCTGGAAAGATTCAGCTACTTAACACAGGGTCTAATTTTTATGGCAGTATCCCAGTTAAAACAGTTAGTAGATAAATGCTCTGAATCCGAGAATAATGGAGATAAAAAGGAAGAACTGGTTAAAAAAGCCCCAGAAAAGCCAAAAGAAGGTGAAAAGGAAGGCCAGCAGAACCAGGAAGATGAGAAAGAGAATGCTGAAGTGATAGAACGCGATAAACTTCTTATTTTAGTTTCAAAAATTTTCTTATTGAATTTTCCTCTGTATGTAGCCTTTAAGCATACTATTCAGTCGAAGGTGGATGATTTGACACAGCAAGAGATGGCGAATTTGAACTTGTTTTGTGACCTGCACGATTCAGAAATACCAATTTATTTATTAAAGAATGTCAGTTGGTTTTGTAAAATAGGAGGTTTACTGGCAATGACGAATTGCTTTACGCATCTATCTCCAGAAATGCTGCCAGTTTCCACTGCCCATGCAATGATTTCTGTTGGTGAGATGATATTTTTTATTGATCTTGAATTAAACATATTAATACCATTAAAAAAATTATTCTAGTTTGTAATTTAAAATTGTGGATGAACTATAAGAGTATGGTGACAATGTTAGTACCTTTAAGATCGTGTGTTTTAAGATATATGTGTAAGTTGTCAGACCAAGATCTAAGAACACCTACAATTAAGAGTATGGCAGGTACTGTATTCTACATAATCTTGTGTGAGTTTTTTAAAAATGTTTTTAAACAATTTTTTAGAGTTCATGTGGAATGCTATTAAAGATCCTTTAGACTCTCCAGTGGCATTTGATCTTGACGGTTTGGATTTGGCATTCAAGTATTTCACATCCAGTACTTTAACAATGAGGTTCATGATTTTTTTAAGTTACCACAAAAAAGTTTGCAACAAATTGGGTATATTTGTTCTTATTGAGCACTGAATTTTATTTTATAATTAATTTTATGCAAGGTGTACAAATCTGGAAAGACATTGACACATGCATTTAAATTATTGCTTAGATTATTGTGAATTTATACATGTTTGTTTGAACTACTTGGATGTTTCTCGGGCTTTTCTGATGATATTTTATGTTATTTCTTGTTTATTTTTTAATTGGTTTTATGCAAAGTATGTAAATCTGGAAAGATATTGTGTCAGGATTTTAATTATAAAGAGATTAATTGTGAATCTGTTCATATGTGTAGGTTTGAACTATTTGTGTAAAGTTAAAAGAGAAATAACGTTGGGTTTTTATTAGCTTAAAATCACTGAATATAGAGACTTATCAAGGAGTCTTATACTATTTTAATATGCGCGCATTAGAAATAGGATCGGCGGCAGGAAATGCCACACAATTTTTTTACAGTAACAGTCAATTTTGACAGTTTTACTTGGCACGTTCCAATTTGATTTGAATTTCTGCAGATTTAGAGGTTTTTTTCTGAGATTATATATAGAGAGATATATATTTTTCCTAAGCATTTACGTCTTTGTTTGGAAATATTTTTAGGCTCCGACTACTAGCGTGACGTCAGACGTAGGCAGTGTATTGTTTCAATATATTTTTTATGCTCAATAACTCAATGAAAAAATCCACTTTTTTGCAAACTTTGTAGAGATTACTATAAAAAAACAACGTTTTTATTTAAATATTTTTTTAGACTGGCTGGAATTACACAGATAAACAACCAGATAGGCGTTTTAGCTGAAATATGCGTCGGAGAAACCCTCCCTGACGCCGAAGCTGTCCCAAGACACATGGCAGACTGGCTCATAAACAACAATATAATTTCCCACATTTTCGGCCCCAATCTCCACGTGGAAGTGATCAAACAGAGCCACATCATCTTGAATTTCTTGGCCATGGAGGGTAGAATCACTTGCGAGCATATGGACGTTATCTGGGCAGCTGCGCAGCTGAAACACTGCGCAAAACCCGTGCACGACTTGCTTCCAGGTCTTGTTAAACACCTTGCAGCTGCTCCGACGTTGCACTTGTACAATTTGCTGACGAAATTGGAGCCGAAAGAACATACGGAACAGACCCTCTACCTGGCCAGTGCTTTGATCAAGTCTGTGTGGTCAAGAGGTACGAGTAGTTCAAATGACTGGAATACGTTAATTTTAACTATTTTTGTTTATATAGGAGGGGCTGCTCCAGAGGTGGGACTGATCAATGTAGCGGCGTCTAGTGCTGGAATTACGCTGCATAAATGTACAGCTACATCGTCAGAAAATAGGTTAGTGCTATACAGTTATAAACCTATTAATATTGCTACAATAATATAATATTGGTACATATTAATGGTACATTCGAAATACTGTTAATTAGCGTCGGCATATTTGAACTACTCTTACTGTTGTTCGGTACATTTTAACTATTCTTAATTTGGGTCCGTTACATTCAAAATACCTTTGAATAAAAAGATTAAGGAGGGGGTATAATGCTATCCATGTATTCATGCATGATAGATGTAGATGGGGACCTAGAATGGGAATCCCTGATAGTTCTGTTTGATGATTCATTTGAATTTGATTTGAAATTCTGGGGATTTGTTTGTTTTCACTGAGCTTATTTTATGTTATTTATTATTTATTCTACAACTGGTAGTTGTTTAGAGGTAGTAAATTTAGACGATTTTTTTTGTGTCTGAATTTAAATTAACAGTGACACTATTGCGATTTATCGAAAAAGACTGTAATATAGTTAGTTGTGTAGTAATAACTTTCCACTATTAAGTGACTATCAATCATTTATGAAATTCTCTTAGAATTAACTCACAAAACATCCCCCTTTAGAACTTTTTCTTTTTATGGCCATAAGCGGGAGTAAAAGACCAACCGCCCGAATAAACACTAGAGGCGCCACCGGTCATCAAATGGTGTAAAAATTGCGATCTAATTTTGATACAAGGGGTCGCGCTTAACTTTTTCAATTTTAATTCAATATTCATTGTTTTCAAACTATATTATTAGACTTTGTTGTATTTTGTGAATGTATAAATGTTTTCTTAGTATAATGTAGTTGTAAAAAGTTGCATTATAGTAATTTAAATTATATTACATACATATTTAAGATTAAAATGTTATGACACATATGTCAGTTGTAAATCATGTTAAAATGTTAAAATTTACAAGTTATAATTAGATATTTTATATTATTTCAACAACAAACACATAATAGTACAGCGTAATGTTGATATACAGGTCCAAAACAAAAAGTGCCGTTATATTTTTCAGTTTTCGTTGTCAGCCCCGGAAGTTTCAGTGATTTTAATGTTGTCGGATATTTTTATTTGTGAAATAGAAATATTGCGTTAGGATTACAAAACTAAAAGTGGAAGTTTTATTCCAATGTAAGTAAGCGTTTGTCCATTTTATATTTTACTTTTTTCATACCTACGACAAATATACATATATTGAAATTTGATAATTCGTTTTATTTAAAAAATATTAGAAAACAAGCTTGTAATCCTGTAATTGACATATTTGTTATGTAATATATTCCATTTAAATGTAATATATTACTTTTCAATTAAAAAAATGTAAAATTTGAAAAATATATTAAAAATATATACAGGCATTAATTAAAATTTTTTGAGTGCGAACAAACACGAGAGGCGCTTTATTATTTACTTTCATTTCTTAACATGATAGACGAAGTTCTAAAGGGGTATGTTTTGTGAATTAACTAATTTTTTTTTCTTGCATTTTCGCTTTTATTTACTAATTGCCAAAATAATTAGGATATGTCAATTTGACTGACGTGCTTCAGTAGCGTATCTTCTCGCATATCTGATGTACGTGTTATTACATAATTATTATTACTTGTAATCTTCCTTGCTCTTTTTATTCAAAGGAAATACAGTTAATTTAGGTTCGGTGTATTTGAACTACCGTTGCTGTTCTTCGGTACATTTGAACTACTTTTAATATAGGACATGCATGTAAATAACTAAGTGGTTTTTAAACGTTTTAAACTTGATTAGTGTTTCTTTGGACGCCAGTAACTCGGAAGAGGAGCACGGCGACAGCACGGGGCACTCGGAAAGCCACAAATCGGACAGCGAGGAAATCGACGCCGTCGAAATAGAGGAGGAAGACCACGGTCAGATTGTTGTCGATAACAGTGGGCCCCCTCCATGCAAGCTAGCACGGTATTCGTAATCGTTTCTACAATATTTTGACTTTTTAATTGTTTTTCTAAGTTGAAAATTCGTTTTTTAGCAAGCAGTTGATCGAAAGGGTTCATTGTCAGGGCACCAATAGTAGTACCGACACGGAGATCGATGGAGTACCGCTGAAGACGTCACCGACTCCAGAGAAAATGAAGTGGCCTCAGGCAGTCAAGAGTAAAAGCGACAGAAAAGCTCATGTCAGGAAGAAAATACTGTCTGCTATAAATGTTATGCCCGAGGGAGTGGAGAATATCGCTTCTAGTAGTAGTCAAGACGAGGCTGATACAGAGGACAGTCCTACCAAGATGAGAAAAAGGTAAAATAAAAGGTTTTGCAGCCTGACTTTTTTTAGTGATTTAGATTATTGGTCAGAGCTGTGTATTTCACATTTTTTACCAATTTTTGTCAATCCTAAAATGATTATTAAAATAACAGTTCCTCCATTAGTCAACATCTTAGATAAATAATATACAGGGTGTCCCAGAAATAAGTGCAAATATTTTAAGGGGTTTTAGATCTGGCCAAAAGAAACATTTTTTCTCTTTACCGTTTTTCAAATAAATCCAAAATAACTGAGTTATTTTACTTTGAAAATTTCCAAAAAAAATCATTTTTTGCTAAAATTTTGATTTTTTCCGGATTTTCTTTCATGTAAATTTAAGTCACTAACCTATGTTGCCATATTATCAAGAAATTATGTTTTTTAACTTAAAATTTAAAAAAATTCCAAAATTTTTTTCAAAAAAATCCAAATTTTCAAATTTTTTTTTTACAAAAAATACCTCATGGGCGTGTTTCTGAGGCCGAAATATACTACCAGTCAAAATATTTGCACTTATTTTTGGGACACCCTGTATATGAATAGACTAAACTTTCTGTACAAAAATAAGGTACCTAAGTTATATGAACCAAGTGTACGCAGAAAAAAGCTATTTTATCATTTATTTAAAAAAAAAAAATATGCCCTTAAGTGATGTCAGTTTTTATCGTATGGGTTACAAAATGCGCCTCGAAAAAATCGTGTCTATGATTTATATGGTCTAATGTTCTTGGTATGTTCTTAAAGCTCTTTTATTTAATTTGATTGATAAGGATACTGGTTTATTATTGAATAAAGACTAAATAAGACTATTACTACGCCCTGAAGTGACATCATTTTTTATTATGTTGGTTACAAAATAATGTCTTGAAAAAGTGTGTCTATTACAGATTCAGTGTGTCTTCAGAAGATTCTTGGTATGTTCTTTAGGCTCTTTTATTTAATTTAATTAACAATTTACTGGTTTATATCGCGTAAAAATTAAATAAGACCAATACAATGTCATGAAGTAGTGTCAGTTTTTCTCATGTTGGTTACAAAATATATCTCAGAAAATTGTATCTGTGTTTTCTATAATCTAAGGTTCCCAGTTTGTTCTTTAGATTTTTTTCTTTAATTTAAAAACCAAGTAAGACTAATACTATGCCCTGAAATGACGTCATTTTTATCATGTTTACGAAATATGTATCGAAAAATCGCGTCTATGTTTTATATGGTCTAAGGTTCCTAGTAGAGAAATAAACAAACGGTTTGTTTACTTCTAGCTTGTAATATGTTGGGTCAAAACAAATCAGTGTACATGTTTAGTCTATTTTTTATCAACGCCTATGACGGAATCTGGTCTATGTATCCTCTTACTGGGCAGAATATATTTCAATTGTGCCACAGTTTCTTGACAAGTTTTTCAAACATTTTTCTTTTTTTTTTAGGAGAAAATTTTTGAGGAAAGCTAGAGTAAAACGACAAAAAGGCAACAACCACAAACGAGCCATGGGGCGTTTGACAGGCATAGAAACACTAAGCGAAGTTGAAGTAGACAGTGACCACGAAATCAAAGCGCTAAAGAGCCACTCAACTCAGGAAGGCATCATGTTGCCGGCCGAAATAAACACTTTGGTTAGTTTTGTACCAGATTTTACTATATTTTTTTATTATAATTGTTTTTTTTAAATGGTGAAAAATAGGTGCAGACTAGTTTAAAACCAAACATATACTTGGAGGAAAGTTCTTCATGCAGTGAGCTGGGTAAAGAAGAACACATGGCACAGGCTGCAGCTTGCGGTAACTACATCACTCTTCATTCTACTGGAGGACATATTTTGGAGATGCTTAGTGGCGAAGAGGCTGAAATAGAAGGTAATTTATTGCTTAAGAACGTGATTTGGGTGATATCGCAGAATATGTACAGTTTTTTTTAATTCAGGATTTTTAAAAGTATTTTTTAAAGCATTTTATTGGTCATGAAATTGCTCAATTCTCTAATAAAAAATCAGATTTGTTGTGGACTTTTGGCACGCCCTGTAGATTTTATTCTTTTTGGATTCTACATACAAATAGCATATTGTTTTATTAGGAGTAAAAAATGACACTTTTCCTGGCGAGGCTGTACGTTTGACATACAGGAGTCATTTTTACTCCGAATGGAACATGCTATTTTTTTTCAAACGCCACAAATAATTTTTAAACAATTTCAAACTTTTCAAATAATATAAAAAGATTTAAAAGTAATACCTTGTATTGTTGAATTTGACACTTTATGTCAGTTTAATAATGATCGAAAAAAAAACGATGTCAGAGTTGGCATGGAATGGAGATCGCTGTCATTTTCCATCGAATGTCATCGATTGTTATTTCGAAAGCAAATTAACGTCGTTTTTTATTTAATTATACTGTATTTTGGTTTAGGTGATGCTGAGGGTAGTTATTCCTCTCGGATGAGTAACAAATCCGAAAAAAACATGGCGGACTTTGACGGAGAAGACTCTGTATGTGAGGAGGAGTTAGCCCAACTTACTGAGAATCATCCTAACCTCAATCTCCACATAATAGCACACACTCCCGAAAAAGTACGTTTGGTTCATTTGAACTACCCATTGAAAACTGACTATTTCTGACTATTTTAAATTTCTTTTCTAGTCTCCTTCAGTAAGAATGATCGATCCACGGTTGTCAGCTTGTTTTAAACCTGACAACGTGTGTCAACCTGGCAACACTCTTCTCTGGGATCTACTACAAGATGACAAAATCTGTCAACTCGGTGAAGGTTTGGCAGTGGAAGCAGAAAAAACGTTATGCAACCTGATTTGCTTTATGCCAGATAAGGAAATCAGAATGAAATTTATTGAAGGTAGTTAATTTTTTTATACAATATTATTTTTATATGTTTAATTATATTGTTTTTTTTCAGGATGTTTAAACAACCTTGCCAACAACGTTTCAGTGATAGTTTCCTTGAGGATGTTGCCAAAACTGTTGACATCTTTCAGGGGTTTAGAGATGCATCACGTGACTTCTTGGGCCGAACGTCAGCATCACATGATGACTCATTTCTTTAATAATCTCAAAGGTTTTATTGAATATTTAATTAAATGTATTTTTATGCGTATATTTCTTAATTTTTTTTAGCATACACTGCCAATCCTGAAAAATCTATACCATTGTACAGTCATCAGATGCAAGTGCAAGTTAGGCTGCATTTTTTATCAGCCGTTTTTTCGCCTATGGTGTCGCCAAATAATTTTAAGTAAGCTGTATAAATTATTTTTATATATACAGAGTTATTCACCTCATTCCACACAGAGTATTGTAGCCACACAATTAGATTTTCAGAAATTGTGAGTGATGGGATCGATGGAGGACTACTAAAGTTATAATTTAAAATTATCTTTAAAAAGTACAGAGTGTCCCAAATAAATAAAAAATATCAAGGTGTATTTTTTTAAATGGAACACTCTGTATACTATTACATTTTTAGTTTCTGCGATTAAAATAAAGATAAATTTGATTAAGTTCCTTTTTTTTTACATTTCTCTAGGCGTATTTAAGTTTTTAAAATCAAGTATCGTACAGAAGTTTTTCTATTTACTAAATTTTGTGTTGCAATAATAAAAATAATACTACCTTATGCAGAGTGCTTAAAAATTTATATTAAATAATTACTAGCTTTAAACGGCAATATCTTGTTTAATTTAAATGGAACATCCTGTGTATTTTACTTGAATCAGATGCACAATTTAATTGTCTATCAAATTGTATTAAACCATTTCTTACCTATCTTTTCAAGTTTTCGTAGAAAATGCATTTTCTTATAATTTAGACCTCATTTATAAATATACCCATGAAATCAAGACTCTAAACTTTCAAGACCTTATTTAGCTTCAATTCTACTAAAATTACATTTCAAAATTGCACTGCAAAATACTATATTTCTTTCAGGTTAAGTATAGACCAAGTAGACACTTTGTGGCAGTGTCTAGCCCACGATCCCGAGTGTTCAGACGAACTATTCAGCTGGCTTCTGTCCCAAACCAAGACAAACGAACTACACGCCTTAAGAGTGGACGCCTTGAGAAGACTCTACCTTCATCATCTCCCTAGTTTACCTCCAGCGAAGTTCAGCATGATCTGCCTGAGTCTGTTTCAGCATCTTTGCAGCCTGCATCACTTGATGACAGCAAATATGGATACTGATGACGGGGATAAAGAGAACAGAAACGTTGGAATGGATCACATGTGGAAAATAGCTCTAAGGGCTAATAATACAGGTGAAATACGTCGAGTAGTTCAAATGTATTCAAGAAAAAAATGTAATATATTTTTACAGATGTCAGTATGGCAGCTATCCAGTACATAAACAGCTTTTATATGGGTCAGAACCTTCAAAATGAAAGTCAGTTCGTGGATCAGTGCATGACGCATTTAAAAGAAGCATCGGAAGATCTACTTTCAAATCACGGCACTGAGGAAAGTTCTTTGTTGTGTATACAGAGGGCGCTTTTGTTGATGAAGACGCACATCGAAACATTCAGACGAAGGTATGTTTGGTATTTTTCAATTGTATGGTATTTTGGCGTCATTTCGGTGCTAAAAAATGTACCCTTGTTATTCAATATGATTTATTTGAACTACTTGCTTTTTTTAACCTATAAAGATACGCTTATCATCTGAGAAAATGGGCTTTGGAAGGCAAAGGTATTGAAAGTCATTCTGCAGCCATAGGTGAAAGATCGAGTACACCAATCAGAATCGTGGTACAGTCTGGTAGCTGTTCTGAGCGGTGTATCTTAGAAATGATGGTTTCAGGTACATACAGAGTGTCCCAAAAAGAGTTATGTATTTTTTATTGTTTTTTTTTTGTGGTTTATAGACTATGTAGCTGACTTGAGGGCTGAAATAGTAAAATGGTGGGAAGGTATCCAGAAAATTAAGGCACAGGAAGAGGGTATGGATGGTGGAACAAGTGGATCAACTGGAAAACGGCCGGATACATGGATACGGATAATTACTCAAGGTAATGAAGGATTAAATTAAAAAATCTGAACGATTGAATTTATTATATAGGGTGAGTCTTAAATAAGTGCAAATATTTTTAGGGTTAGTAAAATTCGACTCAGGAAACACGTCTATGAGGGTTTTTCGCGAATTTTTTTTAATTTTTAGTTAAATTTTATTCTAGTTTGGTTTTGTATTTTGACATATTTTTCAGGCCAGGAACTGTCTATAGAGTGTGACGAAAAAACTCTGCAAGAAATGGGTTTTAAAGATAACCAAATCACGTACATCTCCGTGGGTATGTCCAGGAATATGAAGAAACGGGAATTTTTGGATGCTCCTTCAATGCAAGCTGCGCCACCCAGAGACTGCCTTCCCGCTTTGTTATTGTTGCAGCCAAACTACTTTGAACAGTTGTTCTTGCTAATGCATACCCTGAGTTCCATGAAGATCATAGTGAAAGGTATGGTATATACAGGGTGTTTTATTATAATTATTTATTTATCAAGGGGATTATAAGGGTGTAAATTACGGAGATTTTTTCTTCTTTTCTACAGGGGGTAGAGTAATTCCTCACACGAAAGCCCAGGTTCTTAGCAGACGCGTCTGGGACATTTTGAGCCTGATGCCCACCAGTCCCAAACTACTTCAAGGTTTCCAACGGCTCGACATTCCTCTCCCCGAGCTCCTGGACCCGTCCAGCGCTCAGAAACTTATGTATTCCCTGTATATCGTCGAATCTCTGTCCGTTAGAAACCAGGCTAAGTATGGGGATGACGAGGAAGAGTCTTGGACCAGGAAGTTCATAGAATGTGGAGGTTTGAGGCACTTGTATGACGTATTTATGTCAGGTGAGTCTTTTTATAAATTACTCTTAGGTTATGTTAACTTTTTAGACGTTCTGTATAGTCTTTAAGTTGAGATTTTTTTTTGAAGGCTATGTTTTAAATAAATTTAGATATGTCTGCAAACTTCTTCATTTTTGATTTGATAGTCGCTTCAATGGCTACTGCGACGCGTTTTTTTAGATTGTTTCGTATTTTACTATTGTTCAAATGAACTACTTTTCAAAGGAGTGCTTCAACGAGAGAATGCATTGTAGTGACAGTTGTTTTCTGTCATTGTAATTCAAATTACATTGATAGACTATGTAGATTATATTTTCTGATATTTTTTGGACGTCATCTGTCAAAACTATTTTTTTTAAATAGACTTGTGTATTTTTTCTCCAAATTGAAGTTATTTTTGATAACTTTTTCATATCAATTTTAAATAAACGAGATACGGGATTCTAAGGGGCTAGTTCCGTTCAAAAATTATCCTCTGTTGTCCTTAGAGTGGCTACTATGAAAACGTTTTTTTCTCGATTATAACGATATATTTTACTATTGTTCAAATGAACTACTTTCTTCTAAAGGAGTGCTTCAACGTGACGGTGGAGATGGTAGCGACTGGCAACAAGACTGCCTGGCCTCTTTACTGAAACTTTTGTGCCACCTTGGCGTGGATCCACTGCCTCAAGAAGCCAGACCGTCCAGGAACGACAAGATCATCATTCCAAGCCTGAACGAAGCAATGCTTTCCATGGTGGACGTTAAAACCACCATGCCCAAGCTTACAAGCATCCTGAAAGAAGCATCGATGCCTAAGGATCCAAATCATTATAAAACTGGCTTTTGGGGAAGAGCACAGGTAGGCAAAGAATTTTTATTTCACCTATATTACTTAATATATTAAAAATAACCGTCTGTCTTGTTTCTCTATGCAATAATTTAATTGGGTTGTCATTAATTGTGGGACTATTTAATATATAATGGGTTGCTAGACTGGAACTTTGCTGGAGATTATTAATAAATAGATTTTATATGTTCTTTAATTCTTACATGTATCTAAATTTCTACCTGTTTAGCCTATGTATATACATCTAGTTCTATATGATTATTAGAAAATTCTCTTAGGTTGTTCACTATGCTATGGCTCTTTTGGTATCATGGCTACACTGTAGCGAAGAAGCTAGACAAAGGCTTTTTGAGTCAGAGGATTTCTCGATTTGGTTGCAGAGGTAACATAACCATTTCCTCAAAAAAATCCTCAAAAATAACCCTGGGGTTTTTTTTATAATTTTTAGGTTAGTTTTGGAAGATCCAGAACCAGCTGTACGTCGTGAAGTATGCTCAGCCATCTACCGGCTTTGTTTGGGTATTTCAGAGAACGGCGAACCAATGGAAAGCAATTTGGTGGCTCCGATGTTGGCTCAGTTGCTCATTTATTTAGATAAAGCCGAAAGTATGAGGCCTCAAAAGTTCGAAACTATGCAACCACCTGAAGAGGGCAAGGAACCTTATGGGCCGGCTTGTAGGGACTATTTTTGGCTGGTGTCTAGGTAAAGTATTGTATTTTTTGAGCTAACATATTCCAAAGAGATGTAAACAAACCGTTTTTGTTTAATAAAATCTAGGGCTTGGTCTCGCGAAAATTATTATCGATAGTCATTCCCCAGCTTTTGACGCAGTTTTTTTTTTCGAGCGTATGGTTTTATGCCAGATTTTTATCTTGAAGGTTTATTTGAACTACTACAGTGGCTACCAAAATATTTTCTAGTTTTATCGATTTCAAATTATTTTTTGTAACTCCTGTTTTTATATACTTTTGTGACCTTTTTTAATAGTGATTGTTTAAAATTTCGTACTGATTCTTACTGTTTTATTCATTTTTTAGGTTGGTAGACAGTCTTTCGGATGATTTAGTCAAAGAAAGCATAGAAGAGCCTCAGAATTGCGTGATTGATATCAACGAATTGACGTCAAAAATCGCCCAGTCTGTTTTGACAAGGGATTTTTTGGAAACACGTCATAGAACGGTTGAAGACGATGGTTTAATAGGACTACTCAACCTTCTAACTAATTTGTTGAAGCATAGACCACCGTTTCAGACTGGTAAAGGAGGACAAGAATTGTTAACTGAGGTAAAAAGATTTTTTTATGTTTTTTGGTTTGGTTTGGTTTGGTTGGAGTTTGACCCTTAAAGCACACTCATAAGATTTTTTACGAAAAAAAATTAAAAATCTAATGTTTCTTGATATTTTTATGGTAATTAAAAATGGTAATTAAATAAAAAATACCGTTATCTGGCAGCATGATATTTCTATATATCTATATATATATTCTATATATCTACGGCGGCGGTATATTTTTTTATATTTAGGAACAACAGCCACATACTTGAAAAAATTACGTTGTTTGGCGGTATTCATGTTACTAAATATGTAAAATCGTGTAACGGCGGTATTTGTGGGTTGTTTATACCGCCGGCAATTTTGCCACTTTGCATAAAAAATACAAAATAAAACAAAAAACAATGTAAATATATTTTTTTGTCCAGATCTACCACACTTATAGATCTCTGTACTCGTATTCCTTGAATTAAACCTGTTTTTTCTTTATTTCTTCAAGGTTTTCGAGTTCTTATTCGCCCTACCCAACCCAAAACTGCGCCACGTCCCCAAATGCAAATCCCCAAGGTCACGCACTGCAGCCTTCGACCTTTTGGTCGAACTAGTCAAGGGATCCCCCGAAAACTACGCCATCCTCCACGAAAAACTCCTTAAACAGCACCAGCCAGGCCCCAATTCACCATATCCCTGGGACTACTGGCCCCACGAGGACGGCAGATCAGAGTGCGGTTACGTCGGACTGACAAACTTGGGTGCCACGTGCTACATGGCCTCTTGCATGCAGCACTTGTACATGATGCCTCAGGCGAGGGCTTCTATACTGGGCGCTAGCACTGAGCACTCCAAGCACGAGCCTACATTGAAGGAACTCCAAAGGATGTTCGCTTATTTGTTGGAGAGCGAAAGGAAGGCGTACAATCCTAGAAGTTTTTGCAAGGTGAGTTAAATCGCTGTGTTTGTCATTGTAATTTCAAAGTAATTCGTTCTATTTTACAAAGAAATAAGTTGACACAATTTGAATGCAAAGCAGGAAATTATATTTAAAATTTTAGTGACAAGTGACTAATTATTACTTTAAAATAATATTATGACAAATAGTTATTTTTTATACAAGACGATAAAATGGTATTTTATCTCTAGTTTTCTAGTTTTTATCACAGATTATACAGATTATAATCTTTGTTTTTTCTTTATTATTTTTCGTGGTTCCAATTTTCGGAATCGGGCACTAGTTAGGTGACTAGTTCGCGCACATAGCACGCCTCTAAAATTGTGCACAGCGCCTGACCGGCACAGTTATTAGAGAGATATCGGAAAACCGAATAGCGTCATCCAGTATTTACGCGTACCTCATCATGGTTACGATATGCGCGAGTCAACGCAACACCCGCTAATAACGTTACCGCCTGACGTAATTTGCGGATCAATTACACCAAGCGCTCTTTCTAAATAACCTCTGATAACGTTTAAAAATTGCTTAAATGAGCATGTGTTTTAGATTATGTTTGAACTGTTTTGAATTATTGCTTTAGTTTTATTAGGTAATTTGATATTTAAGTAGCTGGGATTAGTTTTAATTAAATAAATATGGCCCAAAATATGGATTCCACCTCTTTCAATACTAAAGAACCTATAAAGAGTCTTAGGTTTACAGCAGATGACGACTTAGCCCTTCTAAGAGAATTTGTTGCTTGTTGTCCTAAACCCATTGGCAGACGTTGAACAATAAAGCACTGGAAATAAGCACTTTAGCCCTTTAGTTTTAAAATACCTAGTAAACAAAACAATTTCAAAGTTTTAAATTCAAAGTTAGGTTAAGTTTAAACAGCGGACGCAACGCGATCAGAATTCTTTCCGATCCGATAACTATAAATGAAGAGAGTTAATACCACCTCACGTAAAGGAAATAACACCTGGTCTTATTAACGTCCATGCACGCTATTCGGTTTAGCGATATCTCTCTATTACGCTGTTTATTGTTATTTTACGCGAGTTTATTTTTGCGCACAGGAAATTTGACTCGTTTGCACATCGTCATAAAAAACAATTTTCGTACCACGAATTAGGGACAAGATTTTTATCTGTATACTTATAGGATACCTAATCTGTGGTACTATTTTATCTACTATTTTTGATAGATATAAGGCAATTTTAACAGTTGCTATGGAAAAAAAACTATAATACTAATGGTTACCGTGGTGTAGCATAATATTAATTATATTTTTTTACAGGTATACACGATGGACCACCAACCTTTGAACACAGCCGAACAAAAGGACATGGCCGAATTTTTCATAGATTTAGTGAGTAAGTTAGAGGAAATGACGCCGCCACTGAAGGAAATCGTCAAAAAACTCTTCTGTGGTGTCATAAGCAACAACGTGGTCTCATTGGACTGCGATCACGTGAGCAGAACACTGGAGGAATTTTATACTGTTCGATGTCAGGTACGTTTAAATTACTCTAAAATAAAAGCTTTGAATAAAAAGATAATGATATCCATGTATTCATGGGTAGGGATCTTTGACAGTGCTGTTTGATGATTCATTTGACACATTTGAATTTGATTTGAAATTTTGTGGATTTTTCAGTCTTTGCTGAGCTTATTATTTTATGTTATTTATTCTACAACTGGTAGTTCTTTAGAGGTAGTAAATCTAGAAGGATTTTTTTTGTGGAAGAACCTAAATCTCAGTCAAAAATTGAGAGAAATAATGGAATAACTTTTCACTAGGAAGTTACTATAATATAATATACCTACATACGTGTAGTAAACCGATCATTTATGAAATTCACTTAAAATTAACTAATTATATATTTTTTCTTGCATTTTTGTTTTTATTTACTACTTTAAAAATAAATAAAGCTAAATTAAAGAATTTTCATACGTCAATTTGATTTACCTGCTTCAGTAGCGTATCGGATGTTTGTGTTAATAAATAATTATTATAAATTATCTATTTTTATTAGAATTATATATTTTAATAACTACCAACATTTATTGACAGCGTAAAATATAACAACAAATTATTGAGTCTACCCCACTTCTACCCTACATCATATTTTTACACTTTTTGAATAAAATTAGAACGGCACTGATAAACCAGAATTTAAGTCGGTCATTTTGAATATTATTTAAAAAAATTATGTCTTTCTAGGTTGCAGATATGAGAAATCTATATGAGTCACTAGATGAAGTGACAGTGAAAGACACGTTAGAAGGAGATAATATGTATACTTGCTCTCAATGTGGAAAAAAAGTTAGAGCTGAAAAAAGAGCATGCTTCAAACAACTGCCTCATATCCTGTGCTTCAACACCATGCGATATACGTTCAACATGCTTACAATGCTCAAAGAGAAGGTACGGATAAGTTGACTTATTGACATGGTCTTGTAATAATATTCTGGTACATTTGAACTAATCCATGTGATTAGTCCAGGGTGTGTTTTTTATTCCCTCTGTATATTTTATTTCTTTAGGTAAATACACATTTTTCATTTCCACTAAGACTGAACATGGCCGGTTATGTTGAAAAAACTTTAATGCCTCAACACTACCAAGAAGAAAAATTGAAAGACCTTGAAAGTGAACAGTACGAATATGATTTGATTGGCGTGACAGTTCATACAGGTTTGTCATTATTCTAAAATCGAAAACAAAACGGCGTCAAAAATTTCTAGAGCTTGACCTCGCCAAAATTATCATCGATTGTTGTTCCCCAGCTATCTTTGACGCCGTTTTTTTTGCTCATATGTTACCTGAGTTTTTAATTTGTTTTTTTATATGTCATATAAAAAAATATAGGTACGGCTGATGGAGGACATTACTATAGTTTTATAAAAGATAGAACAGCGGGATCGAGGGATAAATGGTTCCTTTTTAATGACGCAGAGGTGAAACCTTTTGACCCTAATCAGATAGCTGCCGAATGTTTCGGGGGTGAAATGACTAGCAAGACTTATGACAGCGTGACGGATAAGTTCATGGACTTCAGTTTCGAGAAGACCAACAGCGCCTACATGTTATTTTATGAAAGGTTGTTAGAGTTATTTTTAGATCTAGGGTCGGTCAAATATAATATAATTTTTTTCACTTTATACTCTGAAACAAAGGGTTGGTAGAGACCTCAAAAAAAAATTTCTCTCCACGTATGAGCTTTTAATTTTAATAGGAAGGTTCTCCGCCTTTCAGTTTTCTATTTTTTTCCTTATTATTAGAAAAAAAATCATATCTGGGTATCTGCTATTTGGAAAAAATATCTCGTCCCATATATTTGTAGGAAATTGAATTCTCTACAAAAAAAGTCTTTTACAATTTTTTTGTAAACCTCACCGTTCGAAAGTTATTAAAGGTTCAAGTTTGATTATTTTAAGGCACTTTTCTTTTTTTATGAATTTTATAACACGTTAACAAAAAATCATTGATACGCGCAGCTGATGGTTTTGTAGGAAATTAACTGCTCTACAAAAATTGTTTCTTATGATTAGTCGATCAAATTACCCGTTTAAAAGATATATTCATCGTCAAACTTCAGTGCACAATAATTTTAACAGTTTTTGGTTCGATCAATTCTTTGTTTTTCAATTCAATTTCTTGTTTTTGGATTGATCAATTCGATCAATTCTAATCCAATTATATCTCAGTTGATAATAAAATAAAAAAACATTTTTTTTTCATAAAAAAAATTGATTTTTTTTCTTCTAGATCAAATCTTTTTATATTAAATTTGTCATAAAAACGTTATTTATTGGAAATTTTATGAATCATTGACTCTAAGTTTGGTTTGGTAAAAAAATAGTAGATACCGAGATACGAATTTTTCTTTCTAATAAGAAGGGAAAATAGAAAACTGAAAGACGGAGGACCTTCCTATTGAAATTAAGAGCTCATAACTTGGAGTTAATTTTTTTGAGGTGTCTACCAACCTTTTTTTCAGAGTATAAAGTAAAAAAAATAGTCGATTTTTTTGACCCACCCTAATATACTGTACGAGGGTAGTCATAAAAGTTTCAGAACTTCAAAAATTTTCTTTGGTCATGCTTGTAGCCTCTACTATCTTTCTTACTTCAATTCGACAGTTGTTTTTTTGACGTCAAACAAAAACTAAGCATCGAAAACGACTGAAATCTTAGTGGACATCTTTCAAGAGATGCGCAGATTTTGTTGCATGAATGTGGCCTTAAGTATAAATGGAGAGTTCAGAAACTTTTTAAACCACCCTATATAGTGTTTCTTTTTTTATATTTAGTTTTATGTAGACTTTTTTATTTATGTATTTCTCCTATCTAGATGTCCTCTGGGAAGTACCGATTCTACTGAGAGTAGTTCAACTAACCTAGAGTCGGTCGAAAGTACCGGTAGTTCGTCTACACCAACGATGACGTTTGAACTTAGCAAAGAGTTGGAGGACTGGATTTGGCAGGATAACATGCATTTTATTCAAGATAAAAATATTTTCGAGCATACTTACTTCAAGTAAGGGAGTTACTAATTTATACACAGTGCTTTATTAATCGTAATTTTTTAGTTTCATGTGGCAAATTTGCGGACATATTCCTAAAAGTATTCTGCCCATTGAGCCAAACATAACTCAAAAAGCTGCGCAATTATCCACGTCGTTTTTTATAGAAACTTTTATTCACGCTAAAGAAAAGGTATGTATATAAAAAAGCATCTAATATACAGGGTGATGCAGTTTTTTATTGACTTACCTTTCTTTTTCTTTCCAGCCCACTATGGTACAGTGGGTGGAACTAGTCACCAAGCAATTCAACGCATGCCAAGAGGCGTGCGTTTGGTTCTTGGAACACATGGCTCAAGACGTGTGGTGGCCTGTGCAAGTGTTGCTCAAATGCCCTAATCAAATGGTGAGGCAGATGTTTCAGAGGCTGTGCATTCATGTGATACAGAGGCTCAAGTAAATATATACTGTTTGTTCAGTTATGTTTCAACTTATTTGTCAAATATGCGTTTTAGGGTGTGTCTGAGATCGGTTCATATTGTTTAGAAAATTTTAAGTACATTCTGAAATTATTAATTGAGATTGTTCCGTTTTTATTAAATTCATGTAGGTATGTTAAGCTTCTTTATTCATTTTGATTGTCTTTTAATGTATATTTTTTTTTCAATAATATAGGAACGTACTTAAAATTTTCTAAACAATACGAACTGATCTCAGACACGCCCTAAAACCTTTGAATAAGAAGACTAAGGAAGGAGCATATCAAAAATCTTAGGTACACCGCGTTGGGCCTCAAATATGGCCGACTTAAATTCCGGTTTATCAGTGCCGTTCTAATTTTATTTAAAAAATGTAAAACTATGATGTAGGGTAGACGTGGGGTAGACTCAATAATTTGTTATTTTATTTTACGTTGTGAATAAATGTTGGTAGTTATTAAAATTCTTATAAAAATATATAATTCTTATAAAAATAGATAAGTTATAATAAGTATTTATTAACACAAACATCCGATACGCTACTGAAGCAGGTAAGTCATATTAACATATCAAAATTCTTTGACATCTGATCTTTGACAAGTAGTAAATAAAAGCTAAAATGCAAGAAAATATATAATTTAGTTAATTTAAGTGAATTTCATAAATGATCGGTTTACTACACGTATGTATATTATATAGTTACTTACTAGCGAAAAGTTGTTCTATTATTTCACTCAATTTTTGCCGAGATCTACCGCACGCTACACAATCAACTATTTTAGAGTATTTTTCGATAAATCGCGATAATGTCACTGTTAATTTAAGTTCTGCCACAATTTCCATCTAGATTTACTACCTTTATACAACTATCAGTAGTAGAATAAATAATAAATAATATAAAATAAGCTCCATAAAGACTGACAAATCCACAAAATTTGTAAATCAAATTCAAATGTGTCAAATGAATCGTCAAACAGAACTGTCAAGGATCCCCACCCTAGAGAGCTTTTATGGTGGCTTTTCCGCCCACCATGCATGAATACATGGATAGCATTATGCTCCTTCCTTAGTCTTCTTATTCAAAGCCTAAAACTCATATTTGACAAATAATGATGACATAACTGTGAACCATGGCTTAATCAGTCTTAATATTATCTTATCGCTCTATATTATTATCTTTTTTTTGCAATTTCAGGCAGTCTCATTCTAGTTTATATTTAAAAATGGATGAAGACGTGGACTTGTCTGAAGTGGACGACATCCAGAACGTCGACATCAGTAAAATTGGCAACGCCTCCTGCGTTACTAAGTTCATAAAAACCCTTTTATCCTTGGTTAGTGCAAATAAAGCAAAAATTTTTAGGGTTAAATAACTAATTGGATTTTTTTTCAAGATGGAACACGGTGCTAAACCCCACTTAAAACATCTCACAGAGTATTTTAATTTTTTGTACGAGTTTAGTAAGATGGGGGAGGAAGAATCAAAATTTTTGTTGGCCGTGGGTGCCATCAATTCAATGGTTCATTTTTATTTAGGACAAAAAGTGAATGATTTTGTAAGTATTTTAAAGTTTTTTTTAATATAATTTTTTATCTACTAAAGTGTTATAGCACTTGGAGATCAGAAATTAAATAATATTTTTATATATTTTGTAAGATATATACGGAATAAATGTTATTGTAGCCGTTTTGAAACGCTTGTTTGGAGTTTCTTGTGACACAATTTTTATGAATTTGTTGTGTTTTTTTTATTTACTTCATAATTGATTTTATGCGAAGTATATAAATCTGGAGAGACATTGTGTCATATGTAACTTATCATACAGTTTCAGGGCTTTGATAAAAGATTTTTTACAGAGACTGTCTAATTTGTTGAGCTTCTCTAAGCATTCTTTGATCAACTTTGAATGATGGTTAATGAGCTGATTGGTTTTAAGGCTGCTAAAAGAATTCAATCAGAAAAATATAGAATTTTCAACATTTTTTACAAAAAAAAACATGGGCCTGCTTCTGAGGTCGAAGAGATACCCTCCATGTTAAATATTGATTTCAATTCAATAATCTACATATATAAAATGCTAATGTTTATCTGTGTCGTCTCTACTGAAGTAACGACTTGCTCTAGAAACTGGCTTTTTTTACTAAAAAATAGCTAATTGGCTCTTCTAAAAACTGTCGTCGTTAAAAAGAAATTCAATTTTCTTCAGTGTTAATATGATTCTATAGTTCGTTTTTATCACATTTTGACGGTATATTTTTGACAGGTTGATGTCAGTGAAGGCGAAGAAGACGACGAAATGGTCTCCATACCCTCCGACAAGTACAAACCGGCCAGTTTAGACAAAATGATCACTTTGGTAGCGTCCCTGGTCGAGAAAAGCAGGGATTCGAACATGAGACTCCAGCTGAGCGAGAAGGACTACAACGCGGTGGCGGGCGGCAAGGGGTTTTCCTTCCTATACCAGCAAATCAAGGATAATATTAACTTGCAACAAACGAGGAATCTCATCCATTCTTTGTGCAAGGGAAACAATCAGTTGGCTCAGAGTATTATTTGTATGATTTCTCAAGCTATAACTAGGCATTCAGAGGTGGGTTTTTGATTTTTATTCAGTTATTTTAATTCATTTAAATGAAATACCTAGTACCCTTGTATATGAATTTTTAAAGTAGCTCAACCTAAGGCGTTTATGGATGTAAAGCACCAGATGGCGGGGCGTATTTCATAGTCTGTTACTACAGAAAAATATTTTTTGTTACTCTGAATTTTGAAGCGACCAATAAAAATAGAGAAAATAAAAATCGATAATTTTCGGACTGTGCCAATTGGTTACTAATCGACCAGATACTTTTTGTCTATTAGATATGCTATTAAAAGCTGGTAATTATACAATTCGACCATTGTAAATACCCGACAAATTCCGCAAGGCCGACGAGGCCGATGTTTTTCACTGATAAGAAAAAAAAATGTTTGTTTAGATAATTTTCGAGATATTTTTTCTTTCTGAATGCATATTTTTAAAGTATTTTATATTCTTTGTCCGCTTGATCTATTATACTGGTCGCACGTATCGAAGTTCTGTTTCTTCTAGTTTTAAAAAATGTTCTTATTTCTTTGTAGTTGTAGTCTAAAATTAGATTAATTTTATTTAGTTTAATTATAATGTTTAGTGTAGAATACCAGAAATAGTTTAGTAGTGTTTTTATAGTTTATTTTGTAGTTAAGTAGTAGGTGAAGGGATAATTTGGTTATTTTTTCTTTTTGTTTGATTAATTAGTAAGTTTGATAATTTTTTCAGTGTAGAATACAAGAAGTAGTTGTGTAGTGTTTTTATAAGAGATTATATTCGTTTATTTTGTAGATGAGTAGTAGGTGAAGATATTTGGGTATTTTTTATTTTTGTTTTTCTTCTAATTGTAGTAATTCTATTAAGTATTGTGATATATACACTATATGTATCTTCCTTCAACTTCGTTGAAAAGTGCGTTATCATATAATTTTGGTTTTCTGGTAGTAGAATATAAGAAAAAAAAATCTGATCATGGCTCATAAATGAAGGCTTACTACAAGATATTTCGAAAAAAAACAAATTTTGGCTATTTTAAAACTTGTCTCTAGTTCCATTATAATCTATCGTATGATCAAATAAAAACGGCGTCAACGATGGCTATGAAATGAAGATCGCTGACATTTTATATGTAAAATTATATGGGAAATATCATCGATCGTCATTTCATAGCCATCGCTGACGCCGTTTTTATTCGATCATACGGTATTTTAGACAAAAAGTTTTCAGATAAAAGTTGTAGATAATCACATACCTAGTGTGTTTGTGTTTCCTGTTTTTTTTTCTAAAGCCTGTCATTTTTGACATATGACACAAAAATATGTTTTTTTTAAGTTATAGCCAATTCTTTTCTTTCTTGGCTAATTTCCATACCAATAATACCATGCCGAAATTAGTTTGCATCAAAAATGTAGATGTTTCAAAATGTAAAAGTTTTATGTTTTCAAAAGAAAAATATCGTAAAATTCGTAAAGCACTCAATTTAGAATAAAATAATCTAAGCATGAAATGATTCTTTTATAAACCTGCATTAAATCAAGTTAAAATAGGTATGTAACTTTTTTTTTAAATATTAATTAACAGCAATTAGCATTATCATAAATTATAAATAATGTACCAACATATCGAAATAATAATTTCTTTGTTAATACGGTTTAGAATTCTTAAAATAACAGGCAAAAATAATCCACAATTTACAATAAAATAAAAGTTTCGTTTAAATTTCTTAATCAGCTGATCACTATTAAAGTTCGCAGAAACCCGGGGCTATATTATTACATTACTCTGAGGAAAATAACGAAAATAATCGATATTTTTGACTCCGCCCCGAAAGGTTCACGATTTGTCCTCCAGTTGGCAGCACATTTTGTCTAGTCTGTTGAGCAACTTTAAGAATATATAAACAAGGCTAGTACATAGACATGTTTAAAAGATAGACTAACCATATTTATACCATCGGTCCCCAAGTATAACATATAAAGCCCAATAAAAATGTTTTTTTAACCATTTTTACTGAAAAAAATATCACGCTACTATTGACTAAAGCTTCATTCAGAACCCCGCAATTAGGGGAATAAATTAATGGTATCAATTACACTTTATACTTTTTAGCCCACGGCCACACAGAAAGCGTTTTGCGTTTTTTGCGTCTCAAGCGCTTTTTGCGATTTTACCGTTTTAAGCGTTTTTTTTCGATTTGTGTCCAGTAAAAAACACGCGAAAGACGCGGCAGGTCTGCAGTTTCTATCAAGATGTCAATTAGTAATGGATGTCGCAAGCTCGTGGATTCCCGGCCCGTTCAACAATCAATCCTGTGAGAAAGAGATAGGCGAGATCGGCGCGGTTAGTGTTGAAGAGACGAAGATAAAAGATGCTGGGATTGAATAGTGGACGGGCCGGGGCATATATTCGGCGACAAACACAATCTACTGCTAGTGCCCAGTGGTGTGTGTAAAAATAATAATTATTATTTGCCATTTATTTTACGAATTTTGGTTTATATGTGTATAGTTTTGTTATCTTGTAGTATTGTGGTTACTTGTTGTAATTATAATATAATATAATACAGAATTATAATTATATAATAGATTAGTAAATATGTATATATTACTAATTGCTAACGCTATTTTAGGACATGATTTATGAAACTTTTTGGAGTGAAACTTCTTTACGCGCGCTGGGAGTAAACATTCAAGGCCGTGAGATACGAGCTAACGAGACGGCCGCAGCTCTGACACACGAGCTAGTTGTAACGAAACGTGTTAACGGCTTAGAAATACGTAGTGACGCGACGTATATTTGTGAGCAGTCCACGTGTTTATCAAAAATATTGATATTTTAATACAAATTTTATAAAAGTGAATCAAATTATTACGTGTAAAAAACCATTTGTTACACGTAAAAAATTATTTTGATTATTTTACGCGAATAAAACTGTTATACGTAAAAAACTATTTTTTACGCGTATAGAACTATTTGTTACGTGTAAAAATCTATGTTACACGTAAAAAAACAATTTTTTTACGTGTCAAAAACTTAATGTTTCTGGTAAAAAAACATTTTTTTTTCTATTAAAAAAACCTTTTTTACGCAAAAAAAAATTACGTGTAAAAAACTATTTGTTACACGTAAAAAACTATTTTTTACGCGTCAAAAACTATTTGTTTTTGTTAAAAAAACCTTTTTTACGCAGAAAAAAACACTTTTTACGCATAAAAAGTATTTTTTACGCTTAAGAAAATATTCCTTTAATTTATTACTTTTTCAACATTTCAAACATTTCCTTCAAATATTTGAATTTAATAGAATCTTCCTAAACGGTAGATGTTATCATAAAAATATTTTTAGATAATATCCTAAAATGAAAAAAAATGCATACCATGTATTTAATTTATTTTTATTGTATTATTAAATATTACGTCCGCCTATGACGGGTCTCATAGAAAACGCTAAAGACGCTACAGAAAACAAATTGATTTGTTTTCATTTGCGTTTTTTGCGAGACACGCCGAACGCTAGACGCTTTTGGTGGGGCCACTCCGATATAATCCTGTTATTTTGTTTTAGACGCAAAAGACGCTTCAGGCAAAAAACGCTTTCTGTGTGGCCGTGCACTTGTTTACGCGATCACAATGTTTAAAAAACAATTAAAATTAATAGAACATCCTAGCAAAAGCTTGCGTTAGTCACTTGTATCCATAGAGGAAGCTTAATATTTAGCTTATAAAACAATCAACTTTTGATTTCTAACCACAATTTCTGTTGGCGGAAGATAACCAAAATCCAAAATGAATTTTATCGCAAATTTTGAAGTATAATTAGTGGAAAAGTTAAAAGTTTGATAACTTTTTCTACTAATTGAAAACGTCTACCACTAATTTTGACGTTCTGAGGTTCTGTTCTGTCAGTTTGAAATGTTAATGTCTTTCTCTATGGATACAACTGACTACCGCAAGCTGTTGCTAGAATATTCTGTTAATTTTAATTGTATTTTTTTAGACATTATGAATGGTCGTAAATTCTTAAGTATAAAGTATATTTGAAACCACTAATTTATTCCACTAACTGTTCTGAACGAAGCTTTACGTTTATCTATTTGTATTATTTCTCTGAGAGTATTCGATAACATCTAGGGACAACTAAATATATATTTCTAGTGCACAAAACACCCCCTTATTTTCTTTTCAATGCACAAGTCGATGTCTCGTATAACCTTAGTTCCTTAACCACCCGACAGGTTAACTTGCAGGGTTGCCAACCCTTCTTCAAGATCCTCACGCTGCTGACGGAGAGCAACGCGGGATCCGGCAACGCCGGAGGCTCGAACCAGCCCTGTTTCACTCAGCTGGTGTTGCAGAAAGTGTGGGAGGCTGCCGAGTGTTGTCCTCACTCGGCGCTGGATTGGCTGGCATTGCAGGTTACCAGGAACAGGTTGGTGCACTCGTGGGTGCTCAGTTCGATGGACAGTTGGCTGGAACACTTCCTGATCGCTCACAGCAATCAGAGAGTAAGGAACAGTAAGTATCATGTGTGAAAATTGGAGATTTTTGGTCAAATTTAATCAGTGAATAAAAATACTGTGGATGGTCTCTTTTTATATTAATTCATTTAAGACCAAAGGTAGTAGTAGACGGATGGTAGTCTTTTTGAAAGAGGGTTGTTATACAGGGTGAGTCTTAAATAAGTGCAGTAAAGTAAATATTTTCAGGGCTGGTAGATCTCGATAAAAGAAACTCTCTTTACCATTTTTCAGATAAGTCCAAAATAACCGAGTTATTTAAGTTTGAAATTTTAAAAAAAAAATTATTTTTTTTGAAAAAAAATTGAGAGCCACCGGATTTTTTCCGTAAGTAAAGACGTAACTGTGGTAATATCAGAGATTAAGAAATTATACCGTGGGAAAATTTGCGGTGAACAGGCAGTTCTAAAAAGTTTTCGAAAAATATACAGGGAAATTTAAAAGAAAATGCATGATTTTTAACATTCCTGGGGTCGAAATATACCACACCTGAAAATATTTGCACTTATTTAAGACTCACCCTGTATATACCATACGAGATTAAAAAAAACGGCGTCTTGGCTGGAGAATGACAATCGGTGGTAATTTTAGCAAGGTCAAGCCCTATACGTCATTTATTTGGCCCGTACTCTTCTTTATGTTTTAATGGCACTTACTGCCTGCTTGTTTTAAGAAGGTTGTAATTTATTTGTATATTAAGTAAAAATGATTTTAAATGGTGTAGTTTAAAATTCGAGAAAAATAATTTTTTGGAAATAGATTTGTGTGGGGAAACCTTCAGTCCTTTTTTAATCTTTCTATAATTTAGTGTTAATTTTTGACAAGTTTTATGTCAATTATTTTAGTCAATAACGTCTAGAGATTGACCTCGATCATACGGTACGTAATGATACAAAATGTTCATACACGTAAAAAAATATTTTTTCTACTTAAGAAACTCATCAAAAATTATACTTTTCCTCTGGCAGAAAATTTTTAAATGGATAAAGAATTTTTGATCAGTTTTATAAAACTAAAATCTTTTTTTAAAACAAAGGTTTAATTTTAGACATTTTTTTTTCAGCCGCAGGGTACCTTTTGGTGTCGCTAGTGCCTAGTACCCCATTTCGTCAGAGTTTTAGAGCCTCGCACAGGATGAACAGGGAACCACAGCTGTCGTCTGACGCGCAAGTCATCTTGCACCAAATATATACTGCGCTTTTAAGGTAGGCTGTCTGTAACGACATAAGCCGTCATTTTGAATGCTTATTGTCGAAGATTTTTTAATTTTTTCTCAATTTAGGTTACTGCCTGCTGCAAAACACTATACCGATATGCAGCAGCATGGTACAATGAAGCTAACTACTTATTTTGCTCTTCTGATGTACTGCTGTATTTCTAGGACTGAAAAATTAATGGTAAGATAAAAAATAAGGTGTAAAACTAAAACTTTTTTACATTTCTGTTTTTTTTTATCAAATTGGGAGTGTTGGTTTCTCTAATTTTGACTCATTTTCTTTATAGTTTGGCCAGTATTTCCTTCAATTGTGGCATCTATTTCACCCCAAACTTTCGGAACCATCTATACCAGCGTACCATAACAAACAGGCACTTCTAGCTTTTTGGAACCATGTTTGTACCGACTGTCCGGAAAACGTACAACTTATGCTAGCTAACGCGCATGTCACCAAGAACATAGCCTTCAACTACATATTGTAAGAGATCATTTTTTAGTCATATTTTTTTAATTCTTTGACCTTTTTTTTTATTTTTTATTTCTAACAGAGCTGATCACGACGATCAGGAAATCGTACTGTATAATCGGGCGATGTTGCCAGCTTACTACGGCATTTTACGGATGATGTGTCAGCAGTCTAGAGTATTTACTAGAAATCTAGCAAACCACCAGAATCTACAGTGGGCCTTCAAGAATATCACGCCGCATCCTACTCAATATCCTCAGGTAGTAAAATTTTAATATTGACACAAATAAAATTATATTATTTTTTATTATTATTTTATTTTTTTATTGCGCTAGGCTGTGGATGAACTATTCAAACTGATGCAAATAATGGTGATGAAGCATCCCGACGCATCTGAAGCGGATCAGAGGGAGATATACACGTTCAAGAGAGCTACTCTGATGACGTATCTACAGGTACGTTTGAACTAGTTCTGTGTTTTTATTTTAATTTCTTGGATTTAAATATCAAAAATATTAATGAAAATGTCAATTTTTTATTGTTTTTATAATTTTTGTTACTAGTTAGAACAATTTTTAGCGTTCTGACAAAAAAAAACGAGAAATATTGTTATTTTGCTTATTTTTTAATACTTGGTCTGGTTTATTTGAACTATTTTGATCTTTTCAGGGCGATCGGACATAATTTGTAAATATTTTATACAGTTTCCTAGATGGTTTATTTGAAGTACTTTGCCTTTTTCAATGTTTAGACATTAGGATTTGAACATAACAATAGTTTTCAGACATTTTTATAACTTTTTTATTTGAACTACGTTATATTTTAGTGTTTAAACAGTATAGTTTGAAAATTACAATATTTTTATTAACGATAAACACTCACCTATCTAGTTTATTTCAGTGTTTGTGCATTAGAACTTGAAAACAACAGTATTTTAAGCGAGTTTCTATAATTTTCTAGCTGGTTTATTTAAACTATTCTTTTTTTTTTCAGTGCTTAGATGGCAGAACTAGTTGGGGCACCTTAATCAGTGCCTTCAAAATTCTAGTTGAAACCAACGATGACAAACTTTACGTTGTCTACAATGGAGGATTACAGATAGTCTTTGAAGTAAGTACTACATATTTAAGGCAAAATGTACCTTTATATGGGCTTATCATATTGTTCTATCTTCTTCTCAACTATACGTTTCTGATATTTACTAAATAATTAAATGGTGCTAAAAAGTATTCCCTTTCTATGTTGAACACTATAGTTGTCTAAAAAAATAGTAATTTTTTACATTGAAAAATATGTCGATTTTACAAATAACTAAGTCAAATATTGTTGAATTACAAGAAGAAAAAGAAAAGCTAAAAAAAATTATGTCAATGAATTGACATAATTTTCTTTACTCTTTACTGTTGTCCTTCAAAATAAATTGACCACCATGTATATTTTTGCAGTGTTTCCAAAATTTACACGTGATGCTTCATGAAGCGACCGCCTGTCACGTTGTGGTGGACATGCTGGAGATTCTGCAAATACTCTACGACCTCATGCACTGCATCAGAGCTTACAGAGATAAGGACTCGCGTAGCTTAGTTCTAGCTACAAAGGACTGGCTTGAAGTAATCAGGAAGTTAGCTACGTTGCTGAACACGTACAACCCACCCGAAATGAGATCACTCTGTATAGGTAATAAAGTCTTCTAATCTCAAAGCCGCGCCTGTGACATTCTCGATATTATCCTAATAATATGTACATATTTTTGTACATTGTATTTTTATTATTATAGATGTTTTGAAAGAGTTTGTACTGATCATGACTCCCGAAGCTATGCAAATTCTGGTTCCTTTGCTGTCACACTGTCATTCAGCCTTCCAGGACAGTCACGATGCAGTTCCTTTAGGTCCCTATTTTCCCCGTAGAGGTCACTCTATACCTATAGTAGCAGGAAAGGGCGGGGCCAGACCCCTGAGACCCATGGTTCAAATGACAGTTCCCCACAACCAACTGGAATGCAGCAGGGTAAGTATATTGAAATTATGTGGAAAAATAAAAAGATAGATTACCCTCGTAATTAAAGATAGAATAATAAGTAAGTTTTTTTGCGTTTTTAGGGTGTTGATCCTGATTATGACAAGGCTTTGGAGAAGTTTTATTCACCTTATCATGATTTTATCGATACCATTTGTCGATTGGCTGTAAACAATGATTCGGTGCCTGACGTATTGATAAATTTAAGCGCCATAGTAGGATTTGAGGCTGTTCCCTTACATTCCACCTATTTTCCGAAGTTGTGGCTTGATATACTAAAAGCGCAGGTATGGTATAACACACATAACTCTTTCCTAGTTATTTTATAGAGAATATCCTGTATATTTTATCCTTTCTGGGTTCTATGTAAAATAATAAACACATTTTGTTTATAATGTTCTATATCTAAATTTAACAGTTTTTTTAAAATTGTGTTGCCTGTATTTTAGAAAAGGTTTCCCTCTACTTAAATTTTTATAATAACCGATTAATTATTATACAGGGTGCTCAAAAAAACATGATAAAAAATATATCCAAAAACAAATATATATTGAAATGTCAACTATTTTAAATGAAGTCCATTGTTATTTTTTTTATATTATTAATTAATATCGTTTTTTTTTCAGCATATAGATAGAAAATACATCAGTATGCTGACGTCGTGCAACTATTTTGTGGACTATGTGGATGCTGTGTTATTGGATGAAAGATATGCCCTCACTGTAGATGTCATTTATGAATTTTTGACAGCTTATTTTCCAAAGGTAAGTGTACAAATGAAAAAAAAATATATTCTTGGTGGAAAATTTGGCAACGCTGCATAGAAGAAACGTATTAAAACAATGTATCTTTATGTTTTTTGTAGGTTTCAAAACATGTTCTAAGCGAACAAACATTGAGAATGATCAACTCAACGATTGTCTCCTTGAATGAGTCCATAGACTCACCAGACATCACAAAAAATCCCAGAAGGTTAGTTGGTGATTTGAGAGCCTTGATACTGATGTATGGTAGTCCAGAAGCCAAGCCTTTGAGTGTGATGAAGTGCACTTTGAAGGAACTGTTAGCCAAGGTCACTGTGGATATCACTAGCATGGAAGCTAAAATTAAAGGTTTGTTGAAAAACATTTGTTAAAATAAATAGCTTATATTTACAGTCTTTGAACAAAAATTGAGGATGGAGTATTCATGTGTTTATGCATTAGAGATAGAATTGACATCATGAACCCCCATTTTTAACAGTCCTGTTAGACGTTTCAAATGAGACATTATTTTAGACATATTATTTTTTTATTGATTTTTTAAAAACTATTTTCCGTGTTTTTTTTTTAGAAAGTACAGAAGAAACAGAAGATCAACCATCCGAATCAAAACCAGGTACCTCTAAAGACAGTACTGACAGTTCTACGGAAGAATCTGCCAAATCCTCAAAAGAAAACGCGTCCAGTGAATCGGAAAATCAGGGAAAATCCAGTAGCGGCGACGACGAGTCCACTGCCAGCGAAAATGAGACAAAACTCAGTGGAAAATCTGGAGCTTTACACGATCTACGTTTACTGGAACAAACTATTAACGAATTGGCGGCAGTTGCCGAGAAAAAAGCCTAGAAAGTGTGATTTTTCACGCGAAAATTCACGTTTTCTCTCCGAAAGGTTCTATATTTTGACAGCTCGTGATTTAACCTCAAAATTTGAGTCGAAAAACGCTTTATTTTTCGTATTTTTGAACTCAGTACCCGAGAAAATGTTACTCGGATGATCATAACCTCAAATTTTTAACTAAAAAATATGATTTTCCCCAAAAAAGTGCTATTAGGTTCTCAGAAATACTATGCAATCTAATGATACATGATTTAACCTTATAATTCTAGACAAAATACTCGTTTTCGTGTATTTTTACGCTTTCAGCGCCTACCGTGATATAGTTTTTTTTTGACCAGCAAACAATATCAAAAAACTGATGTAAGATTTTCCTTATTTTTTGATAATGGTAATATGAAATTGTGCAAAGTTGTTTAAAGGTGGCAGTTCTGACGTAAATCTTTTTGTTTAAAATGAATAATATTCTACAGGGTGGTCCGAAATGTGATAGGGAAACTTCGGCAGAATATTCAGGAGATAAAAATAATTAAAAAAGTTCGTATAAAATCATGTCCTAAAATTTTTAGAGATACAGGGTGTAGAAGTTTTATTTTTATTTGCCTTTTTTTCTAAGTTAAAAAAATGAAATATAAATGAATTCTATACCCTGTATCTCCGAAAGTAAGCACTTAGAACATACATTTGTACCAACTTTGTTACTTATTTTTATCTGCAGAATATGCTGTCGAAAAAAAATTTCCCAAATACAATTCAGCCGACCCTGTATATAAAGTTAAGCAAAAAAAATAGGATATGTTAATGTTCTTATTTTAAAAAGAGCTTCTATCTTGTTTGCATCATGTAATAAAATACCCTATGATTAGAAAAATCGGCGTCAAAGTAACTTTTCAATGACATCCGTTGATAATTTGTCAAAAATATTGTCAATAGTGCTCGTCCCGACATAGTAGGCTACTATGACGCCGTTTTATTTTCGATTTTATTCAAGCTTCGCAAAATCAATGCAAGATATATAAGAAGGCACGTGTCTTACGCCATTTCGTTTGTATAATTAAGAAATTTAGTCTAAATCACCCTGTATATATTTTGAAATAGAAAATATCTTTTTGTCGTTTTTATTTAGCTTTAATATGATGTCTTCTCGCGTAACTCACTAACGAATGTAACTAAAGCATGAGATGATTTTCTTAGCAGGGTTTTTTTATATCACATATATTTATTGTTAATTTTTATAGAGAGAAAGATGAAGAAGAAACGTTTGTACATAAAGTATATTTAGCATTATTTAAAGAAAAACCGTAACCTTTTTTAGTTTTCCTCAAAAAGACTGTTTAAAAAGTAAAATAAAGTATTTCTTTTTAACGTTTGTCTTATTACATGTATGCGAAATAACTAGGATTTAAATACTGTCATTTTTATTCACAGATATATTACCCCTCTTATTAAACAGGTCTTAAACTCTTCTTGTGTTCATTAGGAATAAGAAAAACTAATTTTTTATATTTCTATTACATTGATTTCTGATAACAAAATTTTAAATTAATACTACATTTTAAGCTTATCGAACTATACGACTCTGAACTTCAATTAGTCCTCTGATTGGCCTCTGTAATTCTTGACATTAACGAGTATATAAGCGGGAAGGGATAGGACTCCAACAGCAATCAAAAGACCGTGAACGAGTTTTTCAGCTGGGGATACCTTGACTGTGGGGGGCCCAGAGAGGTTCCTCGTCTGTTGACCGACTTTCTGAACTTGGGGGATCAACCTGGATGCTTTAGCGGCGAACATAGCTAAAAAAGTAAGTATTAAAAATGTATTCTATGCAAATATCTTGAAAACTTACTTGATTTTATGTTAAAAATGTGTTAGATAATCGAACAGGCCAGGAAAAAATCAGTGACAGATGATGTTACATCATATGGAATGTGTCAAATTTCTTAAAACCTACGAAACCAAAAATCCCTAGCTTTTTTCAATAATTTAACATTTTATTTTAGACTTAGATTAACAATAAATTTTAGATATTTCATCTTTTCTTTGTATTTTCTGCAAATCATGTTATCTGAATTAATCAAATAAATTCGTTAGGCACCCAAATATACAATTTTTATTAACGGTAATGGTGTCACAGCATAAGAAAACAATATTTTAATAATTTAAGGTATTATTTACCTTTGTTTTTCAATATACATTATCGAAGGCACTGTCAACTCCCCCAGATACATGCCCAGATACCCCCAAAATCACTTTTTGAAGCATTTTATTTATTGGAAAATTTATTTACTTTTGCTGTACTTGTTTATTTTTGTTGTTGTCTTTGTCCACTCTTTGTCTAATGCCTAACCATAGATTATAATTTAGACTCTCTACTTTTGATTATTTTTTTAGCATAATGACCTATATTGCCCTATATTTGCCTTATATAAGTTCAAGCCATTTAAGAAAAAAGAAGAGATAATCTATGTCAATCTGTGGTTGCCTATATTTCGAGCCATAAATATTAAAAGAAGAAGAACATTACTTTGATTCTGTGGTGACAGCTCTTTTAAGACCTGAAATATGAAAAAGAAGAAGAACGCTTGTAGCGCCATTGTGGAAAAAGTGAGAAAATTTTGAACTAAAACATTTCCAAGGTTGCCAAGATATTCGCGAAATCCTGAAATCAATAATTTTGTAAGTCTATAATGAATTGAACCGTTAAAAAATCATGATAAATTCAATAAACATATGATACCAACTTTGTTTCAGTTGAAGAAATAGTATATTTTCTTTTGGGCACTTGGGTACAGTATTATTTATGCAGCAAAAAATGAGCATTCTGTTTTACATGTGCTCAATCTGACAACGTTGGCAGCGCAGCGCGACATTTTCCGTTAGCAGCAATATGGCGATATGTTCTTACGTCGAACTTACAACTTTTCTGATTTTTTGAAGGAAAAAGTGATTTTTCTGGATGCTAGTTGAGTGTATCCTGTTCCTTAAGGCCTGTTTAACCTTGCGAAAATGTAAGTATCCTGTATTTTGTTTCTTTCCTATAGTGTTTTTCACGCTTAAGTTTTCCAATTACATAATCATTAAAAGCTGATATATTTTTCCTATTTTCATAATTTTCTTTTTCAAAATCGACTGTATGGTAATATAGATACATTCTTTGATGTCCCTATTGTACATTAAGAGCAAAGTTACTTAGAATATTACTTCACATTTAGAAATATTTGGTATTTTTTCTGCCATTTTTTTTTTGGCAAACTTGAAAGATGTTTTTTATACCTAAAGGTAATTTTTTAGGTGTTTATTTGTACAGGCAAACAAGTATTTTCTACGTCTTATGAGTCAGTGTTAGTATAGCTAAAGAGAGGGGGCCCTCATTCCCAATAATTACATAATACTTTCAGATAAATATATGTATACTTTTACACACATGTTTAATGTGTGTAAAAGTCGTCATATTTAGGTTATCAATTTTGCATTGTTTTAATATAAGGCTTTAATAATTATAATTTTCGTTTTTAGGAGCGTTATTAATAATACAGTCCAGTACATAAAATAAAGACCACATAAACGAAGAGATCTGGGCCACCACTTGTACAACACTATCGATAGATGTATACAGTTCCAGGGCAGTACATTTATCCTTTGAATCAATATTACTAGCAATGCATCAGGAGTTATAAGTATATCAAAAACTGTATTTCTCTTTGGTAAATATATTTTTACTGGTTTTTAATATTCATCAGTGGATTTCATAATCTTTAAATTTAATTAAGTAGAAAAAAAATTATTGAGTCTCTATAAGTTACAGTTTCAAGGGTTCTTATTGTGATTGAGAAAATCGGACCACACACATTAAATTTCTACTTTTGGTCACTTCTTTTTCTTTTTGGTAGAATACCATCTACTTAGAATTTTACTTCATGTTGTTTTTGGTTTACTTTCATTTCTCTATAATAGCTTGACTTCCATATATTCTCCATTGTAGGCATAATAACATCATTCATCGATTCTATAAAATATTCCATTGACTGTATTTCTATAAGCCTTTTATTTGTATTATTTTTGCTTATGGTGTTATTCTTCTAATGCTATGTACTTTTTGCTTGTGTGATTCCTTGCTCAGAATTTAAGTTTTGATCTCATGAATTGCTTTGATTTTACAGATTCTGTTGGTTTGGTTTGCCTGATTCTATAAATCAATTTATTGTGTAAACTAAAGTGTTCTTTAATTTGTATTATTTTTCTTACGGTGTCATTTTTTTAATACATTTTTGCTTGTATAGTTTCCTGTACAGAGTTTTACTTTTGATGGATTTATCTTCATGTAATTTTTTTCAGATTGTATGCCACGAATTGCTATAATTTTATTCTGTTGGTTTTATTATAATTGGATTCTGTTGGTTTGTCACAATAACACACTTAAAAATCTCAAAATAAGGAATCATTTTCTATCAATTCCTGGCGCATTCGCCAGTTATTTAAATAAACTGACTCATCTGCAGACGATGTCACTTCTGTTTTTCCTACCCCTTTTTCCAATGAATTTTTCTGAGTAACGTCGACTCCAGAGCATCACAGCTAGCCTCCCCGCAAAAAAGGAGACCCGGGTCTCCCCCTAACCCTGATGTTCGGGCATCGATGACCTATGTAGCATGCATAGGTACCCAAGGGAGTCACCACCCTCTGGTTTACGAGCTAGGTGTTCTAATGCTAGAGGCTTCGGCCGGATACGACCTGGCACCCAAGCTCCGAGACTTCTTCGTGCACGTATTCCGTGACCCTCGAAGAGGCAGGGGGCGGGATATCGGACACATTGAAGATGATGAGGGGGTCCGCCTGTAGGGGGTCCCGGTGGATGTCCGCTCGATGGGTGACGAGGGCGACCCGAGACGAGGCTGCTTAGCTGGGATGGGAACTGACTGGTGAGGCTTAATCGTCGGACAAGGGTTAAATCGGATGAGGGGGGGCGAACTTGATGATCTGGGGATTTTTTCCTCATATACTTGAGTCCTATTTTGACGAGATATTCGTTAGAGGAGGCTAAGCATAACTTTTCGTGTTCTTATTTACCATTTTTTTATTATTTTTTAATATCACAATATTTTTTTGCTTCGTCTTGCTTTTGGCCTACCTACCTTATTTTTGTCTGTCATATATTTTCTTTACTACTGGAATATCATTCATCAATTCTGTATATACTCTTCCAATGTCTCTCCTGTATATTTGTATATTTTTTCAATTCATCATATCCTTTTGCTTTTTTTCTCCCGTATTCTTTTATTATGGGAATGCGTCATTCATCAATTCTGTAAATTCTTCTATTGATTGCATTTCTCTTAAGTTTTTTGTATATATTTGTCTATCTCTTTTGTGTCATTCTTCTGAGAATCTTCTAAGACATATTTCGTCATCATCACCTGTCATTATAGTTCTTTTTTGAATTTATTTCAAGCAATTTTTTTTAAATGCATCATATCTGTACTTTATTGTCTTCCATATTTTCTTCCTTATGGGAGTGTCATCATACATCAGTTCTATAAATTTTTCCATTGATTGTCTGACTAATCTTGTTAATATGTTTTTTAGGTATATATAGATATACATATATCGATATATTATTTAGGTATATATAGATATACTATACATTTTTTATATTTTTTTCTGAAACTTTTCCAAGTTTATCTATTTTCAATTTATCTTATCTCTATTTGCCTCTCATATTGTCTTCATTCTGGGGGTGCAAAGCTAGTTCGCCTCCACGTGGTGCACCCTGGGTAACGCTAAATGAACTAGCAAATCCTGGCAGTCAGACAATCCTAGGATCTCCTGTCCATAAGATCCATTTCACAAAGTTTCACTTTTCTTTAAGAGATATGATGCTATCAAGCAAGGCAAACAGTCTTTCTCTTTATTGTTTTTCTTCTAATCTTATTTCTTAACCTCTTTATGTGTATTATTTCTTATTTTACTGTAATTCTTCTAAGACTTCCAAGTCTTTGATTTCATTTCTGTTAATGCCTATATGGGATTGTATAGTTTTCGATTCATGAACAGGATATTGTACTGCTTTGGAACAAGGATTTTTGGACAAGTACAGCTGCACTTCAGTTCAACCATCCACATGAAGATGACATTAGGTTGATTATATTCAACATTCAACAGTAGAATAGGATGAAATTCATCATTGAAGAGGAATAGAATAATTTTAGGTAAATTATACTAAAATATATTTTTTTAAATCAAGTATATTTGACAAACGCCTCATATTATTGTAGATATTTTGTAAAATATTTAATTTTTTAAATTATAATAAAGTGTAATAATATTTATCTCTTTTTGCAGATTTCCCACAACAAATCGATGGATGTAGACAATTCCATAGCAGTACATTTATCTTTTTGATGAATATTACAATGCATCTGAACTCACAAGTATATCTAAAATTTAATTCCTTTGTGTAAATATATTTTAACTGGTATTTAATACTCTCATCAGTAGATTTCATCTTTTTGCCACTTCATTTGCTACTTTGAATTATATTTCAAGTTGTTTTTGGTTTACTTACTTTCTCTATAATAGCTAGATCTGTATATATGATTGTTTGTGGGAATAATAGCATATTTATCAATTCTATACAGAATCCCTTTGACTGTATTTCTATAAGTCTTATGTGACTGTAAAATATGCAATCTATATAGAATTTTACTTCAAGTCGTTTTTGATTACCTTCATTTCTCTATAATAGCCTGAGTCCCATATTTTCTCCATTGTGGGCATAATAACGTCATTCATTATTTCTTTAAAATATTTTATTATTTGTATTTCAATAAGTCTCTTTTATTTCTGTTATTTTTCTTATGGTGTCATTTTTCTAATACTGTTTTGCTTGTGTATTTCCTTGTACAAAATTTTAGTTTTGATGGATTCATTTTCATGTCGTTTTTCTCAGGTCATATGCCATGAATTGCTATAATTTTATGGATTCTGTCAGTTTAGTTTGCCTGTGTTTAAATATAATTTAAGTGTGTTATTGTGATAACACACTTAAAAATCTCACATTGAGGACTATTTTCCAATCAATTCCTGGCGCATTCGCCATTTATTCCAAAAAAAAATCCGAGTTTCACAGACGATGTCACTTGTTTTTCCCAGCCCATTTTCCAATGAATTTTTCTAAATAACATCGACTCCAGAGCATCACAGCTAGCCTCCCCCAAAAGAGGAGACCCGGGTCGCCCCCTAACCCCGATGTTCGGGCATCGATGACCTATGTAGCATGCATAGGTACCCAAGGGAGTCACCACCCTCTGGTTTACGAGCTAGGTGTTCTAACGCTAGAGGCTTCGGCCGGATACGACCTGGCACCCAAGCTCCGAGACTTCTTCGTGCACGTATTCCGTGACCCTCGAAGGGGCAGGGGGCGGGATATCGGACACATTGAAGATGATGAGGGGGGTCCGCCTGTAGGGGGTCCCGGTGGATGTCCGTCCGACGGGTGACGGGGTGACCCGAGACGAGGCTGCTTAGCTGGGATGGGAACTGACTGGTGAGGCTTAATCGTCGGACAAGGGTTAAATCGGATGAGGGGGCGAACTTGGTGCTCTGGAGAATTTATTTCATGTGCTTGATGTTATATTTTGACTAGATATTCGTTAGAGGAGGCTAGTCTTTGGTCAAATTTCCAGTTCTTATCGACCCCATACTTTTTTTTTCTTGCCTTTGGCCTATTTCTATTTCACTATTTTTGTCTGTCATATTTATTTTTATTTTTGGGATATCATCATTCATCAGTTCTATAAACTCTTCCCAATATTGTCTTATATATTTGTATATTTTATTGTCTCATTCTTCTGAACCTTTTCTAAGGCATACTTAGAATCATTTATCACATTTCTATTGCCTGTATAGAATTGTTGCTTTTTTATCAATTTTTATCCAATTTTTTCTCAAATCATTCCTCATTTTAGTGCCATATTTTCCAATTCATTCCTATTATTTATTTTATTTACTCATTTTCTTTATTATTATTATCATTCACTTTTCTATTTGTTTGCCTTATTCATTAATGTCACCCTTCTTAGACATAATATTTCAACATTTCTATTCCCTGTATTATATTTTTTATTCTTTTTCAATGCATCATATCTCTAAGTTACTTTTTTGTCTCCCATATTTTCTTCCTTGTGGAATGGCATCATTCAGCAATTCTGTAAACTCTTCCATTCGTTGCATTTCTAAGTCTTCTTATATGTATGTAATTTTATATTTTTTGTGTCACTTTTCTGAGACTTCTAAATTAATTATACATTTTTATGCAATTTTTTCTCAACTCTAGATACCAACTCTATTTCTTTATTTCTATCTCATTTTATTTATCTACATGCTGTGAAATCTTCTAATTTTTCTCTCATTCTTTAAAATTGAGTTCTTTTACGGAGTACTGCTTTGGAACAAGATTGTTTTGTGAAAGTTGCACTTCCATTGAAGATTCCCTTTTGAAGATGCCATTAGGTTGGTTAAATTCAACATTCACCACCCGATTGAGAATGAAATTCATCATTGCAGATGAAGCAAAGTCGTTTTAGGTAAATTAAACTACACGGTGTCTTTTTTTAAATCGATTATGTTAAATAAAACCCAATTTTATTGTATTTTATAAAATATTTTAGTATAAATGATTAATTTTAAATACAGCATTTTGGCGCACTTTTTATTGGTGTGTAGGCAACTAAAAATACAATTACGTGTATGTAGAGTTGCCTGTATTAGTGTTTAAAATTTTTAATTTGTAGTTTTTTAACGTTTTAAATGTCATGATTAAAATATTCCTTAATTACGAATCACAGTTACACAAATGCAGCCAACTTAGTCATGTTTTTTCTTGTATTGCTATAAAAAAAGATCTCTATGTTACGAAAAAATGCTATATAATACCTACTGCTCTATTAATTTACTGAAAATGCAATGTCATAGAAGTAATAGATTTTAATCAAGCATGTTAAGCGGGCCTCACACGACCAGTATTATTGACAGTATTTCCATTACTGTCCTGTCAGTAATATTGACTGTGTGAGGGAAAACTTACTGATGTGATTGTCAGTATACCGATATACTTTGGCAATCTTGAAAGTATTTTGGGATAGTGACAATATCCAATACAATCAATAATACTGATCGTGTGAGGCCCACTTTAGTAGACAAACAATTAATTATTTCTTTATATTTTCCTTACAGAACCAAGACTTTCCCGAAGGGTACCCAGAAGATTTATTTACGTCCACATAGATATCAGCATGTCCATCAACACCTTGGATTTTAATGTACTTTTTGTGTTACTCTTGTTAATAAAATATAATATGTTAATAAATAATAATTAAAAATTAATGAGTTTAATTGAATATAAATACTGTCTAATCCTGAACAAAAAGAAAAAGTCATTTATCACAAAAATAATATAATAATAAACAACTTAATAAGTTGTTCAGAAATAGGCAGTATTTTATATAAAAATAATATCTACCATTACCCCCTCGCTCTTATGTATTCCTGATACAATTCAAATAAATTGAACGAAAACCTTGTCCAAAATCAGCGATTTTCTATCAGGAGCACATAAGAGTGAAGAGGTAAATTGAGTACCAATATTTACCTAGTCGCTCTTATGTGCTCCTGATACATATCCGAGAAAATTAAATTTTTGTCAAAGGCTGTACGAACTCGCTCTTATATGCGCTGATCGAAAAACCAAGCGTCAGTTTTTAATAAAAGGTAGTCAAAATAAATTCCACTTGGTAAAAATCAAAGGACTTGACCAACGAGCTCGAACGAGTTAGATTTTTTGGAAAAACGGCCATAACTTCTAAACTAAAAGAGATATCGAGGAACGGAACTCGGCATTCGATTCGCCTTTTAACCCTCTATAAGGGTGCATAATTATGGCGCGATCGGAGACAAAAAAAATTTTTCGGCAAAAATGAAGGAAGGTTAACCCCTTACCTCATTTTTCGCCAAAAATTTTTTTTGTTTCCGATCGCGCCCTCGTTTTGCGCCCTTATAGAGGGTTGAAATGCCTATCGAATGCCGAGTTCCGTTCCTCTCTAACCCTTATAGTTTCCGAGATATTAAGGGTTGAAGTTTGGAAACGAGGTCGAAGTGCTAGAGATAGCAGAAATATCGTTGATCGACGCTATATTTATATGTGGTACTAAATTTACTCCTTATCTCTTCGCTTTTATGTGTTCCTGATAGAAATCGGCGATTTTTGACTCGGTTTAAAATTTTTCGTGCGGTCTTTGACAAAAATTGAATTTTCACGGATATGTATCAGTGGTTTTGGACAAGGATTAAAAATTTTCGTTCAATTTTTGTTAAAAGCTGAATTTTGTCGGATTTGTAGCAGGAGTATATAAGTGCGAAGAGGTATATATTTGGTTATCGGGATCTCATATATACCTACTTGCTTTTTATGTTCTCCTGATAGAAACTTAATATTTTGAAGAGAATTAAATAATTTTATGCAAGTTTTGCCAAAAGTCGAAGAATATTTTGGATTTACTACCAGGAACATATAAGAGCAAAGAGATCATATACAGGGTAAATAAAAATAAATTTAAAAGGTCTGTAAGTTTTATTTATTTAAATGTAATTGTGTTTAATATAATGCCACCTAAAAGTACTAATTAGTTCAAAAGAAATTATATTAAAATAAACAAAAGCCAGCTGGAGTTGAAGCCTTGGTAGTTATGGGTATCTTGCAGTATCGTTGGCGTGTAGGAACGGGTCCATTTGATTAGCTTACGAGATAATGTGTTCCAGAGATCCAAACCTGTAATAAAAAGAAATAACTAGCTATAAATTAAGTACTCTATGATCGAAACAAAACGGCGTCAGCGATGGCTATGAAATAAAGATTGCTGTCATTTTATATGTAAATTATATGTAAATTTATATGGGAAATTACATTCTAAATAAATTAAACTTTTGGCATTTTCTCTTATAAAAAATACTAATTTAAATTTTAATCTAGAGTGCCATGGCTGTGTTAAAACGACTAATTTTTAATTAAAGAGCCAGATAAAGCAGTTATAGAAGTGAGCCACATTTAAAAAACATCCGGTATAGGTACATATTTTATTATATCAGTCAAATTCTAAGTTAAAATACATAAAAATGTATGTATTTGTACCGAAATTACTATCTAGATATCAGAATTTATGTTATCCTAGTTTTACTTTTTTTAAACCTGCGAGTTTCAAGAATTTTAAAAGATTTTTGAACACGCGCATTCACCATTTCGTCAAGAAGACACTCTGGGTTTTCTAAAAATGCTTTTTTACTTAGATACTTATAGCTGTGCTTATAGAATATAGAATGGTATACGGTATATTATATATAGAGTGTTCACACAACTCGTCCATTAGAGACAAAAGTTGGCATGAAAATGGTGAATAATAACGGCATTTTTTTTTCTCCAATCAGAATATTTTTCTATTCAAATTCACAGTTTAGGCAATAATATTTAAAGTAAATAGCAATTCAGGTATGTATATTATGCTAAGCAACCACAATACTGGGCCAATTACGAATTATAGTATCGTATATGCCATGAAAAAAACAGGTATTTTTATTTCTGATTGTTTGTTGCAGTGATATTCATAGACTATTTACCTATATTTAAACTTCAAACTATATCTTCTGCTAAATATCGTCAGAAAAACATTGTCCTTTGTTTGTTTCTTAGTCCAATAACCATTTCATTAGACAACCCTCAATAATTATGGAGTCCTACAAATAAAGATACTATAATATCTAAATAATAACATAAGAGGATCATTTTATTATTGGCAATGGGCATAAGGATAAATAATTGTTAATTAATAGTTAAATTAATTATATTTTATCTGTGAAGATATGCTGTAATAAATGTGTATTAAACCTTTAAATGACTTTATATTAAATTTATGTGCCCCTACAGTTCAAATGAATTAGAAATTTATCAGAATTGACAGTACTTGTAGAACTAACAAACAAGTTATAAGGGCCAGCCACACCTGGTATAGGTACATATATTATATCAATCGAATTAGAAATAGAAATAGATGCATTTGTACAAAAATTAAATTATTTAAATTACCGAATTTATGCTATCTCAATTTTATTTTTATATTTTTTAAGTCTGTTAATTTCACGAGTTTTATAAAATTATTTATATAGGCGCATTCACCATTTCGTCAAGAAGAAACGCTTGGTTTTATAATGCTGATATAAAATATAAAGTTTACAACCCTTATTCAGCGAAAGTGAGACTCTTATAAAACAGTATATGATATACAGAGTGTTAACACAACTCATCCAGTAGAGACAAAATTTGGCTTGGAATTTACAAAGGATAATGCCCATTTTTGTCTTCATCGGCACAATATTCTATTCAAATTCATATTTTGGGCAATAATATGTAAAATAAGTTTGCTAAGTATAGTAAGTAACCAAGATATTGGATCATTGGCGAATTATAGTATTGTATAATATGACATTGAAAAACATTTTTAATTTTTGTTTTTGTGTTTGTCTTTTGCAGTAATATTCACAGAATATTTACCTTTAGATAGTTGTTCAACTATAACTGCTTGAACTATATCTTCTGCTGTTTGAATAAATATCCTTAGTCAATCATTGTCCTTTGTCTGTTTCTTATTCCATAAACAAATTCATTAGACGACCTTCAATAATAATTATGGAGTCCTACAAATAAAGAAACTATAATATTTAAATAATAACATAAGAGTATTATTTTATTATGGGCAATAGAGGGAAGGATAAATAATATTTAATAATTTTTCTTATATTACTCTTCAATAAACAACGAAATAGGTAGTTGCTCTGGTCTGTAAGTTTGGATATCTAACTTTTAAAGAAAAAGATTAAATCATAAAAATTTAAAGAAATATTTAATAAATGATACTTTTTGGAAATATATTTTTTAAACCCCTGACTGTATATGCAACCGATAATACACGTTATATAAAAAGCAAATTGGATGTGTTTGTATTTAAGGGTGCTTTCAAATACAAATTTAAGGGTATAATGCAATACTAAATATGTTATTTTTATCACTAATAAATTATCATAGATTTATGATGCATTTTTTCAACATTTACACAAAGCAACTATTTTTTAAAATTGTAATAAAAGTAAGAAATCTTTACCTGCTTGATGGTCCATCATTCGATATGCAGATACAAATAATTCTGGGATGATTTCAGTGAATTTTGTGAACATATTATGTAGCATTTTGCCTTCTTGCTTGTGTCCATAGAAAATGACTACACCATAGAAATTTTTATCTATCCTGTGAAATAAAACACTATTAATATGTATTAAAATCGTCTTGAGACATAAACAAATTTAAAAATAAATATTAAAGAGAAAAACATTATATATATTTATAATTAAAGCATTCGAGCAAATACATAAAGGCAGTCAATTAAGTAAGAAAGTTTTATAGTAAATCAGCAATTAGCTTGAATAAATGATACTGTAAATGAATTGATTTTACTTAACAACTTCACTACGACTGAAATAAATTATTTTTTACTCAAAATAAATTGCTTCAACTATGGTTTTACAATCTTTTACTTACCTTAAAAGGAACCAGTAGTTAACTGATCCCAAAACAGCACTGTTACTACAACAGAGACTTCCTACGTAACTTCATTTCGTCCTTAAAAGATACTGTTGGTTTCTTCTATGAAAATTGCTTTTTATTATAGCCCAGGCTCCTATTTCAGTGTTTGAATGAACCCTATAAAACAATAAAAGAAATAAGATACGCTGTAATAGATGTGTAATTAAACTTTACATGACTTTATATTAAACTTATGTGCCTCTACAGCTCAAATCTTTTATAAGACAACTACGACATTGCAATGAATTGCTTTCATGCTTCATATTTCACAGTGTGAGTGTAAATTCTGAGAAAACTTCACCAAAAAAATTAGAAGTAAACTTACATGATGTAATTTTTCTCATATTAGTGAGAACATATCAAGAAATTATTTATTTACTTATTATTGAACATATCAAGAAATTATTTATTTACTTATTATTGTTTAAAATACTAATTTTCAAGCAACTGCATTGTTCTCAAGTAAAGTACGTATATGTACTCTGTGTATTATATAACTAAATATAAATATATCCTTTGTCTGCCTATGTATAATAATTTTTTACTTGCACAATTTTTTTTTTATATCAACCTTGTTTATATCACAAAAAGGTAGGTGAGAATTTTGTAATGCGTGTGAGAGAAACAGATAGAGCGCTAAAAAAGGACAAACTTATGCAGTGAGTGCGAAAGAGAAAACTTAGATAGAGACGGAGAATAAGTTCTAAGAAATTCTCATAGATGGCGCCAACTCAGAATTAGTTTAACTTTTGATATATAGATGGCGCAAGAAAACGCGTTAGTTCAGCAAGTAATAAACAGATGTCGCTACAATTTAGTACCGCTATCACAACATAGATGTCGCTACAGATATAAATTATAGGAATCTGCTTACCAGTAAATATTTCTAGAGCGCCATCTATGAACCCAAAATTAAAGGAATAATTTAAAACTAGTTGATAAAGCTGCTAAATCTCCTTTTTCTAGAGAGTTTAATAAGTACTTGAAGAAATTAATATCTTTTTAATACGCTGCGATGCCTAAAAATTCTTTAAACCATTTAGTCAACTAACAAAGCATAAAAAGTATTTAAATGGGGTTCAAAAATGAACAACTGTAAAGTATGGCCTCTATGTCTGGCATTTAAGATGCTTGAAGAAATAGAAATATTCATTTAAATGGTTAGTATTTCGCTAAAAACTAAGATATAAATAATTTTCACTTACCTCCAATTTTTTCAGTTCCATCTTGACTAGTGCTTTTCATTGCTTCCAAAATATTTACTACAATTTTTCCTAAATATCTTCAAAGAGCATTGAAAACATTTTTTTTCCACAAAGTTCAACATTTATCATTGTTATTAATATAGATTAGTTAATATCAACAATTATTTAGGTAGTTTTGACTGAAGTTCGTTTTAAACATTAACATTCGTTTTCTGGAAGCAATTCTAAAACGTACTTACGTGTTTGTAAATAAACCAAAGAACAGTTAGAAATTACATCTTAAATTAACTCCAAATCATATTCGATTTATTTTTCTAATAAAATCTTAAATAAAACTAAGAATTCTTTGGATTCTATAACAACATTAACTTAAAAATTCTTTAAGAGACATGAAATATCAATAACATAAAAAAATACTATTTTTAATTAAACGTAAACAAGTTACAAGATATTCTTAATAAAAATCAACAACCTTTAGAAAATAATGTTATTTAAAGTTTAAATTATTAAAATTATTTCCTCAAAATCTTATTGAAATCAACCAAGACACCTTGCATATCTTTGTACCCGACTATTTCACAAGCCTCTTCCAGTCCCAACCATTTAAAGGCTTGGTGCTCATGAGAAAGCTTTACCGTAGCTTCATTATTAATTAATTCAGCCAACCAGTAATGCACAACCTTCGGTTTGCCATTTACGTTGTAATTCAGTGTTTTTTTTGATTGATCATACACTTTTAAGTCAGATTGTTTTAAACCAGATTCTTCCAGTGTCTCGCGATATGCAGTTTCTAAATCTGACTCTCCCGGGTCTACGTGGCCTTAAAAACCTTTATTTTATACAAAAGCTAATTGTTTATATCAGAAGTACCTTTCGGTGGGGTCCAGTGATGTATTCCATAAGATGTTTGTAGTAAAAGATACTCGATATTGTTAGAGATTCTTCGAAAAATTACAAATCCGGCAGCTACTTTCGTCATTTTATCTTAAATCTACTTTAATTTGTTAAATAATAGAACAGTATAATTTAATTAAATTAATAGAAACCAGTGAAATAAATCAAACAAAACCTTATCTAAACAAAACAATTCAGATAACCTCAAAAAATCTCTAAAATGTCGGTCTCTGTTTGAAATATCCAATGAAAATATCTTTAGCTATGATCTTTAGTTCGGACAATTCTCGTGTGATGGCGCAAAAATTAAAATTGGTTTAAGATATCACCGCTAAGTTTTGTGGCGCTGTATTCAATAACCCGCGCTAACAGAAAATTTAAAATAGAGGAATAATAGTTATTTACAGTACAAGTGTGTTTATGAACATGATTACAACAACGAGTGTGAACGATTAGAACGACGAGGTCGTAGACCGAGTCGTTCTAATCACACGAGTGTTGTAATCATGTTTAAACGCACGTGTCATGTACAACGTTTTATCTACAACCGAAAAATAAGAAAATGCTGTTTTAATTGTGTTATTTTTTTAATAAAAACTTTATTTAAATACATCGGGCTTTCACAAGATCTGAAATTTTTTGTGAAGTTGAAGGAATACGAAGGTATTTTAAGGCTCCGTTGAAAGATTCGCTCGAAAATTTCTGGCAATACTGGTTTAATTTGCAACGTTTTTCGACGCAGGCAAATCGTTACGTGTGGACCACGCTTTAAACTGGTTGCCATGGCAACTGTCAATACAAATCCACCATAAACTATTTTAAAATCCTTTTTTCTGAAACTATGGAAAATTATAAAATAACAGGTAGAGCAGGTGAGGGGGCACACGGGTCTGTTTTTAAAGGCTTAGATTTGAGGTACAACAAAATAGTTGCTTTAAAGAAAATCGCTATAAACCCCGAGCAAGGCATCCCCAAAAACACCTTGAGAGAAATTTGTTCTTTGAGAGCCCTACACGCGAAAAATGTAAGTATCTATACGTTAAAAACACCCAATAACTTTTAAAATACTTTTTAGATAGTGAAATTGTTCGAAGTGACCAGCATGGGTAGCTCGGTAATGCTAGTCATGGAATTTCTTCCTTGTAGCCTACAAGAAGTTATAAAATGTAGTAAAATCGACTTAAATCTACCCAGAATAAAGACATACACGAAAATGTTACTTAAAGGTATCAGTTTTATGCATTCCAATCACATCATGCACAGGGTAAGCTTATTAATAACATTATCCGGTATATAGTTCCTAAATTTCGGTATATCCTAGGATATAAAGCCAGCAAATTTACTGATATCGCCAAAAAGAGTTCTGAAAATTGCTGATTTAGGGTTGGCCAGGATTTTTAACCCTGAAGTAAATAGGTTGTATTCGCATCAAGTTGCTACAAGATGGTATAGAGCGCCCGAATTGTTATATGGATCGAGAACGTATAATCTCTCGGTAGATATGTGGTCAGTTGGGTGTATTATTGCGGAAATGGTCAATAAAGTACCTCTGTTTCCGGTAGGTACTCTACAGGGTAGCCTCGTTTTCTAAAAAAAAACCATACCAAAGTTATATTTTTTCTTATGGAACACCCGGTATTTTATTTCATTTTTGGATTCTTGGGCCCAAAAAAGGCATTTATTATAAGGATTAAATATGTTTAAAATCTTCGGTTTTTGAGATATTGAAAGATATTTAAATTTGCATGCTACAATAGAATAGACTATTATCACCCTGTACATTACTTTTCAGAATTAATTCTTATGCTGAGTTTAAAGGTAGAGAAATAAACTTTACTGAAAAATGGTATTAGTTCCTTAAATTTATACAGGGCTATTAAAAGTTGCTGATCGTTTTTAAGGATATATTTTAGGAATATAAAAACTTGCGTTATTTCAAATGCTATACCCTGTATTTCTTTAAATAAATCGAAGCAGATTCAAAGGCTCTTTCAAACATATTAGGATTTCCTATACCTATCTAGCTCAGATTTTGAATAAAAAGCGATTTTTAAATAAAATTGTAATCAAGATGGCTGATGTCGCCATGGCAATTTTCTGGTGACAGTAACTAGTGTAAGAATTATTTAAATTCGCGCCCAAACATAGATTGGCAACTCTTGTAAGAATTATGGGTAGTTAGTTGTTATGGTGTTATCAGTTGTTATTATTGATAAATAAACAAAATTGGAGCATAAAGAACGAAAATTAGTCGTTTTTATTGAAATGACAATAAAAATTGATGCTCCCTCTTTTATACTAGTAACTATTTTCAAAGTCGATATTAGTTTATGGACATTATTATTTATAATTTATAACAGTTTATTTAAATTTACCTACAATTGAATAAGTAAGTATTCATTATTTTATTTTACCAAGAAAAATAAAGCAGTATCTGCTGGCGGAACGAATAGATATGTTACTAGTGGTATTATTTTGTGAGGAAAATTGCTTCTTGGCCAAATAGGAATCTTCCTGATAAGAGTTTCTTTGAAAAACTTCTTGTCCTATTTCGCAGAGCTGGTATTGTATAGTGTGGTTTATAAAAAACCTATTAGGCAGAAACCTGTCGTTGGAAGTGAAGAAAATGAATTTGTCGTAATTGGCTCTTTTATAGAAAATCCATATATCTGCAAGTCATCTAAAATAATTCAAAGACTACTTCTTCGTTTTTCTTGATAGAATAATAAAAACATATTTAATAAATATTATTTATTAAACTACTGTAGGTAAATTAAATAAAAGTAAACTGGTATATATTTAAATAAGTCCATCACAAACTAATTTCGATTTTGAAAACTGTCACTAGAAACTTGCCATGACAACACTAGCCATCTTGATTACAATTTTATTGAAAAATCGCTTTTTATTCAAAATCTGAGTCAGATAGGTATAGGAAACCCTAATATAGTTTGAAAGAGCATTTAAATCTGCTTCGACTTATTTAAAAAAATACATAGTGTTGCATTTGAAATAACGAAGTTTTTATGTAAATAAATATTTAAAATAGACCAGCATTTTTTGATACCCCTGTATACATTTAAGGAAGGAATAACATTTTTCTGTAAAGTATATTTCTCTACCTTTAAACTCAGCACAAGAACTAATTCTGAAAAGTAATGTACAGGGTGTTAATAATCTATTCTAATGTAGCATGCAAATTTAAATATCTTTCAATATCTCAAAAACCAAAGATTTTAAACCTATTTAACCCTTATAATAAATACCTTTTTTTGGGGCCAAGAATCCAAAAATGAAATAAAATACCGGGTGTTCCATAAGAAAAAATATAACTTTGGTATGGATCTTAGTTCTGAAACACCCGGTACATTTCAAAATAATTTTAAATTGTGCACATTACCTCCCCACATATACCTATAAAATATTTTGTTTCTACATTTTTCCGTTTTCGTATAATCAACCGAGGCGAATGAGGAGCGTCACCCTGTATAAAAAAATGAAAAATACCATCTTAAAGTATCTTTTTTAAGGGCGAAACTGATATAGAGCAATTAGCCATAGTACTGAGCATTCTTGGTACTCCAACAGAGGAAAACTGGCCAGATTTGAAAAAACTACCCGACTACAACAAAATAGCGTTTATTTCGAGTGCAGGCAAAAGATGGAGCGTCATACTACCCACAGCAAACATAGAAACATTAGATTTAATAAAAAATATCTTACTCTACGATGGAAATAAACGACTTACAGCTAAAGAGGTACAGTGTTATCATTTTATTTGATATCTTTATTTTTTTAGGTAGAATATTAATTAAAAAAAAATTAAAAATATTTTTTATACATTTTTTAGGCCCTGAAACATAGTTTTTTCCATCAAGACCCGAAATTGGCCCAAATAAACGACATGCCCGACCCAGAAGAAGTTATATCAAACGCACCCACCTTTGATGTAAAAGAATTCGATGAAATTATTAAAGAAATGAATAAAACATAAGACAAAAAACATGTTTTACCTGTTTAAATTTTTCCCCTACCTAAAAACATAAATTTAAGAAAAAAACATAAATGTTACTTGACTTTTAAAACTTTTTTATTTAAAAATAACCCATACTAATGTCACATCAACAAGATGAACTATATTTTATTTCAATCATATAATTCACCGTCCACAGTGAAATTATATTATTTTTCCTATTAGTGTTTTTAAAGACTGACCTTTGCCACCGTCTCCAATAATCGTACCGAATCGTCGAAAAAAAAAACGGTGTCGTAGCAACCTTCGAAATGATCGATCCTCCGTTTTCTGTATAGTTATTCAATAAAAACTCGTCTTAAAATTAATAGTATTCAATTTTTAATAAAATCATAACATAGATGTTGGCCCAACAAAAAAAGTCAGAGGTTATATTATTTCAACGGCTGCCGTGACATCCGTTTTTTTTCGATCTTACGGTATTTAATTTATTATGTATCATTCGTTGAAAGACGATGGTAAAAATCGGGCTTATCATAGTTTTACAACATTTAAATGTAACAAAGATATATAAAAAAAGGATAATTAATAATACCTCTTATAATAAAATAAAATAAAAAAGACTTTGTTATAAAGAAAATTCATTCAACCCGACTGATTTTAAAGAATTTATTTTTTTAAATGAATATTTGTATGATATTAAATACTGTGGTGAATGATATACCAGGTATTAAAAACAAATTCTCTAAAATCAAGTTAGATTTTTGGATTAATATATAAAAATTATATACTAGCATAGATTTTTTTACCTCGAAAAGCATGGTATAATATAAATAAAGGACCAAAAAAACTGCGTATTGCACATTTTTGTGGCATTGATATATGTATATAAAAAATTGACACATCTTTATGGTAAATGCATAATTATAAATTAAACAATTTCCGCACCAATAAGCTTACGCTTCTTTAAACTTTTCCTTATCTACAGAGTGTTTTTTATAGTTCTTTTATTCATCTACTAAGAGCGAATGATATACCTATAGCAATATAACAAAGAAAAAACATAATTTATATTATTTTTTGGGGCATAGTAGTTACTTTTTGCAAAATCCAACAAAATCCTTTAGATTTTCTGTCTTTACGCATTCCATTACCTTATATTAGATTAGTTTTTACCCTAGTTTGATCATTGCGTCTTTAGTTCCTTTCCAATACTGTAAGATACGATTTTGCTCCAATCGATTTTGGTACGGGTCACCGGAAGTAACCTAAAAATAATGTAAAGGGGTTAACAAAAATTATGATTTAAAAAAAATCGAAAAACATTAGAGTTTTTTTATTTAAATCAATTTTTTTTATTTCAATAAAAAACATTACTTAAATCAGTTTTTTATATAAATCAGATTTTTAAACTAAACCAATTTTCTTTAAATCAGATTTTTTTTTATTTAAAGCAGATTTTTTAATTTAAAACAGGTTTTTTATTTAAATCAGATATTTATTTTAAGTCAGAGGTTTTTTAATTTAAATCAATTTTTTTTATTCAAATCAGGTTTTTATTTACCAGATTTTTTTTTCATTTAAAGCATATTTTTTATTTAAAACAAATTAAAAATTTAAGTCAGATTTTTTTGATTTAAACCAATTTTTTTTTGAATCTGATTTTTTTATTTAAATCAATTTTTCTTTATTTACATCAATTTTTTTTATTTAAACCAATTTTTTATAAAATTTTTTAATTTAAATTATTTTGTGAATTTAAATCAAAGGTTTTTTTTATTTAAACGAAACTTTTTTTAAATCAGATTTTATTTATATATATATAAATCATTTTTTTTTATCTCAATAAAAAACATTACTTAGTTTTTTATATAAATCAGATTTTTTTTTATTTAAAGCAGATTTTTTAATTTAAAGCAGGTTTTTTATTTAAATCAGATTTTTATTTATGTCAGAGGTTTTTTAATTTAAATCAATTTTATTCAATTCAGGTTTTTATTTAAACCAGATTTTTTTTTTCATTTAAAGCAGGTTTTTTAATTTAAAGCAAATTTTTTTTCATTTAAATAAGATTTTTTTATTTAAATCAGATTTTTTTATTTAAATCAATTTTTTGTTTCAACAAAAAAACATTATTTAAATCAGTTTTTATGTTTTTATATAAATCAGATTTTTTTAATTAAACCATTTTTTTTATTATAATCAGTTTTTTATAAAAATCAGATTTATTTATTTAAACCGTTTTTTTTTAAATTTAAACCAGAGATTTTTTTATTTCTGTGTTATACAAATCATTTTTTATATAGTTTTATAACATTTACAATTATTTTTCGATTTATTAAAAGTATTTAAACATTACAATAGCAAGTGTAACATTTTATTTGATGAATAGATATGAGGCATACATATATCTGTTATAGAAATATTTTTATAGTTTTCTAGGACACATTTTTAGAACTATTCAGTTATCTTTCGATTTATCATAAAGTTAAAATTTTTTTTTTAAATTAAATCACATGATTGAAATAAAAACCCATTTGATTTAAATCATACAAACCCTGCTAGACAAAGTAATAATGTAGATAAAAAAAATATAGTTGTATATTTACTGTGTCTAAAATTAAAGAGAAAAATTGAGCAACTTTGATTTTTCTAAACATATTTTTAAAGTTTATTTAAAGTAAGAATTACACGTAACAAACAAATACAACATACCTTCTGAGAGCCTTAAACGTGGTATCAGACATATTCTGATAATTCACCGAAATAGCAGTTTGATAGGAGTCCTCCGCATTCTCAATAGCCCACACAATTTCCTTTGCAGTCTGCGTTTCCGAGGAAACAGTTATAGTTTCCTTAATTTCCTTAGTACTAACTAGCTGGACGTTACCCTCTTCGTAATAGTGCACCTGCACCTTTAAAACGCCCCTTAACTCAGCTGTAGAGGTACCATTTAGTGAAATATACCATTGACTACGCCATCTACCTATAAACAAACGTTGTTTCTTTATGAATATCATAAAGATAAGACTGTGATAAGACTAATCCTATTACCATTCCAGAAATTCTTAGGTTGGAACTGATGGTCCTCAATACAGGCAGCTAAAGTTATCGTGTTTCCCTCACTACGGCCTACCACCAAACTGACTCCGTCTTTATAGTGATTACGCGTGTACTGAATAAATTCCGCGTCAAGTGCCGATCTCCAGGGCTCTGCTGTTGCGTCAGGCGTGAAAGGTTGATAGTCTGAAGCCTCTTTTCTTAAATGGTCGTACCGAAAGCTTTGTTTGGAACGGGAATCAAAAAATCTAAAAAAATAGGTTAAATAAAGTATATTAGAGCTTCCAGAGTGACTAATTCTCACCTGTTATTGCCTAAATCGTTGTATTCGGTGATCAAAACTAAATGATCGGCGTTATCTATCCTCACTGGCGTGAGCTGATCTTTGTTGTACTGGGCGAAGGCCCCGCTGGCCCCCTCTTTGAGCAGGTCGTCGTCGTCCAGGAGCTTCCGGACATCGTTGAACACTTCATTAAACTCGCCGGGGGGCGAACGAAGGATAAAATCAGAAACTATTCGCACTTTTTCCTGATCAGGAATTTCTTCGCCGTCGGTCGCCATGTTTAGGTTGGGTATGTCACGAAACGTCACTCACTGAGTCACGTCAATTTTTGACAGGAGTGATTCATTTGTCATTTTTAAATCGGAACCTGGATATGCTCTAATTATAATTTTGGGAAGTTTCCCGAACTTTGGTTACAAAGTCCCGGAATTAAAAAAAGAAGAAGAATTAAATACTAGCCCCAGATTTTATGCATAAATTTTCAAAATTCAAAAAGTTACAAAAAGTATGAAATTTTATAGAGAATAAATTAATTTCTATATAAATGTAGATAAACCAAGTTAAATATGACCACTTTACCGGAAGTTCAACAACAAAAGACCTTCAAATACCTGGAAGAAGTAGAAACAGTAGCCCAAGATATCCTAACACTAAAAGACGAAAAATTAGAGCTCTCAAACGCTCAGAACAAGCTCAGAGAAGCCCTAAGAGCCCTGGAACAGGTCGAGGATAGAAATAGTTGGATTACCTTGGGTTCAGTGTATGTTCAAAAGCCCACAATTGAATGTAAAGCACTTTTACGTGAAGGTACATATAGAGTCTTTTTTTTTATACTTTCATATAAAAAATTGATTGATTTTTTAGAAATAGATAAGGCTGAGGAACATTTGAAGGAATTGCATGAGGAAATTAGGGATAAAGTTCATAGACTTAGGGATTTGGAACATGAACCGAGATTGGAAGGTTTTGCTTTGAAGCCAATGTCACTAGCCGAAGTAAAGGCCTTGCACAAAGGTTTTGGATCGCTTTGAGTTATAGAATCTTTATAAATAACATTGTTTTGAGGCTCAATACTGGCTGAACCACTAGTAATGGCTATAAATGGATAAAACTAAATATTTATTGTATTAATTTAATGATTATTGAGTCATTTTAATGAAGAGATATAGGTGACTAATATATGAAGGAATTCTGAACTGAAATAATGCTGTTTTATATGCTAATTATGACAAAACAAACTTATATATGTAGATAACAATTATTTTTTTATGTATTACAGATAATTTTATATTTACCCACTTATTTTTTTAAATAAATATGGTGAGAATTTTTCTAATTTTATTAAAAAAAGGAGATAAACTTAAAATATGAAAAATAAAGACTAATATAAATATATATTCCTGCATAATCAAATACAAATACATCATTCCTATCGATACCTTTAAAATTACATTATACCAAAATAAAATTACAGAACCTAGAATATTTTAAAAATACTTATTGTTTCTTTGCTTCTAATATTATGTACAAATATATTCAAAATTCTAGTAGAAAGCTTACTTATATTTATATTTTAGCTTTAAGAAATATTTTTAGTTAAGTTTTAATAATTATTAACTATTATACAAAATAACATACCTACCAAAAAACTTGTGTAACTTTAATTCACTTCATAAAATTTATATCTTTCTCTGTTGATCTCACAGTGCATTTAGAATAAGCTGATATATTGGCTTATTATTATTTTTTAACATGGAAAATGACTAAAAAGTTTTGTTTTTTACGAAGCCCAGGCTTCCAATTCTTTCATGTCATCATCATCTTCAACTTTCTCTGTAAAATATAATTAAAAATTTTTTAATAATATAATATTTATAAAGCATATAAAAAACTCACTTGCTGGTTTCTTAATTTTAGCTTTTTCATCTTCGTCCAGTTGTGTGGGTAATGGAGGCAGTTTTGTGGGTCCAGGAACGTCAATAAGACCCTAAAAACAGTATTTTATAACATAATATTACAAAAAAAGAGAGAAACTTACAGATTCAAGCTCCTCTGTCTCAAGTTCTTCCAGTTCTTTGTTCAGTTCATCCTCATCGATATCTTCTCCAAATCCAACAGGGTTGCTGATAGCATTTGAAATTTCATTGGCTATATCGTGTTGTTCAGCTATATCATCCATTATATCATGCACATTGTCTATATCTCTGAAAAAAAAACACATATAATACATTAAGGTCGAGTTTTTTCTATAAAATAACTTACAGATTCTTATGGGCATATTTTAATGCAGCAGCTGCATCTTTCATAGAGATTAGAACAGCAGCATTGGTATTTGCCCCTTCTAAAGCATCCTTTTGTAATTCTAAAGTAGTTAAGGTTCCATCAACTTGCTGCAAAGTCTTCTCTAGTCTCTTTTTCTTCTTCAAAGCTTGTAAAGCAACTACAATAGAAAACACATTACTGTATCGTCGCTGTTAATAATTTCAACTCAAAATTTACCTCTTTTGTTCTTGGATGCATTCTTTCTAGCGACTAGAAGCAAATCGTCGATCTGTTTCTCGAGATATTCCTGTTTTTTCGTTAGCAAGTCTTGGGTTTCTCTTAGCTTTTGGATCGCATCGCTCGTGGAAGGAGCCTCTTCCTTTTTACCGCCGAATATCTTGCCGAAAAACGACATCTTGGTAGTTTAAAAACTAAATATCGCTTAAGGAATTGTTTAATTGTTGCAGAAAATAACTATGAGTCACTAGGTCCAATAAACAACGTAATTTTTCACTTTTCACTTTTTAGTTAGTCCATCTGACAGTTGTATGACAGTTTAGATAAAACCACAGAATAACTAATGGTTAAAACAAAATGACATTTGACAAAAGTCTTGTCAAAGCTGTCAAACAATGTTGTCAAATATCTTAAGTCTTAAGGAACAGTTACTTTTTTCATTTCTATTTCTATGAAAGGAATATTTTATTTAAAATGATAAAAATAATGCAATGAAAAATGGGATGTCATACTATTAATTTTTACCAATTTTTCTAAATACTAGGCTATTTTAGCTATCGCAGCTATTTTAATTTAAAAATTTAATTTTGTGATGTTGCCAAACTACCATTTTTATGTCGCCAATAGGGAAACCAGAGAGGGACAAAATATAAATAAATCTATTTTTCCAAAGAAAAATGCGATCTTTTGACCCGCGTTTCCCAGCATTCGTATTTTTAATCTAAATTAAATTGTATTTATCTCAATTAGTATATAAATAAACCACAGAGATACTTGTTAATCGAATTGATAAATTTTTTTATCAATTTTCAATAAATTCAACAACATTGTATGCCCAGTTTTGCTGTTCTAGGGAAACCAGAAACAATATTTTTGAAAATGTGGTGAACTATTACGTAAAAATACCGAAAAATAGGAAAAAGGTGAACAAATATGCCTGAAATCGAGGAAGAATACCAAGGTTAGGTAATATGTCATAATTTGTCAACAAATCAGCTGATTTTGTAATGTAGTTTTGACACTTTTTAAACAAATTACCATTTTTTCAATTTAGTTTGATAAAATGTTTCTTTCTTTTTTACGGAAAAAAATAGGTACTAATAAGGAGAAGGTCAAGGAGGTACAAAATGTTGATGAAATTAAGGACATGGTTTATGGTAAATATTATTAAATATAAAAGAAAATAAAAATTGAAGTGTTTGAATAATTCTAGACATACTTAGAACTATTAAAGACCCTGAAAAACCCAATACGTTGGAGGAATTAAATGTTATTTACGAAGAAGGAATAACAGTAAGAATAAATAATGTAAAATATCAAATATATTTTATTATTATTTTAGGTTAAACCAAATCCAGAACAATGTATAAACGTGATAAGAGTCGAATTCAACCCCACCGTACCCCACTGTTCACTAGCCACCCTAATAGGTCTGTGTATAAGGATAAAACTACAGCGAGACATGCCTTACCCGATTAAATTAGACATATACATCAAAGAGGGGGCTCACACGACCGAACATGAAAGTAAGTTATGTGTTTTAATTGAAATAATACCTCTAAAGGACGATTTTTTGTAGTTAATAAACAAATAAACGATAAAGAAAGGATAGCAGCAGCCATGGAGAATCCAAATTTAAAAGATATCGTTGAAAATTGTATAAAAGAGGAAGACTGAATTTATTTCAATTGGTTTTAATATGTTTTAAAATTTTGAATAAGTATTCGGTGACAATTTGTAATTATTATTATAATAAGGTAATGATATTTATTAAATATAAGTAACAGATCGTTATTAATTATTTTGTTTCTTACCAATTCAAATGGTCCTTAACTTCAATCATATAAATTGTTATTTTTTTAAAGGCCTTTGCTGCTAGGACTATGTGGATTTATTTTATATACGATCTTCTTCTTTTGTACGCCTTTGGCGCATTTTGTGGGTATACCCACTGATCTGAAACTATGTATTACATTCTGTCAAAAAAATTAACGTTGACAAATGTGAAACTTCAATTTACCGCGAATTTTTAGAAATGGTGGTCTCCTGTTTAAAAAAAAATAATCTAATTTTCTCAAAAATACACTAGTTAAAAACGTCTAAATAAAAAATTGTTGTCCTATAATCCACTTCTTGTTTTAACATAAATATGGGGGTAAGATTTTTTGTGATTTATTACTTCAATCTTTGTTTTAATAAACAATTGTGTTTAACAATAACAATAGGCATTTTAAACTAATTATACTGATATTTTTCAGAGAAAAACAGCAGCTAGTGTAGCTAAAGGCAAGGAAAAACGATTGCAACGAAAGGAAGAACAACAAAGATTACGCGAAGCTAAAGCTTTAGTTGAAAAAGCAAACAGTATAGAAAATCCGCTTCAAGATTTTCCAGTATTTCAAAAATATAACAAGAACGGTCTTACAGCTGATATAATATACAAAAAAAGCAGTGATTTAGATGAAACTGAAAGGACTTGGGTGCTGAATCTTACTAGGAGAAACATGCAACTAAAGTAAGTAATTTTTGAAGTCTGTATATGACTTTTTTTACTTATTTGCTTCATTTTGTTAAGATATGAAGCTTGCTCGTGGAATTGGAACGATACAAAAAAATCAGAAGAACTATATGACGAAGCAGCAAGATTTCTTATTGCGAAAAGCACAGAGGACGGTTCCTATTTAGGGTTTAGTCATTTTAGGTTTGATATGGAAGAAGGAATTGAGGTTTTATATTGGTAAGAGTGCAAACATTTTAATTCTTGATTAGTTATTTATATTTTTGTTCTTTTTTAGTTACGAATTACAGCTAGAAAGTATTATTCAACGAAAAGGTTTGGGAAAATTCTTGATGCAAGTCTTGGAACTGATGGCATTTAAAAATAACATGAAAAAAGTTGTTTTGACTGTGCTGAAACATAATCCACATTCAAAGTTTTTCAGAGCTGTTGGGTATGAGTTAAAATATCAAATAATAACTTTATATGCTTATTTTTTTATAATTCTAGGTATGAAGTGGACGATATATCCCCTTCAGATGATGAAGAAGAGACTTACCCCTACGAAATCCTGAGTAAAGTCAACAAAAGACTGGCCCAAACATTGCCAGCGCCTGTTATAAGCAAAGCTCACAGTCATTCTCACTCAAACGGTCACTGTTGTACTGGCCACCATCATCATTAGAAATAGTTTATGACAAATATTCTCGTTTGAAAGTATTTTACAATAATAAGGCATTTTAATTTTATACTATAAAACTTTAAGCTAATAAAGTAGGTCTATGTCAATTAAAAAAGTGTGTTTTTTTATTTCCACTATGTATTTAGATGGTTTGAGAAAGATTTAAACTATTGTACAATTAAAATTATGAAATTTTCTTTGTAAAATAAGTTTCTTTTCACCACTCTGTAACATAGGGTGGTTCTATGGTTACTTATTTTTTTGAGGTATGTGAAAAAATTTAACTCTTTTGGAGTCTATACTAGGGATGGGATTTTTTTTTTATCGATATATCGATACGTATCGATTGATTATCATCGAAATATAAATATTTCGATAGTTTTTCCAAAACATATTTTTTTCCGAATTTTAAACTACACCATTTAAAAATAATTTTTACTCAATATAAAAGTAAATTACAACCTTCTCAAGGCCACCTCTCAGCAAGCGCCATGACTACGAACCAAGTAAATAACGTCTAGGGCTTGACCTCGCCAAAAGTGTTATCGATTGTCAGTCGCCAGCCGACTTTGACACCGTTTTTTTTTCATCATAAGCTATCTATGATTAGGAATGGAATTTTATTCGACATACATATTGATAACCATCGATAATTATAATTATCTACAGGGTGTCATTGAAATGGTGTAAAAAAAAAATCGTTTTTAAAGCAATAAGATGTTTTAGAAATCATGAAATTTTGATTTTTCAATGAATTATTTGATAACTACTTGGTTACTTTTTGAACCGCCAGAACTTTCATAAGTTTATGTTGATTAACCATCAGTTAGCAACCCATCAGGGCGAACTCTTTGTCTTCAATTTTCTCGAAAACCATCGCTCTGGGCGATGTGCAACAAGAGTATCTTTTTTGTAGGGAAAAGTATGTATAGTTTTCAAAAAAATAACCTCAAAAAAGTTATTCGCGAAACAACCTCCTACCCTTGCAAAAACTACCCTTTCCGCTTTTCCAAATAATTTTTCAGTATCACCATTTGATTAAGGGTCAAAATTTATGACAGAGGATTTTTTTTCGAAATTTTATCTTGTTTTTTAAGCTTACAATTTCAAAACATCCGTTTTTTAAATTCACCCTTTCAGTGCCCCTAACTCCCTTAATATGCATTTTCCGCCCTATACTTATAGGAACTTTTTTTACTATTTTTAGGAGTACTATATATCACCCCCCGATTTTTTTTTAGACCACCCGATTTTTTCAATGACACCCTGTATACATAGCATATTATCAATCATTATATTACCGATAGTTATCAACTGATAACTATCGGTAATTTGATAGTCTAAAATATAACGATAGATGAATTGCGATAAGTTATCGATACGCAAAATTTATTAGCCCATCCCTAGTCTATCAACAGGGTTGGTGATATTTTTTAAAGGATATCCAAAAAATATTTTCCTACGTTATTTTATTTAAAAATAGTATTAATAATTGTTAAATAGATAAAAATAATTAATATAAGACAACAAACAATTCATAACAAATACTATTACAAGAAACATGATCAAATATAACATTTTCTACTAAAACACTAAAAATATAATAAAAAATAATAGTTATATAAATAAAATAGACAAAAAATTCAACAAAAATTATGGTAAAGGTGTGGATCCGGTGGCTGACCTTGAAGCCCATATTTGCTGCATTTGATCATCGATACTACGCAAGCGCACATCGTCGGTGTTGCCAAATTGCAGTTTATTTTCGAATTCTTTGCAGTTCAAAATTATTTTTTTTGAGTGTGAATCAGTAATAATACAAATTCTATAATTAAGTTTATAATTTGAGACTTATCTTGTTATCCAAAATTAAGGTAAGAAGGAAAATGAAGATTGTGAAATGAAAGTATTATGAGTATATAAAATTGTAATAATAATAACGTATGTATTTATATATTTACATTAGAATTAAAAATTATCATTTACGGATTTTTTCTTAATGGTTTTAAACTTATTAGAATTTTTTGTATCATCAATATGACACATCATTTATTACATCAAGTTGTTTAATTTCTAGTTATTTACAGGCAACAATAGTTTTGGTTATATGTATTAAAGTACTACCATGACGAGTCTTATAGAACAATACACGTCAATGGGAGATAGAGGTAACATTTTACCTACTTTGATTATAATGTTTGTATCATAGTTTCTTAAAAATATCAAGTTAGTAGATTAATAGCAATTTTAGACATATATTTTATCGAAGAGTGTGTTGATAAGACTAAAATAAGCTTTATGTTTTATCTTTTTTTCTTTAGAAGGGAGATGGCTTGTGTCGTAGAATACATTACAGTATTTAATATCGTGTACTTTGATATTCTTTTCTTAATTTACTGTAATTAATTGTTTCCTAAAATGCCAAATCTTGACAATATGGTGAAGGTTGAGTTTTGATCTTATTAGTTTTATACCTATGTTTATACAAGACTACAAGACCAAATTAAGACTTAGTTAGTTTGTGATTTATATTAAGCTCTTTCTTATAATATTTGTTATGTCTTAATCTTAATACTATATCATGCTTTGTCTGGAAAATAAATGTTAAAATATCTTAATTTTCATATCCTATTCCATCCTTCCATTAGGAAAAATATGGTTTATAAATCATATATGCTAAGAAAATCACATACATTAGGTGTAAGAATAGATTGCTACCGAAGGTAGCAGAAAATTAATACAATATATGTATAGCAGAATTAAACAAGGTAACTGTTAATGTTGCTGAAGCTGATTCTACATTTTAATTACGGAGGCTAAAAGGCCTTAGAAAGCCTCCGTAGTTTTGATGGAATGTTAAAAAAAACTATTATGAACATGACATGGAGCTACAGCATTTAAAAATTAAAAAAAAAGAAAAAACTTGGACACATCCGAATTTTTAATGAAGCACTTTTTAAACGTAGCATAATAATCTACAGCAATTAGATTAATTATGGGAATCTAGAGTTTTATTTCTATTTAATTTTATTGACTATGAAAATACATAGTAAGCGTTCACGTGTTGTGCGAAATATTAAAATAATAATATAAATATATACCGCGTACTATGATTGAAAAAAAATAGCGTCAGCGATGACTATGAAATAAAGATCGCTGTCATTTTATATGGGAAATGTCCTCAATCGTCATTTCCCAGCCAACTGGACGCCGTTTTTTCGATCATACGGTATATATATATATATTGACAAAAAAACACTGAAAAGCACATATTTGTTTTCTACTGAAAATAATTCCAAAATAACTTGCAATCTGGCAACATCGAAGATGTGCGCCTGCGTAGTGTCTGTGATAGAGATGGGCGGTTATTGGTAAAAATCCGGTTATAGGTTAACCGGAATTATCTTTAAAAAATAATAACTTGACAAAATTAACCGACACAAATTAACCGGTTATTCAAATAACCTAACCTAGCAAAACTAAATATTTAGTTTTCCTATAGGTTTACTTACCTCTACACTCCATAGGTCTACTTCAAATTTAGATAATAAACTTAGTTAAATCGCATGATTAAATAGAGATTGTAGCAATGTAAGTATGTATATGTACAAAATGAGTTTAAATAAAAATGCTAACCTCACTTTTTTGACTAGACATGGATATGATATTAAAACTAGTAATTACTTAACGTTCAAATAAACCACACAACTCACAAGTTCTACAATCTACAACCAATTTATTTTAATCAAATACCAAAGAAAAATAAAGAGATTAAAATGAATAAATAATGAAAGATTATCTTCATTCATTACTTGAACTTCAATTTTGTATTCTTAGTCTAAGCTTCAAGAGAGACTTCAAACTACAAATAAAATATATTTACGGTGAAACGTGGGTGAAACTGGGCGAAACCATGGAAAACTTTTGAAGAACCGTTGAAAATCCGTTAAAGTCGGTTAAAATTTAAATATAGAATTTAGAGAATCTATTTGAAGTTAGGTTCGTATCACTTGGCTAGCTGGTGGCTAGTAGTAGTCTATGCCATTAGTACTTTGTTTTACGGCCTGACCTGTCAGGGCCATTTGGCCGTTGTTTTGATTATTATCATCAGGGTTCGCCTGATGCCTGATTTAATTTTGACATTTGATGTTTGATGTCATATATTTTCGTTTTGGGAGCGGGAGCGGGATCTCCCGTTATCGTCGTAATATCTGGAAGATCCGTGCCGTTCGCTCCTTCGAAATTTACGATTCAAACAGCTAATATTTAATTGTTACTTATTTTAAACAAGTACGATTTTTTAAAAAATAACCGGCTATAGGTTATTGAACGTAATGCAAGGTTATTAGGTTAACTGGTGAAAAAAAAACTACCTTTAAATAACCGGTTATTTTAGAGGAAAATACCGGTTATTCAAAAAACCGGTTACTTTTGCCCATCTCTAGTCTGTGATTATATGCAGCAAAAACTCGTTTCAAGGTCAGCCACCGGATCCACACCATTACCAAAATTATAATAAAGTGTCGAGAAATACCTTCGAAATTTGCAGTTTCTCGATCGTAGAATACCTTTCTATGGGTAAGTAGTGTTTCTTGACAGTCATCCGTATACAGGGTGTCAAAACGGTATCGACATACCACTCGATGTCCTTCAACTTGTACCGCTGACAATACTCTTCAGATTCCAGGCCCTCTATGGTGCTGTTTAGTGTTCGGTAAGCTACATAAAGGGAGCTGGCGGCTAATAGGACTGGGTCCGTAACGGGATAGGGCTCGTACAGCGTACAACATTCCATGGCAAAAGTGGAGGCGTATATCAATTTCTGGAAAGCCAAAATCATATTACTTTCATCTATATGATATGTTACTAAGGCCGATATTTGTAAAATGTCGATTCTAAATGCTCATCTCTAACATACAGGATGGTTCTTAAGTAAGTGTTCGATCTGGGCAAAACAAACATATTTTCTATATGCTATTTTTTAAAAGAAATTGAAAATAACTCAGTTATTTGACACTGAAAATTGAAAAATAGTAATACTGACATTTTGAGAACCACCGGCTCTCGGATTATTCAACGCCCTGTGTTGCCACATGTACGGGAAAGTACTTAATTTGTGTACCGAGGGCAAAGTTACTCTCCCGAAGGCCTATGGCCCGAGGGTCAATAATTGCCCGAGGTTATTAACACTTTGTAATTCCTGTGGGGCATAGATAATTTTATTTCTTACTGAATTTAGTATATTTTGTCCCATTTTAAAACGACACAAATGATGCATTTATTAATCTTCAGGTACATCCAGGCTGAGAGCGTCGAGCGTCGCGTCGCGTTTGCGTCGCGTCCGCGTGTCGAAATGGAATCAATTCAATTAACTTAAATTAGACCGTTCAGGCAGACAGCGTCGCGTTTGGCATTGCGCTAGCGTCCCGTGAGCGCCAGGACCATGTAAGTGAAATATTAAAAATGGTTCCACCAAAAGTTTCCCAATTATGACGGGTGAGGGCGCTGATCGTCAAAATTTTTGTACAGGGATTTTGCTTACCGACAATACGACGTGAGCTACGACCGGACCAGGACCAATCAGAATGATCAGTCTTTCTTGGACATTTGCCGTGGAAGAAGTGTGGTTGTGTTTGCAGTTTGATTTTTCGGTTTTGATATTATGTTAAAATTAATTTTGAAGTATTGTATCACCTGTTTTTATGTAATAGTACTTTTTTTAGTTCTATGATCTGATATGTTATGATTTGTTAATGTTTGTTTAACAATGATATACCAGGATATACCAAAGAGGTTATACTTAATATATCAATTTGCATAGCATAACTTTTTTATCAATAAACTTTGTAGATTTTCAGATTATTTAATTCCTTTTGTTTCCGTTTGTAATTTTATTTTTAAGACATACTATGTGATTGTTTCACATAATATGTTTTAAAAATAAAATTGCAAATAGCGAATAAAAATAATTAAAATAAAAAAGTGTATTTTACAATTCCCCCCGGCCCCGCACCCCTTTGGCTATCCTGTAAAGGTCAGCTACAACGAGAGATGGCGCTACGAAAATGGAACCGATTTATTACAAGGAACTTGGGCTTATTTTTCGTTAGTATATTCTGTGCTGAGCGTCGGGGTTCGAGTTCAATGGGGCGGATGCGACGCAAACGCGACGCGACGCTCGACGCTCTCAGACTGAATGCACCTTTAGAGTTTCAAGTAAGTTTGGAAGTACTATACCTGGTCATTTTCGAGATTTAAAGAAACTAGATATCCGTATAGGAATATCAGGGGATCCGCTATGTTGAGACAGAAATCCAAACTGGACAGAACTGCCCTCTCCATTGATAATATTTGACTTTTTGAGTACTTCCCTCCGCTGAACGTGTGCAGATGGGTGGCCTAATATAAAAGATAATATACTGAGTGTAATTATACCGGGTATTTTTCAAATTCGGTTCTCACTGCTGGACGATTTGAGAAGAAATTGAGATTGCAAAATTAGATGTTAACAACTTTTGTCATACGACATGTTGTGTCGTGTAGGTACCTACATTAACGAAAATATACAAACCTTAATAGATCTGTTCATTCCATAAAACTTTGCACTGATCCATAGACTGACCAATGAGGCAAGCGTGTACGAGTTGTTTTTTAATTTTAAACTGACGATTGAATAGTCAAATATCCTTACTGCCATGAAATATAAATATACTGTTTCAGAAGTTTGCAGATAGTTGTCCTAAAACAGAAAATATATAAAAAAACTTCTAAGTAAAGAAAGACTTAGAAGGCTTCTAAGAAAAAAACAAGAACGTTATGTGTATACCGGGTTTATTATGTGTATACCCTTTGTATAGTCTGTGAAACGAATAACTTTGAATTTGACAGTTCCCGCGGGCTTTTCTAGTGTTAATTTTATTAGGTTAGCAACTTGCGGCCATGCTGATGCCGTCTCTACTAGAACAGCCCCGGAGCGAGATTTATGACGTCACGCTAGTTAGATACTACGGATTAATTATGTTGTAGAATGATGGAAAACATAATTATTCCTCGTATATCTAATTTTTAGGATTATATTCGACACTATTTTTTTCATATGACATAAAACTGATGAAGTAATAATAAAACTAGTAACAATTCTTCCTCTTCTTGCAAAAATCAAGGCGAAATGTCATAATTGACAAAAGTAAAATGTCATCAGCCTTTGACATTTCTAAATATCAGACCAATGTCGTCTCTAATAGAACAGCCTCGGAGCGAGATTTATGACGTCACGCTAGTTAGATACCACGGATCAATAAATATGTTGCACATAATTGTTCCTCGTATTTTTGGTTTGTATTTTAAAAATGATATAATTTACATGAAATATACATAATATACAGTTAATAAATACAATATATATATACCTATTTATAGTAATAAATACTTTGGCAAATAAGTTATGAACCATACAAATGCAGCAAATATTTTACAATATACAAATAATGAATAGGTACCTAAGATAATGGGTAAAATGTAAAATATATTTTAAATTTTGGGGTTTGAAAATCGATCTAATTTAACAAAAAACATTCAATATCTACTAATAGTGATATATTATTTGCATTCACAAAATTTATATGTATATTTTGCAAGCATCAATGTTCGAAAAATCATATTTGCAAATAATACAATATCATAGAAAAAAAGGCGTCAGCAATGGCTATGAAATAAAGATCGCTGTAATTTTATATGTAAAATTATTCTAAAATTTTTTATTTTCTTGGGATTTAGGTTCGGCAAAAGCGCTGATTAAGTTTTCATTTGGTTTTTCATTATTTTTTTTTGGTTAAAAAAAACGTTATAGCTAACGTTTATAGCCTTCATCAGTGTTGTGACATATGAAAAAAATAGTGTCGAATATAATCCAAAAAATTACATATACGAGGAATAATTATGTTTCCCGTGTATTCTCCAACATAATTAATCCGTAGTATCTAACTAGCGTGACGTCATAAATCTCGCTCCGAGGCTGTTAGAGACGGCATTGCATCAGCATGGCCGCAAGCTGCTAACCTAATAAAATTTACACTAGAAAAGCCCGCGGGAACTGTCAAATTCAAAGTTATTCGTTTCATAGACTATACAAGGCATTATGTGGAGTTCTACCTCGAAAAGCAGCTAGAATAATTTCTCTCATGTTGTTGACAATAGTTGGTAGAGTTTTGTAAAAACTGTCTTTAACTTATCCCTATAAAAAAACAGACTACATAAAATCAGGAGCTTTTAAGTATTCTTTTAATTGGTGAATGCACACTGCATTTACCAACTAACGGAATCATATCAATTCTCTCTGATGTAGGATAAACTTGCATTTTCGGCAAATTTCTGAGATTTTTTTTTGTTTTAACTGACACAAGATGATAACTAATTGTTAAAGTTGGACTAATTAGACAGCTATATGTTGAAGTAACGTCAGACACACGTCAGACATATCACAGCCACCTAGATTTTATCAAATAATAAATATCTACTCAGATCAAATAATCATATAATGAAAATATCTAGGAAAATCTTTGTTTGAGGGGCAGGCAACCTTAATAGTATTTTGAAGAAACATGAATTCCCCATTGAATATCGGAATAATATACTGGGTGTTCCATTTAAAATAAAAGAGTAACATGATTTTAAATGTGACCAATGATCAATATTAATTTTATCTCATCCTGTATAACTTTTTGGATCAAGTTTTAATTTGATTTAAAGTACAATAGTTAATTTAACTATATATTAGGCTATACCGGGTAAATTCCAATTTAGGTTGCTTTTATTGTAATTTAAAAATTGTTCTTTATTTCTAGAAAATGTTAAATATGTCAAAAACCTTACATTTTAGTCATATACTTCTCTTATAAAATTCACCATTATTTTTCTCCCAGAACCCGAAAATCAATTAATATATAGGGTTCCATTACAAATAACATAACTTTGATATGTAACTTTTTTGGGGGACACCCGGTAGAACTCTCTATATTTTTAAAAAGTCCTCTGAATTAACCTACATATGCTCACAAAATTTCATTTCCATAATATTATACATAACTACATTGCCACTCTGTAAACGTCAATTACAATAGCAATATTTAAAATATCTCTTCACCTGCATATTTTTGAGAAAAATGTTGTTTTCTGATTGGCCATCACACCCGGTAGATACATGCATAATTTTTCATAATATGTTACACACGCTTTTTTTTAACTTACGGTGATTTCTAACAGCCTGTTGACAGATGCTGTTCTAACCCTTGTGTCTACAAAAGTATTCAGCCATTCCATTTTTAGCAGATAGTTGTATCTGTTTTGATATAAATACTGTACAATATCCTGGAAAAATATAGAAAAATATAAATTAAAAAAAATCCAAGAATTTTGGACCATATAAAAATAACATACCTGTAAATAGTTCGGACATAAAAGCAAGGGAAATGGTATTTGACGATCTAAAAATTATTAAAATATATTTTAATAATGCATCACATTATCAAGATTATACTAAGAGTAAGAAGTAACTATAAAGGGTCCGGTCTTAAGTTATTATTAAATATGTTTTGATAGTTTCAGAGATTATAATAAGTAAATAAAACATATACCGGGGGGTGCGTCTCAAAAGTTGCTCACCCCCTATAACTTTTTTATTTTTTCAGATACAAAACGAGATTTGGTACATTAGTATAATATGGCATAAATTAGGATTGATTGACGTATTCAATTGTTTTTTATTACTTCCTGTTTCACCGGAAATGACTTGAACTTTTGATTTATAAATGGCATCCTCCGTATAAATAAATAAATAAATAAATAAAAACGCCTTTTTAAGCTATTTCTATGACACTTAATCCGGGTGCGTCTCACAAGTGCCTCACCTCCTATAACTTTTTTATTTTTTCAGATAAAAAACGAGATTTGATATCTTAGTATATGTATGACATAAAATGGTATTGATTGATGTATCCAATTGTTTTTATCACTTTCTGTTTCAATGGAAATGACTACGACTTTTGATTTTTAAATGGGACCCTCGGTATATTTCCACTTTATTCGATAGGAAATGACACTCTGCGGTTCATAACGGCAATTTGACTCGAAATACCAAGTGTGTGGTACCAAATTATTCGTAAAAAATGCTTTTTCCAAATATGCTAATGATCCACCCTTGTTCTATTTGAAAAAATTTAGATAAGATTAAAAATACGATTTGGTCATCTTTGAATCCAGCCAGGACAAGACACGAAAAACATTAGACGATCAGATCTATTTTTCCAAGGCTCCTTGATTCAGTAGCGTAACTTCAAATGTGAGCCCCCCACCTCCCGCAAGATTTTTTTGGGGCCCTTATATTAAAATAAAAAAAAAACACTAAAAACATAATATAGTTTTATGTAGGTATATCAAGCCATTTAAAATAAAAGAACAAAAAATAAATTTATTCCAAACAAGAAAAAAAATAATAAAGGAACATAAAAAATAAAACATGACTTAGTAAATAAAATTGGAGGCCCCTGCGGTGCCCCCAAAATCACGAGGCACCCCCACCGTTGCGGGTGCTGCGGGGCCTACGCTACACTACTTCCTTGATTAAAAATTAGTATTTTTAACACAGCCATGGCACAAGTTTTGACATTTACGCTTAAAAAAAATCATATTTTCATTCAGAATGTCATTTTCTATTGAATAAAGTAGAACTATACCGAGGGTGTCATTTAAAAATAAAAAGATGTAGTCAATTCCGGTGCAACAGGAAGTAACCAAAAACAATTGAATACGTCAATCAATCCTGATTTTTGTCATATACTAACATACCAAATCTAGTTTTTTATCTAAAAAAATAAAAAAGTTATAGGGGTGAGCCACTTTCGAGACGCACCCGGTATATTTGTCAGCCTTTCTTATAGAATGTTCAAAATTCTAACTTTCTCACATATAAAATAATTTTTCTTCGTTTTTTTTATTCGAGTATTTAGAGTATTTCAAAATTTTTAACAGTTTTGCAGATACTCGCGGTATTATCACAGATTATAGTATTATCTCATATGGGCTCTTTCAATGGTAAAAAACGAGAGAAAAATTATTGATTGGTTGGCTTTGATTCAAATTTACTGTGGAAAATGCCATATGAAATATAAAACCGCGAATATCTACGAAACCGTTAAAAATTTTGAAATACTTTAAATACAAGAAAATTTAATTTCTTAATTATTAATCTATTAAAAAAGATATACAGAGTGTCCCATTAAAAAAAAAGTAAGAAAAAGTATTTTATACTTTAGAAAGTTTGGCGTAGAATTTTGAACATCCTGTGAAACATAAGATTACGATATTTACAGCAAAGTAAGTACAGACCAGCTAAAGTAAATACCTAATATAGTTCTGATTTCAGGACAGTTCTTGTATTTTTAATAATTTTTTTTAGAAGGGCTGAAAAATAGTATTTTTTATTAATGTAACTGAAACTACCAAAAAATATTTAATAATATCTTAAGATTACGTAATGTGATCAGAAAGGAAGCCATAAATGCAATAATATACACGGTGTTCCATTTAAAAAAAATCATCCCGATCGTCTCACATTTTTTTGAGCCACCCTGTAGAAGTTAAAATATTTTCCTGAAATACATCCTAGTACATACTTTAGGTTTGCACTTACACAAAATTCCCAAGTTTTTTATTCTAGGAGCTACAGATGCCCCCGACGCACTTTTGCCGGACCCTGTATAACTCCTCTAGATTTACTTATGTTTTTGGGTATACAGGGTGGTCCGAATTGTGTTCCGGAAACTTCGGCAGCATATTCTGCAGATAAAAATAGATAAAAAAGTTCGTATAAATGTACGTTTGTCCTAAAATGGTTAGTTTCGGAGATACAGGGTGTAGAAATTTCATTTTTATTTCGATTTTTTCCAAATAATTTCTGAAGTTACATCAATATTTAGATGCAAAATTGATGTCTGGGAGTTTTTTGACATGAGAAATTCGATTTTGATGTCAATATGACTTCTACTGGTAGAGACCAGTCCTACTGGTACAGACCCAGACACGAATTTTAATCCAAATATTGACGTTACTGCAGAAATTATTTGGAAAAAATAGAAATAAAAATGAAACTTCTACACCCTGTATCTCCGAACTAAGCATCTTTGGACATACATCTATAAGAACATTTTTACTTAATTTTATCTGCAGAATATGCTGCCGAAGTTTCCGGAATACAGTTCGGACCACCCTGTATATGCACTTACTGGTAGTAGATCGCCGATTTAAGGTGGATTTAACTGCGGGTTTGTGATTTTTGACTTGAAACGAATTAAAAACACTTCTTACCGGTACTGCTTCTACTGTTGGCAGACTGGATATCGGTACTGTTGTATCAGAATTTCGAGAATTTCTTGCTAGTACCCCTATTAACGAAATCACCTATACATGTAGTAAAGTCGTCAGATATGATATACAGGGTTTCCCATTTCCGTGTGATTTACAGGGTTTCTCATTAATGAGTAGAAAGTAGTACAAAGATGGCGGTTTTCATCCCGTGCTACTTTTTTTTATGAAACTAAAGATATACATGCTACACACAGATTTGCCCTAGCCCTCTTAGTTCTTGAAATACAGGGCGAATTTGAAATTGTTGCATTTTTTGACTCCCCTCGTATTACGGTTATCTTATAACTTATCGAAAAGGTGAAAACTGAATCCCTTAGAGTTTTTCACGTAGAATTCCAGTGGCGTAACTAGATTTTCGATGAAATCTGTCATTCTTGAAATATGACCCAAACTTATGTTTTTTTTTAAATTTTATACCCTGTCAGTGGCTGCTCGTGACCCGTGGGACTGGGTAGGCGTCAAAATTTTAGTTGCATCTATTTGCCCCTCCCCCTCCCCTAAATTTACATAATTAAACCCAGTTCGTAAATATAAACGGGTTAAAAACATACCCAGATCAAGAATATTTAGGACAAAACTAAAGCAAAAATAGCAGCATTGAACGTAATGACATAATGATTGACATAATGTACCAGTATATGTTTTTTTCTCCTCAGATGTTAATTTTTAAGTACTTTGATAAATAAGGTAGATAGCAGTACCATGGAGTACATTATAGGATTTTATTTTATTTTATTTTATTTATACGCAAACTTAAAAATTCGTAAGTACATCTAGACAATTAAATTTACAAAGAAAATATTCTCTTATTCATATATGTATCTACATATACAGGGTGATTCCTGTAAGTCGGTCATGCTTTCGGGGAATGATCGAAATATTAATTTTGATATAGCACACTATGGGTCGGAAATGCCTCTTACGCAAGATACAGGGTGTTAAAGTTTTAGAAAAATTAAAGATATTCTTTAATAGTTTTTTAACAGTTGAAGGTATCGTTATAAAATTTCATTATAGGAGTCTACCTAACAGACACTTTAAATGTAAAAAAAGAGGTTTTAGTTTCAACCAGTGGCGTAGATGTGATACGCATCGGGTAATTTTTCAAAAAAAAAATAGTACGCCACTGATAAAAATAAAAATTTCGTTTTTTTTTATTCACTCGGTTTATTTCCAAGAAAAAATGTCTGTTGCAACTTTCTCCTATCTAACACCATTTTGTCACAATTTAAAAATAAATAATTTTTTTAATGAGAATCTTAAATACAGCGAATTATTATAACTAGAGTCTTTTTACATTTAAAGTGTCTCTGTTAGGTAGACTCTTATAATAAAATTTTATAATGATACCTTCAACTGTTATAAAAATATTAAAAAATATTTTTAATTTTTCAAAAACTTTAAAATCCTGTATTTTGCGTGAGAGGCATTTCCGACCCATAGTGTGCTATATCAAAATCAATATTTCGACGTCCCCCCTCATTCCCTGAAAGCATGACCGACTTACAGGAATCAGTATATTTCGAGACTAATAAAAAAAGGAAGTCGGTCTCTTAATAAAGAAAAGCTATTTATTATTATATCAGTTAAATCATTAGATTGTTGAAGGGTTGTGAAAAGATCTTTTTAGAGAGTAGTAAGGCAAGTGACGATAAACTTTTATTTTTCATGGAATTTCTACTGTAAATTTTAATGCATTTCAAACATAAAAAATGGCTCTCAACCCAAGTACTTGTAAATGGTATAGTAACAATCAAAACAAACAATTTGAAATATATTTCCAGAGACTTTAAGAGAATGATCCTGGAAATATATTTCCAGGATCATTCTCTTTAAATTATTTCATAATCGAAATTTTCATTCTTTTGTTGTAAAGATTGTAGGGTAGGCGCCGCCTACCTTGCCTACCCTGACGAGCCGCCACTGTACCCTGTATATTATTTTTTCATTTTATTTTCCTTATTATGATCTCAGATATAATGCAAAACCTGTAAAACACACAAAATCGGCCACCCTGTATATGGTAAGAATAAAAAAGTTAAGGAAATAGTATAATGCTAGTTTCAAGATAATAATCTTCACTGGTAAGTACCTATACAGAACGAGTCTTAAATAAGTGCAAATATGTATTGGTTTTTTTGGTAAAAAAATAATGTTGAAAATCGTGCATTTTCTTTAAAATTTTCCTGTATATTATAGAAAACTTTTTAGGGCTGCCTGGCCCGAATTCTGTAACGTAGAAAACGCTAAGCGCTTTTAGACGCTCAGCGTATATGACGTTAATTTTTGCTGAGCGCGCACTTAACTAACGATTTGGGTATTCTCGTCTGACGCGCTTAGCGTCTTTACTGATTGCGTTAAGCGCTTTGAAAACGGTTGCCTTAAAGGATCGTTTTGCTTGTCGAACTGTCAGTGAAAATCGAAAAAATTGTGATTTCGTGCGTTATCTTGCCCTTTAGTGAAAACTAGTACTTGTTCTATAAATTCCTAAATAAGTAATCGACAAATTACAAGTTGGTAGCTATAAATATTGTTCAAAACATTGAAAATGCTGAGAAGCTCGTATAATAAGAATAATGACATATCCATAGAAAAATAGGTTGACATAACTCAACAATAGGTTATAAAATTCACGTAACATTGACATTTTTCATTGTTTTAGTCACATTTGACTATTAGATACCTGCGAAATTATGATGCTGTCAATATGTGCTCAATGCGTATCCAGAAAACGATTCGCACAGCAACGAGAATACCAAAATCGACTGCTTGACGTTCCGCTTATCGCATACTTTCGCTCACCGCTTTGAAAGCGTAACGTTTTTATGTCAAAGTTACAGAATTCGGGCCTAGATTGAGATAGCTAATAATGATAATAATTTTGATTGATAATAATGATAATAATAATAATCTAGATAATAACGTATTGCAGTAGGGTAATGTCAAATACAACAATATTAGAAACATCCTAAAAAGTGACAGCGGCCGACTAGATTTTTTCCTAAAAAAATTACAGCTGCCCACTAGATTCTTTATCTAAAAATGTTTTTTGTCCTGACATGTAATGCTTTACATTTTATTTTTTAATTTCAAATCGGTGAGTTTTATCAAAAAAACACAAGAGATAAAAAAGTTTCTAAATAAACTAAACCATCAAAATTATTTTTTTTTTGCATGTGTTTGATAAGATTTTTCTATAAATTTCATTAACAAGAATGATAGGGGTGGTTTATTTGAACCCCTTCCACTCATTTTAAAAAAGTGAAAAAATTACCAGAAAGTGTGTTTTCATAACAGTAATGCTTCCGTAAAATTTCATTAGTCTATCTCTTTTCGTTTTCAAAATAAAAAATAAAAACATTATTTTCCCGCCATCTTTGTACCGCGATATCTCCCTAATGGTTGACTTTTGACCCAACGTTTATAAAGCAAACTACCCTTTATTTTGAACAAGGAATCACCCCCTGAAGTTTTTCGCATTTCGAAGTTTTTCGCATTCGCTTTCGATTTATTATAATTTTCTTCCAAGTACTTTTAGCGATTCGAATGAAATTTTGAGGGTAAAAGTTACTATCAGTGCTACAAAAGGTGCTACATATTCTAATGCTAAAAAAGTGTCGATAAATTCATCAGGGACTTGTATATGGGTTATCACTGGAATATTTTTCAAAAAAAAACATGTGCTCCACTGACTTCTTTTTCTTTTGATATCAAAATTGTGTAATGCCCATTAAAAGTTATCTCTTGATATTTTATCGAATTCGGCCTCCTTAATAAGATAATCGCAATTTTATTAATCACAATTAATAAAATTAAACTGAAAATTAAATTAATAAATTATATATTCTACCTAATTTATTATTAAATATTATTGCTATTTGTTATTATTACTATTATTCACCACCTACAGCAATTTCAAATAAAGAAATAATGGTATTTAAGATAAATTAATACAAAAAGCCTTTAACATCCTATAACTCTAAAACTATGCATTTCCATACTCATGTTTATAGGAACTTTTTTTCATATTTTTTGATGAGGAATCAATGAGTACTACGTTAATGATATTAAATTTTTTTGAAGGTTGCTATTATATTAGACTTGGATCAAGGCAAATGAATCTTAGCATTTATCTCATCAAGGAGGCCGAAATCGACAAAATATCAAGAGACAATTTTTAATCGGCATTAAACTACTTATTATTATTACTATATCGCTAACAAGAGAAAAAAGTCAGTGGCGTACCGGCTTTTTTAGAAAAATATTCCAGTGATAATCCATATGCACGTCCCTGGTGAATATGTCGACAGTTTTTTAACTTTAAAATATGTCGCTTTATCGTCGCGAAAACGTTAAAAGTACTTGGAAGAAAATTAAAATAAATCGAAAAAATATTAAGACTTTGACACCCTGTAGCTACGAAACAATGCAGAATCGGACCTATGTATGTTGATATAAAAAATAAATCTTATTTTTACGTGAGGAATCTCTCCACGAGAGATGGCACATGTTTTTTGAAACACCCTGTATTTACCTTGAAAAAACATCGCACCATCTATAAAAGGCTCTTCGTCACAGAAATACCAGGTATCCCTAGTATATTCTATATTACCCAGGAAGCGGGAAGAAGATGTCGATTCTTCCTGAGTTAGAGTGATGAAATGTTGAGCTGGCAACGTAGGACACTCGTTCAAATCACGTCTTTTTATTGGCTGGGAGATGGTACAAGATTGTTGTATTGGTAACTTGGAACTAGTAACAGACGTTTTGGACGACGACTGGGTTTTCGAAGAGGTACTACTTTTATTATTTATTGTTATTTTGGTACCTGTTTTAGGTATGGTACCAGTATTTAACGATGTGGTTTTTGATGGGATTTTTACCTAAAAAACAGAAAAAAATCTGAATTTTTTTAGCCACACTTGCATGCAGGGTTATCTCAATATTCCAGGAATATAGATCTACTAAGTATTTTTGGAATCAAATTAAATTAATCGAATTTTGACCCAATTTTTTTCAGTTTAAAATACATGATGAAGAGATTTTATAAAAACCTTGTTGTTTTAACACTGTTTACAATATATTCAAACTGGTAAACAAACAATTATTTCATTAATTTTCAACAAATTAATAAGAACGGACACAAAAATAAAGTAAAACGCATTTTTTAGGAATTTTTGACAACAGAAATATAGCTTGGCTAAGAAACCTATAGATATTAAAAAGGTGTCTGCACTGGTGTATACTGGTGTATACGGTTGCGAGTTGTTGAGGGCTGAGCCGTTTAATCTTTTTCTTCTATATATATATATATATATATATATATATATATATATATATATATATATATATATATATATATATATATATATATATATATATATATATATATATATATATATATATAAATAATATTTTCTTGCCTTTAGCTGTGTATTTTTTTCTAATTTCGAAAAATCGAAAGTAGAGAAAAAATTAAAAAAAAAATTAAAAAATAAAAAATAAAAAGAAAATTGTTTTGCTTATAATTGCAATAATTTGCAATAATTTATATAAGGTCTACATAAAAAAAAAAATTTTATGTAGACCTTATATAAATTATTGCTATTTTCAATTAAAGAGGAAATAATATGAACAAAATAAAGGATAATTGGTCGATTCTAAAAAAAGAAAAAAAATCACCGTTCCAGTGTTTCCACGGTCAATGCCACTAATGCCAGCAGTAATATCGCAACTAATACTACTAATGCTACGACTGATCCGCGAGCAATGCCCATACCACTAAAGTCGCTACTAATGCCAAAATGTGCTATACTGCTAATGGCACTAATGCGATCGCTTTGTACACAACGATGCCATCGCGGTTTACACCTTGCATTAGTATGTCACTGATTGGCAAATTAGAGGAAACCAAGAATGTATTTCTCATTTTATCAGCAATGTCGTAAAAAGTCGCAGTATTTTATTTTACTGTATGAAAGCCCAATGTTTACTAAGTAAAACGTATATAGACAATATGCTGAATTCTTCAAAACGAGCAACTAAATCTCTAAGTATAATAAAAATGTCACAAATTTAATCAAATTTTCTGAACGCCTAACTTTTAGTTGCAAAAAAAATCGTTACTTTAGAGAATATCAAAATAAATAATACGTTTTTGTAGAATACATACCTGCAGCTTGTTGAGCCATTTTCAATCAAAACAATAATATAAACGTAAAAAGAGCACAAGAACAACAACAATTTATAATTTTAAACATAAAATTTACCTCTTATCTGTGAGAAGTAACAACTTTGACGTTTCGTTGAAACAAATGAGTGCAACTAAACACACCCATAGCAGACATGATTTAACTTATCATTTATGTTTTTTTTGGGAAATCTTAAACACATTTGCTTTTTCGAATTTCGATCACCTTTTTCATGCTAATACCCCACCGTGCGGCGTGTGGAGCGACAGTTCACGGTTCAGGCGCGTCCTGGCGCGGGATTCCACACTCCGTGAGAAGTGTCTAGCCCTAGCAGGCAACTATTAAGCTTGACCAATCAGGTTGGTTAGCGTGGTTATTTGGAGTGTGTTAATTCATTGGTTTTTGTCAAAAACTCTGACGTGATTGTCGGGCTTAATAGTTGCCTGCTAGAGCTAGACACAAGTCACTCCGTGTAACTGCTCATATACAGTACGTCTTTCCGTTCTGTAGCTACGGGGTATCCGTGAGAGGGGATACGATATTTTCTCGATGTTTTTCGTAAAAAATAGACGACGCGTCCCATCAATAAAAATTCAATAAATTTGCAAGTAGCCAATAAAATGAGTGGGCGGAGCGATTTGCGGTGACGCATTCGTCAAATCGACGTATAAAATATATTGCTGTTTATTTAAATGTTTTTTGTCCGCATTCCTTTCATAGACACAGATCCAGCAGATGTACTGTACCAGGCCCGTGGCCCGAAAATCGGCGCGCCGACTCAATCACACGGAGCGTGGAGCGGCAGTTGACGGTGCAGGCGCGGCGCTCCACGCGCCGTGTAATGGCACCTTTAAACGTAAACATTTTACAGAGGTTTAAATAGCAAATAAAAAAAAATAAAGGTACACCACCTTCATAGTGTCCGATTTTGTCGCTGATTCTAAAGGTTTATGTGGAAGGCGTGTTGACTCCGCAATGCCAGGCACTATCTTTTTTCTCTTTGTATGCTCGATGGGCGACAAATGTGGATTTTTTAACCTTAAAAAAAAACAATAAATATATTATCATATTCGGTAAAAAATCAGTTACAAACTCACTTGCCCGGACATGTTGGGACATATTTTGACTTAGCAGGACATCTTTTCTCAATACATATCTAAAAAAATATGTAAATATAAGAAGATTAGAAGATTATTAAGAACAAGTATTATTTTTTTAAATTTTTTCAACAATTTTTAAGACAATCATTTAATATCAAACTTTTCTTTTAATTACATAAATATTACCCTTATATTACATAAAAATCGCCCTGCATAAGTAGTTTTTTACAGGTGAAAAATAATTAAACTTAAAAGATTACCTGAAATCAATTTGAATAAAAAAACTTACGTTTTTTTGAGCTTCGTTCCCTTTGTAACCCTGCTCTACAACGTCCTGTATACTCCCCAGAGGTGTTCTTTGAGCCCTCCTTGTATATTTGCGAACATCCATTCCAGGGAATTTCTGCACCTGAAAGTAGTTATACAGGTTGGTTCGAAATGTAACCGAGAAACTTCACCAATATATTCTGCAGATAAAAACAAGTAAAACATTTCGTACAGATTGCTAGAAAAAATTATGAGTAATTTAAAAAAATTAAATGTTTCCAAATTTACCATTTCAGTCGAATAACTACCTATTTTCGATACTAACTTTTAGTTACGTAATCGAGGGCGCGATTTTTAAATTCATTGTTGCCAACTATGGACATATTCGGCGCCGGGCTGTCTAACTGGAATTTAAATTTCCTGCTGGGGATTCAGGTGGTAGCCCTGCTGTAAAAAATGTCAAGTTGCCGCATTTATTTATTTATTTCTGACATTGCCATTCGTTTTTGGTTTAAATGAATTGTGTTGTGAGATTTTAAGCTTAATTTTTTTTACTAGCAAAGCTTGCGGTCGAACATTGTTCATTTTAGAACCTTTTTTAGTGCGAAGTGTACAGGGTGGGCCAAATTGGACGCTTTTAAAGGGAAACACCCTTTTCTATAGGAGATAGACGAAAACTAATATGGGTGTCTCGAGCTCAATTTTCATCAAAAACATGATGGTGAAAACCGGGCATCGATATCTGTTACCGTTTCGGAGTCACGGGGTGTTTTTCAAAAATGTGCATTTTAAATATATCGCTGTAACTTTTTTGCTGTGGAAAATTTTGTATTTCTATGAAAACATTTCCAAAGCACCTTTTTACGTAGAATTTAATGGTTTAAGTATAAGCAAAGGTATAAGTTTTTTAAAATTAATAATTTAAGAGTTATCAACAAAAAAATTCATTTTTTATTTGGGACACCCTGTATATTTTTAATTAATCGAAATGAACTTAAAATTAGCTTTTTAAAAATATCGCACACTTGATATTTTGTTATAATCCCCTTCAAAATACAGATTTATTAAAAGTTCGTCGCTTTTAACTAGTAGGCTTTGGACCCCTTATTAACTCGAAAACATATTTTTCCAGCAAGACGAGGCACCGCCTCAGAACGCTGAAGTTATCAGCAAATTTTTGCAGCCAATTTCAAGAATAATTGAATATCTAACCAAGATCCCAGCCGTTGACTGTCGAAGTCGCTGGACTTAGTGCCTATGGATTTAATTTTATGGATATCTTCTTAACGGTCGATATGTCGAACACCTGTAGCAAATTCTCATGTCTTGGTTTGTTATTTATTTTTATTGTTATCAGATATAATTTAAATGTGTTGATGTTGGTTAAATATATTTTAAATTGTTATAAAATTCTGAATCTTTCATTGCAAATATTATTTTCGTTTTAATTGCTGCTCACAGCTAAAAATTTTTTGCATTACAACCGGCGCCATTCAAAGCCTACTTATTTAAAGTGGGTGAATTTTTATAAACTCTATATCTCGAAGAGGAATCGAGCAAAATATCAAGTGTGTTATATTTTTGGAAGGGTAATTTCAAATTATTTTCAATGAATTGAAAATATACAGGGTGTCCCATATAAAAAATCAAATTTTCTGCTGATAATTCTTAAATTATTTATTTTAAAAAAATTATACTTGAACCATTAAATTCTACGTAAAAAGTTGCTTTGAAAATATTTTCGTAAAAATACAAAATTTTCCATAGCAAAAAAGTTACAGCGATTTGTTAAAAATGCACATTTTTGAAAAACACCCCGTAACTCCGAAATGGCGCCCTCTACAAGTAGGAGCCATATTGACATAGAAATCAAATTTTTCATGTCAAAAAACTCCCAGACACCAATTTTCATCCAAATATTCACTTTACTTCGGAAATTATTTGGAAAAAATCGAAATAAAAATGAAACTTCTACACCCTGTATCTCCGAAACTAAGCATTTTAGGACATACATTTATAAGAACATTTTTACTTATTTTAATGTGCAGAATATGCTGCCGAAGTTTCCGGAATACAGTTCGGACCACCCTGTATATTTACAATTAATTTATTCTTGTTTCCTAAAATATTTTGATTAAAGGAAAATATGTAAAAATGGGCAACGCTGTGCCGGTCAAGCTTAATCACGTGACTAAAAGTTTATTTGATATGAACTAATTGTCAAGTACTCAAAATGTTTATTTTTGTTACGTATTGACTATTTTCATTCTATATATCTTGAGAACGGTTACCAAGTGACCTTTTTTACGTAAAAAATAACGGAAATGAATATTTTTTCACTCGGTATAGTTTAATACAGGTATGGATGAAAAGTTATGTCTTCAAAACAGTTGAAACCCATATAGTGGCGCACCCGGCAAGTAAGAGTCATATTTGAGTTCGAAATTAAATTTCCCATATCAAAAAACACCCAGACCACGAATTTTCATGCAAATATCGACTGTAGTTCAGAAATTGTTTGGAAAAAAACCTAAATAAAAATGAAACTTCTACACCCTGTATCTCCTAAATGAAGCATTTTAGGACATACATGTAAAGCAAGTTTTTTTATTCATTTTTATCTGTAGAATATGCTACCGAAGTTTCCGGAATACAGTTCGGACGACCCTGTATATTATTTACATTTACATATTCCTTTTTTACAGAATCATACGTTGACAGAATTTCTGCTACGAGCGTTCTGATAGAATTAACTTTTTTTTGGCATGCTGGAAAAAAATAATAATTTATATGTCTACGGAATATTGAGGCGTAACCGCGCCAAGAACGATTCTCTGCTATGTTGGAACAAACCTAATGTTATGATCATACGAATACAACAAGAATGAGAAAAAAATAAAGGTACACCACCTTCATAGTGTCCGATTTTGTCGCTGATTCTAAAGGTTTATGTGGAAGGCGTGTTGACTCGGCAATGCCAGGCACTATCTTTTTTCCCTTTGTATGCTCGATGGGTGACAAATGTGGATGTTTTAACCTTAAAAAAAAACAATAAATATATTATCATATTCGGTAAAAAATCAGTTACAAACTCACTTGCCCGGACATGTTGGGACACATTTTGACTTAGCAGGACATCTTTTCTCAATACATATCTAAAAAAATATGTAAATGTAAGAAGATTAGAAGATTATTAAGAACAAGTATTATTTTTTTAATTTTTTTCGGCAATTTTTAAGACAATCATTTAATATCAAACTTTTCTTTTAATTACATAAATATTACATAAAAATCGCCCTGCATAAGTAGTTTTTTACAGGTGAAAAATAATTAAACTTAAAAGATTACCTGAAATCAATTTGAATAAAAAAAACTTACTTTTTCTTGAGCTTCATTCCCTTTGTGACCCTGCTCTACAACGTCCTGTATACTCCCCAGAGGTGTTCTTTGAGCCCTCCTTGTATATTTGCGAACATCCATTCCAGGGAATTTCTGCACCTGGAAGTATTTATACAGGTTGGTTCGAAATGTAACCGAGAAACTTCACCAATATATTCTGCAGATAAAAACAAGTAAAACATTTTTAAACGGTTTTATTTAGCTCGACCCGTACGGTACCTAGTATTTATTTATTTGTTTGTTTATTTGGGTCAAAATTTGAAATTGAAATTTAAGTACCTTCCTGATGTCAGATTGATCTGAAATTTGGTACACACCTTTAGTTCCGATGACAATACAATATAGTAATATCAATAACATTGTAAATCTAAGATGGCCGCCCGTACAAAATGGCGGATTTCATATTTTTCCACAACCCCCTCAATATGGATATCAAATGAAAGGGCTACACTAGTAGAATACTGTGATTATGACAAAATTTAAAATCCAAGATGGACGTGGTTACAAAATGGCGTATTAGGTGAGGGCATGAGTAGTCGTGTCCAGAACAGTTGTGTCCAAGATTGTGTGACGTTAGAAGGACAGATAAAAAAAAAATAGGTGATGAATTTGTGAAAATGTTGCGGTCCAACATTGACGTACAAAAGGATTGGTAAATGGTGCTATAGGCCACATTACAGAAATTGTTTGGCCTCAGTTCCGTCGAACCCAAATGTACGAAACAGATGTAGGTACCATCAGTTTGGATTGACTTTGGCAGAGACGGCATACACGTTATACACCCGAAAGCCATACAGTTTCCAGCAAAATTCAATTATGGTACGGCTGAAAGAAGAATGTTACCCTTAATTTTGTCATGGGCATCCATCGTCCATAAAATGCAGGGCAGCACAGTCGACCATGCAGTAGTGTATTTGGGCTCAAAATTGTTTGAGGAAGGGCAAGCATACGTGGCTCTAAGTCGAGTCAAGTCTCTGGAAGGGCTATGTATTGAGGAATTAGATTGTAATAAATTATCAGGTAAAAAACCATGTAATAATGATGCACTAAATGAATTAAATAGAATGAGGAATATTCGGTAGGCATTTCCATTAAATACTAAAAACTAGAAAATAAAAAATCGGTAAAATTTTTTTTAAGTTAAACGGTTTTATCTTATGTGCACTGAAAACTAGAAGATAATAATAACAATTAGGTATTTTGAACTTCTAGTTCAGAAATATTTTAGTACTAGGCAGAATAGCTTTTAGGCATATTAGACTAAAATAAAAACGTGGGGGCCTCACGCATGCTGCAGAATATGTTGCCGAAGGTAAAAATGAGTAAGAAAGATGGAAAATTACGAAATTAAGAATAAACATGTGGATGTAACGTGTTCTTCCTTCGTTTCGTAATTTTCCACCTTTTTTTGGCTTATTTTTTCTATAAATATTTACCAATATGTTATAATAAATTCACTATATTCACGACTTTACTGCAAGACTGACTGTGTAGAAATTTAATCCAAATATGATCAATATGAGTATTTGTTTTTTCGAACAAGGATCACAAAAAGGCATTTTTTAGCTTGAAGTATGCCTAGATATGAATAAAATATAAATTAATGTTTTATATTACTTTAAAATATTTCGACTATTTTAAATACCGTATGATCGAAAAAAAAACCGGCGTCCGTGGCGATTTGGAAATGACGATCGATGCCATTTCCCATATAATTTTATAAATAAAATGACAGCGATCTTCATTTCGTAGGCATGGCTGACGCCGATTTTTTTCGATCATATTGTACCGTACGATCGAAAAAAACACGGTATCGACAATGGTCATTTATCAGCCGTCTTTGACGCCGTTTTTTTCGATCGTACGGTCTTAATATACAGGCTGGTCCATTTTTTTTAAATCATACGGTATATCTCCGTTATTAGTGAAGATATTATATAAGGTATATCTCCGTTATTAGATTGTGTTTTGCACTGAAGAAAACATTCAGAGGCTGTTTGATATAATGAAAACTATAGAATTTGACCACCCATGTGAAAAATTTCCTCTTATTTACATCATTAAATTATTTATTAGATTGAAAATATTTTATGCATTAAAGTTTACAAAAAATAAAGATTTATATAGTCGAAAAAAGTCCGATAGAACATAAGACAGACCTTTAATTTCACCTGACTTCTCGGTGAATGATTTCTTTTTATGGGGGTACATAAAATCTAAAATTTACGGCCATGAATGAAATTCAAAACTTGGAGCAGTTAAGGCAGAAAATATTTAATGCCTTTATTGGCACTGTCACCCCTGATAAGTTATCCAATGTGAGGAGGGGATTTTATGATCGTTTGGGTTATTGTTTAATGCAAGAGGGAGGCACTTTTGAACAATTTTTTTAATTTTTTAAATTTCATTATCCTGTTTTTTTACCGTTTACCCATTACCTACCTTAACGAACATGGGAAAACGAAGGTCCTTTTCAGGACCACAAATATTTTGATTGAGAAAATTGGTAACATTTTTTTGGATTAAAAAACAAAAGTTGTTAATATAATACCAATTTAAATGTGTTTTAGTAGTTTTAATACACACTATGATATAGAATTTATTATTATTATAATGTACATTATTAATACTATTGTTCATTCGAAATGGCATTAAGGCTCAATTGCAACAATGATTTAAATTTTTCTTAAAGATAAGTAGAGCTTAGAATCAGCTGTATTTATATTTACTTTAATATTCACCTTAAATGAGGGAATTTGACTGATACAATTTTTGAATTTGAATTGTTTTTAATGATACTAACAATTTTAGTTCAATTTTTAATAAAATTTATTTAATATTAATAGAAATCCAAGAGATTTGAAACCACTTTTAGCGATTTATAACATTCTCAAATGAATTACAGGCGCCCTTATTTTCTATGAAAATCACACAGCTTTTTTCATAGTCGCTGCAGTTGCTATAGCTATAAAAAACTAATTTTTTAAGGTGTGAAAATTGCGACACACGCTAAATGGACTTGATTTTTCGTATGTCTCGAAGTCTGTGGACCTTTTTGTATGCCTCGATAACATATTGGTGCGGATTATTTTCACCAAAACAAATAATAACCCAAACTATACATTGATGCGGATTGTCTATGAACTCTTTCTGAAGGTCACAGAAACCTGAACGCGTAATTCGGTGTTCTTTCGCATCTGTTATAGGTAATTTGTGACAATGGCGTAGTTTGTTTTTCTACAAAAAATATTTTTGAAGACATGTACTAAAGTTATGTTTTCTTAAATAGAACACCTTGTATTTATAAATCCTATCATCTGGCTTGCAATGAGCGTAAAAAAAATAAAAATAAATAATAAAAATGCGTAAAAGAGACAGGAAAAAAATGATGAAACAAGGTTATGAAATGAAAATCTTTGTTGTATCTTCGTTACTTTTAATATTGAAACATTTGTCTTTGGAAATACACCCAGAGAAATAAGTAAAAATAGAGATGCTTTGAAAAAAAACCACCTCTATACTTACTTATTTCTTTGGGACATTCAAAACGTTCTGGACAAATATTTCAACCTTAAAAATAAGCGAAAATTTTTGATATAAAAAAAATATGAGTGTTAAAAAATAACACACATTTTGAAAAGATATTTTGTTTATTATTTTATAACCTTAAAATATTAGCACTTGTTTTTTCCTTCATAACTTCTTGGCTTAAATATTAATACAAAAAAATCTACATATAAATTCTATATAAAAAAATTCTGCAATAATTATATATTATTACAATCTTATATTGCTCTTTTGTTCTTTGTTTTATATTATTACTTTTTAAATATATTATATCTTCTCTCATAAATTTCGGCATATATTAAAAATACAAATAATAATAATAAAAAATGTACAATAACATAACCTTACATTAGTAACACAAAATTGCTTCGAAAGATTTTTAGACAAGACTTTTTTTAGCTCAAAAAAATTATAAAGTTCTTAACCTAGTTGTATAATATTATATAAATATAAAAAAAAATCTTTATATAATATATAATTCTTTTGGATGGAATTTGTATTATGTTTTTATATTATAAAACATTCGTTTTTCTTTATACAGGGCGAGTCTTAAATAAGTGCAAACATTTTCATGGCTGGTTGATCTCAATAAAAGAAACATATTTATTATTTACCGTTTTTCAAACAAGTCTAAAATAATTCAAGTTTGAAAATTTAAAAAAAAATATTTATTTTTAAAAAATTTTGAGAGCCACCGAATTTCTTCTGTATTTGTATCCCTTTTAGTGCAGTAACCATGGTAATATATTAAAATTTGCGGTGAACAGGCAGTCCTAAAAAGGTTTCTAAAATATACAGGAAAAATTAAAAAAAATGCTCGATTTTCAACATATTTTTTCGCAAAAAAAACTCATAGACGTGTTCCTGGGCTCGAAATATACCACCTACCCTAAAAATATTTGCACTTATATCAGACTCACCCTGTATATTATAAGATGAAGGCATCATGTGGTTAGGGCGCGCAAATAAGTAGGGGAAACTATTGCACAAAGACGCTTTTGTGCAAAATTCAGTGGAAGATAAAAAAAGACTAATCTCTATACATTATATATGATTTTAGCAAAAATAGCATCAGATTTTTTTATCATAAAGTTTGAGCATTAGAAACTTTATTTATTTATTTATTTACCTTTTTTAAAGTTTTTGGTCCGTCTCAAATCAATCATCTTTCTACTATTATTAGTAATAATATTTATATGAAAAAATAAATAAGTAAATAAACTTATATACGCTTACGTTCTTCTTATATATCTTTCTCTATATATAAATCTATATTATAAAAATGACACAAAAAAATGATTTACTCTCTTTTATGATCGTTTTTTTTTTGGTTAATACGCTTTTTGGCGGGAAATAAAAAAAAATCTGATATAAGTGAGGTTAGGGAAGTTTTTTAGGTTAAGTTAAGAAGGAAAAGGGATATTTCGTTCTAATATACATATTAAATATTATATACACAGCCATTAGTTATAAAAGTATTAAAAAAGATGGTAAAAGGCGGACCTAGATTTTAAAAAATACCCCTGTTTCTTCTATATTTAGACATACTTTTTTTTGTTAAAAAATCTGGAATTTTAAAATATCTGGGAACTTCAAACTCCAAAATGTAAGTTGCTAATATTATTTTTGAGATTTTCTAACAAAATAAAATTGAATAAAGTCCAATATTAATGTAGATTCTCGTAGGCTACCCAGACAGGATTTTTGACAGAAAAAAAAACCGCAATTCGGAATTTAATGACAGGGACTTGTCATTAGTGTCAATAAAACGATGTTGACAGTCCCGAAAGATCCTAGATAATTACTGAAAATTAGGGATGAGCATCTAAGAGTTTGTATTATGTTTTTTTACATTTAGGCGAAAATACACGTAAAAAACTGTAAAAACACAATAAAAAGAAAAATAATGACGTTTTTCTTCCTTCCTAACATATATTTTCTATTGCCTCTGCTTAAATTTCAAATTCTACAAAAAAATATGACAAACAAACGAATTATCAGTATTATTGAAAAAAAGCTTTTTATATAAAGAAAATATGTTTTAATTTTTAAATTTCCCGCGCCTAAGTTGATTTAAATTCTATATCATCTAGGGACTACTGTTTTTTTTAATAATTACAATAGACAGTTTCTAAAAGCAGTTGGTAATTCAAATTTTCGAAAATTCGCGCGAACTTTACTGTTCGCCAATCTATGACAATCTATCATATAGTTCTAAACATATTTTCTGTGGTTTAAAACGTCTTATTTCCTTTTCTTCACTTACACAGCTCTTATTTAGTAATTTATTATAAATTAGTTGTAATAAATAATCTGGAATACTAATGATAATTTTTATGAGCTCTTGGTCATTCAAATTTGAAATTTGGCGCCAATATTTAGTGCCCCGATCTATGGCAATCTGTCACATGGTTCAAAACAAATCTTCTGTGGTTTAAAACGTCTTATTTTCTCTACATCGTTTAAAGAACTCGTATTTATGAGATATATTAATCACATAATATATGTATATCTTGTAAATATGAGATATTATGTGATTATAACAATTTTTAAACAACTGTTAGATTTGCAACAATTTTAAAAAGTTTGGTAATCTGGTAATCTGTCATATACAGCTCTAAACACATCTTTTGTGGGTTAAAACCTCTCATAACCCTTCTCTCACTTATATAACTCTTTTTTTTCTATTTCCCACACGCACCTAAACTAAATATTTCTTTAATATAAACGTATATCTATATCGCGATTCAAAAATACAAAAAAAACACGGTAATAACAAATAATAACTCCCAGTTCCGCCACCTGAAGCCAGATGGCGGTTCTATCAACATTATAAGCTGACTAGCTTGGGGGGCCCGTGGGAATCGGGGGACACCACAGCGTCCATCATCATCATGAGGCTCGCTGTGCTAGTAGGGGCGTTTCTTTGCTGCGTGCTGCAAGAAGGGACCAGGGGGGCACTCACGGGTGTGAGCCCAGTGCCCCCGCCCATCATGGACTCGAAGTTGAAGATCATGCCCGTAGAGGGCGTGCTAATCGGTATTCCGGCTATTTCCAAGGGGTTCTGGTGCTTGGAGGAGGACGTGGTTACTGTGTTGTTCGATGTGACGTTTAGAGAGTTGGGTCTGGGTGGTTTGGAGATGGGTAGAGCTGAGCTAAGCATCACCTAGAAAAGAAAGAAGAAGCTTATAGTACGAGAGCTAGCAACGTCGGGAAAACAAGAATTTTAAGAAAGCTGGTTCTTTGATATATCTTTTACTATGCTTTCTGGCTGCCGATAGACGTTGCGTTCACTACTGCGCATTGAAATAAGTTCCTATATTTTTATTTGGTCCTTTAAATACTAGTATTGAATATAAATTCGAATAAGTCTCTATAGCGCTGCGTGAAAACGTTCAGCCTATAAAGCGAAAAGTCGAGAGTTCAATACTGGCTCGGGGTAAACTTTATTTTATTTTATTTTCGTTTATATTCTAATAGTAAAGTATTAAATAATTTTGGTGATTAAAAAAAAACAATGATTTAATACTTTACTATCAGAATATAAACAAAAATAAAATAAAAAAAAGTTTACTCCGAGCCGGTATTGAACTCTGAACTTCTCGCTTTATAGGCTGAACGTTTTGGTTTGGTTACGGCACTAAAAGGAAAAAATCCGGAGGCTCTCAAATTTTTTTAAAAATAAATCATTTTTTCTAATTTTCAAAATTGAATTTCCTAAATATAAAAAAATATAATAGTAATATTGTTTTATTAGGAGTAAAAATTATATTTTTTGTGGCGAGGCTGTAGATTACAGGCGAGGCATAAAAACTCATTTTTTACTCCGAAGAGAAGATGCTATTTTTTTTTTCAAAAGTCACAAATAATTTTTTAGACAATTTTAAACGTTCCAAATAATATAAAAAGATTTATAAGTAATACCTTGTATGTAATTATATGTCGAGAAAATATGGTTACGCTCGTTGAATTTGACACTTTATGTCAGTTTAATAATATATTTTTGTACTTTTATGCCTAAGCATAAAAGTACGAAAATATATTATTAAACTATAGGCTTTAAAATTATTTTTTTATATTGTCAATCACGTCGCACTAATTAATACTTTTGTGACGTTTGACCTTTTATTATTACTTTTACTAGTCTCATTTTATTATTTTGAAAATTTCACACCTCTACTTTTCAACCAATAACATGCTTTAATGTTGACTAGTTACCATGGCAACTGAAAAAATTTCCGGAAATTTTTTCGAGGCGCCACGAAACTTTAGTGGAAATTTTTTGACAGTTGAAAAGGTAAACATAAGATCTACAATCATAATGTGAATGAACTACAATGTCTATATATTGAAATATTACCCATTTGAGTTTTAGCATTTGATGTAACTAATTAAAATATAATAATATTTGTTAATATTATTAACAAATTGAAATTATTTTAAAATGTCATGTTGGATTAATATTTTTTTTTTCAAATTTAGGTGTGAAATTTTTCTTACCGAATACCACGCAAGAAATTTTCTTTCGGGCACGAATATTTTAGGAAAATTATCCCTCGTCTTCGACTCGGGATAATTTTCAAAATATTCGTGCCCTCAAAAAAGTTTCCGAAAATAATTTAAGCTCTTGTGATATTATAAGTGACAATTTTTTACCTACCCTGCTTTGATTTGTACTGTACACCACTGGCAATAAGTTATTGCACAAGTTATGTTCAAGAAAAAAAAGGTAGGTATTTAAAACCCTGTATATTGTGGTTTTTAATACTGATTTAAGTAGATTTATAAATAATGTCTAAAAAGACGATACTCTTTACACGAAGTAACGCAACTTCTTGTAAAGAGTATCGTCTTATTAGTCTAATTAGCCACTTTCTTAAGCTCTTTTTACGGGTACTGCATACAAGACTCTACAAAAAATGTGAGGAAGTAAGTGGAGAAAGTCAATTTGGATTTAAGAACGGCTTTGGTACTAGAGAAGCCATATTCAGTCTTCAAACTTTAGTACAGAATTGCCAAGATCAGAGAAAAGATGTCTTCATGTGCTTTATAGACTATGAAAAGGCGTTCGATCACGTTAAACGTAACCTCCTTATATCATACCTCAGAGACTTGGGACTTGATGGAAAAGATATAAGGCTCATCAGTAATTTGTACTGGAACCAAAAAGCTGAAATTCGTATACATAGCGTGGGAGTAATAGAAGATTTTGGAATAAAAAAGGGGGTAAGGCAAGGGTGTATTCTATCTCAAATGTTGTTCAATTTATATGTGGAAAGAGCATTCACTGAGTCAATCTCCGATAGTCCCATTGGTTTGAAAATAAATGGTATTCCAATTAATAATATCCGATATGCGGATGACACAGTGATATTGGCAGACAATGCAAATGATCTCCAAATCCTTCTAAATAAGGTTAACAGTGAAAGTCAAAGACTGGGTTTAAACATAAATACTACAAAAACTAAATTTATGGCTGTTAGCAGAAACAATATTCTGAACACCAGAATTTACTTAAATGGAGAGGTCATCAAGCAGGTCACACAATTTAAATATTTGGGATGCATGGTTAACGAAACGTGGGATCCGGATCAGGAGATCAAATGCAGGATCGAACAAGCAAGATCTACTTTTCTGAGACTGCGAAGATTTCTCAAAGATAGGAATTTGAACTTCGGCCTTAGATACATAATGGTGAAGTGCTATGTCTGGTCCGTTTTGTTATATGGTGTGGAAGCATGGACATTGCAGGTAGCAACAATAAACCGAATTGAAGCCTTCGAAATGTGGATCCTACGACGAATGCTAAGAGTGCCCTGGGTCGACCGTGTTAGGAATGAAGACATTCTCAGAAGAGCTGGTCTGGAACAACGTGAACTCTTCGAAATCATCAAGAAGAGGAAAATAGCCTATTTGGGACACATACTACGTGGAGATCGCTATCACTTTCAGCGTCTGATTCTCCAGGGTAAAATAGAGGGGGGCAAAAGGGGGATAGGACGAAGGAAGCTATCCTGGCTGAGAAATATTCGTCATTGGACAGGCATACAGGACTTCCAAGCACCCCAAGTCGCGGCAGTTAACAGAACCATCTGATGAGGAAGAAAAAGATGAACGCCTACGCAGGAATCTGCACGGCACCTTAAGAAGAAGAATAAATAATGTACCTTTCTTGCTGGTGAAGGCGAAACAAAAATGTCGTCCATTGGCTCTATGACCTCCGTCTTGACTCTATCATTACTTTTATCATAGTAGATATGATCAAAAGGTTTCACATCGGGCGGACTTTCCGTCTGTTTCCTACACTGTGGCGAACTTTGGTGGCTTTCTAGTAAATATTCTAGCTGGTCTTTTAGCATCTGAAGTTGCTGTCGTTCATCAATTAATTTCTGTTTTTTGTGTTCTAATTCATCCACCTCCTGAAACAAACAAAAAAAATTAATAGTTTTTGTAATATTTAAATTTGTTTATACAAATGTTAAATTGCAGTGTGGTAAAAAATTGTCAGTGGTACCATTGTTTCTGAAGTTGGAATACCAAAATTTGGTATGAGAGTTCTATAGAGATTGAAAAGAAGATATATGTTAAGATATTTTAGTTAAATGCTACAGGGTGTTCAAAATATATTTATAAATTTCAACTATTTAAAATTAAAAAATCTAAAAATTTTTAAATGGTACACCCTATATATTTTGATTTTTTCTGATAGATTTTGCAAAGCTCTTCAACTTTTATTAAGTATGTCATATACCTATTCTTAATAATTTGCGATTTATTCCAATTTTTTTTCTATTTTTACCCATATCTTTAATACAATTACGCTATAACATCATAGTTACCATGACAAAAAATAATAATTATTATCAAAATTTCATATGTCTGTTAAGCAAGTTAAGAACAAAAGGTGAATTTTAGTTTAATTTGTTGTAATAAGTATAAATGTTAGAGGTAGAGGTAATAGTTTCAGATTTTCCTGAAAATGGATTAGTCAATGTGACTGATAACACGAACAAGCCAAAATAAACATATTTTTTGGTTCAGTACTATATATTATATAGTACTTTGCTAAGTACTACAAGAATAGATGTAGATTATCTAGAGAACATTTTCATATTATATTATATTATAATATTTTCAGTGTGTAATGGGACGGTTTTGTGGCAGTAGTAATATTGGCTTGACGAAATAAATTATAAACCAGAATTACTACGAGAACAAAAACTTTACTGTATGTCGGAGAAAATTTCAATATCAGTAGTCGTCAACAATTAGGTAATCTAGTTAGAATTACCATAATCTGTGGCTATTCGGCCCGACGGAAAATCCAAATGTCATCTTTCATAAGATAGAAATACACCAAGAAATTCACGACGATTTTAGTTTATTTGAGTAAAGTTAATTAATTTTGACTAATAATAACATTTGTAACTGATTATTAAACTACTTATTAAAAATAAGTAATAAATATGTTTGTTTTGTTACGGTAACTATGATGTTATAGCGTAATTGTATTAAAAATTAGGGTAAAAATAGAAAAAATGGAATAAATCGCAAACTATTAAAAATAGGTATATGACATACTTAATAAAAGTTGAAGAGATTTTCAAAATCTATCAGAAAAAAATAAAATTTATAGGGTGTACCATTTAAAAAATTTGAGATTTTTTAATTTTAAGTAGTTGAAATTCATAAATATATATATTTTGAACACCCTGTAGCATTTAACTAAAATATCTTAACATATATCTTCTTTTTAATCTCCATAGAACTCTCATACCAAATTTTGGTATTCCAACTTCAGAAACAATGGTACAACTGACAATTTTTTACCAGATTGCAATTTACCATTTGTATAAACAAATTTAAATATTACAAAAACTATTAATTTTAGGTATATAACATTATATATAAAAAAGTTATAGAATTTTACGCAGAATCTAAAAATAAAATAAAAAATAGGGTGTTGCATTTAAAAAAACATATGTTATATCCGCCACACATTTTTGAAGGACCCTGTATACTCTATAATAATTTTAGAATGTGTATCTTAACCTTCCCTATAACTTTTGTATTTAACATTTTTTTGTAAACCTCGAAACAAATGAGATCATGGACTTTATCGTTGACTCACCCTGTACACTTCGCACTAAAAGAGGTTCTAAAAAGAACAATGTTCGACTGCAAGGTTTGCTGGTAAACATTTTTAAGCTTAAAGTATCCACAATACAATTAATTTAAACCAAAAACTCGTAATACAAAAAAAAATGTCAGCAAATAAATAAATCAATGTGGCAACTCGACATTTTTTACGGCAGAGCTACCACCTGAATCCCCAGCGAGAAATTTAAATTCCAGTTAGTCAGCTCGGCGCCGAATATGGCCATGGTTGGCAACAATGAATTTAAAAATCGCGCCCTCGATTACGTAACTAAAGGTTTAATTGGCATCGCTTTTACAGGGTGTTTCAAAAAACATGTGCCGTCTCTCGTGGGGAGATTGCTCACGTCAAAATAAGATTTATCATTTTTTCATATCAACATACGTGCAATTCTGCTTTGTTTCCTAGCTACAGGGTGTTAAAGTTTTAATAATCTTTCGATTTATTATAATTTTCTTCCGAGGTACTATTATTAGTGATTTAAATGAAATTTTGAGGGTAAAAATTACTATAAGTACTACATATTTTAATGCTAAAAAAGTGTCAATAAATTCATCAGGGACGTGCATATGGGTTAACACTAGAATATTTTTCAAAAAAAAAAACATGTGCGCCTCTGAATTTTTTTCTTTCAATATCAAAATTGTATAGGCCGTTTAATGCCAATTAAAAGTTATCTCTTGATATTTTATCGAATTCGGCCTCCTTGATGAGATAAACGCAATTATACAATAGCTAAGTTCGGTAATCACATCCAGATGTCGACGATTTTTTGTCACGAGATCACAGATTGGATGGAGTAATCTGAAATTACCGAACGGTTTGGAATGTTCAGATCGCTAAAGGAAAAGTGACAAGTTTGAAATCCCAATTCCCAATTGAAATCTTTCAACGTTCAAAGACAAAAGGACCAGTAATTTATTTTTTGAGTTTTGAACGTCGTTTTGCATTAAGCAACAAAATAAACAATTTAAAACTTGACAACAACTAAAAATTTAACCTCACTAATTCAAATTAATCTGTTTGCTCCGTCAAAATTCTCCGAGCAAAAAGATCACCGTCCGATTGCTCCGATTTTATTTACCGAACGGTTCAGATTTACTTCCCCTACATCTGGATGTCATAAACGAACGATCGAGATCGATTCGAGCGGTCGGACGTGAATACCGAACGCGCCTAGTGACCACGGAGATATTTCAGCGATATATTCCATAGGCACGTCCTTGGTGAATATGTCAACACTTTTTTAGCTTTAAAGTATGTCGCATTTTATTAAAGTAACTTTTACCCTCAAAATTTTATTCGAAACGCTAAAAATACTTGGAGGAAAATTATAATAAATCGAAATATTATTAAGACTATAACACCCTGTAGCTCCGAAACAAAGCAGAATCGGACCTATGTTGATATGAAAAATAAATCTTATTTTTACGTGAGGAATCTCCCCGCAAGACATAACACATGTTTTTTTTTGAAACACCCTGTATAAAGTTGCTTTCTCACCTGCATCAAAGCATTCGTGTGATCGACTCTCCTCTTCCTACACCTGGCAGCCGCAGCTTTATTCCTTTCCCTCCTAATTCTCCTCCGCTCCTCCTCCTCAGGTGACAGATCCGTCACCTTGGCAGGTTTCCTCCCACCCATGTTCCTCCTCCCTGGCCCTGCCGTCTTGGTACTCGCGTTGCTCACGGCCAAAGGAGGCGTAGACCTGGTGTTCGAGTCGGAACTAGACTGTGACAGGCTGTTCTGCCAAATCGGCGACCTGGATTGGGGCGGGTGGCTATAGATGTCGCTGGCGTCCGAAGCTGAGATGTACTGGTTGTTGCCTATGGAGTGTACCAAGGGTGGTACGAATCTGGCTTCGTTCTCGTGTTGCTCGGGTTTGGATTGGAGCTCGATGAAGGTCTGTTCGATGTTGCGGAGGGTCGTAGGGGTTAATGTGGGGGTTGTGCGGGTAGGGACGCCGGAGTTGAGGCCTTCGAGGGCTATGAACTGCAAAGAAAAAGAGAAAAATAAATAATTTGTAGCAAAAAATTATATGTGCACTATGTGCAAGCTGTTAACAAAACTTTCATCTTAAAATAAAATTTTAATCAATCACAATTGTTTATCTCCATCATTTACCGGATTAATAATAGAGAAATTACAGGTCAATTACAAACAATTACTCATTATTTATAGTGATTTACAGAATTTTACTTCCTAGCACACAAGGTTGATTTTCTTAGCGGCGTACGGGCACAGATCGTTACTCAGTGTTGCCACAAGCTTATTTTTCATCGGGGTAGATTATCACGAGATAGCGGGGTTAAAATGTTTTACAAAGAGGTAGATCTATCCCGAATAGGGTAGCTGTGGCAACACTGCCGCTACCACTTTTCCTCTGGCTAGCTCGCGCGTCACGGCCGTCTCGCATGTCTGTGTCACGGCCTTAAAATTTTGCTCTCCAAGCGCGTAAAGAAGTCTTCCCTTCAAAAAATTTGAGAAAAAATACAGTACCTACTAAAGAAATACATGCATACAATATGAGCGAAAAAAAAACGCGTCAGTAGGAATATATTTGCTTAATCTTTAATCATCAAAAAAAGTCCTTTATTTGCTAAAATAAAAGTGAAATGTAATAAATCCAAATCAAAAAGGAAATTATATAACCTATACCGTCAGAAAAAAATAAAACTAATAATTAAAATTAAAAATCTGATTCTACAAGGTCGAATTCAATGTTTACAGTAAAATTTTCAGGTGTAGGCAGAAGTGTGGATATGTTCTGTCCATACAAACATCCACCGCACCTGAATCTGGCATCGGTTTGGCAGGTTGCCTACGCAAAATTAAACGTTTAAAAATAACTGCTGATCCAAAGGATCCTCCTCCCTTGCGAATACACGTCGATACCATAGATTTTACAAGAAGTAGATAGGTCTTTTACATTGAAATTTATTGTCAATTTTATTTGGAATTGCTGTAGGTTGGACTAATAGTAATAATAACTAATAGTAATAATATTTAATAATAAATTAGGTGAAATATATAATTCCTTAATTTTATTTTTATTTTATTAATTGTGATTGATAAAATTGCGCTTATCTCATCAAGGAGGCCGAATTTCACAAAATATCAAGAGATAACTTTTAATTGGCATTAAACGGCCTACACTACTGCGATATCAAAAGAAAAAAAATCAGTGGCGCACATGTTTTCTTTTGAAAAATATTCCAATGAAAACCCATATGCACGTCCCTGATGAAGTTATTTATGGACACTTTTTTAGCAATATAATAAATCGAAAGATTATTAAGACTTTAACACCCTGTAGCTACGAAACAAAGCAGAATCGGACCTATGTTGATATGAAAAATAAATCTTTTTTTTACGTGGGGAATCCCCCGTAAATTTCGTTTTGAAACACCCTGTAGATTGGCATCAAAACGTCGATATAGAAGTGTGTCTAGGTGTGATATAGTCTACAAGTACTAGCTGGTATAATTTTTGAGGAGTTAACGAGTAGCCAATCCGGAATTATTAAAATCTATGGATGACAGTATCTCATTCTTGTTTTTTTTTCTTGTAAAATTAGCTGCAAACGCGTGCCAAAAACCAAGTTTAAAACGGCATGAGGACAATATTATGGCTTTGCGAACGATATTTCTTCAAAATATGATTGCAGATCAATAAAAAAATAATTTAAAAATCTTGTCTAGTTCTGAAAATGATTCTGAACTACTTATCTAAAAAATACAGCAATTTCTTTGTTGTTAAATTCCTAGAAAAGCTACAAAAATTCGAAAATAGGTAAACAAGATTATTTCATTCTTTTATTATGTGTTTATTAATAGCAACATACGAAATAGTACAAATTTTTATGCTAAAGCGACACAAATACCTACAGGCTTACACTTTTGGTACAAAGGCCATCAAAAATTAACAGGCAATACAACTTTGTAACATTTTTTTTCTTGTTACCAAAATTAATTTAAAAAAAAACATTCAATACTTATTGTAAATTAAATGAAGCATTATAATTATTCAGATTCTTTTGGTTATTTGTAGATAGATAAAATATTTAAGTAAAGACCGGTCAAGGAATGTAGGCTTGTACCCTATCCAAGTCAAAGGTTGTTAAAGTGACAAGGCTTTAACCTATTCCAGTTCAAAGACGTGCCTAAACATTCTGTCATTTCATCATCTTCATTTCAAAGCCATCTCAGACGCCGTTTTTTTTTCGATGGTAAGTACTATCTACTTCCAGATAAAGACGAATTTTTGCAAGTTTGTTAAGCTTTTCATGGTTTATTTTGATAGTATTTCTTGTAAACGCTAATAAAAGTTTAACGTTAACGTGAAAATGAAAAATATTGTAACTTTTTACTAATAAGTAATTGTATAATATAGGTTACAAGTGGTAAACAAATCGATTATTAGTCATTTTATTCAATGGATAAATACAAAACAATAACAAAAAAGTTGTATTTTATGCCCTGTGGTGACGTCCTAAGAAAGTTATGTTGGCTTCACAATACCCATTATAGAATTGCAAGTCTATGTCATGTTGCTTCGAAGTTTTACATGATGGTAGATAATAAATAAAGCCCTGGTGTGACGTCATAAGACATCAAAAAAGTTTCTCAGAACTTTTTTTATCAGAAGATTTTCCTTGACGTAAGTGAAAACAATCTTCATCGTCTCCTTAATGAACATCTGAGTAGATTGAGACTATGACAATAACAATGGTTAATGCCGATTCTGAGGACAAAATGAGAAAGCACCTGGAACATCTTGTCACTGAGTGCGCCGATACGACGACCATTCGTGTCATAAACTTTGGTACGACTGATATCGGAGATGGAGAACTAAAAAAACTCTGTAAAACTGTATGATTTACATTCTACATAAAGATTACTAATGTTGGCTTCGCGGTGCCGGTTAGGTTCCCGCCTCTACGTCATGCAATAGTCTAGGGTTTTACCTGATGGTAGAGCAGTTCCTGTGCCAAAAAATGCGTGATGTCGTTCTGGTTGATGTAATCCATGATCCCGACGTGCAGAATTCGTTAAAAATAACTTAGAAACGTCAAAAAAGTTCGTTTTTTCTCGACAAAAATGAGATTCGACTATTGAAACACGTAGATTAATGAAAGGGGGTGCGTAGGGCGAAGGCAAAAGGGTAGTTTTTTTTCGTTTGAAAGCTACAAAGGGAGCCAACTGCTGCTGCTGCGGTTATCGATGCCGGCTCCTCAAAATCGTTTTTTTTTCTCTTTTTCTTAATAGAAAAAAATGTTCGTTCGTTCGAGCGCTACAGGGGGCGGCACGCACAAACCAAGATGGCGACCGTCCCGTTCGCGGTTAAATCGTGGCGTAGACTGGACCGGGCAGCGCCGGGACACCTCAAAATAGACGTCGCGACGCTGTACGGGGTCTTTTCGCGCATGTCCCGCTTTTTTCGCTACCGGTTTTTGGCACCGAGAAGCTTAAGAATAGTGGTTGGATACGCGGAATCGTAGTGACAAAACGGATTTTCCACATTGGGCCAATTTAAAATCGGTTCTGTCTGTGGTATACAGTATGTCCCCGGCATGTCTTTACAAGAATAAAAACTTTTTATTATTGAGAATTTGAGAAAAATGCATTCTTTATAAAAATTTTTGCTTGTCCTAAAATGGTTAATCCCGTTTATACTTTTCCAAATTTCTATACCGTTTTAGAGAAAAAACATAAAAATATAGTCGAAGTCCTAAAAATCAAAACGCGTTTCTATGGTAATATAATTGACAGAATTTTCATTGACGTCATATTTTACGCTGTTTTAAAATTTTAAAGAAGCACAAAATGTATTTAGTTCAATGATACCTAAAGGGTAATAGTAGTGATCGGAACATGTGATACTTTAACAACAGCAAAAAATATGACGTTGCCGAATGACCAGTCGAATCTTAAAGCTTTTACTAGTAGTTTTGTTGATATTTTCCTTCATAGGTCCTGTTTATTCAACGAGTAAACACAAAACAAAAACAGAAAAGTTGTATTTTATGCCCTGTTGTGAAGTCCTAAGAAACTTATGTTGGCTTCACAATGCCGATCAGAATTGCGGATCTATGTCATGTTATAGTCTGAAGTTTTACAAGATGGTAGATAGTCTGAAGTTTTACATGATGGTAGATAAGAAAATGCGCTAGAAACATTGTATTATTTGTGCCCTGGTATGACGTCATAAGACGACATAAACGAACTTACGACCGGGAAAAATCGGGAATTTTAATTAACGTCATATGTTTCGCCAAAATTATCGGCTATTATCATTTCCCAGCCGTCTGGTTTTTTTTTCGATCATACGATGTTAATAATATTTCAATGATTTGGCTTGAATCTGTAATAAAATCTATCTATCCGGACACCTGTATTACATTTTGTTCGAAAATATTCAACTTGGCAACACGGCACATATATTCCTGGTACTCTCGTCGCTGCGTGATGAGTCATCACCTCGCTGCGGTGGTACCAGGCAGCTCCAAGCGACAGTTCCCAACAAGCAACAAGAAAAAAAAAACAAAAAAAAAGATATAATATGTTCTCCCCATTTTTTCTCTCAATACTTTTTTTGTCTGTTGGTACCATTGGTACTGCTTGACTCCGACGAGATTTGGGTGGTTCCATAAAAAATGAAACAACTGTCAATTATTACAAAAAAGAAATTAACAAAAATCGCATATAATTATTATTATTATACAGTCTTAAATAAATGCAAATATTTTCTGGGTTCGTAGATCTCGATAAAAGAAACATATTTTCTCTGTACCGTTTTTCAAATAAGTCCAAAATAACCGAGTCATTTTACTTTGACAATTTCCAAAAAAAATGATTTTTCAAAAATTTTGAGAGCCACCGGATTTTTTCTGTATTTGCATCCTTCCAGTGCCGTAACCATGCTAATATCAGAGGTTAAGAAATTATACCGTGGGAAAATTTGCGGTAAACAGTCAGTTCTAAAATACAGTGGTGGCCAAAAGTATGGAACTTTTTTAATTTGTCATTTATGCTGAGAAATTAAAATATGAAATAAAACGACTTATATAATCGTGACCTACAAATAATTTCCTACAAAACCTAATACATTTAAATAAAAAATTACAGCTATCAAAAAATATATAAAAAATTATGAATATTTTCTTGGTCAAAAGTATGGAAACTTAAGAAGAATGTTTATTAAAATTCAAGATAATATAAAAATTACTAATATTTAGTAGAATATCCCTTTGAATTAATTACTTCTCTACATCTTCGTGGCATCGAATCGATCAATCTCGTACAATCTTTACTGGAAATGGCGGCCCATTCAGTTTTTAGCACTTCCCATAATTCATTTTTATTTGAAATAGAATGGCTTCGAATTTTGCTATCCAAATGGTCCCATAAATTTTCTATGGGGTTAAGATCCGAGACTGTGAGGGCCAATCCATTAGTGGAACATTATGTTCATTTAACCAATTTTGAACAAACCGAGATTTGTGCTTGGGATCATTGTCTTGCTGGAACAACCATCTGAGTGGCATTTCTTCATCAGCATGAGGCAGCATATTATTCTCCAATATGTCTTTGTACAAAAAACGGTCCATTATCCCATCAATTTTAATAAGAGGACCAACACCTGAGCGAGAAAAACACCCCCATACCATTATACTCCCACCCCCATGTTTTACTGTGGGCATCTGGTACTTATGGCTGTATACCGTGTACCTTTTGGTCTTCGGACATAACGTCTCCCGACACTACCAAACAGTTGAAACTTGCTTTCGTCGCTAAACAGTACAGTATTCCATTTCTGATAAGACCAGGTGAGATGATCTTGAGCAAATTTAAAGCGGGCCATCCTATTTTTCTTTGATATTAGTGGTTTCTTCACCGCAACTCTTCGAAAAAGTCCCATGTCATCCAACCTTCTTCTCACCGTGCGTGCAGACACCGATATTCCCCTTTCACCCATTTCTCGAGAAATGTCTGTGGATGTTTTTCTTGGATCTCCCATTGATATTCTCTTCATTACTTTCATTGTCCTGTTGCACAACTTTCTTGGTCTTCCTGACTTAAAAGCTGTTGAAACGGTGCCTTTTAAAATGTTTAAATTTTTACTTATTTGAATTTGTTTATAACAGCTCTTGTATAATTCAACTATTTTATTTTTTAAATCCGTAGAGAAATATTTAGACTTGGGCATGATGTTTATATTTATCTGAAGCAAATCGTACCGTTTATCAGCTTAAACTAAATAATTTTAATGTATTTATTTATGGTTTCCATACTTTTGGTGCTTTTGGCCACAAGAAATCGATTGTTCTCCTACAAAAACTGCTAAACAGATTTTTTTCGCTGTGTAATTTTTGGAATACTTTTATTTGCTGATAAGCTGTTCATTTATATTCCTGAGAGTTCAAGCATAGCAATATTTTCTGTGATATTTTAAAAAGTAAAAAGTTTCCATACTTTTGGCCACCACTGTATACAGGAAAAATTAAAATAAAATGCACGATTTTCAAAAAAGTTCTTATTTACAAATCAAACGTTTCATAACAAGAATCTTAATCTAAACATAAAATACTACACAAGTGAGTACTGCTATTTAATATATTATTTACACAGTTATGACTCATCTGAAAAACACGCGGTACATAAGAACGTACCTCCTCCGTATTACGCGAACCAAAAAAAAATATCTTGAATGAACTTCACGTTGTCGCACTATTTCATTAAACCAGAGTACCAGCTCGAGCCGTGGTGACTCACGCTCGGATTCTAGGAACCACCTATGACGAAATGGTACCCGACGGAGAGCTGCATAAGCGACGTTTCTCTCTTATTTCACTCTCCCACCACCATCAAGGTCGTACGGTGGTTCAGTTTTTTCCCGGAGAACCAAGGGCAAACCAAGTAAGGTACGACTTGGAGAAATATATAATCCAAACTTTTATTACATTATTTTTAAAAACATTAATACTATTTTAATTCTATTTGTCATGTGAAATTCTTTAGATAGCACATATTTTTATCGCAAAATATATTTATGACAAATAGAGTAAACAGTGTAATCTGTAAAATGTACGAGAAAAATAAAAGATTAAGAAAAAACAGTGTGTGCACTCTGTGCGCATATTTGAAGTGAAATTTCTTACTAACAGCTCTTAAATTGAAGGATTTGAAGGACATGTTTGAAAAAGTGACATACAGTGTTGTTCACCACACACGACACGGACTATTGTAGCTAAACGATGAGATTTTTACAAATTGTAAGTTTGGGGTTCGTTGAAGGGCTATTAGAGCTACAATTTAAAAATATTTTTACAAGATACAGAGTGTCCCAAATAAATTAAAAATATCAAAGTTGTATTTTTTTAAATGGAACACCCTGTATATTATTACATTTTTAGTTTCTACGATTAAAATAAAGGTAAATTTGATTAAGGTTTATTATACTTAAACCTTACCGTTTTTGAAATATTTTCAATTTTGTGAAATTGCAGTAAAAATTTTAAAGCTTCATTTCTCCAAGGGTATCAATGTTTTTAATACTAAATATTTAATGAAGTTTATTTATTGATCTGTTATTGTGTTGCAATAATAAAAATAATACTACCTTATACAGAGTGTCTAAAAATTTATTTTAAATAATTATTAGTTTCAAACGGCAATAACTTCTTTAATTTAAATGGAATGCCCTGTATATTTTAGGAGAATTAGATGCACAATTAAATTGTCTATCAAATTGTATTATACCATTTTTTACCTATCCCTTCAAGTTTTCGTAGAAAATGCATTTTCTTATAATTTAGACCTCATTTATCAATATATCCATGGAATATTGACATTTTAGATTGTTTTTAAAGCAACAAATGTACTTACAAAATGTACAGACTAGTAATATTATCGTTTTTAGCAAAACGATAATATTACTAGCCCATTTGTACGCAAAAAGAAAACTATTTAAATCTTTATAAAAGAGTATACCATTAATTAAATATAACACCATTATTTCCGCCCATATACTAATTAATGACATACTTAATTGTGTTCGTTAATAAATTATTATAAATAAATCTGGATTTTTGAGTCAGAAATCAATATAATAATAAGTTATCAAATTAAAGTCTTTGTTGTTATAAATAAGCATTTATTAAAAAATGAAATATCATTTTTAAGGTGTTACTTTTTATCACACTGTCTAATGCCTATACAAAATTCAGTTTTTTAGTATTTGGAGCAATTATTATTAATCACGCAAACAGTCAGTTAATGTACTTTGAATACTGGAATCATATTAATTGGTCCTCTTTAACAAATATTTAAACAGTTTTTTTTTATTTTTTAATGAAATAAACGAATTATATCGACAAT